TTGGGTACTACTAACCAGTAACCACTTTCATTTGTCCGTCTCGCATCCTTTTAGTCTGTCAACGCTTTTCTATTTTGTCTTTTTTCTCTCTTCTTCTTCTTCTTCCTTCCTTCTCCAGCTACTTTGCTCTTCCGCCATGTCTAAGCAGTAAGTAAGCTTCTCTTTTTCTTTAATTATTCGAGTATATATATATTTCTTGCTAATTTTGGAATTGCTTAGCTCATCTCTATTTTTCACATTTAATTATATTACAGGAGTCTACTTTCCTCTTTCGTCACTTGACTATGACTGACCTACCATAGTTAGATAGATAGAGAGGAAAAGAGAGAGAGAGAGAGAAAGGAGATATTTTCTCAGCTGGGTTTCCCTTTTATTCTTCTGGGTTTCACGAAACTGCGAGCAAAATTGTCTCTTTTTCACGATCTGCGGCGGCGTTAGGGTTTCGGTTTGGATTTTGTGATTCTTAAAGTGTTGAGCTTTTTTTGGGGGGGAAGAAGAAATGGTGAGGAAACATGGTTGGCAACTTCCTGCTCATAAATTTCAGGTCTTTATTTCCAACCTTGTCTACTTTAATAGATCATTTTGATTCTCTCTGCATTGTGCTTCTTCTTCCTTGAAATTCTCTGATTTGAGTTTTAGTTGATTTGTTTCTTCTGATGTTTATATATAGCTATGATGCGTTTGCTTATGAAAGTTGTGGTCTTTGTGAAATTTTGGGCAGGTTATAGCGATTACGGTGTTCTGCTTGTTGGCTGTTGCATACTATGCGTTCTTTGCTCCTTTTGTTGGAGGACGCATCTGGGAGTATATTCTTCTCGGTGTTTACTCTCCTGTGGTATGTGATTTATGTTCCCTCAATCTGTGGTTTCTGATGTATTGGATTCAGAGGATATATCTGTAGATCAGTTAGTTTGAGGTTCAGAGCTACACTTGTTGTTGGGTTGAATGAAATCAATGATGAGCTTTATAAGTTTCTCTCTTCTCTATTGGATATTGCTAGGCTTTAGATCAGATTAGACAATGACATGGAACTGATAAAGAGTTAGGGGACATGGCAGTTTAGGTGGCTAACCGGGTTATTTGATGCTTTTCTCGACGAGATAGTCATATCTGATGACCTTGTGCTGCTTGTGTCATGTGTTTGCAGGCTCTTGTTGTTTTCATTCTTTATGTTCGGTGTACTGCAATCAATCCTGCAGATCCAGGAATCATGTCGAAATTCGAAAGAGGCGCAAACAGAGGTGACGGCTTACCTGCTGCCAAAGATATCTCGAGAAAATTTGATGAAACAGGCAGCCAGCTGCAGTCTTCTCCTTCGGTTGCCTCGAGGACTTCTACTTTACCAAACTCTAGCGTGAAAGGTTCTGTAGGAGATGCGCAAAGAGTGGAAGCCACTCGGAAAAAATCTTGCTTTAATCCTTTGGCAATATGCTGTGGTGTGTTTGTTTATGAAGATTGTCGCAGCAACGAAGAGATGGATGAAGAGCAAGGGGACAGGGAAGAAGCTCTGTTTTGTACGTTGTGCAATGCTGAGGTATGATGTTACAATTGCTTAGTTCTTTCCTTCCGAGAGCTACATCTAGTTCCTTATACATATATATTTCATATGCGTATATGTATGCTCTTAATAATCATTACTGTTTGAAAAGTAAGAAGCCACCAGTAAATGCGTTATTCACCTTGATTCCTTTTCTGTGGCAGGTCCGTAAGTTTAGCAAACATTGTCGAAGTTGTGACAAATGTGTAGATTGTTTCGATCATCATTGCCGGGTAAATATCTTACATGTCAATTGACTGTTTCCTGGAAAAGATTGACTAGCGTTTTATGACACAGCTCTATTTAAATGCAACAGTGGCTTAACAATTGTGTTGGTCGCAAGAATTATATGACATTTATATCCCTGATGGCTGTCAGTCTGCTCTGGGTACGTATATTCTTCTGATATACTATTTCTCAAGCTTACTGTTTGCTTAACCAGCAGTGATCAATAAAATTTTCTCCTTCTCAGCTCCTTATTGAAGCAGGAGTTGGAATTGCAGTTATAGTGCGTGTATTTGTTAATAAGAAAGACATGGAAACCGAAATCGTCAATAGACTCGGAAATGGATTTTCTCGGGCACCTTTTGCTACTGTTGTTGTAAGTATAATTAGTGTAAGGCTGAGGCAGCTACAATAGGGTGAGCTTCTATTGTCAATGTTCCTGATGTTTTCTTACAATTTTTGTAGGGTCTCTGTACTGCCGTCTCCATGCTGGCATTGTTTCCACTGGGTGAACTTTTCTTTTTCCACATGCTCCTCATCAAAAAGGTAAGTACGAAAGAAGTCGATATTGCTATCACTTTTACATGCTTGTAATATATTAGCCTTACTGGTATGAATCTTCCTAAGACGGTATAAAAAGCATTGATTGTTATTTTAATCTTATAGTCAACATGGATCCCAAAATAATTGAGTAGCACATGAAAATAGAATTTGGTTTCTCTTCATGATTAAGACCATATGATCCATTCCTCTAACTTGTCTGCTTAGAAGATGTGATATATAATATATTTCCACTACTTTGTTTGTAATCGGTGTTCACATGTTCTAACTTCTAAGCAATGTGAACTCATTTTTGTACCAACCAATAGGGCATTACAACTTACGAGTATGTTGTGGCAATGAGAGCAATGAGCGAGGCACCAGCTGGAGCTTCGATTGATGAGGAACTTCCTAACGTGTTGTATTCTCCCTCTGGATCTGCCACAACCGGCTTTAGTGGTGGAAGCTCCCTTGGTTTACCATACAAGGGAGCCTGGTGCACTCCTCCTAGAGTGTTCGTTGATTATCAGGTATCATTTGCTTTTCCAAGAGCCCTAAATAGAACAGTTTTCCTAGAGCTTCCACTGGGTTTCTGTTTAGTTAATGATATGTCTGCTTGATACTTGTTATCTATGTTACAGGACGAAGTGATTCCTCATTTGGACCCGAGAATGGTTCCATCGACTGTAGATCCAGATGCAGCTGAAACAGCAGAGAGAGGCAACAAGATTCCAAAACGACCTGTCAAAATCAGTGCTTGGAAGCTTGCAAAGTTGAATTCAAATGAAGCTACAAGGGCAGCAGCCAGAGCCAGAGCATCCTCATCTGTCCTAAGACCAATAGAAAACCGTCATTTACATGATGATGAACTTAGTTCCAGAAGTGGCACCATCAGTGTTGTCAGCAGTGTAAGCACAGATGCAAATGGAGGCGTCTTGAGTAAAGAGATAAGAAACAATGATCCAAGGTTTTCTCATTCTAGAAACTCTTTTGCTCCAAGCCAAGGTAGTCGGGATGAGTACGAGACAGGGACCCATAGTATGAGCAGTTTCAGCAGTCCAAGTCATGTTCATGAGACTGTCACACTTAGTCCTCTTCCCCAGCATCATACAGCTGGCCACCGCTTCACTGCAGCGGCCGTGTCGAATTCCCGGCCACCTCTTAATCCAGCAACGAATCACATGATCCACTCAACCTTTGATGAAAAGATAATGCAGAAAGGAAACCACGCCGATCCACTGCTTCTTCCTGCTCCTGCCGCCTCTCTTCTGAGAGATGTGAGAAGAACATCAGTTGTTTGGGACCAAGACGCAGGTAGATATATATCAGTTCCTGCAACAACATCTGAACCAAAAACCAGATTGTCCTCACAGAACCAGCCAATTCCTAGCTCACACATTGGTAACACTCAGAATCCAAGACCAGTTGTTCATCCACCTCAAGATTCTTCATCTGGAAGGGCTCCACCTCCGCAGCAGCGAGGAGAGAGGCTGATGTATACAGGTGACTCAATCTTCTTTGGAGGCCCCCTGGTAAATATCCCTAATAGAGATAGCCTAAGACACCAAGGAGACTCGGGAAGAGAGGGAGAAGACAGAATGACATTGACATTGCCTCGGGAAGCTAGATTCAAAAGAGACACAACCTCAAACCAGCTTCCAGTGTTTGCTCCTGTGGGTACCCGCAAGTAAAACCATCACTCTTTCGAGGCTTTGATCTCTCGCCGATATAAGACTGACAGGACAAAGACAGATAGCTGCCTTGAGGGTCTGAATCAGTGGAGTTGGCTTAACGGTTGCAGGAAAGTCTCTGGGATTGTTACATACGATTATGTGAATCTCTTGGATTTATGGCTCTAGAGGTTTGCAGATGAGTTGATGAGGTAGAAAAGTAGAATCCTTTGTGATAGTTTCTTCCACGGGTTCAATATTCTTAGCCAGAGATGACTCTTCACAATTTGCTATTAAGAACCAGTGTACCACTATATTTGTTGTATAACTCCATGAGTCTCTAACCTCTTGCTTTCATTGTCACATTTTATTAGAAAATTGAGTCATTGATGGAACAAACACTAGTTTTATTAAACAAAAACAACAATTTGTTGTCAAAAAAAAAACAATTTGTTCTATATGCAAAACTATATACAGTATGAACAACTATAAATTCTATAATATATTGAATTTACAATCATTTTCAATCCTTTAGTATGTTTTCAAGTGCACTTTTAACAACTTTTTCAATCCTTTAGTATGTCCAAAGTTTTTAAATAATATATATATTTGTATGTATTTACGATTCTTGAGATATATGTCTTCCTTGGTAATTAATAACGTATAATTGACTATGTACAGTATATGTATTTACGATTCGTTTCTTGATAAATGAATGTGGAAATTGATTTCCATTTTTTATAATTCGAACTTGGAAATAAGAAATTTTCTTCTCTTTTTGCCAACAAAATAATTTCTCTGTTTCTTGGGCAAAAGATTTACTTTCTTTCTTTTCTTAAACAATACTACTAAATTTAAAATATTCAAATCAGTTTTTTATACTAGTCAAAATCTAATTTAATTTTAATAGTTTACATTTTTGTGTGTTCTTGTAACATGCAATTATTATCCACCACTTAACTATTTAAACCAACCCTCAAGAACATTGAAAAAGTGATTCTCTCACTCAACACAAACACAACAAAAAAATGATACCAAGTTACGATCCAACCAATACAGAAGCTGGTCTAAAGCTTCTCGAGAATCTAACCACAAATGCAGATACGATCCAACAACATGTTCTCCACCAAATACTCTCTCAAAACTATGGAACCGAGTATCTCAAATCGTTTCTTGATAAAGAGTCCGATAAGAATCAAGAAAGCTTCAAGAACAAAGTCCCGGTGGTGGATTACGAGGACATGAAGCCTTTCATCCAAAGAATCGCTGATGGAGATTCATCTCATATCCTCTCTTCTCAGCCCATCATTGAGCTTCTCACTAGGTAATTAAACAAATTTTGTGTATATCAAAATATCTAATGATTTATATATATATAAAGAAAAAAATTGTTCAACAAAACTATGTTATATACTTGTCATCTCCAAACTAAATATTCCTTTTCTTCTTAAATATTTTCAAGCTCTTCAAGTTCTCGAGTTATTTGGGTTACATATTCTTGGATAAATATACTATGCAGCTCGGGTACTTCTGGTGGCAAGCCGAAGCTGATGCCTTCTACGGCTGAAGAACTGGATCGGAAGACGTTTTTCTACAACATGCTTGTCCCCGTCATGAATAAGTACGTTAATTACTTGTTACTTGTTAATTCATATAACATGCTCTAGTCTCGGGGTCTGAGGTTATGTATGGCATTCGCCCCATAACGTCTTAGTTATTCAATAAGAAAAAAAAAAGAATGAAATTAACTGTGTTTTTGTATACGTAGGTTTGTGAATGGACTAGATGAAGGAAAAGGAATGTATCTTCTGTTCGTAAAACCAGAGATCAAGACTCTTTCTGGTCTAAAGGCACGTCCTGTGTTGACAAGTTACTACAAAAGTCAACAATTCAAGAACAGGCCTTTCAACAAGTACAATGTTATCACTAGTCCTAACGAGACCATTCTTTGTGAGGACAGTAAGCAAAGCATGTATTGTCAGCTTCTTTGTGGCTTAGTCCAGCGATCTCATGTCCTAAGACTTGGTGCTATCTTTGCCTCTGCTTTTCTCCGAGCAGTCAAGTTCTTGGAGAATCATTACACTCAGCTCTGTGCCGACATCAGGACTGGTACTGTCGCCAGCTGGATCACTGACTCGTCATGTCGAGAGTCTGTTTTGTCGATCCTTAATGGTCCAAATTCTGATTTGGCTGATGAGGTTGAGGCTTTGTGCTCTGCTAAGTCATGGGAAGGGATCTTGAGAAGGATATGGCCTAAGACCAAGTATATAGAGGTGATTGTTACTGGCTCAATGGCTCAATACATTCCGACACTCGATTTTTATAGCGGAGGTTTGCCTTTGGTTTCGGTAATGTATGCTTCCTCTGAGTGTTTCTTTGGTATCAACATTAATCCTCTGTGTAAGCCATCTGATGTTTCCTACACACTTCTTCCTAACATGGCTTACTTTGAGTTCTTGCCTGTCGATGAAAAATCACATGAAAAGATTCACTCTGGATCGTATAATCTTAAGGACGACCAAGGTCGTATTGTCGATCTTGTTAATGTTGAAACCGGTCGATACTATGAACTCGTCATCACCACATTCGCAGGTCAGTTCTCTCTTGACATTGACACTACTAACATGTTTACAATACAAAACATATATTATGATCTGTCAACTATTTGAAGATATTTGAATCAGATCGTTTAGTTTGGTTTTAATGGCCAGCCCTAATTCTTTGACCTAGTGAGAGTAACGTGTAACACAAGAATTCTTTTTCTAAACAGGTTTATACAGATACAGAGTAGGAGATATTCTGAAGGTTACCGGTTTCCACAACAAGGCACCTCAGTTCAGTTTCGTGGAGCGAAGAAATGTTGTCTTAAGCATCGACACAGACAAAACCAGTGAAGAAGATCTAATGAAGGCAGTGGCACAAGCCAAACCCTCAAGCTTCTTGCTCACTGAGTACACGAGCTATGCGGACACGTCTTCAATCCCAGGGCATTACGTGCTCTTCTGGGAGCTAAGGCCACGTCACAAAGACGACCCACCAAAGCTAGACGAGAAGGTGATGGAGGATTGTTGCTCCGAGGTGGAGGATTGTTTGGATTATGTGTACAGGAGATGCAGGAACAAAGACAAATCAATAGGTCCATTGGAGATAAGAGTGGTGAGTTTTGGTACTTTTGATTCGTTAATGGACTTTAGTATCTCTCAAGGATCTTCAGTGAATCAGTATAAGACTCCAAGGTGTGTGAAATCTGGAGGAGCTCTTCAGATTCTTGATTCCAGAGTTATTGGGAGGTTCTTCAGTAAAAGGGAACCTCAATGGGAACCACTTGGTTTAGATTCTTAGTTACATTTTAGTATCTTCTTCTTTCTACTAAGTGAAATTTTCACTGCGGAATGTGGGAATCCTCTAATGCAACACCAAATAAGAGTTAGATAGCTCACAGTCATGTGAGAGTTGCAAACTGCAAAAACATATAAACTTTGTTTTTGATAGTAAATTTAAATATAATGTTCATATAAATGCAAGCGAGAGTCCTACCTATAGATAGTATATGAAAATCATCCACTGATGAATATCCTCACTCAAATACGAGTTGGGATGTTGATGAGCTTCGAGAAGAAAGTAACAACTCCAGGATCATCATCTTAAATTAGTTAATGTTCTAATGTGAGATGTATAGATGGGTGGAAACAAGTAACCTAAAATATAGATAGTATTCTAAAGTGAGATGTATTATGTATATATATAGATGGGTGGAAACAAATTACCTCGTCCGCATTGAATGATCTTATGCATAGCGAAAGCCGCTTGACGGATGTGATTGATCTAATAAGGTTGTTGGTATCAAGGTATATGGATTCGATGTCCGCCTACTCTATATTTACTGTTTACAAGATAGAGAGATATTTTGATGGTTTTGTAGAAGATCTATACTAGTCGGAAAAGACAATTAGTGGTAGTCTTCTTTCATTGTAATTTTAGGAAAGTTGGTAGATTCCATATAGCAATTGTAGGGGATGTAGGTTATCTGAACCCCGTTAACAAAGCTTGTGTCTTAGTTACTTTATGCTCATACAATTCAAAGTCGATCATACATGTAGTTGAATTAGTCACACATATGCAATTTTAGAGCGTATGATTAAATTATCTAGAAGAGAAGTATCATGGCACGAACAAAAGCTAAGGTTCTAAGGTTGGTGCTTAACTCAAATTAGTTTGTAAGATGGTGTAAGATCTATTTATCAAATGCATGTAGCAATAAGGGTTAATTAGATATAGCTCAAAGTCATATAAGAGCTACAAAAACAGCATGATCAAATAACTTCATTATTGGTTTAATTAAAATCCTCCATCAAAGTTTATATAACTATCAAGAATTGGGAAGAAACCACAAAAACTATCAAGATGATCAAAAGATCATCAAAGTTTGAAACCAGGAACTGATAAAGATCCTCACTCAAATTCAAATACGAGTTGGCATGTTGGTGAACCTTTAGAGAGTGAAAACTCCTGCATCGTCATCTCAAGTGGATCTTCTCTCCTTGGAGCGTCCTCAAACACAATTGTCGCAGTCTTTAAGGAACGAGCATTTTTCAAGATATATTTCATCAGACGCCTCTCTTGCTCCGTCGCAAACATCTGTCTCCACGTGAAAGTTTCAAGACTCGACGACAAACATTTAGGAACACAATTTAAATCATCCTCCCAGGAATCCCATATTTCGAAATCACATTCATGACCCTGATCAGATCAAACATGAGAGCTTAGCTTAAATATTAGTCAAAGTAAATTAAACCAAATTAAAACTAACAAACTTACCTCATCTTGAAAGATGTTCAGCTCTCGTAAATTAGGAGAATCGTTGAGTAGCCGCAAAAGTAACTTTGACCAATTTTTACCACATTGACATAACCTGAGATGTTTAAGCTGATTGAAGACAATACCCTCACTATATAACCCCTGCACACAACGGGGGAAAAAGATTATAGTAAACATTAAGAAAACATGGTTTAGTAGTGTTGGAAAATGATATTGATATGAAAACATACCTCTTGAGTATTTAATCCTGCGCATAATGTAAGACACTGAACATATATGATTGATGAAACAAACTTGTGAAAACTAAGGTATACTGAAACAACATCCACGTCCTCCAGGTTGGGCATAGGGATAGAAGAAAAGGAGCAAACATCAGCATCACTGACACCGTTATCAACAACTCTGAAGTACTTCAAAGAAGGAGTTTTTAACTCAAGCACACCAGCATCAATATATGATAATATCCTAATAGTTAGTCTCAGTAAGGACGGGACAAAAACCCACCATTTTCCCAAGTCGTCACCTTCTTTTCGTTCCAACTTTAGATCTTCAAGAACAGGGCAACATGAAAGAAGTCTGTGAAGAGCATTATGATCATCTGCGTAAGTCACACGTCGGAGGACTAAAGTTTTCAAGGACGGGAGAGATCCCATGCGAGGAACATCAATGACAACATCTTCTTTCAGCTTCAAGACCACGAGCCATTTGCAGATATACAAACTACTAGGCAACCTAGCAAGATCCTCCGTACAATGACAGAAGGAAAGACTTAACTTACGGATACAGTGAGAAACTGCATATGCAACCCATAGTTCGAAAACTTGAGGCTCAATTATTCGAACTAGTTGGATATTATTGAACTTGAGATGCAAGCTTTCGATGACTGGAGCTTTATGTAATGGCAAATTCAAACTTATGAAACGCTCTAACCTTTCGACTTTAGGAGCGGTATCATGGTAACACTCGTACTCAAGTTTAGGCAACCACATCCAAAGATACTCCCATCGTTTGGATAAAATACTTGTGCTAACTGCAGTTTTTGTTGGGAGAAGCAGTAGTATCTTCATGAGTAGTTCATCAGGTAACTGACTAATCTTGTCTTTATCTTCACAATCTTTACATTTCTTATTTCTGCTCATCGTTGATTCTTCTGTTTTCTCGAATACGAATCTTGGGGTCTCTCTGAATAACAAGAAGAACATAAGAAAATATTAGAGTGTTATAAGGCCTAGGCCGACAATATGTTAGTCTAATATTCATTAAAGTTAAATGTTTTTTTTTTACATCATTACAAATTATACGTCTCTCTTTGAGAAAGACTGGACTCAACCCAGATCTGGTGAGAAGGCAAGAGAGTTGAGAAACACTAGCCCACTTGTCCTTCTCAGTTAATTAAAAATTGTTTGCCTCAATATAATATATAAAAATTCCTTCAATTTAATTGTAAATGCTCACTCAACATTTACTCACACAGCAACTGCACATAACGATATCATATTCATGTAAAATCTAGGCCAAACATATATCCCCGCGTAGGAAGGATTTTATATACGTTACATATATTATGTAAGCCTACTTGAAATCAAACAAAACATTTCATGTGTATTAAATCTATGTCAGATCCATTTCTCTGATTATGTAAAATTCCTAATTGTATCAATTTACCTCATGTTCTTGACTGCAAAGTAGTACCAAACTGCATGAATTCTTGCTTTAGAATCGGTTGTGATCTCGCTTGCTTCCGAACTGTGAATTTTTTAGAACCACCACCTACCCTCTTTTATCCATTGAAATCGCCGCTCTCTCTCTTTCTCTCTCTCAGCATATGTATCTTGTTTGATCTGTAAACCCTATGAGCATTTAAATACCCTTTAAGTATTTTCAAAACGACGACGTTATGTTAAGAATAACTAAAACGTCGTCGTCCTATTTTATAAAATAATTTCCGCTTAAGCATTCGATACAGTTTGACTTACTTAAATACGGTGAAAGTATGAGTTAATCAAAATCTAACACTGTCAAACAAAACTTTTATGATTCTTATGATGGTCCTTTAGAGCAACATTAACCATGGGATTTTAACCCACTCTTAGCCTAAGATTTGTTAAGATTGGCCTCTCAAATCTTAGACTAAGAGTGGCTTAAGAGTCCATGGATAATGATGACCTTATGATAGATTCATAGATTGCCAGATTTCGTGTACAATCTTTAATAGCATTTACAATTTCCGTGCTATTATAATCTGTTATCAATGTACACTTTTTATAGTGTATGAATTGTCTATGAGGCTGGAGCTAAATGTTTCATGTGGCCCTCCCTCTTCTCTATGTATTTTTTTTAGAGAGCTATGTGTTCGTCAACTTGTTCAGATTTTGGCATTTTTCTTGTCTTAGTGAACAAGTAGAGAATGGTAATTAATGACATGCATAATGTTGAGTAATATTGATGATGAGAATTAGGGATGTTAAAAAGAGCTTGTAAGCCCTGTTCGATTCTGACTCTGACCCTGTTCAACTCTTAATATAAAAAGACTTTGTAAAATAAATATTAAATGGCTGAACTCTGTCCAGCCCTGGCCCTTTTTTTTTTCTCTGAAAAAACAACAAGCCTTTGTTCTGTTCTGTTATTTTTTCTAACACAATTTCTTTTTCTGAATAAGAAGTTAGGTTATTAATTAGTAATTATATTTAAAAAATTCTCAAAAATCAAAATACAATATAACGTAAACTGCAACTTCTAATATTAAATACAATATAAAATATAAATTTATTAAAATTCAAAATTCATCAAAATCTGAAACTTAAATATATTCAATCGATCTAACAAGTCCCTGAAAAATAAATAAACGAACAATTTTAGCGAATTATAAACTTCTTCGTCAGATCATTTGCATAGTTTCGAAATGGAAGATATACAATGGTGTAAACATTAGCATTTTGAAGTTTCCATCAATATCCTTATCACATAAACTCTGAACTTGATTCAAAATCATATCTAACTTGAATATTTGTATTAGATGAACTCTTTATGAGTAACTTAAAAATGAGTCTCGAGGTCTCTATAGGCCCTATCCATTTTCCTGTTTCAAGAAATAGAAGATGATGACTATTGCTTGTCGGTATGATAAAAACATCTAATGCATTTTAGATACATACTTTTTAATATCTTTCGGGATCTCTATCGCAGAGATATCACTTTTGCTTCTACTTTGTAAATCCAGTTCTCTAGCCTCCTCTCTGATAAAGAAGCACCAGAGTTACAGATCATAAGACAACATAGATCACGTATGTCTTTCGAATCTTAAGGTAACAAGGATCAAATTTTCCAGGTCCATATGAACAGTCACACAGAAAGATGAAAGTAAGAAAGGACTAAAATGTTGGGACTAACCTGTCTTCTGCGAAGTAAACATGTCTGCGACTAGACTGACCCTCAGTACATTGCAGTGATGCAGTAAGCTTGTCAATTTTCTACAAAAGGTAAGAAGGAACAAAGAGAAACAGGGATAAATATGATTGTGACCAGAAAGCTCTCGGGCTGTGATTGAGGAAAGACAACTTACGTTTTTCTCACTCTGCCATTTTTGGAACACATATCCTATATCTTAGGTCTTCATTATCATGACCTCTTCTGCAGAGTATTTATTTACCTCATCCCTGAAAACAATAACTTTGTCAAAAATTTACAAACCAAGAAGAAGAAGGAAAAACCATGAGAGTTGGTCTATGATACAGTGAAAATAGAAAATCAAACACAACGAATTCGATATGCTTACTTTGATCTATGATATCCATCAACTGTTTTACTATTGATCATCTTAAAGTTGAATTCATCTGGATTCTTGAATGCTGCCTTCTGTCTAAGTATCTACAGTAAATAAAAAAATAAGAACGGTGTTGTAAGAGACGCTGAACTCTGCAACGCGCTAGCTAAGAATGCAATCAATGGTTTTGCGTTTCTTGAGCTATCTCACACAAATCAATCAGTCACTCCCTTAAACCAACAAATGTCTACTTGAAAGACTCCACAAACATACATTCCTAAAGCCCTGAGATCTCTCAAGTCTCAACAGCAGAATCATAGCAGAGATACAATTGTAAGCAGAGAGAGTGTTGTAGTACCTTTAAAGTGTCCTGCTTTTTGTGAAAAGCTTTAGCTCGGATAACATAATCCTTATGCTTCTCGAGGATACCAAACCTCTTCCTCGCTTGACTGATACATATAAAAATCCAAACTTTAATAAAGAGTGGCAAGCAAACGAAGAAAGAACAAAGGACAAGAACAATGATAGCTTACGGTTGAGATCGTTCCTTGTGAGCAGGCCGTGGAACACAATTACGCAGCGACGACATGTTTGATACGCTGCAATCACAGTCACGAAGCTGTAAGAGTAAGAAAGCTTAAACAATACTCGAGTTCATGAACTTAATGAATTGAAACTACGAATAGTTTAGGGTTTTTGGGGATAAAGAAAACTGAACTCGAACCCTCTGGCTAAGTGTAAAGGTTTAATTCTAATGGAGACAAGAACGAGGAAATCTCAAAACCCTACAGGACCAAATTGACGAAATAGAAGAGACGACACGGAGAAAAAGAAAACGAATTGAAGCAGAGATTGTTTACAAAAGAAACAGAGATATAGGGAATAAAACAAAATGCTCCGAACGCTTAGAACGTGATCAACCAAAAGTGAAATATGATTATGACAAAGGTCGAAACTTTACAATACATATTCTTTACCTCTCTCTATGTAATTTCCACCTCTACAAGAAACCCTCCCATAACATAGAAATGCCTAAGCAAAGAAAGAATATTTGGTTTTTCTTGTTTCTTTGCAGATTCAATAAAAGCTTAGTCATGCAGATCACTTGGAAGTTAACTGCATGTGACATCTGAGTAGAACCCTATAATTGTCCTCCTCTCACAATTCTGGATGCTGAGCAACTCCACATCGAAAACTTCAAATTGCTTTGAGCTGAAGAAGGTCGAAGGTCCCACCTGATTAGAGCCCAATGATCGAGAAATGAACTTTTTTGGTCAAAAATATGATCAACCAAGGTGAAAACAGTGATTATACAGTACAACATTAATCTACAACGGTTAGCATATGTCCCTAAACGAGCTTCGAATGTCCTAAACGAGCAGGTTCAAGTAGTAATTCCATTTAAAACATAGTTGATAGAGATGATGGTCTATTCAATAAAATGTCTCTGCAAAAGTTTACTACTAATCAAGTTTACAGTTCAGAAACATGTACACATAGGAATTGTGTGTTTTAAGTATATCGAGTATGAACTTACCGGAGGTCCCAATTCTGGAGGGATGATGATCCTTCTTCGCCCACCGGGCTTCATGTCACGAATTCCCATTTCAAATCCTGCATCATCAATATCCGCAAAAAGCAATCTTCAATCTCTTTACTTTCAGAGAAGATTCATCAATAAAATCATATTATTAAAGGCAAATTAATGTCTTTTAACTTGCCAGGAACAAGTGCATTGGTTCCCATGCGGATTCTAGCAGGAGAGCCTTGTATGTAAGTACTATCTATTCGCCTTCCGGACTCATTGTAGCCAATGTAGTGAAAAGTCACCTGTCGGAATTACCATAAAACACAATGATGTCCTCAATTCCATCCAAATAATTCCATTAATGATCTATCTAACTTCGGATAAGCTAACCAATGGAAGATAGAGAAAGTAGTACCTGCTGACCATCTTTTGGGCAATCACCTTGACCAACATTGAAATCCCGATATATGAGGCCTGAATCAGCCTTTACGAAATTATCTGAAGCTACAACCTTAACCTCAAAACCTGCACTATATCAGCAAAAACATAAACACAAACAAAAGGACAATAAGTTCCTATAAGAACCAATACTCAAAAAAACAAGAAACAGTGCAATAAAAGCTTAAACCTTCTCTAACAAAGTTTGGAAATTCGTCAGGAGCGTTGTTCTCTCTCTGTATCCTCTTGTTCTGTTCTAGTAACCGTCTCTCATCATAAGGGCTCTTGGATTTAGTCTTCGCAGATGAAGATAACACCGGAAACAACAAACACGGCGAAGTAGCCAATAGATAAACAACACTCCTCCGACTCGAGCTGCAAATTTTTAAAAAAACCTTAGCTTTATCTCCAAAATCAAACCAAAAAGGAAGAAACCCATCTCCCAAAATTGCAATTTTTACCTTTGGTCTTTTGGTTCTTCACTCAGTGAACAACATACCGAGCGTTTGCTACGAGATAACGACAGTTTTGTTTCACCTACAAGATTTTTTTACAAGCTCAGTCTTATTTGCCCAAGAACCCAGCTTACTCAATCGGAAGAGCAATGAAAGTTTTGAGAGAGGGAAGAACTCACATAGAACTGTAAGTCTTGGATTGAGCGGAGTAGATAAAATCATCACCATAGCTTCTCCCCCCGGCGATTCCTGCAGAATCCAGTTTTATCCCAAGTTGTTCTTCTGCGTTTGATTTCGTGGATAATTAATTTTTGCCCCCTATATTTTCACTGTATTATAATTTGGACCCAGATAGTTCCTTTTCTGTCCAATTCGTCCACGTGGTCATAACTTTTGACTCCACTCTAATAAGTTAAAATTTCATTTTATTCAAACAAACACTCCAGATTCTCATCAACAATGCCAATAGATAAAAGTTACAACAATAATACAAGTAATGAAGGAATAAATAGTGGTACGTGTCATCTGAAATGGCTGTTTCTGATCATACCAGGGCCGCCTCCTCCTCTTCCTCTGGGTTGTTCACCGGATATGAGTTTCTGCAACCGGATTTGTTCCCGGAATTTTGCTATGAACTCCCCCGCTTTTCTATCAACCTCATTATGGTCATGACTTGCATTGCTTTGGCTTTCCCAAGCAGCTTCTTCTTCCCCCTCTAATGTTACTTGAGGTTGCTGCTCGGCCTCGGTCTCGGTCTCTTCCATAGCAACCTCATCTGGCTCAGATTTAGCATGAGTTTCTGAAATATTCTCCTGGTGCAGTACAATTGATAGTTCTTCTTGTCGTTGTCTTCTCGATTTTGTTCTTCCTCGGCTTTCTACTTTAGCTTCTGGTCGATCATCAGATGAATCTCCATCTGTCTTTTGATTTTTCCCATGGCGATCAGATCTTATGGTCCTCACAGACTTTCCTCTCAATGATACATTACTAGAAGCTCTCCAAGAACGTGGTGATTCAAGTCTCGGACTGTTTGATCTCAATTCCTTGTCATTACCACGAATGTCCGTTTTCCAGGGCTTATCGGAATGCACAGTGTCATCTTCTAACTTTCTTGCGTCATCCTTCTCCGGCAAACTGTCATGTCCCCCTCGTGAAGAATGCATTGCACGCCTTGAAGCTTTAGCATTCGTTGGTTGGAACAATACATCTAAAGCAGGAAAAGATTCGCTGAATTCCTCATCTTTTGCAGAGTCTTCGGCTGGTAGCTCCAGAGAGTCGTGACTCCTTCCCTTTTTGGCCCTCACATTGTTATTGTCGGCCTCTAGACCTTTCCCAATATTGTCTTCAAGCAAATGGATATCACTCTTTTGCTGAAGATTCCGTCTCCTTGTATCAGCACCACCAATGGGAGATGAGATGGACTCAGGAGGATAAGATCTGCGAGACTTGCTCCCTCTCCGGGAACTTTCAGCAGTCAAATTAAGTGACTTAGATCCCCGTTCTTTCTTACTGAAGAATTCTGTTTTTCTGTCTCTGACTTTTCGCCCCTCCAGTTCATCTTCAAAACCCTTCCTTACATCCTCCTCTAACAATGAACCATCACTGTAATGCCGAGAATGCGAGGCACGCCGGTGGGTATCATCAGTTACAACTTCTGGTAAACGCCTGTGAGTAGCTTCGATCACTAATTGTGGCGATGGTGGAGATGGAGACAATGGCGGCGACAGAGACAAAGATGGCGATGGGGGTAAGGATGGCGAACAAGACCGTGTTGAACCCTGAAGACTCTCTTCCTTGACCAATTCTTCCACATTTGAGTTTAGTGACTCCTCAGAAACAGAACAAGAAGGCGAGAATTTGTTCTGAGTATGGGATGCAAGACTAGTTTGTGATGAAGAAGAAGATGTTGAATTGCGAGCCGCAAACTGAGTTTCATCAACAGATTGAGGGTAAAACTCTGAAGGATAGTTGTCTCCCATGCCCATCATTTCAGGACTAAAATGCCATGGAACAGATGGAGTCGGAGCAGCCATGATGACCTCATCAGGCAATAATGACTCAGCTTCCCCACTTACAGCTCCATCACAGATATCATCAGGAGCTGCAGTAGAATCTCTCAAAGCTGACCTTAAACTCCTAATCGGCAAGCCTAATGGCTGATGCACAACATGACCATCAAGACCATAAGCTGGTCGAGCAACCACAACCTTAGATTTGCCCTGAAAATACTGCGAATTCCAAGCTCTGACTTCGTTAGTTTTAGTACCATATTCAGACGATTCTTCCAATTCGCTATCAACAACAACAGAAGCTCGAGCATTCTCATTAATCGAACGAGTCTCACTCCTCACATCAACAAACTCGCAAGAATTGTTCTCGTCAAACTCTTCATCAAAAACCGAAGAAACCTGGAAGATTCTAGAAACATAGGACAAGGAAGACTCATCTACACGGCTCATCCTTAAATCAACAGAGGAATCAACATTCCTACGGCTAAACAAACCATAAGCAACAGCAATGCCGACGAACAAGAGGTGAATGAGTTCCCAGAACTTGGTGAGAACAGTCTCACCGACGAAATCAGGAGCTTGGGAAGGGAACAACGGCAAGGCGAGGAGAAAGAGAGCAAGTAGAACAGACTTACAGAAGAATCCACCTCCGCTGGATTTAGACCGGGGCTGAGTGGTAGACGGCGGCGGTACTACGGCATTCGGTGGTGGAGAGCGAGGCTTGGTGTAGGGGTTGGGAGAGGCCATTGTGGAATTGGAGAGATGTCTGAGAGTGGGAATTGGATAATTAGGGATTTGAGTGGATGCGTAGGATTTGGGTATGTGAAGGAATGAAGAAGACTTCGAAGCGACGTAAAAGACAGATCTAACATTAAAGCAGCTGTGAAAGAGAGAGTGAGAATGGAAGACTGGGCTCTGTGACTTTATCTCACTCTTTAAAATGATTGATCGTTCGCCTCTCTCTCTCTGTTTAATTATTATATAAAAAAAAGTAAAAAATAATAAAAAAAAATGTGTAGATACGAAGATCCGACCCGAACCCGATTCAAAAAATCCAATCTGAACCCGAAACCTAGAAATACCCAAACGGATTCTATATTTCTAAATCCGAAAATCTGAACCCAAATTCGAACCGAACCGAAACCCGAATGGATATCCGAATACCCCCATAATATATATATATCTTATTATATAAACCTTGGTTTTCAAAGTCAGACATTAACAAGATAGTGACACGTGTCAATTATAAACGATAAGATGTTGACACGTGTCGTAACTAATTTTGTTAATATTTAGATAAAATAGAAATATTATTAACCTTATCAAAAAGGGAAATATATAAAATAAATATTATAAGGAATTATAGATTAAAAATTATTAATAAAATTAAACAAATAACGTAATTTCAGTTATGTCAATTTGGTTTATTAATAAGATAGGTGTTCAAAAAAAAATTAACAAGAATATATGGCGGTTTTTGTTTACAGAAGAAAATTAAGGTTTAAACTTTGATTTTACAATTAAATCAGGTTATTTGTTGGTTTGGATAAATGATAAATAAGAATTATGGTTTATCTTTATAAATTAAAATTATGGTTTAAGTTTAACAATTAATAAGATAGGGATTTAAAATTTATAATTAACAAGAATATATGACAGTTTTTGTAAATTTAACAATTAAACGAGATTATATGTCGAAACTTGGTTTTTAAATTTACTAACTCACGTGCTCATGATAAGTGTCAAGTAAAAATATAAGATGTCACAACATATTATATCTAATTTTGTTAATATTAAGATACAAATAGAATTTTTAAACAACATTAAAAAATAATTATAAAAAATTAAAGAGAACTAAAGAGAAATACCCTTTTTGGTGTACCCCTTTCCAAAAATACCTCATTTATCTATTAATTTTCAAAAATATCCATGTTTAAATATGAGAAATTATAAAGTTTTATATAGTTTATAAGGTATTTCTATATAATAACTACTACTTGGAAATTTGATACAAATATTTTATATGTTTTAAAAGGTTTTAAATCGTTGTTACAAGTTTTATAATGTTTTTAAGTGGTTTCTAAAGTGCTTATAAGGTTTTTAAAAGGTTTTTAAAATGTATTTATAAATTATTTTACGCTATTTATGAAAGATATATAAAAATATAAACATATATAAAGGTAATTTAAAAATTTACACACATATTTGGATAAATTTCAACATTTATAGTAGTTTTTTCATAAAGTTTGAAATAGGGGTATTTTTAAAAATTGGTATGGAAAAGGGATATTTTTGATAAATTAAAAAGTATAAAAATTGATATTTCTAAAAAAAATGTTTAAGCTTATATATTTAGACACAAATTATCTTTCTATGTGTGTAAATTTCAAATACCATATAAATACCTTTTAAAAACATATAAAAACTTTGTAAAACTTATAAAAACCTTATAAAAGTCTTATAAATTCCGTTTAGAACCTTTTTAAAACTTTATAAATATTTTTATTGAGTCTCCCAATAGTAATGATGATCTAGATGTACCTTATAAATTATATAAAAGTTTACAATTTTTCATATTTGAAAAGGAATATTTTTAAAATGGATAGAAAATTAGTATATTTTTAAAAAGGGGTACACCAAAAGGGGTACACCAAAAGGGGTATTTCTCAAAAATTATTTTTTAACTATTGACCTAATTTCTGGTTTTGCGAGTTATAGGTTTTACAATTATAAGGGTTATATGTTGAGTTTATAAATGTGCATTATAGTTTAGATTTTATAATTAAACGAGATTATTTATCGGTTTGGGTTTATTAAAGAGGAGTGAGATTTAGGTTTAAACAAGGTTATTACTCAGTTTGGGTTCATAAAGGAGAATTAGGATTTACAGTTTACAAATAAACTAGATTTTTCAGTTTAACTAAATACATAGTTTTATTCATGATTTTTATTTTATAACATGTTATATTTGTTTAATTTTTTATGTATGAATGTATTATGCCATTGAGCAATTTCATTGTCTAAAACATAAGGGTGAATAAAATACTTTTTAGCTTAAATTAAAGATAACAAAGTTCAATATAAATCGTAATATAGTAATTTTAAAATAATTTTTAAAAAAATATGTAGTTTTTTATAATTCGTATTTGAAGGATTTTTTAATGTTTTCCTCAACAATACTATAATTTATTTTAGAATCTTTATGTTTATTTGCGTTGTTTATATGAAGTTATTTACAAATGACTATATTTGTATTTAACATCATATTTTAGATTGATGTTAATTTGAAAGAACTTTACCATCATATCAAATAATAATTAATTAATTTTCATAGTCTGAGAATGATTTTTTGAAAAATTGAAAGTTAAGAAATAGCAATTTTTACAAAATGGTATAATCATGTTTTAGAATTTTTTAAAATATTTTAGCAATATTATGGTAATGGTGAATAGCTCCCAAATAGCTCCTAAATGTTTTGGTGATTGTCAGTTTGACATTACTAGATTTTTATAATTAACGTCAATAACGAATTTTAAGCGAGAGAGAGAGATATATACACGTTTATTTGAAACTTCAAACCAAATAAAATCTCTTCCCAAATGAAATTAATTTCTCTTATTTTTTCAAAAAAAAATTAGAAATTATTTTTTTTATAAATTATAATAAATTTTAATTTTAATTTAATTTTAAATAAACATAACCCGTCCATTGGACGGGTACTAAACTAGTATATATATATAGGGTGAATTAAATTTTTATACTCAGTTGACTGAAAAATTAAGAATATAGCATTGATAAGTGTATAATTAGTTCTCTCTCATCAACTTGTATAAGTGGACAAAAATATCCTTTTGGATCAAACAAATTATTTAGCGAGATAATGATATAAGTATCGACAATACTGTTTATCAAATACATAAGTAAAATTATGTTATAAGTTAGATGAATAACTATTGAATTACCATGATAACAATATATATATACGTATAAGTTTATAAATATATCGTGTTAAATTGTTTTGTATCCCGATAATTTATGATTTGTGTGATAAGTTTATATTTACCGTGTTAAATCTAAATCCTAACCACTATTTTATCAACTCAAACCGATATATAATTTCGTTTTAATTGTAAAATCTAAACCCTAATCACCTATTTTATCAAACCAAACCGATATATAATTTTGTTTTAATTGTAAAATCTCAACTCTAACCACTATTTTATCAATCCAAACCGATATATAATTTTGTTTTAATTGTAAAATCTAAACCCTAACCACTATTTTATCAATCCAAACCGATATATAATTTCTTTTTAATTGTAAAATCTAAACCCTAACCACTATTTTATCAACCCAAACCGATATATAATTTCGTTTTAATTGTAAAATCTAAACCCTAACCACTCCTTTATAAACCCAAACCGACATATAATTTTGTTTTAATTGTAAAATCTAAACCCTAAGCCCTATTTATAAACACAAACCGATATATAGTTTTGTTTTAATTATAAAATCTAAACATCAAAAATATATTTAACCATGTTTATTAAAAATATACATATTTTGTTTCATTATTAAAGATAATTTATTTGTTAAGATAATATATTATTTTTTAAATGTATAATTATATTAATCGCGCTAACTCAGTTATCAGCTAACTTATGATTATAGGGTTAAAATTGTCCAGAAAAAGCAAAACTAATTATGGAATTATCTTTAACATATAATGAATAAAACTTTTATCTAGGTACATACAATGCAATTTCCCATATATATATATATATATTAATAATATATATCTATGTGTAATAATCTAATGTCAAAATTATCCAATTTTTGTATATTTTGATTGTTTTAAAGTTATAAACTCTTTTTAAATAAATTTAAGTAAAAAATTATGTAGGTTTTGAATTAGTAGTTTGGACATATTTGGATACTCAAATTTTGAATTTTGAGTATTCCGGATAATCCGAACCCGAACCCGAAATATCTGATCCGAACCCGAAATATAAAAATATCCGAACGGGTTTTACATCTCTAAACCCAAAAACCCGAAAATCCGAAATATCCGACCTGAACCCGAATGCCCAGGCTTATCTGGTGGTGGGATATTTTTTTATATTTATATCCTATTTTATTATATACTTTATATTTTCTAAACTCTTAAAAAAACTTTTAATAACCATATTTTCTCAAAAGCTCTGCAAATAGAGTAGAACAACATATAAAAAGTAGAGGTAAGAAAAGAGATCGTGGGGGAGGGTAAATAGACTTAAAGGAAATAATCGAAGGCTACGAATTAGAAATCAAGAATAATATTAGAGGAAGTAAGACATATACGTACTGTGTAGTTTAGGTTTGGAATCAATATTGTTTTGGAGAATGGCGTTAGTTTCTTCCATCTGCATCTCCATTTTGTCATTTATAAAAATAAAATAAAAACTGTGAGAAACACAGAAAAAGAGATGAATATGGGTTTTTTTATTTTCTATGCTATATTCGTAAAACGATGAATTGACATCCTACCAAATTTAAAAAAAACTTAAGGATCTTCAGTGAATCAGCACTAGACTCGAAGGATCTTTAGTATATCTCTATAGTTATTGGGAGCTTCTTCAGCAAAATAATTTTTCAATGGGAACAACTTAGTTCAGATTCTTAGTTACTATGTTCCTTTATTTTTTATTTTTCTCAAACTCACGTAAGAGCTACATAACAGCATGCACAATGTTTTTCATGTAAGAGCTACATATATAATATCTTCCTTAGAAAAAAAAATACATAAAATAAATAAAAAGTTACATCTTGCGAGGGAAGTAGTATAAAGAAATTCAACACAACTGAAATATTAAATATACTTCAAGTTACGGGAATATTTGTTGGATGCCCAATCATCATCACTTCCAAGGATACAAGAGCAAGAACAAAAGAATACTCTGTTGAGCCCTCTGAAATAAGTTGGGAATGGACAACGACGCAGGCATCGAGTGCAAATTGGTCGGGAGAGAGAGATGTTGTGAAAAATCCAAACATGTTCCAACCTCGGCCGGCTACTTCTATATGTAGTGGGGTACGAGTACATAGTGAACTCTATTGGGTACTTAATAGGTTTCATGTAAATATCTATCCCAAGTAGACATTCAACATGAAGAGTCGTACAACATTCATCGCATTTATAAACCGACAACTTCCTCTCTTTTATGCTGCCTTCACAGATCTCACACCAACCTGGTTGACCACTTGCTTCTTTCCCATCATAAATTATGAGAGCGTGAATGTCATGGTTATACCTTACCTTGTATGGGATGGTAACGCAACGAAAACATATAGTATAATCGCATTCCATGCAATTTAGGATTGAAACTACACTTTTGTCTTGACACATTTGACACCATTTCTCCTTTTGTAGATCCCAAGGTAAGAACAAGGGATGTTCGTGGCCTTGATATATAAATGGTTCGATAATCGTTGCACACCGTAGGTCTAGCAAGAAGCTTGTGTCTCCTATACGATGCTCGTAATAGAAGCCAGTACTCTTACGGTTGCATGCACTACAACAAAACTTTTTTATGTTGTTACCAGGTCCTTCGTTGGCAGCATTTAGTGTAAGTGGACGTGGATGTAAGGGATGTCGTATCATCCGTGGAGCATTTGCACAACTTTCATGGAGAATGAAGTCGCAATCCCAGCATGAATAAAATTGACCTTCATAGATGGGAAGGATACACCCTCGACAATAATCATATTCATCATAATCTTCGAAGATGTCAAGTAGCAAACGGTGACTATGAAATGGATGGAGTATTATTCCATCAGCTATCCTCTCGAACGGCTCACCATCATCTATCTCATCCTCTTCTTCGGGTACTCCTTCGAGATTTTCTCCATCCCACACCTTAGGATGTAATGCACATTTTGAATGAACAAAATAAGCATCACATTTTTTGCATGAGTATGCACCATAGTTGTTGTCAACTTGTTGCCGACAAACTCCACAAGAAAGTTTTCCAGATGGAAGAGAAGAGGCAAATGAGATACGGTGGGGGTGACGGGATATTCTTATGACATGTGGGAAACCAATACAATCTTTATGGATTACGAAGACACATTGGATACAGATGTATGTGGGATCAAACTTATTAATCAGACCACAAAAATGGCAAACCAAAGAAGATTGTGTAGGGAAAAAGGTGAGAGGATGGGAAGAGAATGAAAGGGGTGTGAAGGATGTTTGATCTCAAGTGGAGACTCTACGCATTCTTTGTGGAACTTTCTTTTACATTGGAGGCATTGATAATAGCTTGTGGTGAGCCTTTCGTCATCGCATGCACGGCATATGAATGCTCTATAATCAGGTTCTTTGATGGACAAATTGAAAGGGACTAAAGGGAGCTTACAGATACCATAGAGGTTGCAATCGATCAAAGATTCGCCTTGTTGATCGTCTCTTCTTGTACTAGGCGGGAAGTGAGGGGAAGAACTGTACTCGTGAAAGTTATCATCAATATCATCCCTGTCCGCTAGAAACAACACTCGCGCAGTGTTACGTGCAAGAGGCTTCTCTAAACACTGGTTATGAAATTTGTTACGTGCAACGGGACAGAAAAAAAGAGGTTGAAGAGGGTCACTAGAATCCATGGCTAGTGGCTCATTAGAAGAGATTGGATTGTCGTTTGTTTGTGTTAATGTGTATACGAAATATGGTTTGTCATCCATTTCCACCTTACGAAAAATACCCACAGAACTCATGGTTGCTACAATGGTGATTGGGGTATTTGGATTTTTGTTATATTCTTCTTCTTCTTCTTCTTCCCCTTGTATGAAATATATTAGCCAGCCATTTGATATATATAAAACTTGTTAATACAGCTAAACTTGTCATTTTATAACAATGACTTTAATAAGTCGTTCCTTAATATTGATTTTTTTTTTGTTGCCGTCCATTATTGATCCCAAATCGCTGTACAATCTTTTATAGTTTACTTGTACTATATATTTCGACCAGAGAAGAGACCGTTTTATCAGGATCTTGTTTCTAAAGATTAGTTTGAATTGAAAAAATTAAACAAGAAGCTATCTAATTATGTCATCTTAATTACATTTTATATATTCCTAAGTTATCATCTTAATTACATTTTGTTTATTTATATATTCCTAAGTTATCATCTTAATTACAGTTTGTTTATTTACAGATTACAGTAAATCAGTTTTTTTTTTTGTTAAGTCGAATACACAGAAATTTTTCGTACCATATTATTTCCATATATTTAATAGATTAGATTTTAAACTAGATATACACAGCTAACTTTGGTTGACTTGTTATATTCTTTGCATATTATATTGTAAAATCTTCAATCAAATACGAGTTGGCATGTTGTTGAGCTAACTTTAGCTGTATATATATTATAATAGATTTTACCATATAATATGCAAATAATATATGGTCGATATAGTAAATGAAAAAACATCCTCTTCAATCAAATACGAGTTGGCATGTTGTTGAGCTTCGAGAAGAAGGTAACAACTCCTGGATCATCATCATCTTACGTTTATCCTCTGTCTCTGGAGTAGACTGATGAAATAAGATAGCCGCAGTCTCTAAGCAACGAGCATTTCTCAAAATGTACTTAACCACATCTATCTCTGTCTGCGATCCATGTCTCCCTTTCCACTTGAAAGTTTTGAGACTCGACCTCAAACATTCAGGAACATAACTCAGTTGATTCTCCAAGCTAACCAATTGATGATCCACACAACTATCTTTATGATCCTGCGATCAAACATGAGGGATGGTTTTGGCTTGAAGATCAATTTCACTAAGTTAAACCAAAATGAAAAAAGGACTATATCGAAAGAACGACTTACATCATTCAGATCAATCTCTAGCCTTTGTAAATTAGGAGATTTTTCGAGTAACGGGACAAGTAACTTTGACCAATTTGTATCACATAGACAGAGCTTCAAATTCTCAAGCTGGTTGAAGACAATACCCTCACAATTCAAAGCCTGTACGTACATGATAGAAACATAATAAACAAATTACCTAATGTTCTAAAGTGAGATGTATATATATAGATGGATGGAAACAAAATTACCTCGTCCGCATTGACTGATCTTACGCATAACGAAAGCCGCTTGACAGATGTGATTGATCTAATAAAGTTGTTGGTGTCAAGATATCTCGATTCGATATCTGCCTCCTCTAACATAGGCATATCTTTAAAATCGTACGAGTAGCTAGCAACATCTCCACCTCCCCAATCATAATGTGTACATAATTTGAAATACTTCAAAGAAGGAGTGTTTATCACAAGCTCATTAAAATCAACATATGTTGCAATCTTTAAGGCTAGTCTCTGCAAGGACGGGATGCATAAATTCCATGTTATAAAATCCTCGTAATCGGGCCAATTAAAATCCTCTCTAACTCGTTCTATAACTAGATCTTCAAGGACAGGGCAACTAGAAACAAGTCGTTGTATAGAATTCTCATCAAAGTAAGTCACACGTCGAAGGAGCAAAGTTTTCAAGGAAGGAAGATTAGCCAAACGAGGAACATCCACGAGTATGTAGTCTATTAGTTTCAAGACCACTAGCGATTTGCAGATATACACACTACTCGGCAATTTAGTAGCACGGCAGTAAAAGCTAAGGTTGATGCTTAACTCACGGATGGAGCGAGAAACTGCAATTACAATCCACAGTCTGATATCCTTAGACTTAACTGATCTATTCTTCAAGTTTAGACGAAAGGTTTCTATGACGGGAGCTCTATGTAATGGCATATTTAAATTAACAAAATCCCTTAACCAGTGCGAGTGATCGGTGTACTCGTACTCAAGCTTAGGCAACCACATCCAAATAAACTCCCATCTCTTGGACAAAACACTCGTGCTTACAGCAGTTCTTGTCGGAAGAAACATTAGTACCTTCAATAGAAGTTCATCGGGAAACTGGCTGATCCTGTCCATCTCTTCACGTAACATAAACACAACCTTGTAGAAGAAGAGTACACAAAGACGCGAAACCGAAGAAACCCTAATAAAAATCAATGGAAACAGATTTATATGATGAGCACGCTTCATTAGGGCCGGCCGACTCTAACATATTATAGGGCTTTTGGGTCAGTCTATAATTATTTAGTCCTTGAATTAATTATTTCAATGAATAAAATTTATGGAAATTGTGTTTATAAGAAACTTTGGGTATTAAGAAAAAGAAAAAAGTGAAAGCTGATGTGACCAACTGACCATTATTGCAAAAAGAAAAAAAACAAAAACAAAAAAAATATATTTTGTTATATGTTGAATTGTTCGTAGTGGTTATATGTATGTTTGATAAAAATAAAATTCTCCATCAGAAATATAATACAAGTATACCATTTTTTTTAGTAAGTTTTTGTAATACGGATATATAGAATTATCCATTGTAAGATTGTAAGAGAGGGTGTAAGATCAATCTATCAAATGCATGTAGCAATAAGGGTTAATTAGATATAGCTCAAAAGTCATGTAAGAGCTAAAAAAAACAGCATGATCAAATAGCTTCATTTTTGTTTAATTAAAATTCATTATGAAAGATCATCAAAATGTCATATAACAATCAAGAATTGGGAAAAAAAAACCATATAAAATATCAAGATCATCAAAAGATCGTCAAAAAAGGTACTGGTAAAAAACCCTCACTCAAATTCAAATACGAGTTGGCATGTTGGTGAACCTTTAAAAGAGAGTGAAAACTCCTGGATCATCATCTCAATTGGAACTTGTCTCTCTGGAGCGTCCTCAAACACGATCGTCGCAGTCTTTAAGCAGCAAGCATTATTCAAGATATATTTCATCAGATTCCTCTCTTGCTCCGTCGCAAACATCGCTGTCCATTTGAATGTTTCAAGACTCGATAACAAACATTTAGGAACACAATTTAGTTCATCCTGACAGAAAACCAGTGGATCAAGCTGGTTCCATATATGATCCTGAGATCAAACATGTGAGCTTAGCTTAAAGATTAATTGAATTAATTTAAACCATATGAAAATCACTTTAAAGTTATCAAACTTACTTTTTGCGTATAGACTTCCAGCTCTCGTAAATTAGGAGAATCGTTGAGTAATCGGAAAAGTACCTTTGACCAATATACACCACAATGACACAACTCCAGATGTGTAAGCTGATTGAAGACAATACCCTCACAATATAACGCCTGCACACGACGACAAAGGATTCAACATTAAGAAAACATTGTTTAGTAGTGTTCTATAAAATGATGTTAATATGAAAACATACCTCTTGGGTATCGACTCCTGTGCATAAGGAAAGCCGCGTAACGAATGTGATTGATGAAACAAATTTGTCAAAACCAGGGTATATTGAATCAATATACACCTCCTCCAGGTTGGGCATAGTGTTAGAATAAAAGGGGTAATCATCAACCTCCTCAGTAGCACTCTCATCAATAATTTTGAAATACTTCAAAGAAGGAGTACTTAACATAAGCTCACTAAGAGCATTAGTTCCTAATATCTCAAGAGTTAGTCTCTGCAAGGACGGGACATATACCTTCCATGTTCCAAAATGGTCATCTCCACCTCGTTCCAACACTAGATCTGTAAGAACAGGGCAACTGGAAAGAAGCTTGTGAAGAGAATTCGCATTTGAGTAAGTCACACGTCGAAGGACCAAAGTTTTCAAGGAAGGGAGACATGCCATGCGAGGGACATCGATGAGAACCTCGCGTTTTAGTTTCAAGATCACGAGCGATTTGCAGATATACAAACTACTAGGCATTCTAGCAGAATCATCCGTACAAGAAAGGAAGGAAAGACTTAACTCACGGATACAGTGAGAAACTGCAAATGCAACCCATAGTTCGATAGCGTGAGGCTCAACATTTCGTATACAGAGCTTGAGACGCAAGCTTTCTATGACTGGAGCTCGATGTAATGGCAAACTCCAACTTATAAAACGCTCTAACCTTTCACATTCACCATAACGATAGGAACAACCGTACTCAAGTTTAGGCAACCACATCCAAAGATACTCCCATCGCTTGGATAAAATGCTTGTGCTAACTGCAGTTTTAGTTGGGAGACGCAGTAGTATCTTCATAAGTACTTCATCAGGTAACTGACTAATCTTGTCTTTATCTTCACATTTTGTACATTTCTTCTTTCTGCTCATCGTTGATTCTCTTGTCTTTGGCTTAAGCACTTTCTTCTCGAATACGAATCTTGGGGTCTCTCTGAGTAATAAAAAGAACATAAGAAAATATTAGATTGTTAGAAGGCCGACAACATGTTAATCATCTTAATTTAATTTTCATTAAGGTTAGTTATAAAAAAAAATTTGGTCTCAATAAATATCAATTCCATAAGTTTAATCTTAAATGCCCACTCAACATTTAATCAAACAGCAACTGCACATAATTGATACCATATTCAATGTAAAATCTTGCAGCAAACATATATCCCACAAAGGCTTTTAGATATGTTTCATATATTCAGTAAGCCTACTTGAAATCAAACAAAACATTTCATGTGTATCAAATTGATGTCAGATCCATTTCTCTGATTATGTAAAATTCGTAACTCGATCAACTTACCTCATGTTCTCGACGAGAAAGTAGTACCGAATTGCATGAGTTCCTGATTTAGAATCGGATTTGATCTCGCTTGCTTCTCAATTGTGAATTTTGTAGAACCACCACCTACCCTCTTTTATCCATTGAATTCGCCGCTACTTACCCTCTTTTGTAGAACCACCACCTACCCTCTTTTGTAGACTACTCTCTCTCTCTCTCTCTCTCTCTCTCTCTCTCTCTCTCTCTCTCTCTCTCTCTCTCTCTCTCTCTCTCTCTCTCTCTCTCTCTCTCTCTCTCTCTCTCTCCACAGGTATCTTGTTTTATCAAGAAACCCTAGGAACACCTAAATACCCTTTAATTATTTTCAAAACGACGACGTTATTTTGAGAAGAACTAAAACGTCGTCGTCCTATTTTACAAGATAATTGCCGTTTTAAGCAGTCAATAACAGTTTGACTTACTTAAATACAGTCAAAGTATGTGTTAACCAAAATCTAGCACTATCAAACAAAACTTTTATGATTCTTTGGATGGTCCTCCGTGATAGATTGCCAAATTTCCAGTAAAATCTTTAGTAATATTTACAATTTCCGTGCTATTATAATCTGCTATCAATGCACACTTTTTTGTAGCGGCTGAATTGTCTATGATGCTGGAGCTAAACGTTTCATGTGACCGTCTTCTCTATGTTGGAGCTTCAAAACCAAAATCACACTTATTATTCTATATTCTTCTTTAGCTACGGAGGTATAATATTCATTCTTCTTCCATCAAACGCTATCCCAACCCTTCGGTTTCCGAGGATATTATAGACTGGGTACTGGGTACGTACACCGTTCCAAAACTGAAAGCTAACTAAAAATCTATGCAATTTTATATTTTAAAACGATGAAACTCTCTCCCAACCCTTTGATATGTACGTACACCGTTAAAAAAACTCAAAGCTATTTACAATCAAGCGGTAATAGACTCCTATGTCTCAAAAACTATGTTTCAACAGAGGAAACTAGAGCCAGTTTAGATATTACTTAGCCGGTACGGACGCCCGCATCCTCTTCTTCTAAGCCCATGTCTCGAAAGAGCAATTTGTTCACTTGGTTCAGATTTTGGCATTTTTTGTTTTAGTGAACAAGTAGAAAATGGTAATGATTTGCGTAATGTTGAGTAATAATTGATGATGAGAATAGTATATTTTCTAGTCTATGCAAAAACAAAATCCATTATGCATGAAACACAGTATATGATGATCAATCGAAAGTACCAAAAGTATCTATTAGTCTCACTACCGATTTTTGTTGTGTTACGGTCTAACACCTTGGTTCAATTCAGATTCTAAATCCATCCGTAACGCTTCCCTCGTAGTGAGACTAACGTAGTAACATACAATGCAAGGCTCCATGTCTAAGGATACAGAGTATGAAATATATTTTTAAATGACCGGATTTCACAATTAGTGGACTTAATTCTGGTTCGTTGAGCAAAATGTTGTCTTGAGCATCTTTGGCTTCAAGATCTAGATAAAACAAACACAAGCCAAACCCTGAAGCTTATTGCCCACTGAGTACACGTACATGAGCTATTCGTTAATGGACTTTAGTATCTATAAGACTCAATGATCTTTAGTACATCTCAATAGTTATTGGGATTTGGGAAGTTCTTCAGCAAAATAATTTTTCATTGATCAGAATCTTAGTTCAGATTCTTAGCTCTAATATCTTCCTTTATTTTTTCTCAAAAACATATTCAGCATGATCAAATAACTCTATTTTTTGATTACTTAAAATTCATTTTGTAGAAAACAAAAAGAAAAAATTCATTATGCATGAAAAGTAATTTTCAATTATTGTTGCAAACTTGTTCTGGTCCTTTTAGTTAATTTTGATATTGAATAATTAAAGAAATTATTCTTATAAGAAACTTTGGATCTTAACCAAGAAGATGAGACAACAATACACAACTTTAATACAGAGAGGCCACATATGATGATTAACCAGATGCAACACTAATCAAAACCACAGACAATACCAATGATAGTATATACTTACGAACAAACATTTCAATGGAGATAAGAGCGACGAGCACTCTTAGAGAAACATGAGATTATCAATCTGAGCAGGGAAGACAGAGAATGTGCAATGATATGAATCTTTATCCCAAAGTGGTTCCTTCAGCTCTGTGAATATTCCTTCTATGTATACTCTTCTCACAGCATTTTTCTTGATATTATAATAGATAACACTATATGGTTCTTTACAAAATACGAATAAAGGTGCCAAAACAACTTCACCTGCACCATTGCCAAGAAATGAATAGGGAAAAGTTAAAGTCATAACATCTATTAATGTAGGCAAAGCATAACAGTGTTCACTCACAAGCCAACAAAAAAGATCTTACCTCCATTAGCAACACAAAAAGGACGAAAATGATCGTAAGTCTCGCCATCCGATGGAGGCAACACATACTCATTTTTCGACCATTCATGTTTCACAGCATCCTTTAGAACCCACAAATTAAATCTACCACGAGAATCTCCCGTGAACAAGACTGCAAGTGTTCCTTCGTAGCTTGTCAGCCTTAGACACGAGATTCTGCTTGTAATATCTGGTAACTTGATGAGATCAAATTTTTCCGACCGAACATCAAAACACATAACTGCATGAGTCTCTTCATTGTCAAGACAAACACCATAATACAAGACACCATCGATACATATATCAGGAGAATAAGGATGATCAAGAAAATGAAGAGGGTAATCTTGAACAATCCTCCAAGAATTCTCCTTTCCCAATGTCAAAACCCGAAAGCTCTGACCAAAAGCGAAAGCGTCGTCAGGCGTAAAACACAACACTTTGTAATCACCACTGACGGGATCATACCCCAAGAAGTGGTGCATATCTACCCTCTCAGAATCGATCCTAGGCAAAGTAATGGATCCTCTAGTGCTAGGGTTATATACCATGAGTTTAGAAGGATGTCCATGGCAAATCAAACCATGAACAGAGGCAGAATAAGTTGTGTACGGTTGAGAATGGCAATTCATATGGTAAGTTGCTACAAAAGAAGATGAAGATGATGCACCTCGGTTCTGGGGTTGACTCACTGAGAAGAAGAAATGCTTCCAGGTACGTAACTTGGTATCTTTGAGTGTGAAGACGAGGCTTCGGGGACGACTCGAACTCGACTTGACCAAGTACGATTTCATGAAATCTCGGTTGCGGATGATGGATTCACATTCTTTAGATACGCAAAGGAACCTCGCTAGGGCTTTAACGGGTAATCCTTTGAATACTTCAGGGATGAGATCAAACGGAATCTGATCAAAGTTTCCTCTGCTTGTTCTCAAATCAGCTGAGATTTTGCTCTTTTCTACATGTATTTCCATGGCGGAGATACCAACGAACAGTCTCGGTAGCAAATATCTTCTGGACCAAGAGAAGAAGAAATAAATAAGCTGAGATAGTGAGATGGCCCGGGTTTTTATTTATTTGAAATACATTCATACGGTTTGATTTTAGCATAAATCTTATCTTGATGAAAATTTTCTCCTTAATCTCGCATAAAATCTTCTTTTACAACATTACAACATATTAATCTCGCATAAATCTTCTTTTACAACATTACAACATATTTAATAATACTACCTAATATTAAATCTTTTTTTTTTGTCATTTTTAGATTTATTAATATTATTGCAAAATGTTTTTGTCATCTTTAGATTTATTGATATTTTAAATTATGAGAATTATTACATAAACTAGTTTTACATGGAATCGTGTTTACTCTAGTAAAATATTTAGTTCCTTTTGTTTAATATAACCCAAAATAAAATACTTCATTTAAAATATCTTCGATTTCACACGTACGTTTGAATTTATAAAAACACAAATCACATAACCGAATATTTCTTTTCCTGATTTGTTTTAAAGCAATTTTCGTGTACATATATTATATGAGTCTTATCGAGGGACTGGATAGTCCGTGTGTCACATGTGTATAGGGAGGCGAACCACCTTGCGGATGGATTAGCCAACTGTGTGTTTCATTTACCTTTAGGATTTCATATGTTAGATTCTGTTCCGGTTGGTTTGGCGGCTTCACTTGAGGATGATGACCGAGGGACTGTGTTTCCAAGGCATATCCGAACTTAGTTTTTTCTTCTTTTTCTTAATAAATTGACGGGGTTTTACCCCGGTCTACTACCAAAAGGAAAAAAATTATATGAGTCTTTACAATCCATTTGTCGAAGCGTGCAGGATCTAAAAATTGGGAAGCAATAACTTCCAAACTATCAACACATGTATTGAGATGATCAACAAGGTTCATGTAAATGAAAAATTTATAGTAGGATGAGTTGTTGAACCTACGGTCGTACAATCTCAATATACCTACGCGGTCTTCAAAGATGACTTGTCAATCATCTTAACTATCTCTTCAGCCCACTTGTACAAATGTTGACGGGCCTGTATTATCGGATCGGCCCATATGTGCAAGAAGGCCTAGTCCATGTTACTTGGATTAGAAGTTAGCGGTTTTGGTATTTTATGTTTTCGGTTTTGATTTTTGGTTCTTTTGGATATTTACGATTTATGATTGGTGTTATCTCTTTTAATCTCTCCTTATCCTCCTAGGAATTCTTGTAATGTTTTACTAAAAGCCAAAAAGAGGTAGTCATAACTACCATTGAAAAATCTTGTGTCTTAGTTCTTTACAAACTCTTGATTGAGACCTATTAATTGTTTTCCAGACCATTGAGCCAATGACTAACAAATTAATGTTTACTCTCGTAAGTCATTTAATTCTAAGTGTCCCAAAATAAATTACTTCATTTAAAAGATTGTAAATTCCTTACGTACGTTTGAATTTATAAAGAAAAAAAGAAAACCAATTTTTCTTTGATCACATAATTATAAGTCATAACAAGTGCTTTATCGAAGCCAATATCTAAATATTGGGAAGCAACTTCCAAACTATCAACACATGCAAATATGCAATAATGAAAATTTTATAGTAGTATATGAGTTGTTGAACCTCTTAAAAAAAGTAACAACTCCTGGATCACCATCTCACTCTGTCTCTTTAGCAGACCGAAACAAGATTGTCGCAGTCTTTAAGCAATGAGCATTTCTCAAAGTATATTTTGAGAGATTTATCACTTTTGGCGATCCTTGTATATATCCCTGTCCACTGGAAAAATTTGGGACACTTTAAAAGAAACATTTAAAAACACAATTCAGTTGATTCTCCCAGCAAACCAGAGGATCCACAAAACTCTTTGTTTGATGTGTGATCTTCCTTACTAGTGTTTTTAAGAAACCATTAAGGCGATATTTATTGCAAAAATCAAGCAAATGTAATGTTTCAATTGTCATATTACAAAGATCTAACTAATCAGGTTTTAGATGTGTCCTGGACCATCATAGTAAATTAAACGACCGATCTCTTTGATTCTGTGTTCTATTTGGTTTACCACGTTGTAGCTTCGATTGTTGTCTGAATATTCTTCAATGTAGGTCACCTCTCGATCAACGTGATAATTACCATCAAGTATGGAAATGCGTTTCATATATGCATCGTACAGTATTTTCAAAATTGGAAAAATCCAAATCCCATTTGTGGACTCAACTGTGCTGCAGTGTAAACTTCGCCTCCCCATTCGACATAGGTTTGGCGAAACCTGTTCGATGGCCAAAATCCAACTTCTATTGTGTTTAAACCAAACTGAACCCACCAATTCCCGTTTGCTTGGTCCTGTTACAAGAAAATCATAAGTAAATTTTAACATTAAAGTAAATAATCATACAAAATTATTTGTGATCAATAAGTTCGGTGGATTCCGTGCCTATATCATAACCGTTTACAAGTTAATAGGTTAACTACAACATAACTTTTATCTACGGTAAAAAAACTTATAGTTAAAAAAATTATATGAATTATATCTATTACTAGGATCACTTTACCCCAAATTAGGGATGAGATTAATCATGGACCAAGTTACATAAAACCAAATCCCTACTATAGTAAAAGAGAAGTACAAAAACAAAACAAAAATGGGTCTGGTCAAAATTGAAAAAATAACCCGAAATTCTAATGATGGATACTTAATTTTTGGACTAAAATTCGGGTATGTATATATCCTTTTTTTTTTGTCTTTTGTATGTATATATCCATTAACTATTAAATTCCGAAAATATAAACATCATTTTTTTAAAAATCAGTTACTAAAAATTCCCCTTATTTAGGAAACTATAATAATTATACATGCATATATTTAAGAAATCTAAATTAATTGTTCAAATCTATTATATTACGTAAACGTTTTTGTACTTCTCTTTTACTATAGTAGGGATGTTCAAGTATATTTGAATACCTTATTACCGTCTAATAGTAATAATAAAAAAAATCTTACCTATTAGAATCTTTATTTTCAAATACTACTATATATATAGGGGACAAATCTCTCGAAAAATAATTAAAAGCATTTGTATTATATGTTTACTGATTAATATATTAACATATTGTGTAAGTACCTTATTACTGTGATATATGTTTATTTGTTGACTGTTGAATCTATTTAATTGTGTTTCAATTTAATAATTATCACCATAAAAGTCTTTCCAAAAATATGTTTAGTCAACAGTTTGGAATTTGTAAGAACATATGTAAACCAATATATATATCTTCCTTCCATCAAATTGATCAACTCATGTTCTCTCTCTCTCCCTCTCTTTCATTCTCTCTAATGTTGATAAAAATGGGAACGAGAGGTCCTGTGATATGGTTGTTCTTAATGTGTTGCATCTTTGGTCACATAATTGTAAGTCATAACAATGGTTTTGTTGAAGCCAAGAGATTTTCTAAATTCGAAGATTTGGAAATCGAGAAGAGGCTCAAGGATATAAACAAACCCGCTGTCAAGATCATCAAGGTTTTTATTTATATATATCTTCACAATCTTGCTTTTGTTCTCCTTATATATACTATACACTTAAGTCATATATGTTAATCTCTTTATATGGATATAAAACAATAGACTATAGATGGAGAAAGCTACGGGTGTGTGGATTTCTTCAAGCAACCAACATTTGATCATCCTTCTATGAAAAATCCCGCAAACCTTAACAAGGTATAATTTCTGATCAGATCAGCTCTTGTATATATGAAAACATAAAAAAAGAAAAGAAAAAGTAATATGTTTGTGGTGTCTGACATGGTTTAGATGCGTCAATTTTGGGAAGAAATGAGCAATCAGACAAACGATGGTGAATTTGGTTACTTATGGGAGAATGGTGTTGGTTGTCCCATTGGTACGGTCCCGAGACAAATAGTCACCAAAGAGGATCTTTTGAGATTAGACTCATTGGACGATAATCATAAACCCCGAGCCTCTTGGAACACTACCAGTGACGATCCTAATAATCAGCATTACGACCAACATCATGTAAGTTGATTCTTTTAATTAGAAAAAACAAGAATATCAAATAACCTTTTGATATATTTATAATGATAATATTCTTTGTTGGGATTAGTTTGCGGTAGCTTATACGAAGAACATAGGAAAGAGGTTCCATGGAGCAGCAATGGGACTATGTATAACCGCGCCTAAGGTTGAGCCGACACAATTCAGTTCTTCTCGACTTCACATGCAGATCGGAAGCGGATACATCCAAATCGGTGTGACTGTAAGTCATCACTTAGTTTATTTATTCTGCACTGAGCTACTGAGCTATATATACATTGTCCATTTTATAAATTTATAAATCATGAATTATATATTGTCTAACAAATAGTTTAAATTCATTAATTCAGGTAAATCCAGTATTGTACAAAGACGACCAACCTCGGACTTACGTCTATACAAATGTATATCATTCAAATCCTTCTAGTAAATTCTCTTTAAAATATACATATGAAATAATGTATAATGATATTGGGACAGACAAATGGTGCATCATGTTACAATAATTACTGCAGAGTTGGGATGGACGGCTTTCGACCAGACTTTCCACTTGGTATGGCGCTGAAGCCAGTGTCTGTCCGTGGTGCTGATGTGACTCACCTTCGTACCTTCCGTCTAGCAAAGGTTTTTCTCTTTCTTAGTACTTGCTCTTTTTTTTTGCCTTTGTTTAAATTTCTGAGCAGTGCATGCGACTAAATATTCAATATTAACCAACTGTTTTCTGGTGACAAGTGGAAAAGTATGGCTGTTTGGTGGTTTGAATTTGGTAAAAAACTTTCACCGGTTGGACTTTGGCCGGATTATTGGTTTAATCAAACCTATGGAAATTATATCGAGTGGGGTGGAGAAGTGTACAGCGCAAATCAGCCTAGTCCTCCAATGGGATATGGATATTATCCAGTTGGGAGCAACCGTTGGGATGCATATATGCAACACATATCCGTGGTCGACACTTATTTTGACATAGACTTCAATGTGAACTATCTCGAAGACTTTAATTCGAAAGGCTATAAAGTGAGAGAGTCGACAGATCCTATACATCATGGCGGTCATGTAATCTTTTATGGTGGTCCAGGCAATATATGAAAGTGATTAGATCTTTGTAATACGCAAACTTAAAACATTGTATTGACTTTACCTTTACAATAAATAACGCCTTCACAGGTTTCTTCTAAATAAAATCCGAACACATATATATTAAGTTCGACTAAGAGTCAGTTCCCGGCGATGTCATAAGGGAAATATTTCAAAAAATTTAGAATAACATATTTCTTGAATTTAAAAGCAATGAAATCATTTGAAAATGTAGACTACGAATAAAACTATGCACTATTACAAACAGTCGTGTCTATTTAATTATATATATCTTTTTAACTATAACTTATTTTACGGAAAGGTACAACGAAAAAATCACAATTGTTCTTGATATTTATTCATATTTATATTATTGTTTAGATTGGTACATAATTTTTTGGAGTGTATGTTTCTTTTTTCTTCCAAAATCTCTATTCAAACTGCACTGTGCGTCATATAAGTTCACCACAACTCCGACTTCTCGAAAATTAGACTCTACTTCTTATGGTGTGTTTGTACTTGAAGTTTTAAATTTATTACATAGTAGTAGTAAAAGTAACGGTTGAGATAGAAGACTTTTGAAGTTATAAGAAAACAAAATTTATTGGAAACATATTTTGGTTTATAGTAAAAAGTTGCGACAATTTTTTTCTAAAGAGTTATTTTTAAAAACATCTTTTGATTCCTTTAATGTAACGTAAACATACACCTCATTTTGTATTTTGCAGATTTACTTCTTTTTTTTATTTGGCAGTTTTTTTTTATGTGGTAAAATGTTGTGTAAAGAAGGAAGACATTGATTTTTTTTCCATTTTAATGTAAAAGTAATATCTTTATTAGAATCTTTATTCTCAAATACTATTATATATAGGGGAAAAATTTCTCGAAAAATAATTAAAATCAGCTGTATTAGATGTTTACTAATTAATATATTAACATATAGTGTAAGTCTCTTATTAGTTGACTGTTGAATTTATTTTATTATGTTTCAGTTGAATAATATATATCACCATAAAAGTCTTTCCAAAAATATATTTAGTCAACAGTTTGGAATTTGTAAGAACATATGTAAACCACTACATATCTTCCATCCCTCAGATTAATGAACTCATGTTTGTTTACTCTCTCTCTCTCTCTCTCTTTCATTTTCTCTCTAATTAATGTTGATAATAATGGGAAGGAGAGGTCCTGTGATATGGGTGTTCTTAATGTGTTGCATCTTTGGTCAAATAATTGTAAGTCACAACAATGGTTTTGTTGAAGCCAAGAGATTTTCTAAATTTGATGATTTAGAAATCGCGAAGAGGCTAAAGGCTATGAACAAACCCGCGGTCAATATCATCAAGGTTCGTTATATATCTTCAAAATCTTGCTTTTGTGATATTTATATAAACTATACAATTAAGTCAATTATGTTAATCTCTTTATATGGCTATAAAACAATAGACTATAGATGGAGAAAGCTACGGGTGTGTGGATTTCTTCAAGCAACCAGCATTTGATCATCCTTCTATGAAAAATCCCGCAAACCTTTACAAGGTATAATTTCAGATCAGCTCTATTACATATCGTATATTAACTCTTGTATATATGAAAACATAAAAAGTAATATGTTTGTGGTGTCTGACATGGTTTAGATGCGTCAATTATGGGAAGGAATGAGAAATCAGACAAACGATGGTGAATTTGGTTACTTATGGGAGAATGGTGTTGGTTGTCCCATTGGTACGGTCCCAATACAAAGAGTCACCAAAGAGGATCTTTTGAGATTAGACTCATTGGACGATAATCATAAACCCCGTGGCTCTTGGAACACTACCAATGGTGATCCTAGTAGTCCTATGTATTACGACCAACATCATGTAAGTTGATTCGTTTAATTAAAAAAAAAGAATACCAAATAACCTTTTGATATACTAATTATAATGATAATATATATTCTTGGTTGGGACTAGTATGCGGTAGCTAGGACGAAGTACACAGGAAGGAAGTTCCATGGAGCAACAATGGAACTCTGTATAACCGCGCCTACGGTTAAGCCGAGGCAATACAGTGCTACTCGAATTCACATGCAGATCGGAAAGGAATTTATCCAAGTCGGGTTGACTGTAAGTCATGAATTTTGCCACTGTGTTACTGATCAGCTCTATTTACTTTTATTTATTTTATAAATTTATAATCATGAGTAATGTATTTTTACTAAATATAATTGAAAATAACACAAATATTATTCACTAATTCAGGTAAATCCAGTATTGTACAAAGACCACCAACCTCGGACTTTCGTCTATACATATGTATACCATTCAAAACCTGCTAGTAAATTATCTTTCAAACTTACCATTTTGTTTTTTGATTATACATATGAAGTAGTGCATATAATGATGGGACAGGTACATGGTAAATCATGTTACAATAGTTACTGCACCACTGGGATGTCAGTCGTTCGTAGAGACTTTCCACTTGGTACGGCAATAAAGCCAGTATCTGTCCGTGGTGCTAATATGACTTACTATGGAACCTTCCGTCTAGTCCAGGTTTTTTTCTTTCTTTCTTACCCTTTTTTGCCTTTGTTTAAATTTCTGAGAAATGCGACTAACCATTCGAAATTAACATAATGATTTCTGGTACCAGGACAACAAATATGGAATTTGGTGGTTTCAATATGGTAAAAAGGCTTTAGATGTTGGAATTTGGCCGGATTATTGGTTTGATCAAAGCTATGGAAATTTGATCGAGTGGGGTGGAGAAGTGTACAGCGCCTATCAGCCTAGTCCTCAAATGGGATATGGATATTTTCCTGTTGAGAGCGTCCGTTACGATGCGTATATGCAACACATATCCGTGCTCGACAGTAATTTTAACATAGACCGCAATGTGAGCTATCTCGAAGACTCTTCGGATGCCACTCGAGGCTATAAAGTGATAGACTCGACAGATCCTAAACATGAAGGCGGTCATGTAATCTTTTATGGTGGTCCAGGCAATATATGAAAATGATTAGATCTTTGTAATATGAAAACTCAAAACATTATATTGACTTGACCTTTACAATAAATAACGCCTTCACAGGTTTCTCCTAAATATAATCCGAACAAATATATATTAAGTTCGAAGTAAGAGTCAGTTCCCGGCGATGTCATAAGGGAAATATTTCAAAAAATTTAGAATAACATATTTCTTGAATTTAAAAGCAATGAAATCATTTGAAAATGTAGACTACGAATAAAACTATGCACTATTACAAACAGTCGTGTCTATTTAATTATATATATCTTTTTAACTATAACTTATTTTACGAAAAGGTACAACGAAAACATCACAATTGTTCTTGATATTTATTCATATTGATATTATTGTATAGATTGGTACATTATTTTTTGGAGTGTATGTTTTTTTTTTCTTTCCAAAATCTCTCTTCAAACTGCACTGTGCGTCATATAAGTTTACCACAACTCCCGACTTCACGACAAGACTCTACTTCGTATGGTGTGTTTGTATTGAAGTTTTAAGTTTAGTACATAGTAGTAAAAGTAACGGTTGAGATAAAAGACTTTTAAAGTTATAAGAAAACAAAATTTGTTGGAAATGTATTTTGGTTTATAGTAAAAAGGTGCGATAATATTTTTCTAAAGTATTATTTTAGAAAACATCTTTTGATTCCTTTAATGTAACGTAAACATACACCTCATTTTGTATTTTGCAGATTTACTTCTTTTTTTTATTTGGCAGTTTCTTTTTTTATGTGGTAAAATGTTGTGTAAAGAAGGAAGACATTGATTCTTTATTAATTTTTTCCATTTTAATGTAAAGTAAAATCCAGTCAAATTTATTTTTGTAAAGAAACAAAAGTCAAATTGTCCATATGAAAAATTTAAAGTAAAAAAAAAAAAAGAGAGAGTTAAATTTTTAACTCCGACAACAACCCTAGATATTTTCTTTGTCTCTAAAATAATCTTTTGTATCTCCTCGTAATTAACTACATCAAACATATATATATAAACCTCCATAGTCTTCTTGCTTTACTCATCATACATGTGATGATGTGAAAGCATCTCAAGTCTAAAAGCACTCTCTCTTTTTTTTTGTGTTTCTCTTCTTCACAAAAGAATCAAACTCCTTCTTCTTTAATTATTATCTAATCCATGGAGAAATCACTATTATCTTCTGATGCACGAGGAAAAGGTGTCCTTGTTGATGAGGTGGTCAAAACCGATGATGATCGAATCAGCATACTTCCCACAGATCTATTGCTTAAGATCTTATCGAGCCTGACTATAGAAGAAGCTGTTAGAACAAGTGCTCTATCAAAGCGATGGATGAATGTGTGGAAGGAGACGGCTGATCTCTGTGTGGACATGCGATATATCACTCTATCCAAAAATATTTTCATCGATGTTAGTCCTTATGCCGCTAGATGGATGACAAAGGTCCATTTCTTTTACTCTAACATTTCTCTTACAGTTTTTAATTTGTTTGATAAAAAAATTCACAAATAAACAAGTAGATCAAGGTATGTACACACATATTGTATGATTTAGGTTGATGTTATATTACAAACCCTTAAGATAATCCATGAATCATTTGATCTCAATTGTTAGTTTTATTGTTGAAGTGGATAATCAAATTTTAGATCACCAACGAATACGTTTTATTTTAAAATTCGCGCCTTTAAATAAAAGATAAAGATTAACGCCGTTTTTTTATTGAGGTTAACGGTTTTTAATGATAAGGTTAATTAACGATATTTGCCGCGAAAACAAATTTATTTTTTTCAAAATTTTATGATCAATGCATTTGAAATTGAGTATCTATAGTAAACTTTTTATTATTTTATGGTGAATGTATATATGATCTCTTTCCTTGTTCCACCTAATTGAATGTATTGTTGTTAGATTTAAAGAGTTATATTTTTTCTTCGTAATTTATTTGTACTTTCCTTTAATTAAAGAAGTGTCCACAAAGATTCATATGTATATCTATCTGTTCTAACCATTTTCACATATTCTAATTAAATAACTCTTTGGCCTTGTAGGTTATAAACGATCACAATGGCCGTTTCGAACGAGTCACAATCAACCATTACCCATACCAATGTGAAGATGGGACGGTCGAAGCATGGATTCACTCACTGATTCATGTGAAACATGTCAAGCATCTCAACCTAGTAAACTATATTATCCGTTTCATTGCAAAAACCAAAACCAACTATACACTTGACTTGCCTCCACAGTCATTTTCTCATCCAAACCTCGAATCATTCTATCTTGGTCGGTATAACTTAAAAGATCCACATGCTTTCCGAAGCTGCTCGAATCTAAAGAGTCTAAAACTCGTTGGAGTTTTCGCGGAGATCGAAGTCTTTAATGCAGTGCTCCTGTCTTGCCCTTCTCTCCAAGTGCTCGTTGTAAAGATCAACTGCTATGAACAAAGTGGTCCTCTCATCATTGGCAACCGCAACTTAAAGTTCTTGTACTTATCCGGTTATCAGATTGATGGATTTGAAGTGGTTGCACCTAGTCTGGAGATCCTGACCGTCCAATCTCTCTCGTGTGAGATGGATAAGTTTGTCATGACAAACCCTAGACTCCAGTTCAGTCGAAACTATTGGGCAACTGGACAGTTATATTCTCACACCAGCTACTGTATATCATGCCCTCCTCAGGTATATATTTCTTTTGCTTGCAATTTGATTTTGATAGTAATGATGTTAAAACTTAGTTTGATATTTTTGACATATATATGAATCTAAGGATAAAAGCAGCATCGGGCATGAAGTCATGATCAGTGCATCCAGTGAATATATGCAACGTTCTGCATCGATGTCAGTGAGTTTAGACTTAACGAATGCAAAAGAGGTAGATATGCTAAACGAAGTTTTATCTGTATGGCCTGTAGAAATGGAAGAGCTCGAAATTGTATTTAAGGTATGTTATATAATCTCATGTGTGTTCTAATTTTAACTGGATTGAATTAGCTAATCTTTTTTATTTTTCTAGCAACGTTGGCATGTATGTTATATATGTACATACATGATATTTTCCAAAGGTCCATACATGATTTTTTTTTTTTTTTTTTTTGGGTGTATATATAGAATAACAATGCTCCCATGGAAGAACTTGAGTCCTGCATCGGAAGTACAAAGAGGAACTTTTGGGAAGAGACAAAACCGTTTCCCAGCCGTTACTTCCGTGCGTATACCGTATGGCTGATTAACTTTAGCGGTTCTAAAGAAGAGTTTGCTCTAGCTTCGTGCTTGATAGCGCAAGGAACAGTGGTCAAGAAAATGTTAATCAGACCTTCGTCGATTCCTCTGAGTAACAAGTTCGAGATAGAAGAGGCAGTGACCAGGCTAAACGAACTTCCAAAATGTTACACAAAACTTAGTATCACAACGTTCTGATGGAATTTGGTTCGAATCTAGCTATTGGTGATATAAAGAAAAAAAACCTTTTATGATTTGCTGTTTAATATGAAAAATTATGTAGTGTCCGCTTTCAAGTACTTCTTTTGGCATTTGATTTTATGTTTCATATATTTGGGATCTAAATTGTATCAATCAATTTGAAACTTATCTGATTTTCTTGATGAATTATTTATATTTTTTACTGCATATGATTTGTTTTACCCCTATTTTGAAGTCTTTGAAATAGTCCACATGTCTTTGAGGCTTTGACATAGTCCACATTTATAAGAGACTTCATTAAAGTTATGTTAAGGATTCTAAACAACTTCATTAAAGTTAGCGTCTAAATTTGATTAATCGGAGCTTAGGCCAGGCCTAGCAAGTTAGTAAATTATTTATTACTTAAAAAAAAAAAAATCAACATTTTATAACAAACATGATCTAAAAAATAAATGCTATAAGTGATTACATATATTCACACATAAGTTTATATGAGAACTAAAATAATTTGTTCCGATAAATATAAAATTGGAATTGTATATAAAATAATTACAATTGTATTAAAAAGCCTGGAGATCATTACTTTTTAATTAATGGCATTGAAGTGTTCATAGCTTAAGAAGCCTGGATATCATTACTATTATCATTTATCTCAATATTCCCCAATAATATATAGGGGATAACCGGATTAGTCTCTCGAAATATAATCGAAATCAATTGTATTATAGGAAGACTGAAAATAAATTGATATTAGACTTAAGATTTGATTAAAAGATGAGTTTCAAGCTAGTAGAAAAAGTGTCTCAAGAAATATGTGTGTGACATAAGGTTTTTTTTCCGGATAACAGCATAAATGAACTCAAGAGATATCTGAAGTGAAAATTTGGCATTGGTAAGATCCAAAAAGAGTGCAAAGATAGATTTCGGCTTTGAATTCATAAGAAGAATCTCATGGGACGTTTTCAAGGACCAAACAATTTGTAAAACAAGAAGCATCAATGTATCGCAGAAGCAGAAAAAAAAAACTCAATTTGTAACAAATAATGGATAGGAGTTGAAGTTTTGGATTAGAATTCTAGCATGTTAAAATATAACTAAACACAAAATGTGATTAATCGGACGAAAACTAGATTTTCAGCGTATTATAATTATTTAACGAAAACATTTTATTTAGTCATATTATTCTGCTAACAATTCTTCATATATTCTGTTATTTTCCTATTTTTATGACATATCAGTCAATATGAATATTGATCAATAATTAATATATTAACATATAAGCCTCTCAGGAATTGTTATTCAAATTAGTATCTAAGGAATTAGTAAGAAGAATCCGTTGAATCCTTAAGTACATGTCTTTTGAGAAATTATTTTGGTCAAAAGTCTGGAATTTTGTAATAACAATATATTTTATTCCTTAATCAGCATCCTGATCAACCCTTCTATATATTAAACCTCTATCTTTTCGTCCCACAATTTCAATCAACTCTTCCTTTGTCTTTTTCTTTATTTCTCTCTATTGTTGATCAAAAATGAAAGTGCCAGTGACATGGGTGTTCTTAATGTGTTGCATCTTTGGTTGCCTAAGTATAATTCATAACAATGAATTCGCCGAAGCCAAGAGATTTTCTAAATTTGAAGATTTAGAAATCGAGAAGAGGCTAAAGGCTATGAACAAACCCGTAGTCAAGATCATCAAGGTATTCACATATTTTTCACAATCTTGCTGGTATTCTCTATTATAATTTACAAATAAGTATATATGCTAATCTCTATTATTGCTGCAAATAATAGACTATAGATGGAGAAAAATATGGATGCGTGGATTTTTTCAAGCAACCAGCATTTGATCATCCTTCTATGAAAAATCACACATACCATTACAAGGTATAAAATATCACTATATCAGTTCTATATGCTTATATTCTCTTTATTAAGAACATAAAAAGAATCGGACAGTATAATATGTTTGTTGTGTTCGACATGTCTTAGATGCGTCCAATATGGAAGAGAATGATGATAGAAAAAAAGACAAACAATTCTGGATTTGGTTACTTATGGGAGAATGGTGTGGGTTGTCCCATTGGCACGGTCCCTATAAAAAGAGTCACCAAAGAAGATCTTTTAAGACTAGACTCATTTGGTGATGATTATAAACCTAGTGGCTCATGGAACACTACTGCAGATGATCCTAATGATGTTCTCAATTACAAGACACATCATGTAAGTTGCTTCTTTTATAATCAAAACAAGAATTCTCAAGATTACATTTCTGATATATTTATAATGATAAATTAAAACGTTTTGGGTTTCAATATAAAAATGAATGGGATTAGTATGCGGTGGCTCGATCAATAGACCCAGAACAGAGGTTGAATGGAGCAACAATGGAACTTTGTATAGCCGCGCCTAAGGTTGCGCCAACGCAGTTCAGTACTTCTCGACTTCACATTCAGATGGGAAAGGAATTCATCCAAACCGGTTTTACCGTAAGTTACTTTCAGTACTCATAAAACCACTACTACTATATAGTTTATTTATTTAATTACTTGAAAATATATATGTATATTACAATGTTTGATAAATAGTTGAATAAAAGAACACAAATGTTATTTACAAATTCAGGTAAATCCAGGATTGTACAAAGACCACAAACCTCGGACTTTCGTCTATACAAATGTAAGTCATGAGTCACATCACGCTACTAAAATTATCTCTTTCGAAATTTATCATTATGTTACGTTATTGACTATATAATATGTATGAAGTAATTTATTTTATTGAGATATATAATGATGGAACAGGCAGGTGGGAAATCATGTTACAATAGCAACTGCGACGTTGGAATAATGCTCGTTCGTCAAGATTTTCCACTTGGTACGGCATTAACGCCAGTATCTGTTCGTGGTGATAAGATAAGTCACTATGGAATCTTTGGTCTAATCAAGGTTTTGCTCATTTCCTTATCCTCCTATCAAAAAAAAAAATCATACTATTTGGTTCACCCATTACAAAGTTTTGCTCGGTATGTAATATCAAACTTTACCTATATTATGTTTGTGGGATAACAGGACCAAAAAAATGGAAACTGGTGGTTGCAATTTGGTGATCAGGGAGAAGAAGTTGGATTTTGGCCGTCGACTAGGTTTCGCGAACACTATGGGAATTTGGTCGAGTGGGGTGGAGAAGTGTATAGCGCATCACTACCGAGTCCTGAAATGGGATATGGATATTTTCCTAAGGAAGAGGAAGCTTATGATGTATATATGAAACGTATATCGGTACTCGACGATGGTTATAACGTAGACCGAAGTGTGGACTATCTCCAACAATTTTCAGACGACGAACGCGGCTATAGAGTGATAGACGACACCAAGATTTCCAAATACCCTCGTGCCGGTCATATTGTCTTCTTTGGTGGTCCGGGAAAAATATGAAAAAGGATTAGATCTTTGTGAAATTCAAATGAAAACGTTACATTGACTTGATTATTCAGTGAATTATATCGCCTTTATTGGGTTCTTTATAACAAAGTTTTAATTAATTGAACTGAATTGGTCCGGTAAATACATAGCCAAGTCCACATAAAAAAATTTCATAAACCAATTCTCTTTGTTTTTGTTATTTATTCAACCAAAAACCATCCTCTATACTTATTAGATTTATCTGATTTTTTTAAATTAAAATGGATATCTCAGTGTAAATATTCTAGTAGAATAATCTCTAATACTTAAGAAAAATTAATACAGCAGAAACTATAAATACACTTATCAATCAAATCTTATCCCAATTTTTTAGATTTTTGTTTTATTTTCTTTTAGACATGTTAAATGTATTTGAAAAAAAAAATTATCCCATATGTGTGTAATAGATAAACATAAGTATGTTAATAAAAATGTTGAACAATAAAAAATAAGTTAATACAACTAATTAAAGAAGGTCTAAATATTTTTGAATTTTGTAAATTATACTATTACAAGATCTTGATTTATTTTTCCATATTTTAGGACATATTATAAGATTTGAATCATCTGATCTTTAATTTGACTGGGGATATGTACTTGTATCTATTATACATTCATAATTTATGGATTTGGCTTCCATATACCCTGTTTATGAATAACCAATATTCAATGATTATAATCAAATGTAATTAAAACCTCCAATATAAATAAATCTCTACAGCATAAATACATTGTCAAGATAATATCTCTCTTACACACAAATATATATAATCATGTACTAGCAACTTCACATAATGAGAATTCTAATCAACAATTAAAAGTCTGGACAATGGCTTCCCTTGGTTTGAGTCTCTGTCTTTTCTCCGTTCTTCTCATGAGCCTTTGTCAAATTCCTACAGCTATCGAAGATGAAAGAAAGGCAAGTCATTTCTGTTTTGTCTCGTAACCATAATAACTAATCTACGGTCTTAATAAATTTGTATTGGTCTGTGACATTTTGGAGCAGGTGTATATTGCGTACATGGGAGCTCTTCCTTCAAAAGCTTCTTACTCTCCTATGTCTCACCATCAGAATATCCTTCAAGAAGTTATCGAATCAAGGTTTGATATAACAATCTTAAATTTCTCATTACTAAAACCTGTTTCTTGTTGTTTACGTTATAATTTTTTCTATTTTTAATCTGCAGTTCCGTTGAAGAGTCTTTGGTTAGAAGCTACGGAAGAAGTTTCAATGGTTTTGCAGCCAGACTTACTGAATCTGAAAGAGATAAACTTATGGGTGAGTGTGTTTTTATGATTGTAACAGATTATATATGAGACTCTCGTCATGATGGTTATTTGATGATAATGTCATGTGTGAATTGAAGGCATGGACGGTGTGGTTTCGGTTTTTCCAAATACCAATTATAAGCTTCTTACAACAAGATCTTATGAGTTCATGGGACTTGGTGACAAGATCAAGCATGCCCCTAATGTTGAGAGCAATATAATAATTGGTGTAATCGACACCGGAGTCTGGCCTGAATCCAAGAGTTTTTCAGATAAAGGCATCGGGCCAATACCAAAAAAATGGAAAGGAACTTGTTCAGGAGGAGCTAATTTCACATGCAATAGGTAAGTAGCATTTTCACATATTCTTCTCAAAGTTTCTTGTGTTACACGAAAGGATCAAAAGATAAAGATTAATAACCCTAATCCAAATATTACAGGAAGTTAATTGGAGCACGATACTATGTGCAGAATTCAGCAAGAGACACTGACGGTCATGGGTCACACACGGCTTCAACAGCCGCAGGAAACAAAGTAAAAGGAGTGAGTGTCAACGGTGTGGCACAAGGAACTGCGAGAGGCGGTGTGCCTTTAGGTAGAATTGCTATTTACAGAATTTGCGAGCCAGCAGGATGTAATGCCGCGTCAATGTTAGCTGCGTTTGACGATGCTATAGCGGACGGAGTGGATGTTATAACCATTTCTATTGGAGGAGGTGTTACTAAACTTGATATTGACCCTCTCGCTATTGGATCATTTCACGCGATGCGCAAAGGGATTGTTACCACAGCTGCTGCCGGGAATGATGGCCCTAAACTTGAAAAAGTGATTAACATTTCACCGTGGCTCATAACCGTTGCAGCAGGTACAATTGATAGAAAGTTTGTTACTAATGTGGTTACTGGAGAAGGCAAAACCATACCGGTAAGTAGTTTTTCTCATGTTTTAGTTGATATATATTGTCCTCAATCATGGTGATTAAGTATGAACGTACAGGGAAGATCGATCAATGACTTTGACTTAAAAGGGAAGAAGTATCCGTTGGCATACGGGAAAACTGCCTCAAATACCTGTCCAGAAGAGAAAGCAAGGTAACTTGTGTCTCAAGGACTCCACAGCGCCCTAACTTGTGACTCAAGCATTTTTCATTTTATGGATATATCTTCATTTACTGGCATTCATTCTCTTGTAGGGCTTGCGCCAGTGGTTGCCTGAACACGGTACAAGGAAAGATTGTTGTGTGCGACAATTCAAACAATGTTATGGAACAAAAAGCCGCAGGTGCAGTTGGAACTATCCTTCATGTAACCAATGTTGATACTCCTGGTCTTGGTCCTATTGCGGTTTCAACCTTGGATGATACCAATTATGAAGCATTACATTCTTACGTTCTCTCCTCACCGTAAGAATTTTCTTCGCTAGACACTCTTTTAATTAGATATTTTTTAAGATGTTTGATGCAAATCGTTGATGTGAAATAGAAACCCGCAAGGAACTATAATGAAGAGTGGGACAGTTAAAGACAATGATGCTCCCATAGTTGCTTCTTTCTCTTCTCGTGGTCCGAACATTCTCTTTAGTGATATCTTGAAGGTAACAAAATTCAAAGAACGTTGCATTTGCATGAATTAGGTTAAGTGTCTTGACAACTACTATATATATATGCAGCCGGATATAACAGCTCCAGGAGTAAATATATTAGCAGCATATACACCAGTGGCTGGAACCGCGCTTCCAGGACAAAGCGTGGATTACTATTTCATGAGTGGAACATCAATGGCTACCCCTCATGCCGCAGGTGTAGCTGCCTATGTCAAGACGATCCATCCTCATTGGACCACTTCTGCTGTCAAATCTGCTATCATGACTACCGGTATCAACATCGAACCGAATTTTTCACTGAAGAAAATATTATTGATGTGACATCTGATCTGAATCTTTTTATGTTTTTGTTGCAGCTTGGGCAATGAACCCTTCGAAAAATGCAGAAGCTGAGTTTGCATATGGATCAGGATATGTTAACCCTTCAGTAGCAGTTGATCCAGGACTTGTTTACGAAATACCTAAAGAGGATTACTTGAACATGCTTTGCTCTATGGACTACTCATCCAAAGGACTTAGTACTATTGTGGGCGGTAACTTCACTTGTTCTGAAAAATCTAAGATTAGCATGAGAAACCTCAACTACCCATCAATGACAGCCAAAGTTTCAGCCTCATCATCTTCTGATATAACTTTTTCAAGAACCGTCAAAAACGTTGGGAAAAAGAGATCCACTTACAAGGCAAAACTGTCTGGGAATCCCAAACTCAGCATCAAGGTTAAGCCAGAGACTCTCTCTTTCAAGTCACTGGGGGAGAAGAAGTCTTACACCGTTACAATATCAGGCAAGAGTCTTGCTGGTATTTCTGGTATTGTGTCTGCGTCTCTGGTCTGGTCGGATGGTTCACACAATGTGAGAAGTCCTATTGTTGTGTACACTTAGGCATGCATCAATCTCATTTTGAAGACAATAATTGCATGTATTTGATGTTAAATAAATTTTAGTTTGTTGGGTTCTATTTTGTTTTACCTTTCATGGTTCAAACTCAGTCTAGCTAGGTTATATATGATATAACTTGTGATGTAATAAACTAACTAAATGGTTCACCTCTTCAAATTCTAATTATCCTACAACTTGGACTGATCCATTTTGCCTCCCATTATCAAACACAACATTCACTCCGTTCTACAAATTTATAATCCATTACATTTTTCCGACATGAACTATATATGATGTATTTGTCGAAAGTATTTCATGCATGTGACATTTTAACGTTTTTAGGATATTTATTTGAATGTGCTTCTTAATTAAATTAATTCTATAGACGCTTTCCATGCGTCATGCATGGAACATTTCTTTCGAAATTATATATGTTTTTTTCGGAAAAAAAAATGTGTTTTGGGGTAAGAAATCTCTATTAGTTATCTATACTTGGAAGTAAGTTTTTTGTCATATATTTTTAAAATCTCTATACCAACTCTAAATTTCAGAATATACGATATCAAAGTATCTTTGGAAAAGGAAAGAATAATTATTTATACATCGATCTACATCGAGTCCTACTAATTATATGTAAATATGAAATTATTACTGTCGTTTCATTAGATTTTTAACTTTAAGGTTATCCCATATTTTCATCTTCAATAGCTGTAATATCACAACAAATACCATCCCATATTTTCAAAAATGTTAAGAACAATTTAGTAAAGACTTAATAATAAATTATGTAATCAATTTTATAATTTATAAAGAAATCCATGCTCTCTAGAGAGTATTAAAACCATTATCTGTACTAAAATAAATTGAAATAAATAAAAAAAATCTTTAAAATGGATCCTAACATATTATTATATTTTGTAAATAAATTCAAATAACATTACAGAAACCATGATGTGTGAAAACACCATTAATCAATCAAATCTATTCATATTATTATGTATAGGTTCTTAAATAATTAAATAATAAATAAAATAAAAAATAGATAATGGTATTTTATAAAAACAATCTAACAGTAGTAATAAACCTTGCCATAGACTGAAAATATTAAATATATAATTAATTCCCATATTTCATTGCATTGTCACGATCATTTCTCTCCATAAGTAATATAGCCACATATTCTCTCTATATATATGATATGAACTAGCAACTTCAACTCATTGTTGTCAACAACAGTAAAAGGTCTCGTCTCTCGATCGATAATGGCGTCCATTGGCTTAGTCCTATGTCTTTCCTCAATTCTTCTCATGAGCCTTTGTCAGATTCCTACAGCTATTGAAGATGAAAGAAAGGCAAGTTATTTATGTTTCGTCTAGTAAACCACAATAATTTTATAAGTATGATCTAAATTTGTATTGTGGTCTCATTCACTGGTTGTGACATTTTGACGCAGGTGTATATTATTTACATGGGAGCTCTTCCTGCAAAAGATTCTTACTCTCCTATGTCTCACCATAACAGTATCCTTCGAGAAGTTATCGAATCAAGGTTTGATATAAAACTCTCAACAACTTAGGGGGCTGATCAAGCTATATTAAAAATCAAAAATAAATTGGGAGGATTTGTAAATAGTTTTCTATATAAATATTTTAACAATGTGAATTTATTTACCAATGTATTGTTGATGAGCCGGCTCGAGTCAAATTCTTATTACCCAAATTTTGTTGCTTGTTGTTTACGTTAATGTTTGTTTATTTTTGTTATGCAGTTCCGTAGAAGATTCTTTGGTGAGAAGCTATGGAAGAAGTTTCAATGGTTTTGCAGCCAAACTCACTGAATCTGAAAGAGATAAACTTATTGGTGAGTACTTTCATGATTATATAAAGATTATCAAACTCTTCATGATTGTTAATTTGATGATGTGATATTGTGTGATTTGAAGGCATGAAAGGTGTGGTTTCGGTATTCCCAAGCAAGGTTTATAAAATTATGACGACGAGATCTTATGAGTTCATGGGACTTGGTGACAAGAGCAACCATGTCCCTGAGGTTGAGAGCAATATAATAGTGGGTGTAATAGACGGTGGAATCTGGCCTGAATCTAAGAGTTTTTCAGACAAAGGCATCGGCCCAATACCAAAAAAATGGAAAGGAACTTGCGCAGGAGGAGCTAATTTCACATGCAACAGGTAAGTAGCATTTTCACTAATTCTTCTCAAAGTTTCTTGTGTGACACGAAAGGATCGAAAGACAGAGACTAATAACCCTAATTTAAATATATACAGGAAGGTAATTGGAGCACGATACTATGTGCAGGATTCAGCAAGAGACACTGAAGGTCATGGGTCACACACGGCTTCAACAGCCGCAGGAAACAAAGTAAAAGGAGTGAGTGTGAACGGTGTGGCACAAGGAACTGCGAGAGGCGGTGTGCCTTTAGGTAGAATTTCTGTTTACAAAGTGTGCGAGCCAGCGGGTTGCAGTGGTGATCGACTGCTGGCTTCGTTTGACGATGCTATTGCGGACGGGGTCGATGTTATAACCATTTCTCTTGGAGGCGGTGTTACTAAAGTTGATATCGATCCTATTGCTATTGGATCATTTCATGCGATGACCAAAGGGATTGTTACTACGGTAGCGGTTGGAAACGCCGGCATTGAACTTGGAAAAGCGGATAACGTTGCACCGTGGCTCATATCCGTGGCTGCTGGCTCGACTGATAGAAGATTTGTTACTAATGTGGTTAATGGAGATGACAAGATGATACCTGTAAGAAGTCTTTTTCTTGTTTCAGTTGATATATGAATGTGCTTGTCGTCGTCTATCATGGTGATTAAAGTATGTTCATACAGGGGAGATCGATCAATGACTTCGACTTAAAGGGAAAGAAGTATCCTTTGGCGTACGGTAAAACTGCTTCAAACAACTGTACAGAGGAGCTAGCAAGGTAACTTGTGACTCAAAGAATCCATAGTGACCTAACTCACTATACTATGTTATGGATAATTGGATATATCGTTTGATACATTTTTTTTTAATGGTAGAGGTTGCGATAGCGGCTGCCTGAACACGGTGAAAGGAAAGATTGTTGTGTGCGATGTTCCAAATAATGTTATGGAACAAAAAAATGCAGGTGCGGTTGGAACTATCCTCCATGTAAACGATGTTGATACTCCTGGTCTTGGTCCTATTGCGGTTTCAACCTTAGATGATACCAATTATGAAGCATTAAGATCTTACCTTCTCTCCTCACCGTAAGAATCTGTTACATAAACAAATCTTTAGTTAGATTCTCTTATGTTAATGACATTTTTCGATATGAAACAGAAACCCGCAAGGAACTATAATGAAGACTGAGACAGCTAAAGACAATGATGCTCCAATCGTTCCCACCTTCTCTTCTCGCGGTCCAAACACTCTCTTTAGTGACATTTTGAAGGTAACGAACACTCAAAAGTCAAAACAAATTAACCAAACTATTTGGTTATAACAGTTGATCAATGACTTGAGGTATATATATATGCAGCCTGATATAACAGCTCCAGGAGTCAATATACTAGCAGCATATTCACCGTTGGGTCAAACGGCACTTCCTGGACAAAGCGTGGATTACTATTTCATGACCGGAACATCTATGGCTTGCCCTCATGCCGCAGGTGTAGCTGCTTATGTCAAGACGATACACCCTGACTGGTCAGCTTCTGCCGTAAAATCCGCTATCATGACTACGGGTAATTATCAACATCAAATCGATCTAATCTCTGAAGGAAAAAAATAAGTTGAATGTGATCTGGATTGATCCTTTTTGTTTTCATGCAGCTTGGGCAATGAACTCTTCCAAAAACGCAGAAGCAGAGTTCGCATATGGATCAGGATTTGTTAACCCTACAGTGGCAGTTGATCCAGGGCTTGTTTACGAAATAGCCAAAGAGGATTACTTGAACATGCTTTGCTCTTTGAACTACTCAGCTCAAGGCGTTAGTACTCTTGCGGGCGGAACCTTTACTTGTTCTGAACAATCAAAGCTTACTATGAGAAATCTCAACTACCCTTCAATGTCAGCCAAAGTTCCAGCTTCATCATCTTCAGATATCACATTTACAAGAACAGTCACAAACGTTGGGAAAAAGGGATCCACTTACAAGGCAAAATTGTCTGGGGATCCCAAACTCAGTATCAAAGTCGAACCAGATACGATCTCTTTCAAGTCAACTGGGGAGAAGAAGTCTTTCACAGTTACAGTCTCTGGCAAGAGTCTTGCTGGTATTTCTAGTATCGTGTCAGCCTCCCTAATTTGGTCAGATGGATCACACAATGTGAGAAGTCCTATTGTTGTGTATACTTAGACGTCAACCCCAAAGTCGATATAATAAAAGTATTATGTTATGGTCTGTATTCTAAAGCCCTTCTCGGTAAATAAGGTAAGTGTTTACATTTCAGGGTTCAAACTAAGTCTAGGCAAAAAGGTCACCTTTTGGAGCTCTACCTATCACCCTTTCCTGGGAACATTCCCTCCATATATTCGTCAAAGTTTTCATCATCCTTGCCTTCTCTATCACCACCTTCTGCCTTGCGCTTTCCCCTTTTTCCTGCGATATGAAACACATTCTATTTCACTCCTTCCCCAAATTATAATATTTTCATAACTGTTTCTACAAAGAATAGACCCAAAATAATTGAACTCCGCAAATTACACACCTTTTCTCCTCTCCTCTTCATCTGCGTCATCTTCACTGCATGATTGATTCCTGAATTCCAAAATTATTATATCTCACTTAATGTAATCCAAAAAAAGAAAAAACATGACTTCTAGTTGTAAATTAACATGAATCTCTTTATCTATACCGTTTTCGTTTCTGCCTTTTCTTTTCTTTACTCTCTGACCTTTCGCCCTCTTTTCTTTTTTTGTAGTAAAGCTTGTCCGCACATCTGGTGCCAAAAGATGTTTGATAATGTGAAAAATAAGGAAAGCAGATAGTCAAGCTTAAACAAAAGCACTGAAACAAACCAGGATACTACTGGTCGTAGGTATTCAATTTCCCAAACCACTACTAATTCTATTCTGAAGGCATAAAAGAAATAGAGATGACAAGCTGTACGATGAATGCCTATACCTCTTACAAGCTACGAGTTTTACAAGGGCTTGTTTGTCTTCTCCAGCTTCATGATAAGAAAAGTTCACCTACAAAAACAGCGATGCTCAGTGAATTAATCCGACCCAAACATTAGAACAATAATTGAGAAAACATCTAAAGATACATGCCTCATAGCTTGCTAAACCGTCCTTTTCATCACAATGTTTGCTCCCACACATAAACTGCCCTGACAGAAAGCAGTTGCATTCACACTCAAGACTCTTATCACAGCTACTTCAAAATAAATCACAGGCAAAGAGTTTGAAGCAATATTAACCTTTCCCAGTCATTACTTCCTTTTCCGTTCTCCATCTTAAACCCATCTACAAACATTCAAAATAAGTCAACGGAACAAAAGTAATACAGGAATTTACGTGAGATACAGTAACTATGCATCTGATTTTACCTGACCAGTCTTGTATCTTGACATGTCAGCTATACAGTATCTTCAATCAGTCAAGGAGTTAGACATGGTGTACTCATCCAAACTCCCGTTAATTAGTACTTGAACAAAAGTAAGTATTAGCTATATTATGTTTTAAAGGATACTCTTTAAAAAGCTTATCATAGTATCGCTTCACCAATCTTTGCTCCCAAGAAGGATTAAAATCATCTTCCTCAGAACGTATAAACCTATAAAAGAAAAAAATTCCAAAAATTACAGAGTTCAAAAGATTATTAACAATGAAAAAGTAAAAGATACATGCTAACATATGGCATATACCAAGTAAGATTCAAAACAGAAACTTGCAGATTCATCAAGAAAGCATCCCAACACAAAAACATATACAAAACTTTACCATACCTGTATCCTTCTCTTAGTGTGTCCTGATCCGTTTTAACGGGTAACTTAACTTCAACTGGCTTATCCTCCCCATAAAAACGAACTGTAAAGCAACAAAAACAAAAGATGAAACCACAAAATCTGGAAAAAAACAAGAATACCAAATCCTGAACCTCATTATAAAACAGTAGCTTAACAACTAGGCAAAAGAAATCAACTTTCCCAATGGAGAACCACAAAACAAAAGAAAACACATGTAAGGCTAACTGTAGCCTCCTTCCTAGCTCAGAGGAGAAGACTGTTCATCAACCAGCTTTGATGTTGGACACATGGATTTGGGGTAAACAGAAAGCCACTTATTTACCCTAAATTCCAAAACTTTTTGTCCATTTAAACCTAACTATCGAGCTACAAATGGAACATTGAAAGAAGTGTTAGTACCGTAGTCTTTCATAAACTTCTTATGCCGCTCGTAAGCATTCAAACCACGAATATGCGCTTGGTATTGCCTACAGAGACAAGAATGAGCAGTCAAACTAAGAAAAACACATAAAACGAATCAAATCGAAAGAAGGAAGACTAACTGCTTGCGTTCTTCTCTGTCGTAGATGTCAGATCTGATCCTCGCCGAAGAAGCCATGTTTCGCCGCCGGTGTCCGATGGAACTGTCGTAGACCTTTCTTTTAGCTTAATCTCCGTCTATTTTTCTCCGATTGTACCAATTGTTTCTTAATGGGCTGGGCCTAATAGACAAACATATGGGCCATTTAAATGTATGCCAGGCCACTGCTTGGTTTATTCTTCAACCATCATCACTTAACCTGTTTTGTATTATCCATTGTATGTTTTTTGCCTAATGCACACTACACTGTGGTAAATAGATGTAGAATCTAAATCAGTGTTGGGGCATTAAGAGGGTGCTTTTATAACATAAGAACTGACAATAACACCCAATATTTGTCAAACATTTTAATATCTGGACAGAACCTGACAATATCACCTAAGAGAGGACAAAGGCATGAGGGAGTATGAAGAAGAATACTGAAACGTCTTGTACAAGAATAAATCTAAAGAGTAAAACCTCTAATAATACAGATCAAACCCTACGACTACAAACAGCTTCCTGTGAGTTAGAAAGAGCCAACCAAGAGGCTTAAACCAACCATGGTATATCTTAGGGACGTCACGTGAATACTTTCTCCGATGTGTTTGTATAATACACTTCATCTCTCACTTCCTTTTCTCCTTTGAATATCTCAGTATCATCGAAACCTGTACACATTTTTCAACTTTTTCAAAAACTCAAAAATCTTCGAAACGGAACAGAAAGTGTGAGGATGCTGAATCTTTTTTACCTGGTCCCAAGTCTTCGGTATCATCGATGATCGGTACTACTTGATTCCTATGAATAGACTCGAGCAACTTCCAGTCCGCACTTCCATTTCCTTCAACACAAGCTAGGTCTCCGGAAACCCAGTCTCTAAAAACATCCATCCTGTTGTGTGATAACGGGTCTAGTGTGTCATCCCCGGTTACAGGACCCCTAGAGGAGACAGAGAACGGTTAGATCTATCCTTTTGTACTCTCTGGAAACTAAGGATTTGACTGAGAAGGGCAAGATTTACGACTTACAGTTGTCTGAGGCGCATGTTGTACTGAACAAATACAAGATCGCTGAGCCGTTTCTGCTCAATGGAGTTCTTCGATTGGTATATTTGTTCGAAAGGTATCTGGTTTCTCCTGCAGCTAACTGATGAACTGCACGTTTGACTAAGAACACGTACCGCAAAACGTGAGAGGTTCAAGCAGCTTTCTCCATATGTAGACCACCACTCAGCTAAGAACCAAGCATGTAAAGAGATTCCAAATAAGAGAAGCACAAAAATGCAATTTACCCAAGAAAAGTCAAAGGAAAATTAACCATACCAGGAAGCGTTGTGTCCCGAGCTCTGATTGCCAAGTTTCTTCCAAAAACTCCATTGCCAGCTTTGTAAGAGGATAACTCCTTGATGATTTTATCTTGAATCTTGTCGTCAGGAACCAATCTCTCGACGCAATCGAGCACCGATAGAATAATTTCACTACGCATTTCTTCGTTGGAGTTATAATAGAATTTTGGGTTAAGAAAGAAACCAGCAGCAAGCAAAGGAGAATGCTGTTGCTGCTCCCACCATCGATCTATAATTTTCCAGTATATCATGTAACTCTCCCTCTCAACCAGATGTGTTTTGATTGCATCTTTTGCTCGGTACAGTGCTGCATAGACATACCCCATTGCAGGCCTCTTTTCAGAACAAACTATCCTCAAAGCCCGCAAAAGAGGACCGGTTAAATGGTTTACCAAATCTACTGCCTTCCAAAAGCCTTCATCAGTGATGGCATTCATCACCAACCCGCTGGGATCTTCCGAATACGAACATTCATTCCACTCTGCCGAAGTAACCATAGCCTGCAGATTGGATTTGAGCTCGGCTATTCTACCCAATGTAGCAAAGTTTGTGGCAGAAGTGCTAAATGCTGGTTGCAGGATATCATTACCCGAAGTAAACTTCCACATCAAGTTCAAAACACCACTACGGTTGTAAATAAATCTTGTGATATCTCGAGCCTGTTCGATAGTCTCACTTATCCAGCCTAGTTTCCCAAATTCCTCGAGCATCTGATCAATGCAATGTGCAGCGCAAGGAACCCAATATAGAGAAGGATACACAAGCATCAACTTTTTCCCAGCATCAATGTAGTGATCTTCGCATTTTGTAATCACTTGAACAACATTGGCATTGCCAACTTCTTCAACCAGCTCCCTAAGTAGCTCAAACAACTTATCCGGCGAAGATAACATCTCAGACGCGTCCACAGATTTCAGAAAGACTATCTTTTCTGGACAGTAAACCAAAAAGTTAAGGACTTTGAGGCCTTTATCAGTGTTCCATTCCTCAACCAAAATGGAACAGCCTGTCCTCTTCCACATTGCTTTGCAGTCATCAATTTCTTTTGTACTTTCCTCTACACAATTCTTCAGTATCCAACCTCGAAGGTCATCATGAGTCGGGGCAGACACTCCGAATCCTCCAGAGGCAATAGCATCGATCATTGGTTGAAAATTAACAGAGTTTACTGCATCCAAATCAGCTCCAATGCCAAACAAAAACCGTCCAATCGCCATATGGATTGTATTCTCCTTATCTCGAAAGGACGGGTGCACAATGTTCTTTACACTACTAATCGCCACTGGAATCAAATTGTCCATGTCTCTACTAATCAGGTCATTATTGTTGCTCCCACTACCATTCTCAAAAGCATTCTTTCTACTCCTGTAAGTCCTTTGCTTTGTTCTGCCACCCATCACACTCTCGGTTTGCACAACCACATCCGAACTACCCGGCGATTTAAAATCGTCATTCATATCAGACTGAACCATCAGCATTTCTCCTTCAATAGGAGGTAAAGCAGCTACAGACAAAGGCTCTGAACTGGATTTTTGCCTCTTCCTCTGGCGTCTCACGGTTCCATCGATACACTGCTGCAAAAAGAGCCTCACATCTTCAGGAACTTGGTCACAGATCGTGCCTTGTCCCTTTTTACCAGCAAGATGTTCCTTCACCCTCGTAATACCTCCCCCTTTGAACATTTTCCGACAGTAGAGACACCTCATCTGAAGTCTATCACCGTATTTGTAAATTTCACAATGCTTCCAAGCATTGTCTTGTTTCTGCGGTGTAAGAGCTACAGGTTCCAATTCTGAATCCATCAAGCCTGTATTCAATACAGAAGAAGAAGGAAAGGTAGAAACTTTGTAAATGGAAATAACATATTAAGCCAAGATCCTAAAATGAAAGCTTTGAGAAATTTCACAAACCAATGATATCAAAATTCAGATAATTCACACAAGTCACATTGATTTAACCATTTTCAAATACGCAAATTCTAAAACCACATGCACCAAAACCTCAACCGAATTACACAATTCCGACAGGAACAAAACAAAAAAAGAGCAAACCCGTAAATTTGTTGTACAAGAAGATGAAGAAAACGAACCTGTTCTGGTTTGTGGCCGGTTACGATGAATCGGTTTCGTAGAAAAGTGATAAAATTCCGGTACGGTAGCTTCGGTTCCGGAGGGGAGGAAACTGGAACCAGCCGGAGACGGAGGTTTCCGATGAACGGAGGAGAGAATCGGAGAAAGATAAGAGAGATGCAATGTTTGGGAGAAATTGACCCGGCCCGATTAGGGTTTGCAGAAATAGGTTTGGCAGCTTTTTTCTGGTTTATGACCTATAAATCTGGCATATCTTTATTATGACGTCACCTATTTGTTTTCCGTTTTTAACACTTTTTTGTTATCCTTTTAAATTCTAAAAACGACGTCGTTGGCTAATTAGGGTATCTTCTGATTAAACGGCGTCGTGTGTTGTTATTTTCCGATTAGCGTCGGTCGTCTTCTTCTCCTCAGTCTTTTGATCTGGTTTTGCTTCAACGTGAAACAGCAACTGAGTTTTGAAGATGATGTTTGTATGTAATCTCTTCTTCTGAGAGAAACCTCTTTGTGATTCAAATAGCATCAGAGGTATGTGTTTAGTTTGTGATTGATCAAAGTTGAAGAAGTATGATAAGAATTAAGAAGAACTTGTTGATCGACTTCTAAAAAACTCGTGATTTTGAGATTGTAGCAAAGAGTGAGTGACATTGTATATGTGAATACTAATACTGTAGTTGCTGAAATAAAATGTGTAGGTAGGTATATGTACATTTGTTTTCGCTGAGGCATTTCGTCGAACACTTAGACGACGACTTAAAGATGGATAAGCTTCTTGAGAATCATCAGTTTGCGACGCATGCCATTGCTGCCTCGGCTTCTGTATCGCTAGGAACTGCTCTCGCTTATCCTCTGGATACAATCAAAACCATAATCCAGGTTTCTTCCAATCTTCTTCTTCAACAAATTTGTAATTTATTATTTCAATCACTTCATTTCTGTGGTGTTGATTTCAACATTGAACTGTAGGTTGGTTCAGGACCCAGTAAGAAATTAGGCCCCTTTCAAGTTGTGAATAGAGTTCTTCGCTTCTCTGGCTATTCAGGTTTGCAAATTACTCTTTTTAGGTTTCAATCATTTTCTGATTCTGCATCAGGCAAAATGGTGTATTGTTTGATCGTTTCTGGTCTTTTTGGACACCAATGCAGGTCTGTACAGTGGTCTTGGATCGTTAACTTTAGGAAGAATTTCAGGTGTTGGTGCAAGGTTTGGTGTCTATGAGATTCTAACAGCTTTCTACAAAGGTATTACGCAGATCCCATGTCTCGATGATTCGATATTAGGTTTTTGTGACTAATTCTTCTGTCCAAGAGAACATCAATTAATTAGACAAGAAGCAACCATTAAAAGGATATTGCCATCTGTTCATAGATTTTAGAATTTGTACCAGTATTATTATTATTATCCATTCATAGCTTTTACATTCAAAGTTGGTTCCTTTCATACCTCGGACAATACCTGATGTTAGTATTAATTTGGTAGCTGAAGTTACGACCTTTTTACTTAAGTGGAACCTTGTTCTTGAAGAATCTAAAGAGTACTTCCTATATGACTTCATTGGTTACAGATGGTCGACATGATAACTATGTAAGTGTTGGTGAAGCTTTCCTGGCTGGGATGGTAGGAGGTGCAGCAGAAACAGTGGTGACTTCTCCATTTGAGCTAATCAAAGTCCGAAAGCAAGTGACCGCTGCATCACGGGCTCCAAATGCTGCCGCTGTTGCAGAGACCGCACCGGTTTCACCCATGGTCACAAAATTGCTAAGAAGATACACTCTTGATGTAAAGTCATTGACACAAACAGTCAGTCTCTTATCCGTCTTAAATCATAAACACCCAAACATGACAGCTGCTTTGCAAGAGTACCCGTGGATGATGACTGGAACAGGAAACCCGCCATCAGCCATGGATGTTAAGAGACCCCTCGATGTTGCTTCACTTGAAGGATATAGAGCTTTATGGAGGAATCTACGTTCAGGTCTTGTAAGAGATTGTCTTTACGGTGGAGTGTTCTTTTCAACATGGCAATTTCTTCACGAGGGAATGCTCAGTTGGAAAGCTGTTGGAATGAATCCCCTGCCCAGGTACTTAACTCTCACTCTACAGAGCTCTCAATTAACTTGAATTTTAACTTGAACTTTAATGATTCTGCAAAACTTGTTGAATTCAGCTCTGAAGAAGAAATCGGACCTTTATCTCCAGTAGCCGTTAGCCTTGCTGCTGGGATTTCCGGTGCCATTGCAGCTGCAGCATCTCATACCTTTGACACAGCAAGAACACGGGCGCAGTGTGTAATATTGCCAAAGGTAAAACAAAATATATCCTCGTTATCTTACTAAGAGATATATGAAACTCAAAGCTCTGTCCTCATTTTCTTTTATGTTTGGTTTCTATTGAATTTTGACCAGTATACAGCAAAAGAGAGGAAGTTTCTGAAATGGAATAAACCCGGGAAGAGATTAGAGAGATGGACAGGAATACATCCTACAGACAGAAACCTCCTGTTCCGAGGAATTGGGATAAGGATAGCACGAAGCTCTGTTGCATCGACGGCCATCGTTGGAAGCTATTACTTAGCTGTCGATTTATTGGTTCCCAAGTGAAGTCAGACATCACAGAGCCTACAAATCTGGCTCGAGTTTGATCAATACCTCAAAAGCGTTTAGCCCGCATTTTGTAGCACAATTAAGGAGAAACATACACGCTTCAATTATACCATCTTAGATTTGTATCTGTCTGCAGTGCCGGGCTTAACAGATTAAACATTTGCTGAATCTATTGACAGAACCTTTTCAATTGGTCGATTATCAATAGCTCAAAAAATCTGGACAAACTTTGTAGTTCATAATGTGATCATTTCCTAACCGAGATTATGAACATGAACTTCATAGTCTAGCAATTTTTGGTAAATACATTTGCTGAAATCTTTCTAATCTACAATGTAAAGTTCAGCTTAACCAAGGGAGATACAGACACGAGACATTGTATCATATTTCTGACAAAGGAACAATGTATTGAATGATTCAAACCCGTAGTCTCAGTGAAACTGGAACATTTCTAAGGTTAACATTTTCAAGCAATGCATCAATTTCAAATCGAGAACAAGATCATTGCAATGAATCTCTAGAACCTAAGCAGATAATTCAAATGGAAACAAATATGTAATCAAAACGCATAAGAGAAACAAAATCCATAATAGAAAATTCAACAAAACGTCTTACACAATCCAAAACAGGTTCCACAATTTTTCACCAAAGTAAATGAAACCCTAGAAACTAAAAATTACGCTTTAAAGATTCAATAACAAAAAGCTCAAAAACGTCCTTGTCGAAATACGAAACTTCTCAGAACCTGAGCTTGGTGAAGAACCATCTGTTCTTGCCGGTCTTGAACCTCTCCTCAAGCTTAGCCTTGGCCTCCTTAAGAGCAGCAACCTTCTTATCCTTGGACTGAAGGTTATCAAGAGTGGCCACTTCCTTGAGATCCACGTCGAGCGTGTAACGCGTAGGCATCAGATGCTGGTAGTTAACGACCTTGATGAAACACTTAACCCTAGATTTCTTGGCAGTCTTCTTGGCTGAGTCTTTGCGGATGACTTTGCTCGGGTACTTCTTGAGTCCGGCGACGAGGCAGTGTCCGTAGCCACGGTCACGGGTACCGTCGTCGAAGGATTTGACGATGACGGCTTTCTTACCGGCGTAACGGCCTTGAAGAAGGATCACGGCCTTGTTCTGCTTCAAGAACTTCACCATTGTTGCTTTCGATGCTTTAGATCCCTTCTCCTTTCGTCTCTGGCTGCTATGAACCCTAAGTGGCGGAATCAATGAGAAATGCGGCTTTAATAGTGTGTGATGCCACAAACTCTTTGGTTGAGGAGAGGACTGAGTAAAAACCCTAGTACCTCTTATTGGGCCGTTTAGTTAGACCCATTTTTTATATTTGGGCTTTATTTTGTTGATGATACCCAGGCTCGGTGAAATGTGAACTCTGATGCCAGAAACTCTTTAGACATGACTAAATTACCATTGTTTCATTAATCAATATTGCTATTGCATTTCAATATATGTGGACTAGTATTAGGTTTTATGATCTTATAGACTTTTCGATTCATGTCGTATATATGAAGGATACTTAGGTCTATTCGTATATATGAGTATAAATTTTAAAAAAGTATTTTAGTCCAATATAGACCTAAATATTCTGTTTAGATCTGATCGTTTTTGAAGGTTTCTAGCTACACGTTTCAAGACGCTCCAGTCGTCATCGTCGCATCTACTCCGAAGTAGTATATCAAAATTTTGATAATTAGATTGGATAGTACTAAACTTTTTTAAATGGATTGAATGTAGTTTATTTTTTGAGAAATTTTATTTATCGAATATTAGAGACATTTTCGATAGATAGGACATAAAATTTATTTTATTTTCGTGTTTTTGATCGAAATTTAACTTTGAAATTATAAACTATTTTCTAAAATTACATATTATTTTAACATATTTTATCTCATTTTTCTAGATTCTCTTGGGATCCTATTATCAAAGTTACTAACTGTAATGTTAATTTTCAAACGTATCTACTTTTTCTTATTGGTTTTATCGTTGTCAACTTTTTTTTGTATCGCACTAGATTGGCCTTTCAATGTATACATTAGCGTGTGTTTCTTTCTTTAATTATGTTTAAAATGTGTCAAAGCTTTATAATTAAAAAAAATGGCCATGCTTGACTTTGTATCCCCTATGATTATGGAGTGTGAACATCTCAATATTTTTACAAATACAATTTTGTAAACTTTGCTTGGCCGGTTACATCATGTCAGCGCAAGTATATGTGTAGGTGTCATTTTATTTTATATCAATAGGTCGTTCTAATTGTGAATAAAATAATTACAAATGACCAAATACAAGATCAAATTGAACCGACCGGATGAAATCTATTCACATGGACCATATAACTTGTCTCTCCATTTAATTTTTGTTAATCTCTATGCAATTAATATTCATAAGTCATAACTAACTTATTTGGTTGAGTTTTAAACAAGTTAAAAAAGCATATGATCTTATATAAAGCCATCAACCAATTTTTTTAATTATATTATGAAGGATCCTTGTTAATTATTATCATATAGTAAGTGGATTTGGTATCTACATAATATGTGGCTATATCAATCACATTTTTTCTTTCTTTCATAGTTATCCAAAACAGTTACACAAATAAACATATAAGTTATGAACTTTTTTTGTTAAGTCTAGAAATGGTTTTAGATTAACGTATTGTTTCAAATATTTTTCTATGATATTTTGATGTTTGATACTTTAAAATAAATATATTTATATATTAACGTTTCTAAAACGTATCTAGTTTCATCAAAAACTCGTTTCTCTTTCGAAACGAAACGTTTCCACATATTCGTTTCTGTTTACATGTAATGTATTCGTTTCCGTTTCGGTTTCGGTTTCCATGCAATTCTACTAGAAAACAAATAAAGATAAAATAATGTTAGAAAAAAGCACCAAAAAAGATTACTTTTTAATAATCACTCTCACTATTCACTAATCACTAATTTTAGTAAACATAATCCTATTTAATTAATAGAAAAAAGTAAGAAAGAAAATCAGAAAGTAGAATATTTACTTTATATTTTTGTCAACAGAAGAGAATTTTTCCTTGACGACAAATGAAAATCTTTTTAATTTTTTCGAATATTAATTTGATTAAGAGATAAATAAAAGTGGAAAGAAATGCTTATTCAGACAGAGATAGCCAAAATAATAAAAATAAAAAGGAAGTGAGGATTTGTTCGGGCAAAGGTCATGTGTCAATGTTACGCACAGCGCAGGGTAAAGAACAGAGATAATAATAAAAAGGCTCTCTCTTTCTCTTTCTCTCTCTCTTCTTCTCTAATCTTAAATCAGAAAAATCTCTTCTTTAGGAAGTAGAGAACTAGAGAAGGAGAGGTTTCCTCCTTCCATGTACTCTTCAATTCCCCGGAGAATCGGGAGCTAATCTTCTTCTACTTTCCTTATCTCTACTTCTTGACAAGTCTTAGCAAACACCCTTTTGGAGATTCGTTTTGTATTCTCTGTTTCTTTGTGTGTGTGTCTCTGTGTTTTTAGCTGTCTTCGTATTGATCATGGAGAGATCTGATTCTAAAGATTTCTATAACTTTGCTCGGACTTCTTCAGGTTTACTTCTCTTTCTTTCTTGGAAGCTCTTTGTCACAAATCGAGTATTAAAGTGTTTTGTTTGTTTAAGTTTCTTTCTTTGATCCAAGATGTGAATGATTTGATTTGCTTCTGATTGGAGAAAACTCTACAGAAATATTTTTTTTTTAATATATGTTTTTGATGTAACAGAGGAGATGATTTATATGTTTTGTCTGATTTTGATTTTTTTCTTTCTTGTTACGGTATACGATTCGATTTGTTAGCTGATCTGGAAAATAGTAAGATTTATAAGCTTTGCTTTAGTGTCGTTCCAAAGCATTGAGATTTGTTTACTGAGATTTAGTTCTACTTTTAGTGGTTTGGTCAACTAATTGTCTTGGTGACATAACTTAACTCATTTGTCTGATGAAAACGGTTTCTTATTTTTCTTGTGCAGATAATAAGAATGCTCTTTTTGACGCATCTCAATATGAGTTCTTTGGTCAAAGTCTTGAAGAAGTTGAATTGGGTGGTCTTGATGATGATGCTTCTGTTCGTGGACATGTCGATGATGAAGCCTATCACTTGTTTGATAAAAGAGAGGTAATTGATTTTGTTAATTGAACTGACTGTGTCTTCTTCTATATTTATTATATAGATGAGATCAATGGATGATAAAACAAACATCTCTACTTGTGGTTTCAGGGTGCTGGTTTAGGTTCATTATCTGACATGGATGATCTTGCCACAACTTTTGCAAAGGTTAGCATTTTGTTAACATTTCCATAGTCTCTCTTTGTGATTAATGATCTGTCTTTCTCAGCTTCTTATTCTTTTACTTGTTTTCTACTTTACTTATCTTATTGTTTTGGTCTTATCTTGTGCAGCTGAACAGAAATGTTACTGGGCCCAAACACCTTGGAGTAATTGGTGACAGAGGATCAGGGTCCTTTTCTAGGGAAAGTGAGTTTTTTGTTTACTGTTTGCTTTCAAGAGTTTTCTGTAGCTTGGCTTTGTTTTCTTGTTCTTCTATGTGACTTTTTTCTTCTTCTTGAACTATGCAACTGAGGGTAAAAACTGTGAGCTTTGTACTTTTCGATATATACATATGGGTTGGTTTCAGAATATGATGGTTTTGTTTCATCTCCTCCTGGAGGTGATGGCTTTGTTTTGAGAGATGATTTTCTTCTAACAGTGCTTTTTGTCTCCAGGCTCCACTGCTACAGATTGGACACAGGATAATGAGTTCACAAGCTGGTTGGACCAGCACACACTTGAAGAACAAGCTCAGGAAGCTAGTTGGCCATCACAGCCACAATCTTCGGCTAATTCAAATTCTCTGTACAGGACATCTTCATACCCTCAGAAGCAAACTCAGCTACAACATTACAGTAGCGAACCGATTATTGTACCAGAATCGACGTTTACATCTTTTCCTTCGCCTGGCAAAAGATCTCAACAGTCTTCACCGAGCCATATTCATCGTGCTCCTTCTCTTCCTGGTGGTAGTCAGTCGAACTTTTCTGCTCCTAATGCATCTCCGCTGTCAAATTCGACTTACCATCTTTCAGGATTGTCACATGGACCGCAACATTATGGTAGTAATCTGGCTAGATATGCATCATGTGGTCCTACTCTTGGTAACATGTCACAACCTCCTCACTGGGTTACTGACCCTGGCCTTATGCACGGTGATCATTCGGGGTTGTTACACAGTCTGGTACAACAGCAGCATTTGCAACAATTGCCTCCTCGGAATGGTTTTACTTCTCAACAATTGATTTCCTTTCAACAGAGACAGTCCCTAGCTCATCTTGCTGCATTACAATCTCAACTGTATAGTTCCTATCCTTCTCCATCACATAAAGCTCCTTTTGCGGTTGGTGAAGTAAGGGAACACAAACATAAGTCATCTCATAGAAGTCGAAAGAACAGAGGCATCTCCCAACAGAACTCGGATTTGGCTAGCCAGAAAAGTGAAAGCGCATTGCAATTTCGATCAAAGTACATGACTTCAGAAGAGATAGAGACTATTCTCAAGATGCAGCATTCCAATTCACACAGTAGTGACCCCTATGTGAATGATTATTACCACCAAGCTCGGCTTGCCAAAAAGTCAGGCGGATCAAGAACAAAGCCTCAGTTGTATCCTTCTCATTTGAAGGATCACCAATCCCGGTCCCGTAGTAGTTCAGATCAGCAACCACAAGTTCATGTGGATGCTCTTGGAAAGATTACACTTCCTTATATTTGCAGGCCACGAGCCTTACTCGAGGTTGACTCTCCGCCTAGCTCTAGTGATGGAAGGTCTGGTCATAAGGGATCTGAAAAGCATCTGGAAGAAGAACCTCTTGTTGCAGCTAGGGTCACCATTGAAGATGCTTTTGGAGTTCTTATCGATATAGTTGACATTGATAGGACTCTCCAATTCAACCGGCCACAAGATGGAGGAGCTCAGCTCAAGAGAAAACGGCAGATACTGCTTGAAGGATTAGCAACTTCTCTTCAACTTGTTGATCCCTTCAACAAAACCGGCCAGAAAACAGGATTGACAGCTAAGGATGATATTGTCTTTCTACGCATAGCGACACTTCCCAAGGGTCGGAAACTGCTCACAAAGTATCTACAGCTTCTTGTACCGGGTACTGAGATAGCTCGGGTTGTCTGTATGGCTGTATTCCGCCACCTTAGGTTTCTCTTCGGTGGTCTACCCTCAGATAGCGTTGCAGCAGAGACAATAGCTAATCTTGCTAAAGCAGTTACGGTTTGTGTTCAAGCAATGGACCTCCGAGCACTAAGTGCTTGTCTTGCAGCTGTTGTTTGTTCATCAGAACAGCCACCTCTCCGTCCAATAGGAAGTCCTTCTGGTGATGGAGCATCAGTTGTGTTGGTCTCTCTTCTTGAGAGAGCTGCTGAAGTAGTTGTAGTGGGGGTAGTTCCACGTGTCAGCAACAACTCTAATGATGGACTCTGGAGAGCCTCGTTTGATGAATTCTTCTCTTTACTTACTAAATATTGCAGAAGCAAGTATGAGACAATCCATGGTCAGAACCTGGAGAATACAGCTGATGTGTTGGAGCTAGCTATAAAGAGGGAAATGCCTGCTGAGCTTTTACGTGCGAGTCTACGTCATACCAATGAAGACCAGAGGAATTTCTTACTAAACTTTGGTCGTAGAGCATCACCACCAGTTAGCGAGGCAACAACAACAACACGTGCAAGTGGTGGTCAGATCAAGTCTGAATTTGTGAGGGGTTAAGGTTTAACCATAATAGGAAACAATGATGATGGGTGGTGTGAGTGGCTGGTGTAGATTTGGTGCGTTTTAGTTGTCTGTGGACTTCTTCTTAAGCTCCTCCTTGTGGTGGTTGAAAGCTGGGGAAAAGGATAATTGAAAAGTGGGAGTTGGTAAAACCGGAAAAAAAACAAAAATAACTGAGTTTTTTTCCGGAGGAGCTGTGTTTTTGTTGCTCTGTGATGAAAACTCCTACCTCTATTAGGACTCATTTAGGGTTTTAGGAGTTTGGAAGGAGACTAGTGTTTGTGTTGTGACCCCTGTATAGACTGATGGTGAATGATGATGATGATGCTGATGGTGTTATGGTGATGGTGATGGGGAAATGGTGAATGGTGCCGTAGCTAAGAGGTCTTTTGTTTGTCTTAGCTTCTTGTTGTGGATCTGTTTTTCAAATATGGGCATTGTAATAATAAGGAACGCAAAGTTTTTAAAAACGTTGTTTCTATTGGATCATGTCTCTTTGAATGTATACTTCTGTTATTTTGTAAGAAGTTGAAAACTTGAAATTTAGTTATGTGTTCTTTTTTAGTACTAGAGAGCATTAGCTTTTCCTATGAGTCGCTCTCAAACTCAATAATGAATCCGGTTGGGATTTTGTTAAGTTATTATAAGTAAGAAAGCTTCTAAACTCAACGAAGAACTGGAATGAATGGTAGTTATGGGTAGCCCTGGGCACGAAGCGAATATTCGGAAAATTTGTGATATTTGTGATTTGCTTCGCTTCGACCGAATAGTTGATTTTGCTATTTGCTTCGCTTCGTAAATTTTCGAGTATTCGGAACTTCGAATATTCGAATATTTTTCGTAATATTTGCGAATTACTTGCTTCGTTTCGCTTCGACCCATTTTTTTTTTTTAAACTAAAAACATATAGTACACAAATATAAAGTGCAAAATATGAGATATTAGAGGTTCTTGTTTGACATGTTTTTAAAATAAGAAGAAAATGTAACCACCGTCCATAGAATTCTCACATTTTATTTTTAATATTGATTTTTCTAATAAAGTTTTATTTGCTTAAGAACAACATTTAGCAAAAAAACCAACGGACCAAAATATAATAATTTGAATAATAAGCCTATAAGATATATACTCAAATCTATAAATACACATATTATATATATATTATAAAATGATTTATATTAATACATATATATAAATATACGAAGCGAAGCGGATATTCGGCACTAAGAAAATCAATATTTGTTATTTGCTTCGGTTTTTACAAATACTACATTTTCATATTTGGTTCGGTTCAATATCTTATAGATATTTGAATTTTTCGAATCGAATCGAAACGAATTTCGAAACGAATCGAATCTAACGAATATTTTGCTCAGGGCTAGTTATGGGGACAGTGGAGCCAATGTTAATCATTTTGGGACATGGTGGTGGTAGGAATTAAGACACGTGAAGCATGTCTTTTTCAAGTTTGGAAACTGCTCACATGCCACGTGCACTTTAGCTGTCTCCTTTTTTTTTTTTTTTTGCTTTTATCTTCTTTTAATACAAGAAAAAGACATGACCCAAACCCGAGAGGTATGATGATGAGGTCTTCATGTTTTGTCTGATTTTTACTTTTGTTTCCTGACCCATTTTGTTTTTTACTTGATGTCTGTTCGTTTATTTCTTACATGTACTTGTGCCGTAACGAATGGGTGGGTTTACATTGTACTACTACTTTTACTATTTGACGGCGACGACTACTTTTTACTATTTGTCTATTTCTTGTCTATTGTTACCATTGACACGTGAAGCATGTTCTCGAGTCCTCATTGGTCGAAACTCGAAAAGAATAGACTAAATAATGTTGGGAGGTCTTTCCAAACCCGATCCCGAAAATCCGATCCGAACCGATCCGGAAAACCAGATCCAAAACCAAACCCAAAACCTAAAAATACACGAACATGTTCTATACCCCTAAATCCGAAAATCCGAATCCGAATCCAAACCAAACCGGAACCCGAATAGATTATCTAAATATACCCATAATATAAATATATAATAATAATTTATTAATATTATATATATTTGTAATAATCTAGTGTCAAAATTATCTAGTTTTAGTATATTTTGATTGTTTTAAAATTATAAACTCTTTTTTAAATAAATTTAAGTAAAAATTTATATAGGTTTTGAAATATTTTAGTAGTTTGGATACTCAAATTTTGAATTTTGAGAATTTCAGGTAATCCAAAAACGAACCCAAAATACTCGATCCGAACCCGAACCCGAAATACCCGATCCGAACCGAAAATCTATAAATACCCGAACGGGTTCTATATATCTAAACACGAAAACTCGAAAATCCGAAATACCCGACCCGAACCCGAACGGTTACCCGAACGCCCATGCCTAGTTGGTATCTCCTAAGAGCACCTCCAATGGTAAGCCCATTGGAGGTTGCTTACAATTTTTTTACATTAAATTTTCAAAAAAGAATTAATAAGCAACTGCATATTAATGTTGAAAATTTTGGTTGTCCAATGGTATAACTCTTAATGAAGTGCTTAAAAACAAAAATTAATTTGATTTGAATATTATTATATTTTAAGTAGATATAAATAAAGATAAATACAAACATTAATTATATTTTATGAAAGAAAACAAGTTATTGCATATCTCTATCTCTATATTAGTAAAAGAGAAGTACAAAATAGAAACGGGTCGGCTCAAAATTATAAAATTAATCCGATTTTAACAATTGGATATTAAAATGGGTTTGGATACATACATCAGATACTTTCCATATCTAATTTTAAGATTATATTATTTCTATAACTAATTTTATGATTTCCTAATATTTCTCTAACTAATTTAATATAATATATTTTAAAAAATTATCATTCTTCGTTAACATTTATTTGATATTATTTTTAATTTATGATATTATACTATGTTGCAATTTGAAATTTTCAAAACGGAAATATAATACTCAACTACACTCGATTAAATATTTTGGACAATGATTTAAAATCAGTATGACCAAATTAACTAATGCAATCAGAAAATTATGAGGAAATAAACTTTTTTTTTTATTTCCCACTCATCCACTCATATTGTGACACATCACCGGCCCTTAACTAATGCTTAAAGACTTAATATAAGCATCAAAGCTTATGTTTTGTGGTTAGTTTGGTATTAAATATAATGCATTTAATATAAGCATTCTATTAAGCATGGCATTCCATTGGAGGTGCTCTAAGTGCTTTTGTAAAAAATTTGTGGTGATCAAGTTTATGAAAAACCAAGTATTGTTCTTTGTACTAGCTTTATTAATTTTAAAAAAAATATATTAATTTTCTTTATACATATAAATTTGGACATATAGCTATTTGGTATTAAAAATCCATAGGAAAAAAAAAATTATTATTTATCTGATAGTCAATAATTCGAAATTAGTCCACTATATTTGCAGATCCACTATCTAAGGATCCAATGGCAGCCACGATACTAGTTGGTATTACTTTAGGCAACAAAATTTGGAAAATAAAGAAATTATATATATATATTGTATTAATGTGTCATATACTGATGTACAAGATTAAACAAAGACTTTTACTCCTACCAAAAAAAAATATATATGTAAAAGTTTTTTTAAAACTAATAGTAACTACAGATCAGATTGAAGAAAAGAAAATGTCTAATAAGAGGTTTAGTAGTATTTTTTGTTTTAATAAAATTATCTAAAACTACAGTTCGTAATTGATGACTACGGTAACTCGTGATGAATGGATGTTTATCATATTTCTTTCGTTCTTAATTTAATGGATGAATTCTTAATTTTTTTTCCTTTCTAACATAGAAGACTTTTTTTTTACATATAAATTTTCAAAATTAAAGTATTTTATTTGTTTTAACAATCTTTTTTCTTAGTCGCATCTAAAATATTTCTTTAATTTATCTTTTTAACTAGTACACAATTATAGTCTTTTCAAAAAATTTGGAAAGACTACAATGTAAAACTTTGGTACATTTAAAACACTTATTTGATCAGACAAACTTTCGAATATAAAGGGAATTAAATATACCGTATGCACAAACTCGAATAAAGGGCAAGAGCAATGTATTTACGATGTAGTAGTAGTCGGTACGTAGATGTCTGTAGTTCTAATATTGTTTTCATATATACATTGTTTAAGGAAGATCTACCCATTGTTTAAGGAAGACTTGGACGAAAAACGAAATATGAGTACAACTACTTGTGTATTATTTTTGTTTTAGTTCGCTGTACGCAATCATGCATGTGTCGACCCAATTTAAACCACTACCATTGGTGGTGGTGGTGTTTAAAATATATAGTACGAGGAAAAAAAGAAAGAAAATAAAAATGAATTTATGATTTCCAAGGTCTATATAAAGAGGCAACCCTAGCAAAGCCAAAAATATACAAACTCAAACTCGTTCTTTCTTTTCTTTACTCGATAAAAAAAAAAAAAAAAAAAAAAATGCTTTCTGCTGAATCTGAAACAGTGATGAGCAGACAAAACCGTTTGGTGCCGTTGCATGAACATCCTTTATCAATATTTACGAAAGAATCTATATATTCTTGCGATTTATGTCAAGGTCGAAATAGCATCTGTGCCTATCAATGCACAGAGTGCGGCTATCTTCTGCACGAAGAATGTATCCGGGGCTTTCTCAACAACCCATCTCCGTGCGGTCACTCTCTCAAGGTCTCCATGCCCAACAAATCACCTCAATATGCAAATGACCGATGCCATTTTAGTAAAAGCCATCTTCATTCTCCGTTTGCTCGTTGCACGATTTGCAACATAAACATTAGTATGCTTCGTATGGGAAATCAACCACCACCCACTATTTATCAACCGAAGCACCACGAGCATACCCTCACTCTTCTTTTAAGGTTAGTCACTTTTACATGTAATGCATGTGGTGTGGAAGGTGACCGCAATCCTTATGTATGTCTTCAATGTAATGTGATGGTACACAAAGATTGTATTGAGGATCTACCGAGAGTCATATGCATCAATAGGCATGACCATCGCATCTCTCATACTTTCCATCTTGGCCAAGGAGAAGGAGAATGGGAATGTGGAGTTTGTCGGAAGAGGATTGATTGGGTATACGGAGCTTTTAAATGCTCTCGTTGTCCTAGCTACGCCGTTCATTCAAGATGTGCGACTAGAAAGGAAGTGTGGGATTTTATCGAACTTGAAGGTGTGCCCGAGGAAGAAGAAGAAGTCGAAGAACCATACAGGGTAATCAACGAGAAAGAGATCGTTCATTTTAGTCATGAAGAACATGTTCTCAGATTGGATGAGAATAATGTTAACTTGCGCTGCCAAGGTTGCGTTCTTCCCATCAACGGAGATCCATGCTACAAATGCGTGGAATGTGATTTCGGCCTTCACAAAGCGTGTGCTAGTCTTCCTCGGAAGAAGCGACGTTTATTGCACAACCACAAACTTGTTTTACAAGTTGATGACTCTTCAGGGTTTTGGTGTAAAGCTTGTAGAACAATTTCTAATGGTTTTAGGTACAAGTGTGTTGACGACTGTGACGATGATGTTGTGTATGATGTTCGTTGTAGTTCGGCATCGGAACCATTTCAGCATGATCTGCATCCACATCCCTTATACTGGACACTGGAACGTTCCAAACGATGTCAAGCTTGTAACGTGGAAACCAAAGATAATATCTTAAGCTGCACGGTATGTGATGATTACGCATTATGCATGGGGTGCGCTACTCTACCAAGAAAAGTAAAACACAGGTGTGATGATCATTTCCTGTCGTTATGTCAAGGTGTCGGAAACGCAAGCGGTGGTAACTTGTGGTGTGATATCTGTGAGACCAAGACAGATCCAAATGTGTGTTACTATACCTGTGAAGCATGTGGTCTCAGTCTCCATCTTAAATGTGTTCTTGGAGATTTTTATTATATGAAGGTGGGAGGCACAGAACCCAATCCTGTAATATTTGCCAACAATGGAGTTACTCGACCATTTTGCATCGCTTGTGAGGCTCGTTGCAAGTTTCCCGTCATCCTGTGGGCAGCTATAAGTGACCTTTCTGCTGGCTACATTTGTTCGAGTGACTGTGCATATAGGCTAGAGGATAAATATTAGGTTAGCGTTTTTAACTTTCTAGATGCTGCAAGAAACTATATATTTGGTAATCTCGAATAAAATCTATATTATAATATAGAAATATTTTCCATTTTATTATTGGGAAAAATGTCAATTAAACCATGAACTTGTTGGTCAACGCCATTTAAACCTTGAACTTTGTCTAAGACCATTTAAATCGTGTAGTTTAGTTTGACTATCATTTTAAACATCACATTTTATTTCAGTGGGCTGGAAGGCTTTAAGAAGATTTAGCAGCAGTAATTTGTCTGTTTCAAACTCCGGGTGGGTCAACATCTGTAGACCACAAAAGTTTGGGAATGAAATTAGCATATTTGTATTAAAAAGGAACTAAATCCAACCAATGTACAACTAGTAACGTTAGGAAGTAGGAAATGTGGTAACCACATGCATCACAAAATTGGCATCAGGATAAGGTCAGGATAAGATAATAAATTACCTTACTGAAACAGTATAAAACTTCAGAAACCACAATATTGGATGTGTTCGGGTTTCCAGCCATAGCAAACTCATCTCTCCAACTAGTTTGAGAAGTTTGATCACCTATTATTATTTAGGTCAGATTAGAACACGCTAAATCGATATCTTTATCTCTCAGCAGGTTGATCATCTCCAGTTACCTTATCTGGATGACTAACCTGCCAATATAAAACCAGACAACTAAGAGTGAGCTGCCATCCCCTAAAAGAGGGAGTGAGGTGTGATCACCTAAGAAACTAAATAGAAAGAGAGATATTTCATACTACCTGCTTCCTTACTATCATCATAAGTTCATTTGAAACTGAAGATCGAAAAGAATCAGCACTTGCACGAGCTGATAGTGCAAGGAGGCTGAAAACCTCATAGACCTGCAATTATGTCTACTTTATAAGTTTTTATACAATACATTGTCATTCCAAGCATATTGTAAAGATATATACCCACCTTATGCAAATTTTCAATACTAAAACCCTCTAAGTAGTCCAAAATACCTATACAACACAAAACAACAAAAATAATAGATAACAGAAATGTAAAAGATCAGCACTAGTGAGTATATACTTATAAGTTCCAGAGAAACCGTTGTATGTGGGAAGAAAAGGGAAGGAGTTGCTGTGCATATTTTTTCACCAGAGCTGTCATCATCTCCAAGACAGAACTGACCTCAAATTTGTTATCAGATCCCACATGTGTCACTAGGGCACCTAGAATCTGCAACCAAATCAAATTAGAACAAAAATGAACTAATTATGCTAAAAACTCGAGTGGAAAATTTTACTGACCTACGAAGATTACTTGGAAATTGAATGTACGATGAGAACCCAGCTATGAAAATAGAGCGAAGGGCAGCGAGGTTATCTCTCTCACCGGAGTTAGCGGAGCAAGACGAAAAGCGACTAGTGAGATTGCGGCGGAAAGCGTGTAGATCGGAAGGAAGACACGGCGGACCGTACGGGTTCATCAGTGTGCATCCGACTTCCGCTAGAATCGCAGTCATCTTCTCCACCGCGTCGGGTTCAACGGATTCCTTTTGCGACTGGGGGTTTTTGAGAGACGGAGCAGCTGAGGATGATGACGGAGGCGGAGGCGGTGGAGGTTTTTTCCGTGAGAGGAACACCATTTTTTCCGGTGACAACGACGGAGACTACTCTCAATTTCGCCTATTGATTCTCCGATTAACAAATTTTCTGAAGAAATTTAGAAAGACGAGAGATTTCAAAAATTGGTAACCCTGAAGAAGCTAGCGCCAAAAAATTCAGCAAAGAGGCTCCCGTCCCCTTCTCACATTTACACGACACGCAATCTGTCAACGCAAAAGCAAGACGGCACGACGTGTAACCAAAATAAACGTAAAAGCAAAAACTGCACGGTGTGTAACCAAAATACCCGTAGTATATTTAGAACTTTGAAACGATCTGCCGTTTAAATTAATTACACATAAACTACTCGCAATGCATCGATACCAAAGAAAAGGACTTCTATGTGTATACAAGAGTACAATGGTACACAGAAGACTGGAAGGAACAAGCTACTGCAATTTGCAAACTTGTTAAGACAAGTCTCGTGATCACATTTAAACCCTGCAAGTCTTGGCAAGAGGCTCGCAGTCTTTATAGACCTCCAAGCCAGACTGATCAAGTTCGTCTTCCTTAAAACAAGCACAACGTTTGCTCATTGACCCCGTTATTGCTATCTCTAAAGGTCTTTGTACCAATCTCGGCACCCCAACATCACACCAAACCTGCATAAATAGGTTATGCTTTAGTATCCTTATGCTTTTAATTCCATCATAGATTCACTTTTACGTTCTTAATCTAATTCTCCACTTTAAACCAAACTAAGGGAGATAACAAGAATTCATACCTCTCCACCTTCATCTTGACTCCATCGTGAGTCGCAACTCGGTTGCTTGGCTTCCTCCGTCTTTTGTTTCTCCATAAGTTGTGCACCTCTAGAGGCTTTTGCTTCAGCTCCTTTTAGATGTTTAGTTGGATTACCTTGGCTATCGTAGTACCGCCCAACAAGCTTCCCAACAGGACTGTTGATCACAAATTATAAGCTAAAAGCCAAACCAATATGAATTATTATATAGGGTTTAAGATGAGCCGAGCATTATCCTTCTCAGTTCTTAGTACGCATCAGCTTTCTATCGTGTGAATAAAACCTATAACTTACATGTAGGTCCTGGAGTAGAAACCCCGCCAGTCAACAATGCTCTTCACCTGCGGATGTCAAACCATTTCAAACATTTAACTAAGGATAATCTGATTTATAAGATATCAAACAGTTAACAAACTACATGTTACTTCAATATATTAGAAAGTGATAAATACCAAGAAATAAGCACATCTGGGATAATGGCAAGATCAAGACTATTTTAGACATTCCATAATTTTCGTTGAAAAACTATGTGGAGCTTAAAAAAGCTTTACCTCACTGCTAGATAACCCCTGTAACGAATCTGTAAGTCCATCTCCTGCACAAGAAAGGAATCATAGCACAAAAATGAGAAATTTAAACATTTCAAAGATTACTGAAAACTCTTCATCACTCACTGAAGAATGCAGCAAACCATTTATACCTGTAAAGTTCCCAGAAACAAAAGCACGCGAAGCGTCTCTGAGAGCAAGAATTACATGAAAATACACACAACATCAGCGAGGAACATACAAGATTAACACAAATATATACAAGAACATATGAGAGAATCTTTACACGTAACATTGATCAAACAGAACAAACCTTCCAGCAAAATGGTTGTAACCTCCTCCACTACCGTAATGAGATTTTCCTTTCGTCACATCAAACACAGATCTGTGTAACATATGTAAAGATACTCTTTTAACAAAAAGTTGTTTCTTCACATATGTGTTTCGACAGCAGTAGGGAAAAAAGAGCTTACCCAAGAATCCCTAAGAGTATAGGTAACGTTTCATCAGTGCCATTATACAATGCCAACTCTTCAGCAGAGAATAACCTCTATTGATATTGAGAACATCAAGAAACAAAAAAAAAAAAAGAAAACACAAACAAACCATCAAATTCAAGACAGGACAACATAATAACACTGGTTTTCTAGTTTAGACCCATACATAACAACCATACAGACAAGGACCTTGTCTGATTCTATCTAAAATGAGAGTTTTTGATCCCCAGCTAATTTCGTCTGTATTTGGATATTTCAGAACGGGGAAGATAAGCTTTAAAGAAGAGAAGTGAGTACTTGGTTTGGGTGAAGTGGAGACTTAAGGGAAGATCTGAAGTAGAGAGCGACGAGAACAACAATCACCGTGACGCCAACAAAGGGAGATAACAGAAACCTCCTCGCCGGAATCATCGATTGGATCCGATTTGGTTTGTAATCGAAGATTCCAAAATCAAGTGAACTTTCTACACCACTTTTATAATGTGAGGACCTTTTATCTAAATAAAAAAACCTATCGGACAAAATTGCAATATTTTGAATATTTAGGTCGAAATATCAAAACTCTTTTGGAGAATGGACAGAAGAAATACATGATTCGTAAGAGGACTCATTTACTCACTGAAGGGGATTCATACAAAGAGCCACTCTTTTACATTTATAACATTATGTATCGAAGTGCAATTAGCGAACTTACAAAAGGTGAAGAAGAAATCATTAACACGCAATAAGCAATAAGGTAGTATGAGAACGCCATTAATGTATAATGTGATCTTATATGATAGTTTCATTCTTTTGGTAATCCAAAAATGTTACTCAGTGCTATACAAGTATGAGAGGCAAAGCCGGCCAGAAATAAACGCAATCCAAGCACTTGTTTGTAGCTAATTTCGGCCGATTTATTACCGTAAGTTTTAAATTGGTTGTACACCAATATATACTACAACTAAATCTTACGGTAATAAATGTGAATTTGAATTTTCCGAAATGAACAAAATGTGAATTTACGATGTATATCGAGAATTACACTTTTTGAAAAGGAAGTAGTGAATTACACTTTTTTACCAGTTTTATTACCGTTTTTCTTTCATTTCACTATGTAAGAGATCTATCAATTGTTATTGTTTCTAGTCCATAAAATCTTAGGTTTGGCTCTAATAAGAAATATAGTACATGATTTGTGGCATGATTTGGGCAAGAAATTACATATTTTTTTAATCGTCAATAATGTATGGTTAAAACTTTCCTAAGAAAAACAAAGTTGTTTTGTTTGAGCATATCTAAGAAAAATCAAGAATCACAATAGTTGTTATGTTGGTTGGATCTCGATCCATATACTCAACTTAAAGAAAAGCCCATCAGACTGTAAACCTCTCATGATCCGAGTGGACAAGCATCTTGCTTCAGCTCGGATATATGGTGTTATCTATTAGTTCAAAAGACAACCATACGTTTCACTTCGGAGAAACATATGTTCTTCCAAGGAATAATCCAAATGTCCATCTCTGAATTCTCGCCCATCGAAATAGGCGTTACGAACACAGATTCCAAAGCAAAACGTAAAATCTATAGTAAAAGCAAAAGTAATGAATTCATCATTAATGAGAAAGCGTTACCATTCACAATAAAAAAAATATTAAAACAACGAAGAAAACTATGAGAAAAAGATCGATTTTTCTTATGTAAAAGCAATATCATACACAAACAACGTACCTTTTTCTCATATTGATTTGAGTTAAACTTAATTTTTAATTCACATTTTCTTCGTGTATTTTCATTCGATTTTGACTTTTCACATAAAAATATTACCTATTATACAGACATTATAACTAACGTTATGATATTGCTGTTCTAAATACACGCATAATTAAAATAACAAATTCATAATCAGCTATATTTATTAAGTTTCTACAATAAAAATGTTTAAATTTTGACATATCTTTTTCATTACTAGCATTTTCTAGTAATTTTTTTATAAAATGATAAAAACTTGTTTTTCACTAAAAAAATTATAAGTAGATAATTAATGTGTCTATATCAAATTTGGGGTTAATGTGATTCCCATATATTGTGAGTTATTGTAGATTCATTGAGAAAATATATCAGATGTTTCTAGAATGGTGCATGTAAAATCGTTCATTGTGAATTCTACTTGTCAAAGTGAGAGTTGTCCATCCTAAGCATAGTGCAAGAAAAATCATATAAGGAAGATCTTTGTAATGAAAATATTAATTGTTCGTTGTATAATTTATACAATAATAAATTGAAAGAGGTAGAGAAGATAGAAGTAAATTAAATTATCCTCAAATAGTAATATTCTAACATAAATTATCATGGATTTAGTTTATTTATGAAGAGAATAATTAAAATACATTTATATTAGTAAAAAACATTAATTAAGAAATTTTATCCCAAATTTTATGGTTAATTTTTTTTTTAATTTGCATATGAAAGATTCATGATGAAAAAATAATTTAAATGTGAAAATCTGCCAAGTGAAAGAGTATATATATAGCCTTATTGAAAATAGATTAATGTGGAGACATCAATAAAAATATAGAAAATTTCCTATAAAGAAATATATCAATATATATCAGTGCCAGTGGTGTCGAATTATATATACAAAAAAGACAAGAAATATGGGTTAGTTTATCTGAGAAATCTCTTTTGATGAAAATTTAATAATTAAATATTTAGAGGGACTAGATTTCGCCACGCTGGAACTTCCACTAATGATGTCCGTTGGATCTTTAAGAGCAACGGTGAGGATTGCTAAAAGGTTTTTAAGAGCAGAAGATATGAGCCGTTGATCTTTTTGGTTAGTGCTTTTTATACAAAATATATATTGGAAGATAATGGGAAGCAAGTCGAGAGATAGAGAGATGGAGAAAAATAGAGAAGCTCGAAGAGTGCCCATGGCGGCCGCCGGAAATGGCTTCTCTAGACGGAGACATAGAGCCGGAAGTTTCAGAGACTCTCCAGGTTTCTTTTTATTTTCTCTTCTTCTATCTTTTTCGATTTCTTCAGATCTGAGGAGAAATTATTTTTGATTTCTGATTTTGTGTTTTTTTTGTCACAGAGGAGGATGTTCCGGTGGAGTATACGGAGACGGCGAGGTTAAGAGATCGAGGAACGAGTTCGAAGAAGGATCGAGATCGAGAACGAGAAAGGGAGAGGGAGAGTCAGAGAGATCGGTTAAATAGCCGGAGTAAAAGGAGAAGAGGAGAACGATTGGTGATGATGCAAGGTAATATAGACGACGGCGGCGGAGAAGACGAAGACGACGATACCTCCGAGGAGAGTGTAAACGATGATGAAGAATACGACGACGGCGGTGGAGCGACGAAGATGCTTCCACCAAATAATCACCATCAGAGGAAGAGTTTTCCTCAGAGTAAAGTCTTCAGATCGTCTCCTTCTCCGACGCCTTCATCTCCTATTGTAACTTCATGGAAAGCCGCCGACGAAATGATCGGTGTGTCGGTTCCTAGAAAAGCCCGGTCAGGTAGAGAGGTGGAAAAATTGCATTATCCACTTAATTTTTTTATTTTTGTTTTTATCATATCTCTGTTTGTTTGAAGCTCTCTTCTAATTGTGTGTTTTTTTTTTTTGCAGCTTGTACTAAGAGGTCGCATGAGTCTTGGACTAGCGGCGGAGGAGTTTTCGCTTCCGGTGAGAAAATTCACCGGCAAATATCAAGTCCGGCTTCTATGTTAGCTTCTCCGTCTCCACCAGCTCCTCTGTCTCCATCTTCCTCTAACGTTTTAGTCCGGAAGAAGATGGTCAGTCTCTCTCAAATTTCACTCTCTTCCTCTTTGGCTTATTTGCTCTAATTTTTTTTTTTTTTTTAAGACTCCTGGACCAAAACCGAAGCCGCTTCCACCAAAATCTCCGGTGGCGGTGCAAGACGAAATCGAGATCGAGATCGCGGAGGTTTTATACGGAATGATGAGACAACCACAAGGACCAGCTAAACAAGAAACCGCCGGGAATGATTCCGGTGAGAACAGTAAACCAACGGGGGAAGTGAAGTCGACGTCATCTCCGCCGATCTTCAACTCGCAGGTTGCTACTCCATTATCAGCAAATTCGAATATCGGTAAGTCATCTCAAGTTCTCTCCGATTCACGACGATCTCTCAGGTCTGTGACCTTCGTGCTCATTTTTTTTTTTTTAATTTGGTTTCAGCTCCTAAGAGGAAGAGGCCGCGACTAGTTAAATACGACGAGGATACTAATTACAAAACCAAAAAGTCTGAAGACGAAGTCCCTTTAAGATCCACCGGAGAGACGAAAAAATTACAACCATCGACGTCGTTAGATTTGAGCTCCGCGGCGGAGAAGAAAGAAAATGGTATCTCAAAAGAAGAAAAAGTATCACCGGAAATGGAATCTTCGTCTGGGATAAGATCCGATGGCGATGTGACAATCACGTTAAGAGTTAACCCGTAAGAATCTTCCCCCCTCCTTTTTTATCTCTTCATTTATCTCTGTAAACCTAATTCTGATTCTGATCTCTTCTTCCTTTTTTTTTTTTTAAAATTCATATAGGAGTTTGCCTACATCGGAAATGGAGAAGATAGAGTTAAATCTGATGGTGCGTGTCAAAATTCGTTTTTTTTATTGGAAATATAAATTATTATTATTTTTTTAAAAATATTAATTATTTATAATTCTGATTTTGTCACCTCTGAAGGCGCCACCGCAGAGGAGAGAGTCGTCACCGGCGAGAGATGGTGATACTGAATGTGTGGTGGTGACAGAAGCTAAACCTAAAGTCACAATTATGGAATCGGTGAGTGGGGTCTGTTTTAAAAAAAATATAATTTTGGTAATGCGACAATGGAAGATATCCATTAATGATTGACCTTTTCTCCCCTTTTTTATATATTGTGTTTGATATTTTTTTTTAAAGGAAACAAAGCCTCTCCTAGATTTTGGCTGCAAGGAAGATCTGACTTTGAATTCTCAAGATAGAAATCCCAGATCTCAAGCAGGAGGAGATGAATTTCACAAATCAGAGAGAAACTGTCAACTTAAACTCGATCTTTCTGACCCAGAGAACAAACACCATGGTCAGAAGCAGCTATCTAGTTCCGATAGAGCAGGTTAAGTTTTTTTTTTTTTTTTTCTTCAACCAAGAGTTGTTGTTACTGTGCTATTACTTTCAGCATTTTATTAAATTGGATCTCTTCTTTCTACAGCTCAAGCTAATAATTTGTCTCTGCAAATGTCAATACCAAGCTGGCCTGGAGGGATTCCTACAATGGGGTATGCTTGGCTAATTTTAGCAATAAATTAGTAACCTTTTTCTTTTTGCTACTTTGTATTGTTCCCTTGATTTAATGAAATGTTTTTTTTTTTTTTTATAACTATGATCAGATACTTGGGGGGACCTACTCATGGTGTTATGCCGACAGATGCCAACTCTTTATTACCATCCTCGACAATGCAGGTGATTGTGATTTCTTTCATTGCTATGTTCACTTGAAGTTTTTACCTTTGTTCTATTTCTGACTCTGTTTTTGTGCAGCCTCCGCATATGTTATTTAACCAACCGAGGCCAAAGAGATGTGCAACTCACTGTTATATCGCTCGGAATATCCATTATCACCAGCAATTCACCAAATTGAATCCCTTCTGGCCTCCAACAGCAGGATCACTACCTTTGTACGGGTCAAAGGCCTGCAATCTTAGTCTCATGCCTTCTGGAGAGCTACAAGGGAGTGTTCTGAGCAGAAGTTCAAACACTGTACCCGAGAAGAGCTCTCTTTCTGCACCTAACAGCTCAGATACAGCTCAAAGGAAGCAAATATTGCTCCAGCAAGCTCTGCCTGCAGGAGCCAGTAACAACATCATGGTATATTTATTGTGTTTTATTTTTCATTCCAGGTATCTTTCTCATGGTGTATTGATTGGTTTTGTTTCATTTACAGCACGGCCCGACATTTATATTCCCACTGAGCCAGCAGCCTCATGCAGCAGCTGCAATAGCTGCCGCTTCTGGAAGGCCTCCTAACGCCGGCAACGCAGTTGTTTCATCTGGTGCAGTGGCTGCTTCCGCGTCCATGAATGGTTCTCCATCAACAGCTCCAGTTGGTGCTACAGCAATGAGCTTCAGCTACCCAAATATACCGACCAATGAAACTCAGTATCTGGCTATCTTGCAGAATAATGGGTATCCATTTCCAGTCCCAGCGCATGTTGGCACACCTGCTTATAGAGGAGTTACCGGGCAGCCTATGCCATTCTTTAATGGTTCGTTCTATTCTTCTCAAGTGGTCCACACTCCACTTCATCAGCCACAACAGCAATCTGGTCAAGGGCAACAGACCCATGCTCCCAACAACCAGAACACAAATGTTTCCCCTGGTTCCTCGGCTGCACAAAAGCTTCTCCAGAACCAACAACGAAGGCCACCAGTAAATTCACAAGGATTTCCTACCCAGAAAGTTCACAGGCAGCATCCCAGAGATAACACAACTCAACATAGTGAACCTGCAGGAGAAGCGAACCCATCCACTACTGATAGTCGAGCCTCGCGTTCCAGTGTTGCATATGCCCAAAACTTTGCTTTGCCGGTGCAGCCAACTAACATGGGTTTGATGGGTACTGCAGCCTCAGGTGTCGGAGTTCTCGGTTCCTCTAACAATCATAGTGAAAGGAAACCAGAACAGCAGGTATCAAAGGTGGGTGTGGAATCTATTCAGCCTCAGCCTTACGCAATGACCTTTGCAGCGTTCAACGGAGGTATGCCAACTATGGCTCAAAATCATGCTATACTCCATGGCGTTCCAGAAACAGCAAGGCAAGAGTATCATCAAATGATGGCAGCTGCTGCTAAACATAAAATGAATACGGAAGATGGAAAATCTGGGTCTAATGCTTCTGCTAATGCCACAGAGGAATGGAAGACAACAGGGGCAAATGGTAAATCAACAACTGCAGGTGTTGGGAAGTCTATTGCTTTCTCTGGCAAACAAGATCCGGCTGATGCATCTGCTTCTGCGGTAACAGGTGCGGGTATTATTGATAGCTCAGCTCGGTTGCTCAACCTTGGCTCTGCTCAGCCTTGGAGTTCCAATCCTGCACCGACCTCTCACCAGCAGCAACACATGCAGAGGAATCAACCTCAGCAGCAGCAATATAGCAATTATCTCCAGATGCAACAACAGTACGCAGTTGCTGCTGCTAGAGGCAAAGGGCCAGTGATGAGTAACGGGAGTGGTTTCCCCGATCATTATATTGCCACCGCGCCTTCAATGGGATCCAATAACCCTCATGCTAGTTCAGGATTTCCTCAGAATCTTGTCCAGTCCGGTGGTAGTGGCAGTCCGGCTCAGTCTCCTCAGTGGAAGAACAATTCACCCAGAGCAAACTCCATGACCCAAGCTCAGCCTCCTTCCATGATGTCACCATCTGCTTCATCATCACTTAAAAACATACAGCAGAAACAGCAAGGTCGACCTCACCAGTCACATATATCTTTTGCAGCAAACTCTAAATTTCCGCCTTCTTATTCACCAACGCAGCAAGGAGTGGGTAGTGCTAACCAGGTTCCATCACCCACTACGTCTTCTATCTCCAAAAACGCCGGAGCAATCCCAAGAACAATCGCCCCATCCTCAACAGCGAACAAAACTGGACATGGTCAAGCTTCCTCCTCTTCTCTGTCTTCATCTCAGCCATCAAAGAACTCACAGTCGGCATTATCTACAGGTGGAAGGAACAATGGTCAATCTATTCTCGGAAATCCTCATGTTACTGCCACCACCTCAAACCCTACATCTAAGTCTCAACAACAACAACACCTGCAACAAGCTCAGCTTTACTTCTCAAGCCCATATATGCAAGCTCAACATCATCAGCAGCAGCAACAACATTTGAATCTCTCTAGCTATTACGTCCAAAGACATCAGCAGCAGCAGCAACAACAAGCAGGATCATCAGCTGCTGCAACATCTGCTACTCTCTCCAGCTGCACCACTGTCACTTCAGATTCAGCGAAAGCCATTAATACAAAAGGTGGAGGGAACAACAACAACTTGCAGAATACACAGACTGTAGAGAAGACGCATCATCATCAGCAGCAGCTAGGTCCTCCAGGATTTCCATACGTCCACCCTGGTCAAGTGAAACCTGGAGATCAGAAGCAACAAGCGGGTGAGTGAAAATGAAAACCCATTCGATGGTTGCTTTGGGAGTTCTTCTCACGCTTGTTGATTCCTCTGAAGCAATGCTCTGAGGAACGGTAGAATTTGGACAGTGTGAGAGGTCCTAAGAAACTGGCGGATCAGAAGAGGAAAGAAACACTCCCACACTCACTAACCAGTGAGAGACCATTACAGGGATGGTCTTGGTGGTTTTAAGAACTGTCTCCAACTAAGTTAGTGTTATATTCTGACAACAATCGTCAAACTAGTAGAGGGAATAGATCATTCAAGGTTAAATTAGCTTTAAGAATTTTATTCATTTCTTATTGGGAGTAGGGTTGTTTATGATTGAATTAAAAGAAAGGGTAGCCTAAAGGAAAATGCGGAAGGTGTTGCTCTTTGGTATGTAGCTTTAGACTTTGATTCTATCGAGTAGAAAAAGAAAAAGGAACCAATTTTGTGTCAAGAAAGATGATGGAGAAGTAAAAATGCATGTGTGTATCTGTTGTATGTACATGTGGTTTGGCTAGGAAGTAAATATATATATAGGGATGTATTTATATGTTTTTGGCTGATCGTGAAACTCAAAAAAAAAAAGAATGCTTATTTTGTGCTTTTGTCAATGACACAAGTGGTGTGATTCTTCTTTTATACCTTCACGTGTGGTTCACTGTGCAGTACGTACGACTGTACACAAAACTAAAGATTCCCCAAAAAGAAATAGAGAAAAAAGGATCTCTCCTGTTCTTATTTTTTTGGTCAGTTAGAGAATAAAAAAAATAGATTAAGTAGTAACCAAGAAAACGACTACTTATCTAATACATATAGATTTAGTGAAGACATCATTAAAGAAGCGTTCAGAAGACCCAAGGCTTGACCATCTTCTAGCCATCGAGTGTCCCAATAGAGGAGCTTTTCTCATTGTGCCATCAGTGACCTCGGATCACATATATACCCCTCTTGGCTTCATGGTGTTGTTTGTACCAATGAGAAAGTTTCTTCTTACACGAAAGGTTGTTCTTGTTTGCTTGTTGTCCTCCTCTTACGCGCACAAACTTGCCAAATTTACCAACAAGCTTTGTTATGTTTTGGTGGCACATGCAAATTCTCATTTTCTCTTCTTTTTCCTTTTATAAGGTATTGATTTTACAAAAATATATATATTGGAAATATTATATGTTTGGGTTAAACCTTTCTTATATTTTGATAAATTAATTGAGTAAATAAGAACATCTGGTCTTATTATACACATTTTTGTCGACCATTTTTGATTGGTCTAATTTTGATACCATGTTTTCTAAAAGATCGACCGCTATGGGACCAAGCATGTACGGAGTTCCTTTTCTTTACTGTTTTTATTCGCCAAAATAAATTATGGATTAGTGAAAATATTTTTATTATACCTTTTGTTCAAAAAAATTAATTAGACGTCTCTAACAAATTTTTTTTTAAAAACAGCTTAAATTATAGTGTTTTGTTTAGTTCAAACAATTATGTTAAGGTGCATAATGCTATTTTCTTTTTCCTTTGTAAGGTAATAATATTTTGGGAAATAGTTGAAATACCCCAAAACTCTGAACTAAAAGGAACTTTGGTGTCTGGAGAACAACATTTGTATTATGCAAAGTGTGAACAAGAAGGTAAAATAGGAACAGCCAAAATGTTTTGGATCAGTAGAGAGAGTGTAATGTAATGACTCATTGGATGATGAGTGGGAGTACTAGTACTAATAGTAGTAGGGACCAATCCTTTTTTGGCAATGTGACAACTTCAAATCGCAATTATAGTTTAGTGACATTTTGGGACATTACTGTGCCGACACGTTTAACGTCCATATATACTAATCTAGAGTCCACTGCACTACTTCAAGTTTGTATCCAATCAAAAACTGATTTGCTGTTTTTCACTAAACGCCTTTGGATTACTTGCTAATATGTTATTTTCCATTAGCTTTGTTTGTCTCTTCTAAAGATTCTCTAGTCTTAAAAGTTCATACCAAGTTACCAACCCGACCCAAACGGCACTCTTAGAATAACATTATTGATAGTATCTTAGCAAAATTTTAGGCTAAGATATATGAAGATATAAGATCTTATTCGCTACGGCAACGCAAAGAAGAGCCACCACATACAACTTTTAAAAAAGTTTGGAGGACCCAAATGAATACAACCAAAAGATATGGGGCTTACTTTTGGGGTAAGAAACAATTTTAAGGGTCCAATTGATAATGCAAAAAGAAGCCGCAGGTGGTGGTCTACTATGAAAACTCCATGGCCCCAAACTTATGAAACCTTCCCCCACTAATAATTAATAAATCTACAAAATCTCTAACTTTTTTTTTCCTTTCTTTTGAGCTAAATCTATAGCCCCCCGACAACATATAATGTCAATAGCAAAGTCTACAGTATTGTATTAAAAATATAAGATTTGGCTATTTCCCATTCATGCCACTTCAAAATAAAGTATTTAGAAACTGATCATGCTTGTTACATACGTTTGTTTTGATACATAGTGGCATAGGCCAATAAATGGGTAAACCTTAGAAGAAGTTAGAAGCTATGATCTAAATTATAATTCCAATTAGTCACAAACTCTATTCTTTCATGTTCTCGTAAAAGTGACATTGATTAGTGGTAATGAAAATGGACAGTGAAAAGTAAAAAAAATATATATATAAATAGTAAAATAATGGAAGTTTATCATAGGCCATAAAAGCTTACACTAGTTTCAATCTAACATAAACAGAAGTAAATTAGCAATCAATGCTTTTTTTTTTTTCTTCCTTTTTTTGGTATCAGTTCCTTCTTCTTCCCCCACATAAACTTTCTCAATGGAATCACAGGAACAAAATAAACCTCCTGCAATCTCATAATCCCAATTCCTCCTAACTTTTTCCATTTTTCTTTTTTGTTTCCTATACACAACAGTACCACCAGAACAATGTGTCAAGATGAGAAGAAAAGCTCCCATTTTTTTTGGTTCGTCTTTCGTCTCAAAACCTGGATAGTGTCTGTATTGATGTTGGAGCAATATGGAAGAAAGATTGTGTGGGGAGGGGTTTGACTTAGAGCTATTTTAATCAATCTGAATGAGTCAAAACAGCCATTTCTTTCTCTTGCTTCTTCTTCAAGTGTCTTTGCGCAGTTGCTGTCACAATCTTGACGAAGAAGTTGAGGAGCATGAGCCACACTATCCCGTTCCAGATCGATGCAAACGAAAAATCCCATTTGTTCACCTACCCAAGACAAAAGAAGAACTCAAAATTCAAAACTGAACTTTTGTGAAAGATGCTAATGAAACTTTCATAGTTAAGGAATGGAAAAGGAGTTAAGAGTTAAGAAACGGGGTAGCCAAAGGTTGTTTACCTTGATGTGAGATGGAACAGGGGATGGTGCATCAATGTACTTTTCTTTCATGGCGTGGAGTTTGGCTGTGAGTCCAGGCAACATCGAAGCCAAACCCGGGACATGGCTTAGTATCCATATCAGCTCGTTCTCCATCCAGTCGAGCAGTTGGTTATTACAAACGCAAATGATAAATATTGTCTTCATTAAGAAAGGAAAAACACAGAAGAATGAAAGTTAAAAACTGAAAACCATTTGGGTGTTGAATATTGAACCTATGAAAAAAGAGGTTCCGCACCTGTATGTGAGTTTTGATGATCGCCTTTCCGATTAAAGTCGCCAGAAAGAATTCCCAAAACGGAATTCCAAATTGTCCACACATTATTCCAGCAAGGTCAAACAAAGGATTTGGAACCTGCACTCAAATAAAAGTGGTGAGTATTGGTAAATCCTAATGCAAAGTATTGACCAAGATGCCAATACATAAGGTCCTGATCATTGATTACTAGAGAGCAAAAGATGGTACATGACACGGTAAATACAGTCATAATTAATTGTTACTGCAGGAGGTAAGGTAAGTTGGACAATGTATACTAACCGAAGCTAGAACCAAGACGGTAAAGAAATTCAAGTGTTGCGAATGGGTTAATAACCAACGCTTAATCCGGTTCAGGTAAGTCGCCATAAATCCGCTATCCTCAGATGAAGAACCATCTAACTCTTCCATTCCATCCACAGTGCTCCCAGAAATACTAGCTGGAAAAATTTAGAAAGTAAAAACACAATAAACAACCAAAATCTAAGCACACGCATTGTCGACTATCCAGTCTAGTTTTCCATAATCAAAGAGAGAAGCAATCTACGAACCTGCCCTCGAGATGAAATATGGAGGAAGCTCCCCAAGAGCGGTCCCAATACCCCATAAAATCGCCTCCAATTGGACTTGCGGCAATATGCTGGTAAGGGGCACACGCGATCCAGCAGCTGATATCATCAACGGGGGACCAAATTCTGAACAAGACTTATCAAGCCACGATGGTACCCTTTTCAACTGTATTGTATCATATGGTGCAGATTTTAAATCAACCCGGCCACAAAGCGTTGCTTTTATAGTGAACAATGCAATGTGCGGACCCAAATAGAGAACAAAAGTGTGGAGACCAGATCCTATAGAGGAAATGAAAAACAATAAGAACAAAATAAGTTGCTTCAAAACGCGTAAAACAAACATTACGTTCGATTGTGTGACTAACCAAGACCAATAGAAGATGCAACACCAAGTGCTATCCACCATAAGCCATATCGGATATACTCTAATACTTCTTCAACATGCTGTAACCAAAAACACACAAATGTTGGATGCCAAAATACAATCCGGGAAAGTCTAGATTAAAACGAAGAAGAACTTTACCTTTCCGTGAGGTCCATCAACAGTCACAAGCAAACAACCAGATCCCACTAACAAAGTGGTTATAAGTATGAACCAACCTCCATGAGCCAATAGATATGACACCGATCGCTTGATGTACTGAACAGTAGCCTCAACAAACAACTTCAATGTATTCAAAGGTTGTGTCGTCAATGTTAGATTCTCTACTTCCTTCTCATGCTTCTCACGTAGAGCTGCAAGTTTTACCACAGACAAAAATGAGTCTCAGATTGTCTGAAATCTACAATTCAGAGCAAAGGCTAAGCTTAGAAAGATTCATGACTAATCCAATATCACCACTAATCTAAAAAGGTTAAATCTAATCGATACACATCACCCAATACTCAAAATCCTTATTGATTCCACACCAAACAAATCAAAAAGCCATGAACCAGATCTCGAAACTATAACCAAACCTTCTAGTTCCAAATTCTCTTCCCTGATCCGGAACGAATTGGGTAAAAATCTAATGAACAGATAATCAAAAGGTCAAAAATCGAAAACCTAAAAAAGGAAGAAACTTGCCTGAGACAGCAACATCAGAAGAAGAACTTGCAACCGCAGCGGATCCCATGTCTGTATGTTGTGTAACCTAGTTGCGTCACCCAACTAACAATAACTATATCTCAAACGGAATAAAAAAGGGATTTTTAACATAGATTCCAATGTCTTGAAGGATTTCAGAACATGGGTTCGGTCGAATTGAAGATGGGTAATAAAGAGAAATAGATTGCTTGGAGAAAGAAAAAAAAAAAAAAAAAAACAATTTTTCGACTTTTGTTTATAAATGTTTTGGCTTTTTTTTTTTCTTTTTTTCTAACGTGACGTGTGGGCTTTGGTTGAGATGATGAGTAAACCAACAAAACACAGAGATGAGAGATCTGGTCTTTGTAGAAGACAGAGAGATATGGAGGAATCAGAGATTTGATAGGAGACGCAATTGGAAAAGTTACCAACCCATAATTCAGAAAAGCCTCTGCTTTACGTAGAGTCTTTGGTTAGGAGTTAGGAGGTCATTGGACTTAAAGCCCATTTCAGTCTTCACAATAGTAAAACAGAGACAATGAGTTTTAATGGGCCTGAGTCAGGCCGGGTTCAAATTCAATAAAAAAAAAAAAAATAGAAGACCATTTAGTTCAATAGCTATTTATTTTTATTTTTATTTTTGGTTTTGATTTAGAAATGCATTACCAAAAAGGGATGATAGAGAGACTTTCAAAGTCAAAAAAATGATAGATTACTTTCCAAATGTTCAAAAGAGAAAAAAAATCCAAAGTTGGAATGTAATAATCTTATTATAGGTGGAAACAAATTTAATACATAAAAATGTATTTATAAAGCTCCTCTCATTATCACTTTGAGTTCTCATCTTCATCCTCACTCTCAAATAACATTTCAAACAAAAAAAAAGACTTCGAATCTCCAACATGGATAATCAATCCCAAACTCCATCCCAGCCTGAACGACAACGATCTGTGGTATATTTCAATCTATGCTATACAAAAATTCTTACCCATTGATACTTTCATTTCTTATCATTATTATTTGTGTTGATTTGTGAAGAATGTGCATTGGATGTAAGTTTTATATTTGATCTAAGATAGTATAGTTAATCAAAATTTTAACCAACTGAATGAAGAAAATATACAGATTTTGTTTTAACTTTGCCTCGCAAAATTTGAATGAGAAATCTTCATTGTTTGCGCTCGCAAACAAGTATATTACAATATTTTTTTCTTTGTATTATTATTGAATCTAGGTTTTTTGTCTTTTTAAATAGTGTGGTTCATAAAAAAAAATTACCTTTTAAAAAATATAGAGATTTAGTTTGAATTTTCACGCATAAATTTGAATGAAATACATGATTGATTGCGCGGGAAAGCAATCAAATCTACGTTTGTTTTCACTAAAACAATATGATTTGAGCTTTCACGATATGCTTGATCATCTTCATCAAATGTTTTGTGCACTTCTTCTTTCTTCTGTTTTCAAATTTAGCTTTTTGTTTGGTCTTATAATGAATATACATTTTTTGTTTGACTTTCTTTCTTAAATTTTGAGTGAAATATTTTTTTTTTTTACACACAAAAGCAACATGATGTATCATTTAACTAATGGAGGCATAGCTAGAACTAATGATACATGAAAAAGGCTAACATTGTTCAATTTGATTTTAACGAGTAGGTTCTTGCTCTCCCTGCTGCTAGTCAGCGTCGTCCAATGCTACGGAGAAATGGTTCTGTAAGTTTTAACGTATTGCACTTTTTATTTCTCAAACTTAAATGTAGTTTAATATTGTTTCAGAATTTATTTGTATCACATTATATCATACTAATATGATAGAAAGAAGGGAAACAGTGGTTGAAATTATGAAAATTAAGGTATTCCTAAAAATTGTAGAAAGTATAAAAATATTATTCACACACACATATATACCTTAGAAATTGTTTTGCGAGTTCACTGAAAGGTTAGTGTATAAAGGTAAATAACAATGATACAAATTTATTACAGGGACGTCGGGTCTTTCCAAACCAACAAATTTTTACCATTGAGGTGCGTTACAAAATCAAATATTTTATTTATAGCATATGAGCATTTGTTTAGCTTACCAATATTCTGTATAGTTATGATAAATATCAAATTATTTACCAACAACTAATTGATCTAAAAGTGATCATACTGTAAGATATATTAAGATTAATGTTAAGAAATATTTTTGAGTTTATTGAAAATGTCCAAGATAACAACAATGATACCAATTTTATCACAGGAACATTCGGCCTTTCCAATCCCACCAGTTGTGACCGTTGAGGTGCGTTATTGAATCTTAAAATTGTATGTTTTGACCTATATTTTTTTTTTTTTGTAAACGCACCTCTATGACCTATATTATATACTATTTATGCAAGAGCACACACATTATTCGATATTCTATTTTTTGAGAATATTGTTTTCACATATTTATATTCATAGAGGTGCGTTTATAGACGAAAATAGTTTTTTTTTTTTAACATCAAAAAGACTTGGATTAACTCACGAGAGCCAACTCAAGGGATAGTTGTTTACATATTTGACTAGTTGCGGACTGGAACGAACGACAAAAATAGTTTTCTAACGCATTTATACTAAAAAATTAATTAACTGTAGGTTTATTTTTTGTGAAGAAGATAAAATTTGTACCATGCATAAATATGAAACATGTACATGCATGAATGTGAAACTTGTACATACTTTAATTCAAGTATAATTTTCTTTGCTTTACAGGTCAATGATGATGACAACAATAACGTAATTGAAGTTACTAATGTGGGAAATGACAACAATGCAACTAAAGTTACCAATGTGGGAAATGATAACAACGAAATTGAAGAAGTTACTACTATCAACGACGACACCGGTAAGAACAGTTAGACTTTTAATATATTTGTGATTCTATTAGACTTTTCATAGTAATCTTATTACAAGTATTTTGAGAAAAGTAGAAAATAAATTTGTGATTCTATATTGCAAAATTTCAGTTGCTACCAAAGCCATCAAAGATGATGATGATGCTGATGACATTTCTGAGGACTCGAAGAACTAAGTAACATTTTGGCATAAGTTAAGATGCCATGTTTTATCGATCTATGATTTCATCATGGTTTGCTTAAACTTCTCTTTTATTTCTTTCATATTCTAAATAATAATGATCAAACTATTGGGTCTGTAAGGATAATATCTATTTGTTCAGAATTAGCTCTTTGAGCTTAATATATTTGCTATTGAGGATTATTTTCATTACATATATATGCTTTTATTTGCATGATGATAGAGTAATCATTCTTTTTGTTGGGTCAGAAATAGAGTAATCTTAAGAATGATATGACAATATATATTATGTTTATATGGTGAGTGATCTTAATTGTGACTTGATTCAAATTAGTGAACTTGATCCTTTAGTTTAGGGTATTCATTAGATTCAGAGAGCCAAAGTTGAACGTTGAGTGTGAGTTTTGGTACATCGGCTAATGATGTCTCTTTCACTGACATCTATATATGTTTTTAAAGTTACAAATCATATATATATATAGGTGGTTTTATAGAGTTTTTTACTGACTAATGCTCATATTAAGATAGTGGTCTTTGTTAAAAATCATATTATGATAAGTCACCTAGTTAATAATTAAACTCATGAGTTTAATTATAGCTAACAAGTCTCTCCTAGTTAACATTTAAACTCATGATTAATTTGCTTTATAAATAAATGTTCGACCAAAAGGAACTGTTTCGTGACAGTATACAGAAAACAAAAAAAATCTAGGTCGAAAAGTCTTTGTTTATTGATTAAGATGTTGATAACAATTACAAGAACAAAGGCACCACTAATCAACTATGAAACCTAATCATGTTCTTGAGTTGGTTGCGGCGGTCTTAGAGGTTTAGCTAAGTTGGTAGTACTACTAGCTCTCAGTTCTGGTGTCTCTTTTCCCCCTTGAGGGATCATCTATTGATAAAGAGTATAACTTAACCCTAATTACAATTGTCCATGTGTTTAACAACTGTGAAACGTTGATAGGTCGATGAATTATTTTTACCCAACAATAAACAAAAAAAAATATTGCATGTATTGTACTTAAACATCATCCAATTAAAATTAAATAACATGTTTTTTTTCAAATTTAAGGCTTGATTTGGAATTTAGTTAGTGTCGATTGTCGAATTTTTCTATACAATACCTTTTTGAAACCTCACACACATAAATTCTACTTTTTCGAATTGAATTCATACCAAATCTAAGATCGATTATTTCAAAGAAAACTCTCATATCAGTTAGGAAAATCAAAGTTTTTAAAATTACTTTTCAAAACATATTTTAACCGGAAAAAAAAAAGATTTAAAACAATTTCGAGCAAGAATCAGGTTTAGATCATTAATGTAGTTACATGAAACCACGATCCAGTTAACATTTTTAGTTTTTCACTAGATCGGATAAAACTCAAATTCGGAAATAAATTTACCTCTAACGGAAAATAAAATTCGAAAGTAAAAATACATAAAAAAAAAACAATTTGTTTATGTGAAACCATATATGTTTTTTTTGTTTTTTTTTTGTCATCATGAAACCATATATATAATTACCCGAGTAAAGGATCATTATCGAAAAAATTAGAAGGTCGAAGAGTAAATCCACCGTGAAGAGTTGGCATAACCGGAAAATCCTCTTGGTATGGAATGTGATGAAACCCAACGTTGTACCACATCACTATGTCTTTGTTCTCTATCTCTCTCTTCCTGTTCCCATCAAGACAAAACCCATTACACAAACATATTATTCCCTTTAAATCGCATTATCAAAAATACTTTAAATTAGTTTGACTTAATTACGTAATTACCTACTACTCCATACAGCTAAGCCGTCATCTCCACGGCTCCTATCGCTATAAAACCCACCTGCCCATCTCTCTGACCGGTTATAAGCAGTCACCCAAACCGGATACTTCGTGTAACCGGCTCTTATCTCCGGGTAATCATCCTCGGTTAAAAGAGAGGTAACTGGTAAATGCTCCGGTATCAGCCGGTAACCAACATTGTTTCCTATTCTTGTCTTCTTGTTAGGGTTAACTATTAATAACTCAACCGGCTCTGAGCCTAGCTTAACCCTACCGTCAGCTTCCGTTTTCGCCGTCTCTTTCACCACCGTCCAGTAACTCTTCTTCGGAGAAGACGTTTCGTTAGCGTCCGTTACTCTAACCGTTTTGAGTTTGGCTTTCACCAAGGAGTTACCGTTGCCGTCAACGTCTAGGTCTAAGTAGTACGTTAGGTAATGGTCGTGGTTAACGGCTATGGTGTTCTTAGCCACCAAAGTACCGTAAACGCAGTCTTTGATCTGATCGTTTGAAGTGTACGACGTAGCTTTCACCTCTAAAACTCCAGTCAAACCCACCTATATATTCAAATATATATACCAACCCAAGAAGAGTCAATTACTTAGAAAAGTTAAATACCATATTAATAGATTAATGGTTATAAAAACACTTATAACAACTCAAAAAGTTGAATATATATATAAAAATGAAGTAAAGAGTACGCACCCCAACTCTAATGGCTCCATTCTTTTTAAATTCCCAATCGACGATGTAATCATAGTTCCCAAGTGTGGCCACCATTCTAACCACTAAACTAATATCAGCTTCTCCACTAGTTATCTGCAAAAAGAATTAATAAAGTTTTCAAGAAATATATATTATTGCATATTTGTAAAGGGATAAGCTGGATTTAGAAGTTTACCACTTGTCCTGGAACATTAATCTCGGTATGTCTGAAAGAAGCACCATAACTGTTTTTTTCAAAGACACACATTACATTGGTCATCCTCTGAGCTGTACCGTCTGGTCCCGAAACGTATCCATCTAAAAACGCAGCGTTTTGTGGGCAGTCAATGAGTGGCTGAAGATTCACGGCGGATTTCCCGAAACCGAACTCTCCGATGTCCATGAACGTACGGAAGTACCACTCGTAGGTTGGGTCCATGTAAGGAACAAAAGTCTCTGAGACGTGTCCTCTGTACATGACTCGTCGGAACTTTTTGGTTCTTGGGTCAAGAACCGAAGCTGTCGATATGGTTACTCCAGCTCTTGCTGTGAATCCGACGTGGAATTTCCAGTTAGCCCACTTGACTCTATTGTTGAGTATCTCGAAGCCTGTGTCGGAGACGTTGCAAGAGAATGGGAAAGGTTTGTGTTTGGTTCTAAAGTCGTTACCTTCTTTGTCAGGGAGAGGCTTTCTGAATCTGTCGGAGTACTTCACGACTCGCATTGAGTCAATGTCTATAGTTATGGTGATCCCTTCGATGGGTCTTGTGAAGACGTTAACTGATCCGTCTCTGTAAAAGCAAGAGGCTTTGACTTCGCGTCTCGTGGTGGTTTCTCCGTACCATCCAACGGTGAAAGGGATGCAAGAAACCTCGGAGATGTTTAGGTCTCGATCAAGAATCGATTTCTTGAAAGAGGGGTAAGTTAGAGGAAGCTTGCTTGCTTTGAAAAGCTCTATGAATGTGAATGAAGGAAAGCCATGGCCAGTGTAGATCCGAGAGGATACGATCTTGCTAATTTCTAGGTCGATGATGAGCTCGTGGGTTTGACCACCGGCACGAACCACCACGAGTGAACGACGACGTGGAGGTGGTGGTTTCTTGAATGGATTTGGTGATAGCCATCTGAGGACTTGCTTCTTGTTTGGTTCGTCGAGGTCGAGGTAGTGAAATGTGAGATCTTTGAGATTGCCTAGATGAGAGTTCTTGACGATGGAGCTTGTTTTATTGATTTCTTGGGGAGTTAAGGGATCAAGTGGGTGGAAATGGAGGCCAAGAGTGTAAAGACATTGTAGGAGACAAACTAGGGCAAGTATAGGTGTGTTCATTGATGGAGAAAGTTATGGTCAAAATTTTTATTAGATATATATCATTGAAGGAAAGAAACTGATGGAGTTGTTATTGAAGAAGACGACAACAAAGCATTTATATGCATGCACCTATATGTTTTGTAGTTGCGTCGATAACATTAATAAATACACATATAGTCCGACTTGGAAAGTCGTCTAATGAGACCCATTAAAATGAGAAACGTAAAGATGAAAAATAATTATGACGTGAAATATTTTATGCTCTTTCTTCTCCTACAAGGGAGCAAAACTTATTATTCGAATGGGATGATGTATGAATAATAAAATATAAGGTGATCATAACTTGAAGTATAAACCAAGGATTATACAAGATGATGACTACTAATTCCCCACTAGCACACATGATGATGTTATTTGCAATCTAAAGTTGTTTACGTTTTCTAAATTCTAAACGCACAAATTACAAATTGATTAGAAATTAATATATATAGAATACGTTATCAAGATAAAAAAAGCAATATCATGTCCACGTTAACTAAATTCTACAGTATAAAGCTAATATATAAACACTGTATGTTTTTTGAATATAGGAAAGTGAATAGGAAGAACTCTAAAAGAGATTATATAAAAGTCATTTTTTATATGTTTTTTTAAGAGAAATAGAGTTTGAAAAATCCTTGATGTTCCAAACATGGACTCAGAACAACAGAGACTTTTCTACTCACAACATATAACTAAACAACTAGAACTGATAATAATAATAGTAATTAAATAGGTCTACCACAAATTGTAGTGTGATCCACAATGGGTAACTTAATAGAGTTTTTTTTTTTTTTTTCAAGTTGTGTCATCACAGGGATGAGGAACATGACTGGTTCGTAATCTTGGGAAGCCACTCTTTGTAGTAATTTTGGCAGTCCACATCAGTTTGAGAGAGAGCTCCAAGGGGTGTCACCGTAATCTGCAGTTGAAAAGAAGCGTTTGTTACTTTCTCAAGTTTGGACAAGGTATGGACACGAGTTAAGAGAAAATTATTATGCGGTAATGCGGATATGCTTACATATCCTTCTTTCAGGACGTGAGAATCAGTCCCTTCCTCAGTTATCCTATCCCTTACCTAAAAACCAAAAGAGCAAGAAGGGACACAGTTTCATGAATACAAAAGCTAGTAAGAGCTGAAACAATAGTGACAGATTCATTAACGATACCTCTCTCTTGAATAAGCGGCTCTCTTTTGAATGAACAGATGTGTCGTTGTCTGATGAGACAACTCCTGACTCTGTTTCCATTGTCATTGTTGATAACATCTTCGGTCCTTGTGCATCCTCTTCCACTTGTCTCCATCCCATTTTGTTCATGCTTTTACCTTGTTTAGTTAGTTTGTATCCCTTTCATTTGGAAAGAAGAATCAGACATACAAAACTCAGATATACAGTTAGGTGTAGGCATACGAGAATATCATTGAAAGCTGAGATGAGACTTACCTTATGATTAGCTATATCAGTCGGCAAATCGATATTCAGAAAGCATTTCATAGGATGAGTTTTGTTCTTGACCGCACTGAGTATGCCGTTGATAATAGGCAAGCAAGCTTGGGCAGAAAGGACAAAATCATTAGCATTCACCTCTTTTTGTTTCCTGGAGCATTAAGAATGAATAAAAGAGAAGGCATTAGAGGCAAAAAGAGAAGATAATATCAACAACACTGTATGAAGGCTAAAGAAAAAGTTAAGAGGGTGATATAAACATAGAAGAAATAGCATACATAATATCATAATTCAAATTAGTTACTTATACTCTCACCAATCAAAATCGTATGAAATGGAGGCAGAAGGCACATCATAAAGGAAGGCTTCACGAGCACCAGCAACAGTTCCAGAATAGACACTGTGACGGAATTAAAAACCAGGTAAGTGCTAGTTTGATAAACTCAGGCAGGAACCACACAAGCATAACAGGGTGTAAAACAATTTAATTGGCTAGAGAAGAAGTCTGGTTGCCAGTGAAACATTCTAACTAGTGTTTCTCCTTCTATATTCTCAGAATGTTGTTCTAATCCTAAACGAATTTTCAATGATCTTGGTAGTTTTATGGAGCTTAAATGCAAAATTTCAAACGGACAATAACAGTAACACCCTAATAATCGGTACAAAACATAACACAGTAAGGAAATAAGAATCCAGAACAAGGGGAAACAGGGAATGTTCACAGACATGTTATATCCACAGTTGCTACCGACGTTAATACCACTAAGAACCTGCAAGGAGAAAGAAACAAACATCAAAATCTCCAGAAAGAAAGTAAAAAAAAAACACGGAATACTACATAGACCAAGAGATCATAGATGTTTCCTAAACAATAAGTAGAAGTAACTGTTGTGAGACACAGATTAAAAGGCTTTTACAGCGACACTCAAATAATTTGCAGCATAATATGGTTTACCAGGTCAGGAAGAGAAGGGAAGAGTGCCTCGGATAAGCCCAAACCAGTGCAATCCGCAGGGGTTCCTTCAGAGAATACAGAACCAAGTTATCCAGATGACATAAAGGACAAGAGCCAACATATGTGACAAAAAAACAACCAATATCATATCCTAAACAAGGTAAACCGTATAAACTCATATAGCAAAAGAGAGCGAACCATCAACAGCATAGGCTGTAGCTCCATCAATTTCAACTCGTTTTGCAGTAAGTGGTCTATTCCATATGATACTGTGACTAACAGCAGATTTCTCCCTGGAAAATGCAATAACAAGTAAGAGTTACACATAATCTCCACAAATCAAACAACAATTCGTATGAAGCAAATCCAAAACACATCAACACAAGACAATTCTCATCTCCGTACATATACGTCAGAGAAAAATAAGCAAATCAAAATCCTAATGTAGAGCAATTTCCAGATTTCTACATATCAAACGACAAGCATTTCAAAAACGAGTTCCACGAAACTCGAATCGCTATTTGGTGAAATTCAATTCATCATCAACACAAAGAGAGCGAGTTCGATCGTAATATCAAAGACGATTAAGCAACATTTTCTATCGAAAAAAGTAATTAGAGGAGTAAACGTACGAATCAGGAGCGCAGACGCGAACATCGTAGAGGTTGGTGGAGACGAGGACGTGAACCAGGGAACGCAAGCCAGGCGCGTCGATACCGTCGTCGTTTGTGACCATGATGATCGGCCGGTCACCGGAATTGCGATCTCCACCGTCAATTTCCATCGCTCCCGTCAGAGGAACCCGTACGAAATTTTAGATATTTGGAGAGAGCTTCTTTTGGAGCTTCTTCTGATTTTTTAGTGAAGAGGGTTAATTTGATAGTGGCCATCTTTTAACACTTATTTATACTACTCTCTCTTTTTTTTTTTTGGTCAACATTTATACTACTGTTTTAGCTAGTTATAATCTTACTATAGTAAAAAACTTATTACATTTATATATATTCACAAACCATATCTGAATTTTTAATTATTTTCTATGTAAAGGTTATGTAATTTTTCTATGTTGTTATAATTAGTCAGACTTAAAATTAAATGAAACAGTCAAGTAGTCAACTACTGTATTTGAGTTATAGAATAACAGAATAAGAAAGGTATTAGTCAAAAAAAAAAAAGAATAATAAAGGTATGTTCTTAATGTTTAAGAATAATAATTAAAATTACTCTCCTAGTTCTTTTAAAAAAAAAAAATATTGTTCATAAAAATATATGTTTTTCATTTCATTATTAATTTTATCCTATAAGCGACTTAAAATACTGAATATTATAAAATAAAGTAATGGTTTTTATACGTTTGTAAAACTTTAAAATTATTAATTTTTTCTGTCAACTTTTGAGTTAAAAATCATTTCTTCTGAAAAAGAGAACAATATAGTCCAATGTATTGACCATTTACAAGGTTTATTTTAGTTTTTGGTTTTCAGCAACAATTTTATTACATTTTAGATAATTATTTTTCTTATCACCTCCAATGATTTGAAGTGTTTATCTTTAGACTTTAGATAATGTAAGAGCCATTATGTAATGGCTACCGAAGTAGAAAATAAGAACTTTATTAGACGTTGTCACTTTCACGAAACAACAAATTATTGAAGTGATCAAGTTCAATGTACAAATTATTGAAGTGATCAGGTTTATTTGCTATCTCTCTCTTTGTGATATCATTTCATTTATTCCTCTTTGTGTTTGCCCACCATTTGTTAGGTGAAGTGCTTAAGTGCATACTAATTATAGCATTATTTGTATAATATTGTTTTGTGAAGTGTTTTAATCGTTGCATTTTTCTCCCAAATAGTTGATCTCATGACTCAGAAATAACATAACTTTATATCAAATCTGCAAAACTCACCTAAATGATATATGTTTGGTAGAATAGAACAATTAGTTTGAGAAAATTCAGCCACATCACGTAAGCTTATTTCTTTTATTAATTTTGTTGTTTACAAAAATAAAAGAAGGTATTTTAGAATACCTCATATGATTATGAACGATTATTATTATTATCATTATTAAGCTTTGATCTTGATCTCCTCTCTCAACGCCTTTCTCGAGCATCGAACTAGTCATGCGTTACGCATTAAAGTGCCTTCACTGACCAAACAAGCTACTTGAGACAAGGCAAGCCTTGTTTCCTTTCAAACAAATTAAACTAACATTTCCATCAATTTCAATTTAGAAAAGTAAAAAAAAGGTATTTTATAATACCTCATATGATTTTGTATAGAGAAATTTATAAAAACAGGCACTTGTTAGGAGTGATATTCAGATTTAGGCATTAGAATAGTGAAAGGTATAACAGTACACACAAACATCACTGTTGATGGCTTTTTTGCCCTTTTGTCTGTGAGTCAAATTTTTTGGACATGACGTCAGAGAAGAGAGGGAGTCTCTTCAAAAGAAGCTTCACAAAAATCCAGCGAGCTTGAAGGTTCGACTTGTCCTCATTCTAATTTGTAGTTACGTTTAAGTTTGATTGTGGATTTTGTCAAGCAAAGTAATGAAATATAACTTTTGTTTCATGGACATACAAAAAAAGTTTATAACATGTTCTTGTCCATCAAAACACATTGTTAGAACCCCAGATGTTTGGTCGAGAGATTAAGTGAGAAACTCTCCATTCTTCTTGATCTGTTCGTCCACGTCCATATATCCCCATCTTATATGAATTTATCTTTAGCTGAAACTAAGGAGACTGTAAAAGAAAGGAAGAAAGTGAACACCTTCCATCAAAGAGAATTAGTGTATTGTCGTAACTCCACAAATTCAATATGTGTTTCACTTCCATAATTTCATATCAGCATAGTTTACCCAACCAAGCGTTTAGAACTTAGGAAACCAGAATATGTTGGAGATATCTCAAACTTTTGTCTATCAAGGCGACATGATGCGTGTTCACTTTTTTGGGCGTCGGTCTTCAAAACTATATACCCTAATGCCAATACGGTTGAATGAACCCACAACGATGCAATGGTGTTTAAAACTATACCCTAAGCCAAGATGGATGAATGAACCCAAGGGAAACAAATATAACGAGGTGTTTGTGTTCAAAACTATACCCTAAAGCCAAGACATATGGAGAACCCAAGGGAAACGAATATAACGAGGTGTTTGTGTTCAAAACTATCTCCTAAAGCCAAGACATATGGAGAACCCAAAGGAAACCAATTTAACTTTGTGGTGATATTTAAACTATCTCCTAAATCCAAGACATATGAATGAACCCAAAGGAAAAACCAATTAAACTCGCAGTGAGAAAATGAACATTGCAAAATATTATGTTATACTTACCTTCGGACAAAGAGTTTTATTCCTTAGCCATTGTTGAAACTGAAACGAGTTAAAAAGATGAGTTTAGAGACTCGTACACATTAAATAGGTTCAAAAAGTTTAACAATACAAGTACCAACTAACTACGAAACTGGAGTTTGGTGATTCGAAGAAAACGAGAAGTGGGTTAACGCATACAGCTCTATTTCCATGATCAGACCAAAATCAGAGCACAAAATTGGCTTATTTACCTTCAATTGGAATTTCTAATCATTGATGGCTTCACATCGAACCCATAAACCCTTCCTCTTCCATTACCGCATTCTTAATACAGAGCCATCGACACAGGAAACGCTCCTTCCACTACTCATCTTCACCTTCGCATATTTGGAAATTATCCCTATGATCCATCAAAAGTCACATGAAATTCTAAAAAACAAAACAAGCAGACAAACTTAAGAGAAGACAAATATATTGCTAAAAAGACAAAGAAAATTAAAAGTAATTTCAGTTAAGTACCAGTTTTCGTATGAACCCTTCGCTGAAATCAGTGATTTGCCTATATCTTTCACAGCGAGTCTCACTCCAGTTCTTATCAATCCCATTAAGAAGACATGGAAGTCTCTAACGGCGGCCCTAATTGCGAACAGTTTCTTCGAGATCTCTGAGAAACCTCTCTGCAAACATCACCAAAAAGTTCAAGAACTTCGACAGATCGCGTCTTCACTAGAAGGCCATCATAATGTTTCGTTGGATTATAGAGACAAGGCTTGGAGAGCATCGCTTGGGTGAAAGGGTGACAGAGAATTGTATTCTCCTCTTTCGAATATCATCCGGAGGCGAACGTAAACCTTTGTGATATGGATGATGTCATCAAAGAAAGGGTGAAAGCGTCTTCTCACAAGAGAGAAATACCTAAATACGAAGACCATTTCGTATATGCCTAAATCCGAAAGGAACTTGTGTTTTAATGCCTAAATTTTAAATAACTCTTCTGTATAACCGTAAAACCTCTAAATTATCGAGTTATTTATTTATAGAGGTTTCACTGATTAATTCATCAATCTCTCTCTTCTTCTCTCTCTCTCTCTCTCTCAATGCCTTTGCTCCAAGCATCGAACACGTCACACGGTGCACTCCACAGTGACTTCCGCAGACCACTACGCTACATGAGCAAAGGCAAACATTGTTTCCCATTCTTTAGTATAATACTTGTGCACGCACCTATCATTATTGATCTCTTTTGGTTTATTTTGTTTTCTTCCTATTTCTATTGAAGAAAAAAAAGGTATTTTAGAATACCTCATTTGAGATTATATACAGTAAAACCTCTATATAAATTAATAATACTCTCTGTCTCATATGCCTTGCTCTAAGTAAGCATCGAACATGTCACGCGTTGCATTTTGAAAATGCCTTCGCAGACCACTCAAGCTACAAGAGCAAAGCGGTTAAGATTTCATTTACAATATATTCAACGAAACAAATACGACACCGTTTGGATTTTACAATAGCAAAAGTCAAGTGGGTCTCTCTGTCACACTTGTCTCTTCTACCAATGGAGCTCTCTTCTTCGCCGGCTCAACTTCTGAGACCACATCTCGGCTCTAGGGTTTTACTTCCTCCTCGACGAACATCAATTGCTTCTTCCTCTCCTCCTCCTCGACTCCTACGGATGGAGTCTGATTCTCACCGTCTTCAATCTATCTCCTGTGCTTCTCCTCCTCCTCCTCCCGGAGGTAACGGTTTTCCGGCGATTACTACCTCTTCTCCGATCGAATCAGGTTTTAATTCTCTAACTAAGCTGAGAGAGGAAATTTCAAATTTCACTATTCATTTCCTGATTTCCTTTTTTTGTTTATTCGATCAGCTCGGATAGGTGAAGTGAAGAGAGAAACAAAGGAAACAAATGTATCTGTAAAGATTAATTTGGATGGTAATGGAGTCGCTGATAGCTCTACTGGGATCCCTTTTCTTGATCATATGTTAGATGTAAGTGTAAACTATTTGGCAAGAGCTTCAACACTTATGAATCTGTTCATTTTTCTTGGAATTTTTTGATTTTTAAGTGCTTGTGATTCTTTGTTTTAGCAACTTGCTTCACATGGCTTGTTCGATGTACACGTAAGAGCTACCGGTGACACTCACATCGACGATCATCATACTAATGAAGATGTTGCTCTTGCCATTGGAACCGTAAGTAGTGGAACTGCTTTTTTTCATTCTCTTCTATTCAGTAAGTTGAATCGAGTTAACGATTCGTTGTGATTGCGTCAGGCTTTGTTAAATGCACTTGGGGAGCGGAAAGGGATTAATCGTTTTGGCGATTTTACAGCTCCTCTTGATGAAGCACTTATACATGTTTCCCTGGTATTAGACAATCTATGAACTTAGTGTTGCATCTATCTAGTTGAGTTCCCGGTGTTATTTCTGTTGATGATGGATGAAAATATGGCAGGATTTATCTGGTCGACCATATCTTGGCTACAACTTGGAGATTCCAACTCAGAGAGTAGGAACTTACGACACTCAGGTCCAATTAGTTTCAAATTTTTCTTTAGTTTTCATTTTCTTGGTTTTTCTAAGCACTAAACGAATCTTCTTCTTCCATTTAGTTGGTGGAGCATTTCTTCCAGTCATTAGTGAATACTTCTGGTATGACACTTCACATCCGACAGGTATCACGATTCCAATCTTTCGTAAAGCAAACAAGAAAAATAATAGCAAATTGATGTGTCATGAGTCTTTGGCAAACTTTTTTCTTTTTACTATTATCTCTTATTTCTATTTGTTATGACAGCTTGCCGGTAGAAACTCTCATCACATAATAGAAGCGACTTTTAAGGCCTTTGCAAGGGCTCTCCGACAAGCAACAGAGTCTGATCCACGTCGCGGTGGGACAATACCAAGGTTTGACTTTGATTCATTAATCAAAAAATTATCTTATTCAAAATCTCAACTACACATGTCATTCATCATCCAATAACTATTGCAAGATTCATCATAAGCCATAACAAAAACAGAAAATATTTGGTCATTCAATATTGGAAAGAAGCAAAACACGGCTGAGAAAAATGCATATGATGAGAAAACAAGCCTAACGTTTTAGGTTTACTGCATACTTGCAGTTCAAAAGGCGTCTTGTCACGGTCGTAAGAGGCAGTGGAAAAAAAGGTTTCAGTCTACTGTTGCGAGTTCACGAGCAAGGATCAGTTGTCTTATGTACAATGTCTAAAGCCTGCTGTATCATTTGTTCATTTGCAAAAGGCATCTGTATTCAAGCTTATTTTTTGGGGGAAACAGGTCCAGCTTTGTATTATGTTGTTGGAGACTACTTTCACTTTATACATGTGAGTTCGTTGCTCATGTTTAGGTGCAGCGCTTTCAGTATTGTTCTTTCTTGACATTAAGCTACTAATCTAGTTTAGTATTGATATCTTCTTATTACATATGTGCATGAATCAGACCATGAAATTGAAACCTCTGCAGTCTGCAAACATGTCTTTAGTGCGCACAATTTACAATTACAAACATGTCTTCTACGTACAGTAGAACAAATGTAGAAATGAGGCCTATTTGATAGAATTGGGCCTAAGCCCATTAGGAAGAATCAATAGATATTTTTAGGGGGGGGGAGCCTTTCATTCTTCCCCTTGCTCTGCGATAATGTCACATTCCGCCGCGAGTTCCGATGGCTCGTTCGTCGGAGAATCGTCCGGTAAGAAACCAATTGAATCGGCGTCATCGTCTTCTTATTCTTCGTCTCTGGAACCACTTTATGATGAAATCGCTGTGAATTGCTTCGCACGCGTACCGAGATGTTACTACCCGGCGATTTCACTCGTCTCGAGGAACTTCAGGCGTCTCATCGCTTCGCCGGACATCTACATCGAAAGGTCAGTGATTCGCCGCACTGAAAATGTCCTGTACGTTGCGATTAGATCACAAGATACAAAAGCCCTTAGCTGGTACACACTCAATCTGAAACCCTTTGGAACAACGGAGCTTAGCCATAGATTAGTTCCGGTTCCGTCGTTCCCTTCAATTCCTAGCTCTGGAGCAAGTATTATCTCGGCCGGTTCTGAGATTTATGTCATTGGTGGATGCATCAACGGGGAACCAATATCCATTGTCTCTGTTATTGATTGTAGATCTCATACTAGTACATTCCTCCCTAACATGAAGGAGCCACGCAATTGCGCCGCCGTGGGATTCATTGACGGGAAATTGTATGTTGTTGGTGGTTGTAACACTCAGTCTATCAACAGGGTTGAGGCTTTCAACTTCAAGACGCGAACTTGGGAGTCTCTTCCGAGTCTTTGTGATGAAGACATAGACCTGCACGGGAAGACGAGCAGTAGTGTTGTGATGAATGGTATGATTTACGGATATGGTGATAGGAGTAGTTTTGTTTACGATCCTGAAGAAGGTAGAATCGGAAGAGACTTGTTGTTGGTGTCATCCTGGATGATGAAGGGTCGTTGCGTCATTGATAACATGTTTTACGCGTTTTTTCGTCTCCGGGACAATATGGTTGTATATGATCTAAGTGTGAGGAAATGGGGACTCTTGTTGGGTCTTCAAGATTTACGTGAGGTGTATGAAGGTTGTACAATGGTGAATCTTGGTGGGCGTCTTGCGATTCTGTTTGTCGACCTTACAAAGTGTCCAGCGGAGATTTGGTGTACAGAGATTGCATTGGAGAGGGCAGAAGAAGGATTTGTTAATGGGAGGCTCTTGTGGTCTAATCATGTGCTTACTTTGACAGGTCCCTTCATCATTGAACAAGCTCTATCCGTAACAGTTTGAATATCTCATGATATGTGTTGCAAAGGTATGTTTCTGACTCAATCATCCTTGCTCTTTAAAGTATTTGATGGGAGTTTTTGCTGTTATATCTACTTTCTTGCATTCAGATGAGTTTGCAGGAACCAAGAACCGATCTAGTTAGTTATGTAAGGATTTTAAGTGTCTGACCTTGGAATTCATATTCTTGTATGTTGCTGCTTTAAACATGGAAAACCTCAAAAGTATTGGAGCAGTTGGTGTGATAAAGATGAAGCAACTTAGTAGCTAATAAACTATTGAATGTCCTATCTTTTGGATCTTTGGGCTAAATCCGAGTACTTTTGCAATTTCTTTCCCTTGGTTCTTGTTTGTATGCAACTTTATTGTTTGATGAAAAGTTCATAATTGTGTTACCTACTGTATTAATCTCTCTCGTATCACGTATTCTTTGTTTACCACTCGTTTAAACAAATTAATCCAAGCACATCTAAAATTAAATGTATGAATCTAATATGGTTTACTTCAACTCCATTCACTAGAAGCTTCTCTCATTTCCAGTGACTAAAAAAGTGTTACTCACTTTTCATAGCCAAAAATAAAAAGTGTTACTCACTTTCATTGCCTTAAACTTACAACTCAAAACATTTGATATGAAGTATGCTATGAGAATCCCTTTAAAAAATTTAAGATAATGCTTAATGCTTTTAGAGACTTGATAGATTTGGTGATATGTTTTTAGCTTCTTGTGCTTTTTTCTCCTTTTCTTTACCCTACTCGCAAAGTGGTGGATGATTTTTTTTTTTGGCCAGCCAATGGCATCCGCTTTTGCTATCTTTAAGTCACATGCCAAAGAGCTATTCAGAGTTCTTCTATGGTTGTTTTCTAGAGTAAAGAAAGTGGTAGGGAAGAGTATCTTGTTCGATTGGTCTGCCTCAAGATTTGGTTAATTTAGTTGCACAATCTAGGTTTAGTCTGATCGGTTAGTATGAAATTATATGTATCTTGAAATAGATGGCCTGAAATAGTATGATTATGGTTCCATATTTTAGTAGTCCCAAGATAAGAAAGACAGGAAGAAGTGTTATGAATCATGAATGTTTTGGTTTTATCATATAGTATGATACTGTGACCATCATTGACAATTAGGACATTGGATATGTTAAATTTAATTTTGTACATACAAAATGATTAGAAAGCTTTAAGCTTCTGCAGTGTCAGAAGTGTCGTAATCAGGGGCGGATCTACAGTGTAATGAGTGTGGGGCACGTGCCCCACACTCATTAATAAATACTTTCAATTGACCAGCTTTCAATAATGTCTGCGTAGCATAGTTGGTAGTAAGTGCCCCATATTAAATCTTGAGACCAAGGTTCGATATCACAAATCCATTTTTTTCCCCTTTATTTTGTTTTTTCTTCTCAGTTATTTTATTATTAAATTTTATTTATTAATATATTTAATTAGTGCCCCATACAACTTTTTCTTCTAGATCCGCCCCTGGTCGTAATCATGTTACTATATATATAAGATTCATGTCAAATCACTGCATACTCTGCACGACTTTTATATATCACTTGTGAATTTGAATCCTCCTAATCTCTCACTTATCATTTTTTAAATATCATGTTTCCCTCATTCCTGTTTCAACATGCGGGGATTAGAATAAAAGAAAAAAAAAAACTAATCATGTTAACTCAAAAACAATCAATTATTATAGTTGTCAACTCCATTATCCAAAAAGGTTATATATATTTCATTTCATTTGCTTTATATTCTATCTATCTCTTGTTGCAATCTTTTGTAAGTAAAAGCAAATAATTTCATTATATAAACATAGACTTTCCCATAATAGCTAGGTTTCATTTGATGTTGTGGTCCAATAGTACCGTGATATGGAAGTTTGTGCTTAACGTAAGACGATACTTGTAGAAAATGAGATTTCTAACGTCGAAAACAAAACTTAAGCATCACGTCTAGAAATATAAATATATTGGGTCCAACAACTTCAAACGCATGCTTATTTCATTACACCTATTTACAAGTTCTCTTCCTCCATATACGTTACAACTTTAATTTCTTTTTTTAGTGAAATAATAATAATGCTAACAACATTCTCTTTTTTAAAAAGATTATACGTTTTCACAAAATATTATCGTAAAGTACAATTTTGCATACATTTATGCGGCAATGCTTCACTGTCTTCTGACTCAACGCATGTGTTTGGTCAGTGCCCACTTCTTTCTTTCTCCTTCCCTTTTCCTTTTTTTTTTTATTGGTCACTTTAACCGATACGTTAACCGAGCAAACTATTCCGGTTTACCACCACGCCACTACCACACTGACCAAGACATAAAATCCGAATCCGAATCCGAAATATCCAATCCGAATCGATTTGAAAACCCAAATTAAAACGGTTTTGTCGGTATCACTACAAATTTTTTTAATAAGATTTTCAAACCGTATCGAATTAATTAAAGAGAAATTCCTAACCGAACAATATTAGGATCCAAATCAGATTTATGTATATTCTAACCCGAATAATTTGAAATCTCAACTTACACGAACCGATCCAAACCGAAAATCCAATCATCCGGATCCAACACAAGCCTTTTCTATCGTACGACCTCTTCCCCGTTTAGGATAGCAACAACCAATCAGGAACGTAGTGGCTACTGCTGCCGTCATTAAAGTACGCACTCTATATGGCTGTCATAGTCTTGCCATAGTTACAGACGCCATGACACGTGTCGTTCTTCTGACTTATCCACGTCATCATTCTTCTCTTATTATACTTTTGCCATTTTTAGGTTTTCTTCCCAAAAAAAAAAGAATAATTCAGTTTCTCTGCTTCACTTTGTTTCTTCTCTGCTAAAAGCGACCCAAAGTTTCGAGTTTCTTCACCTTCCGATTAACCGGAGATGGAGTCTTCCCCCGATCCAGGCGAGTTGGTTGAGTCACCTCAGCCGAGTTTCTTTGAGTTTCAGAAGCAGGCGTCACTGATGTCGAGCTGTAATCTTCTGTGGAAAGAGCTTTCCGAACATTTCACCTCGATGGAGCAGAGCTTGATGAAGAAATCTGAAGCTCTGAAACAGATGATTGAAACCCTAGATAATCAGACTCAGACTTCGATTGAGTTGCTCAAGCATCGTGAGGTCACTATAGACCGCAGCGTCGAGATCGCGGCGGGGAAAGTTGATGAACGGGCTAGAGCTGCTTTAGAATCGCTGGAGAAAGCTAGAGACGGTGGTTCAACCGCCGGGGATGAGGATGATGGGGCTGGAGAGGTTGACGATGGCGACGGGCTTCTATCGGCGTTGAAATCGCTTTGTTTGAAGATGGACTCGAGAGGGTTTTGGGGTTTTGTGATTGCTAGGAAGAAGGAATTGGAGAATCTCCGGTCACAGATTCCGGCGGCGTTGGTGGATTGTGTGGATCCGCCGAAGTTAGTGCTTGAGGCTGTATCTGAGGTTTTTCCGGTTGATAAAAGAGGCGGTGGAGAGAAAGTGAGCAATGATTTTGGATGGGCTTGTGTGGTGATTTTGGAGAGTTTGATACCAGTTATGGTTGATCCAGTGATGGGGAGATCGAGGCTGCTTGTAACTCCGAGCGTTAAGGAGAAGGCTAAGGAGATTGCTGAGACGTGGAAGGCGAGCTTGGAAGAGAGAGGAGGGATAGAGAATGTTAAAACACCTGATGTTCATACGTTTCTGCAGCATCTTGTGACTTTTGGGATTGTGAAGAAGGATGATCTTGCTCTTTACAGGAAGCTTGTGGTTGGTTCAGCTTGGCGTAAGCAGATGCCAAAGCTTGCTGTTTCAGTTGGCTTGGGTGACCAAATGCCTGGTAATTTCTCAGTGCTGTCTAGCTTTTGGTCTGTGGAACCATGTGAATATATGTTTAAAATATATGTAAATTGTGATTAGCTAAGCTACCTAACTTGTTACCTGTATATGGGGAAGCACAAGTTGTTGTCTTTTTGCTCTTGGGAACTTGTTGGTATTATTTTGAAAGGGAGAGGTAGTGATGGTTTTGGGTTGTTATGCTTGACACAGACATGATTGAAGAGTTAATCATCAGGGGACAACAGCTTGATGCGGTTCATTTCAGTTTTGAAGTCGGTCTTGTACACAAGTTCCCTCCTGTTCCTTTGCTCAAAGCTTATCTGAGGGATGCGAAGAAAGCAACAGCTTTAATCACAGAGGATTCCAACAATCCTGGCCGATCTGCGGTACTTCCCTTCATTTGTGTTACTAGTTTATCTCAAATTAGTTTCCGGTTTTTGTTTTCTAGATCCATTACAGGGTTTTTTGTAAACTGTTTCTTCTGTGGACTCTCTAAGCTTTGTGTAGGGTAAATATGTAAACCTTCTGACAAGTTGTTAATACTTCCCTAGCATCTTGTGGCGCGCAAGGAGCAATCAGCACTCAGAGCAGTCTTAAAATGCATAGAAGAATACAAACTCGAGGAAGAATTCCCTCCCGAGAATCTCAAGAAACGGTTGGATCAGCTAGAAAAGACCAAAACCGAGAAGAGAAAACCTGCAGTCGTTCCTGCCAACAAGAGAACCCGAGCAAGCTACAATGGTCCAATGCCACCAGCCAAAGCAGGGCGTATCACAAACGCATACGTCTCCTCCTTTCCACCGCCCCCACCAACATTCATCAAATCCCCCAGTTACTCTCCTCAGTACGGTGTACCAGCATACACCCCATCTCCACCTACCATCTACAACAATAGGAGCCCTCCATACCAATACTCACCAGAGGCGGTTCATGGATCGTACCAAGCTTCTCCAGTCAGTTATCCGGCAGCATATGGCACCTACTGCAGCCCTGTGGCTGCTCCACCCCCTCCAGTTTACCATCCTCACCCGCACCACCACCACCATCACCATATTCAGCATGCTTACTACTGATTAGACAATGACGAAGGAACAAAGATGATGGTAAGTAACCAACCACTGATCTCTGGTGTCTACGTTTTGTCTCTACGTCGTTTGTTGTAATCTCTCTTTCTTTCAATCCCAAAATTTGTAGCTAACATTCTCACTCTCTCTGGCTCTGAATTAGTAGTCTACTCTCTTGTGTGTTTATTAATTTGAATTATACATATCTCTTTACTTTATTTAGATTCCTCGTCAATCAGAAATGCTCTGTTACCTGTCTTCGCCTTAATTCATTTGGTTCCTTCTCTCTGGCAATATAAACTGGAGTAGATTAGACTACTTGGATTAGGCGTTTACACTAGTTGTATTCATTTTATAACTTCCTTTGGAGATTCAATTTTTTGACTAGTTTTCTTCTTTGTATTTGAGGAATCAAAGGCAAAACTAGTATTATGGATTATGTTATGTCTCATACAATGTACATCACTTTATCTTCGCTCATCGATCCAAATCGGAATGTATATAAAAAACCATTTTCTTGTTCCAAAATTCAAGATTGCAAGTCTCGAACGTTACATTACGACAACGTATTACACTAAAAAGATGGTTCTTTAAGCTGAATCAAGAAGATGATTAGTCGTTGGCAGTGGCGAGCTGAAGAGACAAGAGCTCTTCTTCAGGGATCATCTTAATGTGACAATCAGAAGTTGGATACGAAGCACATAGAAGCGCATAACCACGTTCCACCACATCATCACTCAACATCCCATCGCTCTGATCCACCGTTCCAGCCACAAGCTTAGCCGGACAAGTCATACAAACGCCGAGATTGCAGTCGTAGGGGACATCAAGGCCCGATTCAAGAGCCTTCGATAGAATCGTCTCGTCTGGTTCAACCTCCAATTCAGTCGTCTTTCCTTCGTGCTCCACCACCACTTTATATGACCGAGCCACGATCCTCCCGGTGGTGAGGAAGCTCCGGCGATTTGTTGCTATTGTTAGCGAGGCGTTACGGAGTGAGATCGAAAAGGGTTTGGAAAGATAAGGTTTAGGAAGAGAGATTGTAGAAGTTTGAGGTAGAGGAAGAGTCGCCATGAGAGACTGAGACAAAAAGAGTTCTTGCGTTAAGTGAGAGTGATGACTATATTTGTGGTGTCTACGGAGATAAGGTTTGATCATCTGTTGTGGATAACGGTCCACATAAGAATTAAACCGAACCGAACTTACATCAAACCAGAGTTCAATATTTATTCATTTAAATATAAATTTGGAGATTATATTTTGCTCTATGATCCAGTAAATTATGATTCTCTTGTTTCAAATTCTAGATATATTTCAGAAAAGAAGAAGAAATAGCGGGAGAAGTATATATTTATTATGAGGATCCCAACACAAATTAAGTAAGAGATTTTATTCACTTTTGTATACATTTTTTCTTATTAATTATTGAGATTGGCCTGTTTATTACAAACAACTAATTTTTTTTTTGTTTTTTTTTTGTTTTTAAGAAAGGTTATAGAAAATACTAATTTTGAGTGAGGGCTTAGAAAATTTATATAGCACATCTGATCGAAAGTCTTTATGAAAAATGAAAGTAATAAATATACATGCAATATTTGATTGAATTACAATATTTGGTGAAAATTATATATACACATGAAATATTTGATTGAATTAAAACATATAATTTTACAAATTAAACTATAAATAAATCCATTTTTTTCAAAGCATATTTTAGAATTTTACTATAAATATCAGAATTATAATATTAAAATAATACTAATTTTATATACTATGATGCCATACATTAATCAAGTGATATGAAATATAGATAGTTTTGATAATGGATAATTATATATATATATATATATAATCTCCCGCTACATATATATATCAAATTACTAACTCTTTCGAATGATAATAATTCGTACAAAAAACATCATGATAAGAATGATAATATTTAACCAGTAATATCATATAAAATAGTTTTTAGTTTAATATTTTCATATCTTAGACTTTCCCCATGGAATATTCATATAGTTAACTACCGTCAAAACATTGACTATCCTATTTATGTCTAATTTTTGATATATACTAAAGTCTTTTACCTCTTCCATAACAATGTTAATTAATATATTATTTTATTACAATTTTTTATTAACTAGGTTCACAGCAAAAAAATTATAATGCTCAAAATTAAGTTGTATAGATATTTTAGAAAAGAGAAATATGTATAGTCGAAGAGATTTATTTATTGTAAAGGATCCTTTTAAACAAATTGGTAAGAGATTTAGTTTATTGTTGTATACATATTTTTTTATCAAATAGTATGAGTTTGGTTAGTTTGTTATAAACAATTTGATAGAGTTTTATGACGGTGTCTCTACCTACTACTAGATCATGAGATTCAAAGAAAAAATATTAACAGTGTATGATGGTGCTCTATACTGCTAGATAATGAGATTTAAGGAATATATTATCAAAATTTCTTTTTAAGATAGAGCGACAGTCCTTGAATAAAATATATAAAATAGTGATATTTCACAAGAATCGGTATCGGAGGAGATTGTTTCAACAAATCTGTTAAATAATTTAAAAGGATGGATATGTTAAAAAGTTTAGTGGAAGATTATAAAATATGTTGGAAAAAAAAATTGAAAATGTCTAATGTCTATTTGTATATGAGGATTTTGAAGATTTATCACACATCTAACTGAAAACCTATTAAATAAATAAACAAAGTAGAAACTATACATGAAATCAACTGAATGTATGTTGATTAAATTACAACATAGATTTGTACAAAATAAAAAAAATTTTAAACAAGCAAATTTAATTTTAAAAAAATGTGAACCAATTTAAAATTTTAAATCGAGTCACCGAATGTCCAGCTGAGAGAGTTAAAACCGGAAATAACCGTATCAGACCGGGAAGCAGTTTTGGTAAACAACAACCGCGTTTACTAAATCGAAAGCATGTGACTGACATCTCACATCTGTTAAAGGCTTAAAAGCGTCGTAATCATCATCATCATCAATTATCATTCGAGGTTTTCCCACTCCATACGATTTCTCCATTTTCTTCAGAACGATTCGGGTCAAGGTTTTTGACTTTTTCTCACTCAGGTATCGTCTTCTTTCTCTTCCTATTTTGATTATAGTTGTTTTGATCGGCTTATTGTATCGAGGGACTAAGCTAATTTCGATGTTTATTCTAGTGATTTTGGTGTTTGAGTGTTGAATATATTGGATTGGGTTTTTGGTTTAATTGTTTCGGATGTTTGAGGATGATTTACTCCTTTTGGTCTTACTTATTGTCTTTGTGAATTAAGCAGCGAAGCTTGAATCATGGCGTCTCGAATTGCTAAAGATGTGACTGAAGTAAGTTCGTTTTTGAAAGTTTTTCATTTTTCAAAGGAGTGAGTTTTGTAACCATGTTCATGTATTGACTGATTCTATTTATTATTTTTGGCAGTTGATTGGGAACACTCCATTGGTGTATTTGAACAATGTGGCTGAAGGGTGTGTTGGTCGTGTTGCTGCTAAGCTTGAGATGATGGAACCCTGCTCAAGCGTCAAAGACAGGTTTCTACTCTTTAGCCCACAAAACTCTGTGCTCTTAGAGTTTTTGTTATTGAAACCTTTTTACTTTGTTGTTTTGTGCAGGATTGGTTTTAGTATGATTTCTGATGCAGAGAAACAGGGTCTTATTAAACCAGGAGAGGTAATCCGATATCTTATTCTTCAAACCACTATTTTATATTTGTTTTTCAGCTGTTTCTGACTCTTTAGTGTGTTCTATAGAGTGTGCTGATTGAGCCAACAAGTGGAAACACCGGAGTTGGATTAGCATTCACAGCGGCTGCCAAGGGCTACAAGCTTATTATTACAATGCCAGCTTCTATGAGTATTGAGAGAAGGATCATTCTCTTAGCTTTTGGAGTTGAGTTGGTTTTAACTGACCCAGCTAAGGGCATGAAAGGAGCTATCGCAAAGGCGGAAGAGATTTTGGCCAAGACACCCAACGGTTACATGCTTCAACAGTTTGAGAACCCTGCCAACCCAAAGGTAGTATACGTATTCATTAGTAGTGCTGTGGTATCTGGTTTTTCTGGTTTTAAACTTTCAAGTTGATGAACTTTTACTGTCCGATGCAGATTCACTATGAGACTACTGGACCTGAGATATGGAAAGGCACCGATGGAAAAATCGATGGCTTTGTTTCTGGGATTGGTACTGGTGGTACCATTACAGGTGCTGGGAAGTATCTTAAAGAACAGAACGCAAACGTAAAGGTGAGAGTTCTGTCTTCTCATACATTGGCTTTGTTATTTAAGTAGTGTGTCTTTTCTCAGTTTCTCATTTGTTTCCTCATCTTTCAGCTGTATGGAGTGGAGCCAATTGAAAGTGCTATTCTTTCCGGTGGGAAGCCAGGTGATTTTGGTTCCTCCTCCGTTTTTCTACTCTAATCATTCATGTCCTTGTTTCTCTGTCTGCCTCATGTTTCTTTGTTTGTTTACTGGAGTTGACTTACACCTGATGTTTGCTGAAAATGATAAGGCCCTCACAAAATTCAAGGGATAGGAGCTGGCTTTATACCAAGTGTATTGAATGTTGATATTATAGATGAAGTTGTTCAAGTAAGACATCTTTTCAATTTTATCTCACTAGTACCAAAACACATTGAATGTGAGAGAGCTACATTTCTTACTTGGCTCCCTCCACTTTTCCTGTAATGCTTTATATAGGTTTCAAGTGATGAATCTATCGACATGGCAAGACAACTTGCTCTTAAGGAAGGTCTTCTTGTAAGTGTTTCACATATCACCATGAATCAGCTTTACCTCAATCACAATTCTCTACGATGCTACAAACTCTGTTTTGTCCCTTGATCTTTACTTAGATAAGTTGAGACCATTAAGATTAAAATCTATAAAAAAAAAAGGTGGATTTCATTTCACTAAGGATGAGTTGTTCATAGAGTATAGGGTTGGCTACAGACTCTCATTTCATATTGAAAAACGGTCGTCTAACAACAAAAGCTAAAAATTGTAGGTGGGAATATCATCTGGTGCAGCAGCTGCTGCGGCAATTAAGCTTGCAAAGAGGCCAGAAAACGCAGGGAAGCTCTTTGTGGTAAGCTTTTTGGCTATATTATATCACTCAAAAGCTAAGAAGCTCTAATACAAAACTGGAAACAAGAAACAAGCAAAACTAATGTTCTAGTCTTCAGTATTTTCGTTCTGATGTTGATGTAAACTAACTCAATTGAACTATTCTACAGGCGATATTCCCGAGTTTCGGCGAGAGGTATCTATCGACCGTGCTATTCGATGCGACAAGGAAAGAAGCAGAAGCCATGACCTTCGAGGCTTGAAAATCCTCCATATCTTCTTAAGAGACGCCAAAATAAAAGAGATGCCCAGTTTCTCCTACAGAGACTCTTCATCTGCAGTTGCATTGCGTCTTTGCTTCCATCTGTATCTTCCTTTGGTGTGAAAATAAAAAAAAATCAAACTAGATTGTCTCTTATTTCTTTTGTGAACTACTACGTTCTGTTAATGAAGTTCTTGCTATGTAACTTTGTCCATAAGTATCACAATGTTTCATGATCATAAATTCAGAACTTAACCAACACAGCCAAAGCTAAGGTTCAAATGAATAATCTTTCTGAATTAGAGGCTTAAGTATAAGATTAGGATAAACAAGAAGAAGAAGAAGAAAGGTACGGCTCCAAAAAGAGTGATTCTGATAATTCTCTTTATCATCTACACAAATCAAACAATACTCAAACCACTAAAATTGTATTGTAGACACAAATCTTTTACCATTTCCAATTTCATCAAATCAACTGAAGAAATCTTGAACACCTTTTCCGATGAACACACGATCAGAGAGCTCAGCCAAAATGAAATTAACAGTGAGCAAAACGACGCTAGAACCAGCGATAACACCAAGCACAACACCAGTCGTTCCCAGCACTTTCTGAAACGCCGGCCACTCGATCTCCTTCACTTCCTCCGCAACTCCACTCAAAAACTCGTTCTTCCCTTTCTCCTCTTCCGCTGCTTTCCTCTGTTCCATCGCCGCTTTTATCTCTGCTCCTATCGCACTAACCTCCACCTCCTTATCTCCTCCGCTTCCACTCTCTCCCGCCGGTGACGGAGTCGCCTCTGATTCCGATTCAGATCCAGCTGTATCCCTTCTCTGTTCGATAGCTTTAGCCACAAAATACGCCGATTTCCTTAAATTACACGTCGTCGTGGTTCTAACCTCAGTATAAACCGGAAGTATACGGCGAGTGGAAAGTGACGGTTTCGTTTCCCGGAGACTCCTGGTTATTCCGGTGACCGGCGGCGAGAAATGTGCGGTGAGTGACATTTTTTCGAAATTGGGAACTTTTTAATTTTCGTTTTGAGGATAATCCAGATATATCGAAATATTATTGATCAGATACAAAAAAAAATGAGTACAGTTAAACAGTTGCTACAGTGATGGGCCTTTGTATAGCCCATAGGCCCAAATATTTAATTAGAGAGGAATTAAATTTTTAATTTGATTGTAATAGAAAATAATTCTCCGACGACGACGACGACGGAGAAAGTAACCAGAGGAGTGTATCGGCGAAAGCAGAGACGATGAACTTATGAGTATGTTTCGGATTTAAAGAGAGATAACAGAATAACAACTCGTGCAAGTACTCTCTATCGGCGGCGACGTCTCTCGTTAAATCTCTAGCTTCCACCATCTCTCTCATCGACCGTCCGAAGTCTCTGTACGGATCCGGTGAGTCTATATGTTTCATTATAGCCGTTCCGCCGCTTAAAATCTTTGACACGACTGCGGAATCTTCGTCTTGTTCTTCGTTGTCGAGGCGGTTAGAGGAGGAGAATAGTCCGGCGGGGTTATCGGAACTGTGGCGGCGGTGGAGAGGGGAGGAAACAGAGAGGTGATCGTAGAGAGAGTTGAAGTTGTTGATGAAGATTGAGGGAGTGTGGTGATGATGATGAGAAGATGGAGCGTTGTGGTTGGAGACGATGATCGGAGAAGAAGGAATCGCCGGTGAGATACCACCGGAGGAGGAGAAGCAGAGATGTAGCTTCTTCCTTAGAAAACTAGACATTCTTTTTTTTTTTTTGGTTTCGTAAATTTTTAATTAAATGTTGTGATTAAGACCTTTATTTTGGTAAATGCTTTATTTATACATGCAAAGAAGGTTTGTGTATTAATTAAGGAGGTCACGTAGTGAAATGCAAATGTCCATAAACGTAGCTGGATTGAATTTTAAAATTGGTTTAGAACGCGGATTTTACCAAGTCTTGAAAAACTAGAAGATGATCATATCTCATATTCGATTTAAGTTTTAGTACAAAGATATACATGTTGACTCTCTTTATAGTTGTACCAAGCTACAAAGATATGAAAATGCACCATGACAATATAATCACCTACAAGAACATATCCTTTCCATGAACCGACCGGTTATTGTCTCTGACTCTCTCACTATGATTTCTCTCTTTACATTTCTTGCAAGTTGCAAAAAACTTGAAGGAGCTGTGGCTGATTATAAAAGGTTCTTGGTAATTTCGATGGGGATATATAGTATAAACAACCAGGCCAAATGCTAAGGCCAATTTCTCACTGTGGTACGTGGCTTCTACTGCTATTTTGTTCTTCATCCATATCGTAAAGCGAGAGTTTGAGTCCAGAGTGTAGTACCCTGAAGCTTCCATTTCATTCTTTTGCTTGGTCAGCTAATCTCCATATTTTTGTTCATTATGTGGCATCTTCTTGAATCTTGGCAACAAAGTAAAAAAACGCAAAATTTGTCCTAGTTTCAAATGTTGGTCCCAAATAAATAGTATTTTGTTTTTTTACTCCTTTGTGACTTTTATTAAAATGAGTAGAAGATACAACTCTTTTCTGACTTTTATAAAAATTAACAACTTTATTTTATGACTAATTTGTGACAAAACGTAACTGCAGTTTGAAGTTTGTAAAAGAGTCGCAATATTGGGATTATCCATTCTTTACATTAAGCATTAGGAAAATTGAAAAACCTAAACAAATATATTTGGTGATAACAAAGGTTTACTAAATTATTTTTTATTCATTTAGTATTTATTCACTTGTTCTTTAACTAGGCCATTAGTTTTTGTACAGGTACTTCCTCCGTTGTCGTGGATGTTTTACTTGATGTCATCCTTGTACTACGTACTTGTTATTACACGCCACGTTATCATTCCTCGTAGTCATATATGTAGGTTCTCGTTGTTGTGATCGAAGATTTACAGTAGTGAGGAAATTCTGATTCTGATTCAAATCGAGAATTTTTTTTTTCGAATTTAGGTGAGTTGAAAATCCAAAACATATATATTTGGTGATGAAAAATTTGGTTTGATAAACTATTTTTAGGTGATATTAATTGTTAAATGTTATCAGTCTTCTACGATGTTTTTTCTGTACAAATTAATGTACAATGTAGGTGAGTGGTTTGCAAATCCGACTTGCACATACTACACTAAATATATAAATTTAACTTTTCTTTTATTGATATAATTTTTATTTGTAATTTAAAATTATAAAATATAATTTAAAATTATAAAATCTAATTTTTATGTTGATAATCTTATTCCGTTACCAACAATATATATATATATATATATATATATATATGGAAATCACTTGATAATGTACGATATCAGATACATAAAGTCACCTTTATTTTATTGATATGATATTATATGTATTTCAAAATTCTAAAATATGATTTGAGTTAAAGGTTTTATCTATCATTTTATTTTGTATAATTCTATCTTGTAATTCAATCAAATATTGCATGTATAAATTCTCCTTTCATTTTCATATAGTTTTTTCTAATCAGACGAGTTAAATATAAAATTTCAGAGCCTTCATTTAAAAATAATTAAAGAGAAAAAGTTTTAGTTTTTTGTTAATATGCTAATTTCGTAAGTTGACTTAAAAATGTATAAGATATTATATATATATGAATGATTTTCTTACTAAATTTTTGTTGGGATCCTTTATTGTAAATACTATCTCCTCTGGCATTTGAATTAAAAACATCATAATTTTTTGGATCATAGATATTCGAGCAAAATATAGTCATTGAAATAATTCATTTTCATCTCTATCATCTCCTCATCACTGTTACCGTTAATATGATCAAGTTCGATTAAGCTCTAGTATAAAGATATACAATGTGTTGACTCTCTATGTAGTTTACAAAGATGTAAATAAATGTTTAACCGTATAAAATGATAATATTTTACCAATAATCCCTACAAGAACATATCCCATCCTTGAACCGATGAAACCGGTTATTGTCTCTCACAATGATTTCTCTCTTTACACTCCTGGAGACGAACTTGAAAAAACTGTGGCAATCTCCGCAGATTCTAAGGTTCTTGGTGATTCTGATGGGGACACCGAGCGGTAAAGCCACCAAGCCAAATGCTAGGGCCAATTTCTCACTGTGGTATGCGACTTCAGCTGCTTTTTCTTCTTCCTCCAGATCGTACAGCGAGAGTTTCAGATCAGGCTTGTACCCTGAAGCTTCCATTTCGTTCCTTAGCTTGGTCAGCATTGTCTGAATATCTTTGTTCATTATGTGGGATCTGTCCTTTGCTTGAAATGCATGGACTTGGTTCTTCACTGTGATCCAACTGTACCCGGCTCCTTTCTTGATTCCTACGCCTTTCATTTCTTCTCTTACAGTGTTTGCTTCCGCCCACCTATTATTGATCGGAAATAATTTAGTTAGATCATAAGTAACCGAAGACAAAATAACATGTTGGTAATGCTCAAGTAGTCTTATTTATGTAGTCTAGTTTCTGATTTCTAAATGCTCTAGTTTAGAATGCATTATGGGTTTCTTTTGAATTGCTTAGACTATGATTCCAACCTAGGAAGATTAATCAAACATCGAAACTCTCAATACGGTTCACGTACCTCCCAGCCGCTGCAAACGTATTGGAAAGCAGAACGTGGTTGCCTGAATCTTTAGGGTCAAGTTTGAAGAGGTTCTCAGCTGCTACTATTCCCAGGTGTGGCTTACCATGCATCCGACAAGCATTCTGAAGAGCACCCCAGACTGAAATTGTCGGTTGAATTGGCAATTTCTTTATAAATTTATAAGCCTGTTCTACCATTCCCGCTCGCCCTAACATGTCCACGATGCAGGAATAATGCTCAGCCCCTGGCTCAATGCCATAAATACTCTTCATCGAATCAAATATCTTCATACCATTTTCCACAGCCCCTGCTCTACTACAAGCGGAAAGCAAGGACACAAAGGTCATATAATTTGGAGTCGGACCGCATCCACGTGGTGCCATTTCTTCAAATAATGCCAATGCCATATCAACCTCACCCTGATGAGCATATCCTCCGATCAGTGAATTCAGAGTCACTAAATTCTTCTCAGGCATCTCATCAAACGCTTGTTCTGAATCTTCTATGCATCCGCATTTCCCATACATATCAACGAGGGCACTTCCAACAAAGATAGTCATTTCAACACACGCCTTCACAGCGTGAGCATGTATCGATCTTCCCAATTCAAGACCTGCCATACCAGCACACGCACTCAGAGCACTTGAGATCATAAAATCAGAGGTCTCAACAATTTCCTTCCTTGAACGTAGATACAACAAAGACGCCTTCTCATCCTCATGATTCTGCACATATGCAGCAACCAGTGAACACCAAGAAACAGCATTTTTCGTTCCCATTTCAGCAAAGACAATCTCACTGCAAATAATCTGTTTACACTTCCCATAGAAATCAATCAAACCATTGTACACTGAAACATCTGTATCGAACCCACATCGGAACACAAGCCCGTGTAACTGCTTTCCTAGATTCAAGTGTAACCCATCCGAACAAGCATTAAGGAAACCGCAAAAAGTTATCGTATTTGGCTGCCCACCAATTCTTCTAAACTCTATAAAAGCTTCAATAGCTTCCCTAGGCCTTCCATCAGTCACAGAGTTAGATATGAAAGCATTCCAAGTTTCACAGTTCCTCTCAGGAATTTCGTCGAACAACTGCCGTGCATCATCCCTGAGCCTAGTCTTGCAATACATATCAAAAGCACTACACCCAACAAACACATCAAGTATCCTTCCACACTTGACAGCAAGCCCATGAATCTGTTTCCCAGTAACAGGTAAACGCAAAGAAGCCACAGCTTTAAAAGCGCAAGGGAAAGTGAAGTCATTTGGAGAAACACCATCTCGTCGCATTTCGACGAATTCAAACAAAGCTATAGAGAAATGCCCGTTATTAACAAGTCCAGAGACAAGCGAGGTCCAAGAGACGACGTTTCGAGCAGGCGTGAATCGGAGAACGAGTCGAGCTGATTCGGGATGGTCGAGTTTTGAGTACAAGCTGATGAGGTAATTCGCGAGAAACGGTGGAGGTGGTGAATCGAGGGTTTTTACGATTCTTCCGTGGACGACGCGACCCAAACGCATAGAACTCGTGGAGATTGCATTCTTGAGAATTAACCCAAGTGCGTCCGCGGAGAGGAGGCTCATCACTAACGCCGGCGATCGGAAAGGTCATAGCTTTCTCCACGCCGGTGAAGAAGAAGAAACATCGAATGGCATAACGGTAATTTCAAGTCTTCTCTGTGTGAAGAAGAACCTAACTTAAGGGTATAATAGTAATTACCTCCCGCGTGTCTGGGACTAATCTGGTCGAACAAGAGTGTGTATATAAGAAGAATCGATGTGATTTTTTTGACAAGTTTGTATTTTTCCATCTCTTGTAGCTGAGCTTAGATCGGCTTACTCTGTTCTCGTGTCCTTAAAGTTCGTATCTTAATATGTTGTTGTCTGCAAATTTCTCAAATTTAACTCATAATTTGTAAAATTTGTGTAGTTTCTTCCCCAAAACAATTGTTACGAATTAGAATTCACCTTTTGTTTTGTGTATTTGGGTGTTTTCTCTCAATCGCAGGGAATTAGGGTTTTTTGGTCTGCTTCGATGGATGTGGATCAAGAGATGGGTCAAACTCCTCCTCGGTACGATCAATTTGTTTACACTTGTGTGTTTCTGGTTTCTGCATTGAGTACATTTACATTGAGACATGAGCAATTTCGTTTTTTTTATGGGAATAGAATAGTGAAATTTATGTGACTATAACTGCAAAAGCAATTAAGGATTAGTAAAGTCATGTTGTTTAATTCAGTCACATTTATGAACCTACACAGATTTGATGGTGAACAAATTTCAATGAGTGATAATAACAAGGAGACTGAACCAGTCCCGGTTGAGAAAGAGGACTTAAGGGAAAACGGATTAGATAAGGAAGGTGATGGTGATCATCATGCGAAGTTAAATGGCAACAGAAGCTCCTTTACTCCAGGGGGAACCGATCTGAATCAACTCCCGGCGATTCCACCGGTTTCTAGTGGTCAAGGTTTGCCGTTTGCACCTGTCGATTTCCCGAGCCCTGGCGATGTTTGGACTTGGAGAGTTGGGAGGAGAGTGAATAATACCGGTTTCCATAAGGATCGGTTTCTCATTCTACCGGAGAGGCTTAAGGGAAAGGACACACCCAAATCTTTCGCAAGCAAAAACACTATTTCGCAGTTTCTTGAAACGAATTTCCCTGATATGGATGCTAATTCATTCTTTGCATCTTTTAGCTGGACTATTCCGGCTTTGCTTCAGCCCGCAGATAGAGGTATTAATGCTCTCTTCTTATGCATCAGCCATGGAAACTCCTATCTTTTGCATGCATCACATAAATGATGTTTCCCTTTTTTCTATTTCTGCAGTTGATGCTGCGTCTTTGTTTGAAGAGACATCCAAAGAAGGACAGAATCAAGATGAGAATGCTGAGGGTGGGGAAAAAGAAGGAAGGACTTCGCGTTACAGCCAGAGGAAGAGGAAACTGGCGCAGGCACAGACTTCTGAACCTGTCGAACAGAAACCTAAAGAAACACCGCGAACTAGCAGTAGGAAAAAGACAGCCATAACAACTCCAGCCACCAAACAGAATTCAGCCCGGCAATCCTCCTCGAGACGTTCCACAAGACAGCAACAAGGTGATGTGGTTGAATTGGACGAAGAAGACCAGCAACCAGATGCAAAGAAGAACAGCAAGAGAATGAAGAAACACAGAGGTAACTTTGCAGAGGAAGAGGAAGAAGCTTCGGTTCCTCATATCTATGTTTCTTCTATGAATGGTGTCCTTGCGGTCTCCCATGCTCCTGTGGATATAAACCCAGAAGAGTTTGACAGTTATCTGAACTCTCTAGATAACCTTCTTCAGCAACAGCCTTCAGAAGCGGGACATGAGTCTTCATCATCTCTTCATGTTAATGCGAGCTCTCCAGTGAACGAATATGAATGGGCAGAAGCTCGAATGAAGCTTTCGTCGCTTCTGGAAAAAGATTTCTCTTCCTTGTTCATGTCTAATGAAGCTGTAGAGATAGCAAGCTTGGCAGCTAAACTCAAAAAAGATCCAAGCCTTTCAGCTGAAGAAATAGTGAGGTTGAAGCTAATTGAAGAGATTCCTACTTTCAGCGAAGTTTTTCAGGAGAACAAAAACGTGATAGAAGATGCAAACAGGTTCTTCTCCGCTCTCGAGCTTAACAAAGCCAAAGTCGCATCTCTCAAGTACGAATACAGCGACTTAAAGGAGAAGCTAGGCAATATCCAAACAGAAGTCGACACAAACTCCGAGTCAATCCGCCAAATTGATGAGCAAATCGCCCAGCTTCAAGCTAGAAGGACCGAGCTGACCCGATGCATCAGTAACAAAGAGAAAGAGAAGGTTGATCTAAGATATGGTCAGAAGATGGTTGCAAACTCAATCCCTAAAGTGGTACAAGAAGTTCAAGCTGCTAACTCAAAGAAACCTGATTGGGAAATGAAGAAAGACAATGCTCTTAAACGTGAAGCAGAGATCCTCGATAAATTCTCCTCTCTCAAAGGATTTTATCTCTAAACCATCATAGGTTATATATGCGTTGCATAAGGCCAACAAAACTCCAGTAACGTATAAAAAAATTTCATAAACTCTCTGCAACTCCAATGTTAAACAATAGCAACTAAAAAGATTTCAACTTTGATGCCATTAGATTAAAAAGTCAAGATTTTTCTGATTTTCAGAAACATCATTATGATGAACAATCACATTAGATTACTGTACAAGCACTATCAAATCTCTACCGTCTTCATCAGTCTTAGGCACAGTGACAATCAATTCACCGTCGCCGTCGCAATCCACCGTGACAAGATCAGGCCTAGTTGATTCCGGTAGCCTGAAACGCCACACGTCAAGCTCAAGCTCATCAAGAGACAAACCAAGAGACGAAGAACCATTGGTTCTCACTAGAATCTTAGTCACACCAGGATGAATCTCCACCATATAAGCCCTCACGCCTCCTCCACCGTTCGTCTCCGCGACGAACCTGAAACAGTCACGACTCTCTTGAACAGCCACGTCAGCGTCTGACCTCAAGGGCAGCTCTAGAACACGGCTGAAGATATGGGGGAGACGCCGGAGCTTCTTTCCGGGTTCACGGGTCGGATCACGAGCGTGATGGATGAGAATGTTGTCTCTTGGTAAAGGGTGGATTCTCATTTTTCTTTTGGAATTGTGAAGAGAGAGTGATAAGAAGCGATTGGGTCAAAATGAATAGGAGAAAAAAAGATGAAGAGGAATGTGATAGATAATAAAGTGATCACCTTTATTGTGGGAATCAAAGCTACGGCTCTGTATAGTCTCTTTACTAGGATCTTGATTTATATGATCCAAAATTTTGGGATTAGAATTAGGCAATTAATAAGTCATGGTGATTAAGAAATGGGTAAACAGATTTTGGTTTGACTGAAAAAACAGAAGTTAAGATCTTTGAAAGGGGTCAAGAGATAGAAACAGAATCTTGCTCATTATATCAAGAATTCAAGACAAAAGGAATTGCCTCATTCCCGGAAAAAAACAAAAAGAATTGGCTCATTCTTCTTCTTAATCTAATCTTTTGTTTACAGTTTTTTTTTAAAACATTTATGAGTTAGGAGTTAGGACAATCAGTTGTAAGAAAATACATGAATAAAAAATGGGAAAACCTTGTCCTATTTGTTTATTACATTTGACTAGTTTATCTTGATTTCCACACTATGTACAAAAATGTGTGAATAGTGAAATAATCAATGTAATTCCAGTGATCCAGAGCAAATTCAAATTTAAAATTGAAATTACTTAGAAATGTAGAAAGAAATGAAGAACAAAATTAATCTAGAATTAAAGCAAAAAATACTTTAATATAGTATGAAAGACAAATTTTCGAACATAGAAAAACTACACGATAAAAAATTACATTATTTTTCATCGAATTTAATGAAAATTTTATTAAAAAGAAAATAAAACGTACACCAAAATTCACTATAGAAAAATAAAAAGAAAATTTGTTAGAATTTTCCAAAAGAAAAATAATAATTTGGAGAAAACGATTCTTTTCGGTTATTGATCTCATTACAATATATATAATTCTGCTTAAGAATTTTTGAAAATTACATTTTTAACCTATTTTTAAAAGACTAAGAAATAAACATAAATTAAGAAATATTCACAAATATTTTTAAAATTTGATTTCTAAGCTTTGAGCTTTTGACAGTGTATATGCTTATTGGTCTGTAAATACACATTTTCTTAAAAAACATTTAGCTAACATCAAAGTTTAGGAAGAGAAGTCAAATATTTATTTGCTATATTTTTCTACATTTGAAATATACTTTTTTTTTTCTTTTTTGAGCAACCATTTGAGATATACTTTAATATCTAAAATAATCAAATAAACCATAAAATCCAATATATAATACAATGTAGACTATAGTTATTTAAATAAATATTAATTTGGCAAAAAAGTCAAAAATTGTAAAATCAAAAGCTATGTGCATATCCTAAATATTTAAAGAATCATGCACCGTCCTATACAGACGCCGATGTCCCTTCCGCCGCCGATACACTCAACGGCAGTCTCCGCCGCAAATACCATTCTGGACAAACTCTCACACTCCAAAACACTCAACCACGTCAAGCAACTCCACGCCCATATCCTCCGTACAGTAATCGACAACGACCTCAGCTCCTTTCTCTTCGACCTCTGTTTCTCTTCTTCCTCTATCAGTCTCAGCTACGCTCTCTCACTCTTCTCTTCTATTCCCACTCCGCCGGAGTCAGTAGTGTTCAATCCCTTTCTCCGGGATCTCTCTCGATCCAATGAACCTAGAGCGACGATTCTGTTCTACCAGAGGATTAGACACGCTGGTGGTCGTCTTGATCAGTTCAGTTTCCCTCCGATTCTCAAAGCAGCTTGTAAAGTCTCGGCCTTTTTCGAGGGTATGGAGATTCACGGCGTTGCGTTCAAGATGGCGACTTTGTCTGACCCGTTTGTACAGACTGGTCTTATGGATATGTATGCGTCTTGTGGCAGAATTGAGTGTGCGCGTAACGTGTTCGACGAAATGTCTCAGAGAGATGTTGTTACTTGGAATACTATGATTGACAGGTTAGGATTGCAATGTAGTTTTAGTGTTTTCTTATTTTTCTCAAAAGTTGTTAACTTGAGCTTGTCTATAGGTATTGCCGATGCGGTCTTTTAGATGAAGCCTTTAAGCTTTTTGAGGAGATGAAGTTTTCTAATGTGATGCCAGATGAGATGATTCTATGTAACATTGTCTCGGCATGTGGTCGTACTGGAAATATGAGCTATAACAGAGCGATTTACGATTTCTTGATCGAGAATGATGTTAGTATGGATACTCATTTGTTAACTGCTCTTGTTACTATGTATGCTGGATCAGGCTGTATGGATATGGCAAGGGAGTTTTTTGAGAAGATGTCAGTGAGAAATTTGTTTGTTTCAACTGCCATGGTTTCTGGGTATTCAAAAGCTGGGAGACTCAATGAGGCCCGGGTTATATTTGACCAAACGGAAAAGAAAGATTTGGTGTGTTGGACCACTATGATTTCTGCTTATGCTGAAAATGATCATCCTCAAGAAGCGTTAAGAGTTTTTGATGAAATGCGTTACTCCGGGATAAAACCTGATTTGATTACCATGTTCAGTGTTATATCAGCTTGTGCGAACCTTGGTACTCTGGGTAACGCGAAATGGGTTCACCATTACACACATATTAGCGGGTTGGAGTCAGTGTTGCCAATAAACAATGCTCTCATTAACATGTATGCGAAATGTGGAGGTTTGAATGAAGCAAGAAACGTGTTTGAGAACATGCCAACGAGGAATGTAGTGTCCTGGAGCTCTATGATCAATGCATATTCCATGCATGGAGAAGCCAGTGATGCGCTTATCTCATTCGCCCGAATGAAGCAGGAAAATGCCGTGCCCAATGCTATTACTTTTGTTGGAGTTCTCTATGGTTGTAGCCACTCAGGACTAGTTGAAGAAGGTAAAAAGATCTTTGCATCAATGACTGATGAATACAATATTACTCCAACACTTGAGCACTACGGATGTATGGTAGATCTCTTTTGTCGAGCTAATCGCTTACAAGAAGCTCTTGAGATTATAGAATCAATGCCAATGGCGCCTAATGTAGTCATATGGGGATCATTGATGTCAGCTTGTAGGGTTCATGGGGAGTTGAAGTTAGGTGAATCCGCAGCCAAACACATCCTCAAGTTGGAGCCTGATCATGACGGGGCTCTTGTGTTAATGTCCAATATATACGCTAGAGAACAGAGATGGGACGATGTAAGAAACATAAGATGTGTTATGAAGGAAAAGAATGTGTTCAAGGAGAAAGGTCTTAGCCGGATTGATCTAAACGGGAAATCACACGAGTTTCTGATTGGTGACAAGAGGCACAAGCAATCAGATAAGATTTATGCAAAGCTAGACGAGGTTGTAAGTAAACTGAAGCTGGCCGGTTATGTTCCGCACTCCGGTAGCGTTTTGGTGGATGTCGAAGAGGAAGAAAAAAACGATTTGGTTCTATGGCATAGCGAAAAGCTTGCGCTTTGCTTTGGTCTGATGAATAAGGAAGAAGAGAAAGGCTCATGCGGTACTGTTATTAGGATAGTAAAGAATCTAAGGGTCTGTGAGGATTGTCACACTTTCTTCAAGCTCGTTTCTAAAGTGTATGAACGAGAGATCATAGTGAGAGATCGAACTAGGTTTCACCATTATAAAGACGGTCTATGTTCTTGCAGAGATTACTGGTAAGTAGTGATTGGCAAAATTAATACTTAATTCATTTTTATTATATTTTACATTAGCCAACACTAAAAAGAACAAAATGAGAAGAAAAGATGAATACACATAATTACGTAGTGTAAGATCTTCCGAACTTCTTGGACTTCTTCGGCGATAACTCACCGGACCTCCTCCGTAGCATTTGTCTCATGCCGTCAGCAACAAGTTCTGCCGGATTAGCGTTAAACTTGCCACAAAAAGACACATGAGCATTAACAGCTTCCTCCACCGTCGTAGTCTTCGGACTACGGCTGAACTCATCACTCACCGCCTCGGAACAAAGCCCACATAGCCATTTTCCGGCGAAGTTAGCTTTGACATTACTAATGTAGAGTTGTGTACAATCTTCCGTTAAGCCGCAACATTCACACGTCACCGATTCAATCTCCATTTTATTGTATATCGACCAATCTATAAAGAAAAGATTTCACAGTTTTTGCAATTTATGATTCTCTATAGAATGATTTCTCCTGGATATGAGAATATATGTTGAACACCAAAGCTAAAATGTTTAGTTATATACACGTAATAATACATACATACATGTTGCATGGTGGGGTTTATATGTTGGCTCTACACTTGCAACAATTAATATACATTATATTTCTAGAGAAATTGAGAAGTATATAGAGCAAATGCAATTATTATTATTACACCTTGCAAATACATTATTAGTAATCGAGAAAAGAAGTACATTATCATAATTAAGCTTATCTCTAATGACCCTAGCTAGCTAGCTCTATCAACTAATTAACGCATGCACCACATAATACCTCGATGATCTCAAGGTTTCGTTCTAAGGAGGGGACAGGGAGCTAGAAGGATAAACTCAATCTGAATCTTGAAAAACATTATACGATTTTTGATATGATATGTTGTTAGATGTGTTTAGTCCACGTTGATGAAAAGTATTTATTGATGGATACCAATGTTTTGTGATAAATATATTGGTATGAAGAAAACTAAAACCAATGGGCGAGAAGTCGCAATAATTGGATCCATGTTCTAAGGGGACATAACATTGTGATTTGTGGAAATGGAGACAAAGGTGGTCTTGTTCAAGGGGGTCCCCATATTCTACCATTATTTGATATCACCTTCAATATTTCCATGCACATATCAATTAATATTTAGTACTATCACAACTTATGAACATAAACTACAAATTCACTATGATACAATAGAAATTGATGACTGCTCTGCGAAACCAGTTTATATGGATGGCCGAAAGATGCATGCAAATCACATATGTGTCCTAATAGAAACTTTGTAGAGTTTGCAGAATCTTTCTTTTCTTATGATCAATCACACATTTAAATTAGAGGGAAACATTAGTTTGATTAATTAAAAAGTAGGTATTAGTTAATTTTACATTATCATTTTGGCTTTGACTTCTCTAGACATTTATATAAACTCTTGCTAGAAACTGTCTTCCAGGTTTCAGCCATATATAAATTGATTGTCTATAATTTCCACAACATGTACACTCTTTCTCTTGAAAACATGCATTAAGAATTATCACTATATACTCTATTATTTATGTTATTATAAATAGACTTGACAAAGTTTGCACAGAAATTATTTTAAGAAAGACGACAATTCCCGATCCATGTATTAAAATTTTACAGGCAAAATTTTGTATTTGATAGAGACAACACTCTGCGAAAAAAAGTTAATTGTGAGCAATAACATTTACACATTAGCAGACAAAAGCTTACATTTAGAAGTATAGTGACTAAAATAGCAAACGATACATGTGAATTACTGATCAGATAAAATTTGTACTCATACAATGTACATGCTCCCTCGAGATTTTAAGTGATGTCTTACACAATATACATTACATAATACTACATAAAATTACACCAATATATCACATAACTAATCATTTAATTTTAAAGAAAACTAAGGGATAACAGTTTAATATGTTTTGCATTAAAACATCACTTAAAAATATATAAAACATCCTTTTTGACTAAGTTTAGTATTTGTTTTCTTGATAAACCAAGATCAAAAGGTTATATAAAGTATGTAAGCCAAGATCATATAAACCAACTAACCAAGGCACCAAAGTAGAGAATATAGGACGACATTTGTTTTTCACAAAAAAACAAAAAAAAACGTGCAAAGAATGATAACTTGATATATAAACATATCATTTGATATTAACTTGATATATAATGATAACACGTATTTCAACCATGTTCTTGCATAAAGCAAAGAGATACAACGTAACACACACTCTTTGCACTACAAACCAATATCACTTAGAATGTGGGGGGATTTTTATAGAGCACAAAATACGTCACACACAATACCTGTAGATAGACTAAAAAAAAATATGTTCTTTAGGCCAAAAGCTTTATGTGTAACAAAGTCTTTATATTGCAAAGATTATGATGTACGAAGCTGTTGAAAGGATGGCGAGAAGAGAGAACGAGAAATTGGTAAAACTCCCATCAGACGAGGACTTGTCTCCTCTGACTGTTTTTGATCCATTTCCATGTTCTATTCATAAAGATAATTATGTCAAAATAGATATATATATATATACGATTAGGTTCTATATATGTATGAGTTAACTAGTCCCTTACCTGAAGTGTTTGATGATCCTGCATGCGAATTAACCGACGAACCACCTGATGATGATAAAATCCTAATGCGTGAGAGACAAAAAAAATAGCTAGAAAAGATGAGTTTGATGGGAAGTGAACGAGTCTTTTCTTTACCATTGCAGCGACTAGCAGGCGGAGTTTGAACATGACAAGCTTTAGGCAAAGCAAGAGCTTGTGTCTCGTTAACATGGAACCCAAGCTCAGAACCTCCACCTTGGAGAACAAGACACAAACACTCGGAAGAAAACCGAACAACATGAGCCAACTGGTTACAACATTGTTGAGACGGAGAAGAAGTGTTTTGAGTGATGAAGCCGAGGCACGGAGCCATGCTGACTAGGACATTTGTGCAGCCCGACTGAGCAGAAACTGGAGACATCATCACTGCCATTGAAGCTATAAACAACACTAAACACATACTAGGTTTCATGTTTTTTCTTGTGCTCCGAGACTCTCTCAAGAGTTTGTCTTAATATAGTTTCTTTGAGGCTTAGTTGTTTAGTGTTGGCGTCTTTTGTGGGCATACGTAAATAAATAAGAAGTTGAAGCCGCAAGGAAAGACGAAAACAAGAGATGTGGCTCAATTTGCATGACCAGCTTTTTCCAACATCTTGTGATGAATGGTGAAATAATCTGATTACATTTGTATGTTTTTTACCTACTCATATACATATATTTATCTTCTTTAAAACACAAAAATGTAAAATTTAAAGTCAGCTTAGCAATAAAAATGTCGAAATCATTAATCATATAACCTGTGAGCTTTGTTTAATAGTCAATATTAAAAAAACCATACTTTTGAAATCTTCACACGTGGATCCACCTTAGTGGTGAATCATTAACAACTCAGCAGCGCATATCACACGTGGACCTCAGGGGTAGATTCGTAACTTCAAACCAAAACCTCCACAAGCTTTTTTTTTCTTTTATTTCCCGCCACCATCCGTTATAAAAGTCTCTCAGTCGTCGTCGTCGTCACTACGAGAGAATCAGCCATTAAGTAAAAATCTCTGTAACTAACTAAACTCATCAAGAAGAAGAAGAGAGATATCTCTAAAACAACAACAACAATGTCCGTCACAATCAAAACCATCGTCTTCTTCGTCATATTCGCGATCATCTTCTCCTCCGCCGTATACGCGACGCTGCAAGCACCTTCGTCTTCTCCACCGGTTCTTACATGTACGGAAGAGCTCGTCATGTTCTCTCCTTGCCTTCCTTACGTCTCCGCTCCACCGAACAACATTTCAGAGACTCCGAATCCTATCTGCTGCTCTGTTTTCACCTCCTCGGTTCATTCCAGCGCCGGAAACTGTCTCTGTTATCTTCTCCGGCAGCCGATGATACTTGGATTCCCGTTGGATCGATCTAGGTTGCTTTCTCTTTCCCAGATCTGTACTGATCGGAGCTCCGACGAATCGTTCGAGTCTCGCTGCTCGCCGTCAGGTTTAATTTCGAATTCTTCTATCCAATTGAATCGAATCGTAGATATGAGATTTTTAGGGATTTTGATCTGTGGTGCAGAGTCGCCGGAGCTTCCGCCGCTTCAGAGTATCCAGTTCACGAATCCGTTTCTTCCCGGTAAAAAACGGATCATTCCGGTGGATTCGGTATTTGTTTTTCGTTGACATGTCATGAGATTAAGCCTTCTTCGTTTAATTCATATTCTACAGGTAATCAAGGATCCGCTTCTCCACAATCGATCGGCTTAGTACCGGAAATCTCACCAAGCTCTGACCAATTCTCACCGGAAACAGCTACTGTAGCACCGCCACCACCAGCTCCACAATACATCTCAATCGGCTCTCCAAAGATCAGAAACTTCTGGTCTCCATCGACCATTATCATGACTCTGGCCACTTCTATCTTCTTCACAGGCATCTGAATGATATGAAGCTCTCTGTGCTTTTTTACTGCTTAGGTTTTACTTCACTGATACAAAGATTTTTTACCATTGGGCTTAGCGTTTAAGTCTTCGCCTGCCTTACTGCTACTGTTATTGAGGTTGTGTCAGCTGTGAGTAGTGTTTCATTGAACAAAGATGATATAACAGACGAGGTGTTTAGGTTTACTTCTTCATTACTTCTTGCTTCATATACGCAAGAAAAATAAAATTTTCATTTCAAAGTTCAAGACATGCATATCATCATTATCTAGGTACTTTTAATATCCAGGGAGCTTGAAGTTCAACAGATAAGTAAATGTGAGCTGAGTAACATCAACAGTCTAATAAACCCAATAACAACAATTCAGACATCAGCAGAGTTGGCGTTGGGGTTGACAGACCTACGCCAAGCGTAGTCACGGGCTCCGTCCTTGTCGACAATCTTGATCACAAAGTTTGGTGGTGCAATGACCAGCCTTGACCTGATCTCGAGTATGCATTTGTCGACCAATTCAATGGCTTCTTCAACAGACATGTCGCTGCGGTAGTGTCTGTCCATTGTCGAGAGAGAGAAGTATGAGCCATAACCGAATGCTCCCTTATCAACTTTGTGAAGAGTTGCAATGTAGTCAATGTAGTATAGAGATGCGCCGGCTTCTTTGTCGTAGCCAGCCATCAGGATGTTCACCGAATACGGATTCTGGAATCAAACAGAACAGACAGCAATGAGAAATCTCAAAACTTTTAAGTGCGGAATACACAGAGTCACAGACCAGTCATAAACAGCTAAAAGGAGCCAGGCCACTATCCACACTGTCTAAAAGTTGGAAGATCAACCCAAAATGAGTAAAAAAGAATCACAAGTCAGTTAGCCTTGCGTATCAGATTTTCATAATCAAGCCACGGAAGTCAAGAGCAACCTTGAAAGGTTCCTAGTCTTGCAAATTCTTAGTCAAGGGAATAATAATTACTTATCAAGCTTGGCAAAAGCAAACTATAAGGTTTAATCCAAGTTTTATCGTTATTGCATCATAATTCTAAATTTCATAACTCAATCCAACTCAAAGAGAAACCTTTGTAACATTCAAACACATAATACTGCTACAAAGTATAGAATAGTCTCATTATCTTTCTAAAATACCTTGAATATACCACACTAAGTCTAGATAATGAACACATAAGGTAAATTTCGAAATGGCACTAAGCTACTCTGAGGTAATGAAAATCGTACTGGGAGAACTAAGTTCAACTCAAATCATGGTTGGAATCTCAGAAATACTTGGAATTGGTTGGAATCTCAGAAATACTTGTATCAACAATGGTTAACAACACTACACAAGAGAAAACTGAAACTCCAAGGGGTTAAGCTCATCAACAAGCATAAAGTATCAAACACCTTAACACTATCAAAATCACAAATATGACAGAGGAACGCTTCAACCAAATTGATATGAAACCTAAAGAAGAAGACACATTACACTAAAGAGGAAAACTAAAACCAAGAATAAGCACTAAGTAGTTTACTCCACATTCGATTAATCTACTGATCTTCCACTATCTCACTATTTCATAAAAGCATCTAAAGCAAAGAGATTAAAAACCCTTAATTCCTCAATCTCATATAAAAATCCCAAACCAAAAACATCCCAAAATCCTGGAAAATTAAAAACCCTAGAACTCACCTTTCTCAAAGCAGTAGCGAGCTCTCCACGAGTGAAGTTAGCTGCAGCAGCAGTAGTCAAAGGGATCCCATTACGGAACTGATATAGTGACACATTCTTCTGAACATACTCCGTAAACTGAACCCTATAAAGTCCCAAAAATCACGAATCAAAACCCCATTGTACTACTGATCAGAGAGAGAGGCGAAGGAGGAGGAGGAGGTCTTACCTGTCACCAGGCTCGCCACTAGCAGCGATGAGCTTGTGAGAGTCAAGATTCATGATCTTGTCCTCGTCGTTCTTATGGAGAAGGATACTATGAACTGCCGAAGTATCCGCCGCCACAATAGCGAATCCATTCCCAACTAGACCAAATACACATTCCATTCTTCAGATCTGTTTCTTCTCAGTCAGACCCAAAAATTCTCAGTTTCCTTCTTCGAATTTTCGATTCCGATTTATTCGTTTCTTCCGGTCGCGTATCAGAAGAGCTTATAGATCAAAGCGACTTGGCGAACAAGATGGGTTGATTGAGTAATTCTAGAAGATGGTCAAGGGTATAATCGACATATTACGCTACAATAAGGACTAATGTTTTGAAATTACTATTTTTTAAAGTAGGAGGGCGAAGTTAGAGAAATGGTAAAAGTTAGGGGTTTATTTGTGAATTGGAAAGGAACCTCTCGTTTTCTTCTCTCTCCCGCTTCTTGCTGAGTCGCCGACCTCTGAGAAGAATAAGGTCTAACAATGGAACTCTGAGATTGTTCCCTTAGCTTCTAATTATATAAAACTATTTGATTGAATTTCTCATTTTGTCTGTCTCCTCGTCGATTTCAAAAGGAGTTTATTTTCAAAGCAAATGAAAGGTGTCGTGATTCTACTTGAGCTGTGTTGATCATGGTGAACAAGGGGTAGACAAAGGTACTCTGTTCTTCGTTCCAATAGCTTCAAAGATTTAAAAATGGCGTATTCAGCTGTTCTTGGGATTCGAAAGGTTTCAGCTTTGGGGATTTCTCGTGTTCTTCAAGGTTGAGGCATCAAATACACTTTATGCTCTGTTTTTTTTCTCTTTCTCGTTTGGTTTCGAAAAATTACAGGGAATAGACATAGTTGAGTCCAGATTATAAGTGATTTTAGAAAGGAATGACTAGAAAAGTTGAAAACTTTTAAATTGGAAGTTCGCAATATCTGACCTTTATGAGCTCTCTATCTACACTCGTTTCTGTGTAGTGTTTTGAAGAAGATTAAAGTTAGATTGGTTATGTTGTATCTTATTTTGGCTTCGTGTTGCCAAATGTTTCAGCTGATAAGGGAAGTTTGTGGCGGTTTCAATTGGAATCTGAGTTTGGTGTGTCTTTGAGATTAGACTTCTTGACTAGGAACTACAGAAAGAACTCTGGACCCCCAAAGTTCGACTTCACTGGCACCGAAGCCACCTCAAAGTTCGATTTCACTGATCTCACGTAAGACCTAAACTTCTTGTAGATTCATTGTTTGATAAGACATGGATATTATGTTAGTTCCCCAATTCTTGTTTGCAGTTTCATTGTTTAGATCTTAACCATGCTTATAATTTGTTGTTGTGGAGATACAATAAGTAAATGGGGTAATTGTTTTATATTCATGCCATAACCTTGAATTTTAGATGTCCTCATACATGGTATCCTATTGCTCGGAAGAAGAAGCGTAAGGTCATTCTACATGTTGGCCCGACAAACAGCGGGAAGACATATAGGGCCCTTAAGCACCTTGAGAAGAGTTCTTCAGGTATGCCTTAGAAGGTGACTACTAAACCTTTTGTTTTTTGAGAAGCCATTTCTTGAATTGTGTAAGATTTGCTTCTTTCACTTGAAGGTGTATACTGTGGTCCGTTAAGATTGTTGGCATGGGAGGTAGCTAAACGTTTAAACAAAGCAAATGTTCCATGTGATTTGATCACGGGACAAGAGAAAGAGTTAAAGGAAGGGGCAACACACAAAGCTGTGACAGTTGAAATGGCTGATGTTACATCGGTCTACGATTGTGCCATCATTGACGAAATTCAGGCTAGTCTTGCTTGATGTTGGCTAAAGAAATTGACAATAGCTGTTTGTTTTCTTATTCTCCTCCTTTCTTTCCCTAATTTCAGATGGTGGGATGTACACAAAGGGGTTTTGCATTTACTCGTGCTCTACTTGGAATCGCGGCTGATGAGCTACATTTATGTGGTGATCCTGCTGTCGTACCTCTTGTTGAAGATATACTGAAAGTAACTGGAGATGATGTCGAGGTAGCATGTTTATGATAGCTAGAGTACCTCTTTCTTTTCTAATCCTTTATTATCTATATTTAAGACACCCTTGATGTAATCACAACCTCTTGGTTCCTTTTATTTTGTATAAAGGTTCATACATATGAGAGGCTTTCACCATTAGTCCCTTTGAAGGAGCCTGTTTCATCAGTTTCCAGTATTAAAACTGGGGATTGTCTTGTCACCTTTTCCCGAAAAGATATATATGCATATAAGGTTCGCTGTTATTTATCTTGTTCTCTCTTCCTGTATTTTGCATTTTCCTTCTTGAGTTTGCTGCCAGAAAGAAAAGAAAAAAATACATTTTGGCATCATATTATATGCATAATAGCTCTATCCTAGCCTCATGAGTATTGAATATTATTCTTTTGCCTTAATGTGCATAGTATATTCTGTACTCTTATTTTTGTCTTCTTCTTTTGTTCCTTTTCATAGAAAATAATTGAACGTGCCGGGACGCATCTTTGCTCTGTGGTTTATGGTTCGTTGCCTCCAGAGACTCGCACTGCACAGGTTTGAGTTCCTTACTGTTTTGGCTCTAGGCTTAACTGGATGTCTAAGTATATCTCTTCTGTTTCCCCAATTGAAATGCTTTAAAATCTGTAGGCAACAAGGTTTAATGACGAGACCAATGACTTTGATGTTCTTGTTGCTAGCGATGCGATTGGCATGGGTCTTAATTTGAATATTTCAAGGATTATCTTCTCGACCCTTCAAAAATATGATGGTACTGGGACGAGAGACCTAACAGTATCTGAGATTAAACAAATTGCAGGTATATTTCAACAAATACACCAATTAAATCTTCAAGACTGATGGTATGACCTTTCTAATGTTCTCATGGTCCTGTGTAGGGAGAGCTGGCAGATTCCAGTCAAAGTTCCCTACTGGTGAAGTAACTTGTTTGCACAAAGAAGATCTTCCGTTGCTCCATGCTTCTCTCAAGTCTCCGTCACCTCTTCTTGAGGTAATTTTATAGCATTAGCTTAGTTTTCTACATTTTTTTTCCTTTTTGTCTAAGTTTGCACAAACCTTCTGTCATGCAGCGTGCTGGACTATTTCCAACATTTGACCTCCTGTGTAGGTATTCCCTAGCACACCCTAAAGACGGGTTGTACCAGATATTGGTAATATACATTCTTTCGTTTGTTTCTTTTGGTTCTTTTGAGTGGTTCTGAAATCATGGCTCATTAACTTTGGCAGGAACACTTTGTTGAAAATGCGAAGCTGTCTTCAAACTACTTTATCTCTAATGTCGATGATATGATGGTAAAGCTCAGCTATGATGAAGTTTTCTTCAGACATCAGAAAGAGAATGTTTTCTTAACACATATCTTGGTCTTGATTTTCAGAAAGTTGCCGCTATTGTTGATGAATTACCCCTTGGATTGCAAGAGAAATACCTTTTCGTGGTCAGGTAATAGCAAAATTAACAAATTTTCTTCTTTTCTTGTTTTCTGCACCCCAAAAAGTTCAAACAAATACAAGCTTTGACTGATCTAACGTTTCTTGTGTGCAGTCCAGTTGATGTAAATGACGAAATTTCAGGTCAGGGCCTTGCACAAGTAATAAGCCTAGACGCTCTTATCATTTTTCTTTTGAGTTATCAATAATGACATGGTTGTATGCAAAACAATTGTTCATATTTACTTTTTTTCTTTGTACATCAGTTTGCTCAAAACTTCTCAAAGACAGGTGTTGTGAGGCTCCGTGAGATACTTGCAGCCGACAGAGTTAAAGTTCCCAAAACACCAACAGAACTCAAGGAGCTTGAATCCATTCACAAGGTAACATCTTTCTTTTCCTTTGTGAGAAGTGATGAAAGGAACAATATGTATTTTATTCAAGAACTCAGGAACCTTCAAAGCTTATATGCAGTAGTGCAATAGATGGGATTAATTTCATTTCGATCTTAATTGTTCATTAACCAAAATCAAGAGAAGAATTTGGATTTTGTTAGTTTAACTAAAAGACGACTGAACAGGTTTTGGATCTGTACGTATGGTTAAGCTTAAGGCTAGAGGATTCTTTCCCTGACCGCGAAGTAGCAGCTTCGCAAAAGTCAATCTGCAATTTGTAAGTAGCTTGCTTAGCAAACAGCATTGTCTTTCCTTTGCTTTGCTCCACTTTCTGATCCAAATTAACACTGAATTCTACAGATTGATTGAGCAATTCTTAGAGGGAAACAGATTAAACTCTCCTACCCGTGTCTCACGATATCTAAGGCGGCAAAAATTCTGAGTATGTACTTCAAGTTTGGTTGGACAATTTTCATGTTCTGATCGTTGGTTTGGCCACTAAGGAAAAAGTAAAGACAAGTGATTGTGCCACAAGATCGTAACACTACTTAATAAAGGAACATTCAAAAGTTGTCATGTGTTTTTATTTGTCATTTAACAGTAGATAAACCATTTGATTTATTTGTTTATTTTATCATTTTGTTGAAGCAGTGACATGCTTTGAGATGTAAAAAATGCATTAACATATATGATTTATATCACATATTCACATGCTTTACATAATATTGTTTTTATTTAATATCTGAAGTCATTTTGTCACATGAATCAGTTTTTTGGTCAACATAAATCAGTTTTTTGGTCAACATGAATCTGTTTATTTTGTTGAATTAGATGATGAAATAATTTTACTTCAACTCTAACTACTCCAAAATCAGTTATTTTTTTTCCAAATTCTCATGAGTATTCAAAAGCATATTCTCTGTGTTAACGTCACGATGCACGATATTCTCTTGATGCAAAACAGATTATCCGCATAACTAATAACAAGAAGAGGTTTTCTTGTACAAATTTTGAAAAAAAGTTAGTAGTGTAAGATGTCTAGTTAATTTCTATCGGGGAGATCAAGAGTGAGTTTGATAACAACTTTTAAAGCGATTTTTGTGTAGAAGGTTTAGTTATAGTTATGATAACAAACATTGTTCATGCTTAAGCATGCATCAGAATCATCATCATCATTTAGTTATGCTTATGGATATTAATTCTTATGTTTTATGTTATGTATTGCTACTATGTTTGATTTTTGGATATTTATTACAATTAGTTCTTATGGATATTTATTACTATTAATTCTTATGTTTTATGTTATGTATGGCTACTAAGTTTTATTACTATTAATTGTTTTGGAAAGTAATAGTATATTATAGAAAATTAAAAGTAATAATATAGAAAATAAAAATTCATCTTTCAATTCAAATTTTATGAAGAGAAATAATAAAAATGAAAATAGGATTTCCATAGGCATGTCTGGACATAATCTTTATTGGACATTGACACATTATAGACCGACGTTCACTATGGACCGTCCATATATAGCTCATAAATATACTTTTCCAACTGGACATGTCCAATACTCGGTGGACAGACCAATTGACACTTCTACTCGTGACTCCAACCATAAGATTGAAAACTTTATTAATACGTGTTCCTGAGTGTTCAATATACGTAACATCAATGTCTCGGGAACCCACGAAAGTCGAAGAATAATTGGAATTGGACGTTTTCAAAAAAAAAAAAAAGTTAGATGTAAAACCTTATCGAATACCTTGTAAATTAAAAACAAGATGATAATGCTTTTTAAACAAAAACTCTATTTAATTATATAAGTTTAAAACAATTTTGATACAATAAACCGTAAATTCGATTCTTACATGACATATATCAGTTATACAAAAGAAGTTGTATGATAACTACTCACTACAATATTCAGAAGAAGAAGAACAACAACATTAGCTCACCATTTTCAAGCTGCATTCTACACCAAAAACTCGCATACACAATTTTATTCGTTTGCTATTTATAAGTAAATAGATTTTAGTATATTGATAGCTGAAAAATTTCAAGATCAGAAATGACACTCATAAGGATTCTCTCTTTGACATCTGCAGTAATGTTCGTCCTTAGATGTATTCGAATCTTTTTTAACATCGTTACAGGAACATTGAAGAACACGTTGTTTTATCTTGGCTTCCACATTTTTGAAGCAATTCTTCTTTCCGTGAAAACCACATTTTCCAGTAAATAGGATCTCACTCCAACAGTCTTGTGGAGGTGCCCCAGCTTCCGCTTCTAATTTGTGTAATCAATCAAAGTTTTGGTTATAGAGAGATATAAGAAATATTAGAATATAATACCATAGTTTTAAATTATTTCATATTCTACGTACGTACCTTCAACATAGCTTAGAATCATACCGATGAAAACACAAGAAACCATAATCAAAGTAGTACACCTCATGCTTTCCAAACTGATGTATGATCTTTATTTTGATGTGGTCACTTGTCACTTGTGAACACTAGCTCGTCGTATATGAAGAAGGCATCCATAACACAGGGGCTATACTAACTACATCAAATTAACTTTTCCGATAGATTAGAGAAAAATAAGGTTGAGCTAAGTCAACATTGTCGGTAGAATCGGCTTCCCATTTTTAGAAACATAATTTTTACTATAATTCACTCTTTTTTTTCGATTTTTCGGTATTATATTTGTTTTGTTATATATATACATGGTTATATTTTTGTACGTCAAATATGGAATTTGAAGTTTCAAAAGAAAATATATAATTATGTGACTTTGAAATTTAATCGTTGTTGGTTTTACCTTTGATGTTTCAAACGAAATGTGTTCTTGAAATAGTAGAAAACTAAAGGTAAAGCCAACAAAACTTCTTCTCTACAAAACGTAAGAAGAAAACTTATCATTCTAATTTTCCTTTAAACTATAAATTTTTAATAGTAATATATACTCTCGTTTTTGCTATAATTTAATATCATCTTCTCTTGTAATAGAAAAAGAGAAGTTTCTGTTAAAGCTATTAAAGAACTTGCGAAACTAATAACGATGAGTTGCTGTAGGCTGTAGCTAGTGTCTTTTTGGACATTCCGTACAAAGCCATGTTATGTTCGATTCGCTTTGGTAAATCATGCAAAAAAAAAAACAAAACTATTCACAATCTTGAGTATTCACAAGTCACAACGAATAGTGTTGAAAGACGTTTCTTAGAGAAGAATTAAGATAAAAATGGCATTCGGTTTTAATGTCGATAAAAAAACAAGACAAGACAACCAAAATATAAGTAGAAAGTGAAAATTCAAGGTCCACGAGGAGCAAAGCAGAAACATCCCGGACTCTGATCTTCAGGTATCATTCCCCCACCTTTACTAGTATCAATATCTTCAAGCCTACTCACTACATCCTTCATCTCCGGTCTGTTCTGCGGATTCGCATCCCAACATGTCTTCATTATGCTAGCCAATGCCGTCGGACAGCATCTCGGTATCTCCGGTCTCAGATTCTTTTGGACAGAACAGAAAAAAATCTCAGATTCTCAGATTCTTGACATTACGTAAGAAAAAAGGAAACTGGATAGGGTTTTCACAGATCAAAACTTACATGTAAGACAACCGCGGAAGAGACATCGACAAAGCTAAGATAGGGATAAGGCATATCGCAGCAGTAGATTTCCCATAAACATATCCCAAAGCTGTAAACATCGCACCTTCTGTTGTATGGCTTACCATCAATGACCTAATTAAGGAGAACAATGAGTTTTTAGACTATTCTGTTTTGAAAACAGAGAAAAGACAAGTTTTAGTTTGACATACCTCAGGAGCCATGTATCCAAGAGTACCGGTTTCTCCTGTCATGTCTTTTGGATTAAGAGCTTCCACTCGCGCTACTCCAAAATCAGCTATTTTCAAATTCTTGTGAGCATCCAATAGCATATTCTCTGTTTTCACATCGCGATGCACAATCTTCTCTGAGTGCAAATAGCTTAGCCTGCAAAACAATATTAACAATAAAGAGGTTTTCTCGAACATAGTTTTCAAAAGGAGTAGTAATGTCATAAGGCTAGTTACCCTCGGGCGAGATCAAGAGCGAGTTTGATAACAGCTTTGAAAGCGAGTTTCTTCTTCTTATGACGAATCAAGTGTTGCTTCAGCGTACCACCAGAGAGATACTCCACAACCACACAACACGCTTGTTGAGGGAACGAGTATTTTGAATCAGCTGATGGTATTTTAAGATTCGTTGTTCCCATTGACGCTCCAACAAACTGGTTCATTTTTAAGATATCAATACTCACTCAATTGTAAGAACTAACTATAATTAAATAACTAATGAACCAACCTTTGTGACATTTGGATGGTTGAGTTTGTGCCAAACAGAGACCTCTTGACGGAACAAAGCTCGGTTTGTAGCGGTCTTGGTCGATGATTCATCTTCCCAATCAAGCACCTTCACTGCAATTACATAGACAACCACCAAACAAGGTCACAAATCTCTATAATGGACACATAAGACAATATCATCAAAGTTTTTTGATCTAATTGTTACCTGCAACATCTTGTCCATCATAAGTGCCTTTGTAGACAGTACCATAAGTACCACGAGCAATAACATTACTTGTTTCCAACTTAGCCAAATCAATCTCCCATTCTTCCTTAGCTTTAGGATTGGCCTCAAGATTCCTCGACCAAACCCTACTCAGATGTTTCTCAAGCTGTCTATCTAAACTCTTCAAATCAATCTTATCAGCTCGAAAGATCTTGTCTTTCTTGATGTTACTCCCATCTTCTTCTGACTTCTTGTCCATGTCTTAGAATCCGAAACCAAATCTTTTTCAACAAGGCAAATCAAATCACACAACTTTCAAAAAAACCAAGATTCTGACTCAAAGCTTCAATCTTTTCATCATCATCATGAAATCAAGTTTTTCTTTTTTCTTTTTTCAGATTACTAATGAATTGAAACCACAAAGAAGTTATAGATTTCTAGGTTAAACAATGAAAGCAGTCTAGATTTTTTTTATAAGAAACTATGAATCACACCAAACTTATCAAAGATCATGCAACAATGCTCTAAAAAACCAACAAGGAATGAAACTTTCAATAGTTGTGAAGCGTGAGAAAATCTAAACTTTGACAAATAAGAAAAAGTAAACCTTAAGAAAACGACTCGTTAACCACTAATATATATTAAGGTCAAATATTCTCAATTTAACATATTAAAAAGACAAAACCAAACGTCAGATGTATGATCAACTAGGACATGCAGAAGAAACAAACACGCAAACAAGGTTTGGTCTAACTCAAAATCAATGGGGGGCAAGAAGAGAGAACGAAAGAGAAGGTTTTTGATGGTGGGTTTTGGATTACAGAGCCGAGAGAGAAACAGAGGATTGTTTTCTCAAAAGATCTCTTCTCTTATTTTTGTTTGTATGGATGAAAAAGAGAGAAACAACTCAATGAGGGACTTAGGAAACGACGGAAGAGAGATGGAGAGTTAAAGACGGAAGCGAAGCTGTTTCTTTTAGGCTAGTTTTAAGGATACGTTTTTTTATCAGATAATTTATAGAAAAAAAATCATCAAAATATATCTTTTTCGTTTTGGGATTTATCTGGAAATTAAATATTACAAAACAAAAAAATAAGGTTAAATTATTTTTCAAAATTAAAGGGAAAATATATATATATATATATATATATATATATATATATATATATATATATATATATATTGATGACTTTGAATCGTTCCCATTCCCATCTAAAAAAGGTCATATCCAAAAACCGAATTAAAATTGAAAAAAATTGATGTATTGTTTGCAAATTTTCATTGTGAATTAATTATTTTTTTGGTAGTTTATAAGAATATTAAATCTTTGGTAATATTTTGTATGTTTCCAAGTATATCGTGGAAGATATTGTAGTGTATATCCATTATTTAATAATGTACTTATCTATTTTATCTTTATGTATTTAAAAATAGAGTTAATGTTTTATATCTTCTGTTTTTGTAATATTGTAACCTTTTCTGTATATAATTTACAAAAATATTGACATGTGTTATCTTATTACAAAAATAATGTATATCTTATTATATAATTCGGATTTGGTAAGAAATAAAATATCATTATCCCTTTTAACAAAATTTTTTTTTATAAATAGTTTTCTTTTAAATTGAATAAAGTTTGTATGCAAATGTAAAGCACAATTGTTATCAATGTTAAGGCTTTGTTAATAGACTTACAAACTGAAATCTTAAGGCCCAATTACATATTATATTTTAGTAATTGCAAGAATGGCCCAATTTAAGACCCAAACTACTTTTTTTTTTTTTTGGTCAAAGACCCAAATTACTTAACCTGTGTTTTTACTAATCGTCGGCTGAATTGCACCATCTTACTAGAACAATTTCTTTTAAATTTGTTCTTCTTAGTTGAAATACAATCCAAAACACAAAGATTGATTTGAATGAGTCCGATTCAAGATCATATCAAACTTCAAACCCAAACCTTAAAATATCTACTTTTTGTGTCGCATTATTTATACTAAAAGCTTACAAAAAGTCAATAACATGTTTAGACTTATAAACTTATAGGTGGCCTAAGAACATTTAATAGACAAGAACACACTTATTTAGTTGCTACTGTCTTTGACTAAATCATGTCAAAGCTTTACCATTCATCAAATCTACACATAATACATGTAGAAAACCATAGTCTCCTTAATAATCCTACTCTATCTTACAAAAGTAATCCACATATCATTCATCTCCACCATTTAATCTTGCATTGAGCAAGTTAGCTCTCCACTTTACTTCAAAAAGTGACTATAGTAATAATTAAACCCAAAAGTCTATAGATAACTTCCACTTATCCGGTTATGAGTGAAAGTATTATTTCTTAAAGATCCAAAGTTGAAATCGGGCTGGATGCATGAGAAGGTATACACACTTAAACATTCTCAGCTTCAGACACTAGTTCATTAGAAAACATATATATATTATCATCTTGAAAGCTTAAATGTAACATCTCCTTTATTATAAGATGGTTTTGTTATTTCTTCAAGGAGCCAGAGAAAAAAAAAAAAAAAAAGATATATATCGGCGTGGCTCCACTTTATTAAACTGTTGGAACTAAGATATTGACATGAAAAAAGGAAAAGTTGAAATGCATCTTGGTTTGTGAGCACATAAGTCAAAAGATCTGCGTACCAACTTTTATGTACTTAAAGAAAAAGGGTTATAGAGAGAGACTTGCAAAGTCCAAGGTCAGCCCCAAAAATATCAAATTACACAATAATTCATTCACTTGAATCTAAACAGGAATGGACAAAAATTATTATTACGAAAAATGCTACCAAAATGTCAACTAAGTACCAAACTTATTTAAATCTGACATACGTAGAAAAATTGGCTCAAAAATCTTGATTGAGTAAATTGTTATAGTAAGTTTCTCGGTTTTCAGACAATTAAGTAAAACAAAAACATTACATAAACATCTCAATTAGCTTGATTCAGACGTTCAAGTGTGCCAATCATCTCACACTTGTCTCCAATCCGACAAGCAATATATTGCCAACGCAAAACACAATCCAATTGTTGTATTTGAGCTTGCCTAGTAGATATACTTATAACGGATGTGAGGCGTCGTAGATGTTACTCGACCATGTAATTAGAGTTTTGAGTGTCATACACACTCCAAGTCCGTCAAAAACAAAAATTCTTTGGTAGGTTGTTCAACGCTCCATAGCAAAGATTTACAACCCAACCGGAGCCTCTAGCTATCGTGGTAAAAGATCTCAGCTGAAGTACCCGCCATCGCGAATTCGAACCCCGGCCACTGCTAATATCACATATGGGCTGTAGCACTTTAGGAAGCGACACGTATAGTGTTTTTAGGCCGCTCACATAACTAGTCTAAACGCAAACGTTGGGATAGATGAGTTAAAAAAATATATTTACAACCTGAAATAAAGTTTATTTATATATATACAAGTATTTTCGTTTTTGCATAGTAAAAAAATGCAAATAATCCAGACTCAATAAAGGAGTCTATATATGTCTAATCAAAAAATTTAGTTCAAGTCCAACATATATATGTTTGACCATCAAGCAATCAACATGTAGCTCTCCCATTAGCTCTTTATGAAATGACTATTGAATAATCTGCGGTCTAGAGTAGACATGCATACTACGTATAAACCAGGCACTAGTGTTATCTTTTAATAATCATTAAGTGAAATTATGTAAAATTAGACAAAGGATTCATGCAGATGATTAGAGAAAGGAGGAAATATAATGATTCACAATACAAACATATAAGAGCTAAATAATGACTTTGGTACGTTTGTCCTTTCCTTATGGTCATTTTCTGAGAAGCATTAAGAGAGGATCTTGACTTAATAATCAAAAATGTAATTAATTATTCATTTTTGTAGTCTTTCTTATTCTTTTACTAATCTGCCACTAAGTATCAAGCAAGCTGACATCCACTAAAAGTTCAACTAACAATGATATCTAAAGACTCAAAATGTATCTAATTTTAATATGTTATATCTAAGTTATCTTACAAAACGAATGATATATTTGTTAATGTGTTTGATGTCACGTGATTTTTGCAGTCGGCATGTTTGGTCGACACTATGATTTTAGCATGGAGCTTCTTTATGCCAGAAGAATGTGCCTTTTTTTTTACTTTTCTCCATATACATTTATATCTACATATGTATTACTTTGGGTACTTTAGTTTACTTTATTTTTCCGTATTTTTTTAAATTATTCTCTCCATTTTCCATATTATTTTTCCTATCTTTACGGTCTTATTGTTTTTATTTTAATTTTTCTTTGGTGTCTTTATTATCGCATTTTGCATTGCATGGATTTTGTAGCAATCTGGATCATTGCATGAGTACGAACGAGGATTGACTTATAGTGATGAATAATTAGGAGTTTCACAATCATTTTACAAATTAAAACCAAATCTTTGTTTGCGGGAACGTGCATGGATTACAATTTACTGATTAGTCTCCAGAGACTCCAATATTAATACATACACACGTATAAAATATTTTTTAAAAGGAGAAAAAGAAATAACACAACCGAGTGGTTTGGCCTGGCCACAAAGCCACTAAATAGTTGAGATCTATATATAATATATACATATAGCTAGCTAGCACTCATTTTCAAGTTGTGTGACATCTATAAAGATTGGGGTTAAACCTACATATCCTATCAATAGACGTTAGTAAATACGTCTTATCACTTATGTGAGATCCCATGAACAAAAATAAATCAATATACGACTCTAGATCTCATAGGAAATGAATGATTTTTTTCCAATAATTATAGTTAATTAAAGTCCATATCCGCATGTCAGGTCTGAACTCTGAACTGTAACATACACTGTAAACTTAGATTATTAAGTGTTTTTGATGGTGAGTTAATTAGGTTCTCAAGACTGCAAAGGTAGGTCGCATGAGGTTTAAAATAATAAAAAATGTCCCTATCACAATTACATCAAAATGTAATAACCAAAACCATATATAACGTACAACATTCCTACTTTAAAACCAACAAACACATATGCCAATAACACGTTTTTCAACATTCCTACTTCAGACCAACAAACACGTATGTAAAAAAAAAAAACACATTTCAATTCTCATAAATGTGAATATAACTTTATGACCTTACCAAAATGCCGTAATACCAGCAAACCCTTATAGAGTGTTTCAATTTTCTTGATGGGCAGTCAATAAACTTACTGATCAAAGAAGACATATATTACTGATAGAAAAATACGGTTACAAGGTAGATAGCCTAATTTTACATAGATTAATATTATGAAGAAAAAAAAATCTTATCTCAGATTAAATAATACATTAGTAGGACAATACTTTTAGGTTAATTAGTATATTAGTCGGATAGTTTTCGGATTGAATCGCTTTTTATTTACTATTTACAAATTATGTCTATACAAAGAAGAAAACTGTCGTAGACTAAATATAGACTATCTTTACATACACATAGAGTTGGTATGCAGCTGTTTGTTGTCTGTCCTAAAAATAAAATAGATAAACTCGATGACGAATTTGCCCACTTCAACCGCAGTTACCATTCGTGTCCTAAGAGCATCTCCAAAAGGAGATGCCTATTTTGGGGTGTTAAACATTTTTTTTATTAAATTTAATGATTAATTTGAATTTGTGAAATTTTTAAAGAATAATTAATTTTCTTCCTCCAATGGTGAACTCTATAAGAGGTTTTAAAAAATAAATATTTTTCTTACAAAAAATATTAAAAACCAAAATTATATTACATTACATGGATACAAAACATACAAAATATACATATTGAATTAAACATACACTCAAAATATAACAATAAACATATTTTTACAAAAAAAACTCTTGCCCTTCCCCATTCCTCTAAAATATAATTTTCTCACTTCTTTTGCCTTAATTTTTTTCTTTTTACAACAGCCCGAATCTATACAAAAAAAAAATCCACTAATATAGGAAAAAAAAAATCAGCCTCTTTGACATAATGTCAAACACGTAGACAGCATCAAGAAAAAAAAATGAAAAAAAAGTTCAACCATTGCTAACCAATAGCAAAGCTCCACGTGGCGTTAAGCATCACCCCTTAAACAGTTTCAATAAGGATCGCTCCTTATTATTTAATCACATTATGATTTATTTTTAACCCACAAAATATTAAGAATCTCTAAAAAATTTGCTAACCACCTCCCTTTGGAGATGGTCTAAATAGTACTAAGGAATCATTAGTAGGATAATAATTGTCGATTGGAAGAGGAGCTCCTCTATTTCTCATCTTCTACTAAATTAGTAACTATCTTGTTAATTACCACACCATGTTTTAACAAATAAATGCCAAAATTAGACTATACAATAGCATAATACATTATTCAATCATGATGTAATCGAACAAAATTTTACTAGGCCGGTTTGGTTCGACGTGTGTGTTCGTTCTCTTACAACAATGCAAAGAGCAAGAGAACTGGGTTACAAGTCCACGTAGTTCGCGCGCGACCACCGTTACTCTCGAAGCTTAGTTTTAGTCAACCAACAACATCCACCCACGTGTCTAATCTCTCTATCCATCAGAACCCACTGATCTCACAAAGCGCACCGTAACAAGGCTAAACCCAAATGCACAGGAACATCCCCTTTCTCCACCACTTTCCCGCCCAAATGTCACAAAACGCCTAGCTGTCATTTTCGTTGATTCCGAAAGTACCCATGGGACAACATGGTGGTTCAAGGATAAGGACATGGATATAATTGTCAATTCAGGTAATAAAAATCACGTCGTAACAACAACAACAACACAAAACGTAACCCCACCGGCGATTTTGTTATTAAATGTGTATTTTTCTTAAGTCTCTTTAAAACTTTAAAGGCGTTCACGGGGAAGACATGTTTTTTTTTTTGGCTATTTATTAATAGTGGTGGTGCAAAACAATTAAAAAGACATACATATATACTACACTACATAGCTCGGCTCTATATATATATATATGTATTTTTATAAACCTAACTCTTTGAGTTGAATTATTGTGTGAATGTGAATATTTGTAGTGTAAATTAAAATGATAATATAAGAATTTGTACAGGGTAACTTGATGAGCTATAATGATCATCATCACATTTAATAACAAGTCTGGTATTCACAAATTATACTAATAAAACAAAATAGAATGCATATGCAATCATGTATTATTTGTTAGTCAAACAGAATGGTAGAAGAAGGTTTATGAGTTATGACAAGAAAAGACAATTATTTATGCAATAATGTTCTTATAGAACTATAGAGCGTTATTAGTCATTAATTATTAGTAAAATGAATAAATTTGACCAAAAAGAGCTGCCTCGTGATTAGCAGATTAGTTCAGTGGATCTTTATTTCTTTTTTTTTTTCTTTCTTTGACAGTGGATAATTCTCTTCTTCCCAATACGAATTAAGCCTTATAATGTGCTGCTCTCTCCTCCTTTTAACTCATCCTCTCTGTCAGTCACAGTCTTTTTTTCTTTTAATTAATTATCAATTCATATACGAATCATCCTCTGATAAACGTGCATGACTTATTTCGGGTAAAAGCCTTTTATTGTTACCAAATCCAGTACTTATAATATACGCCTACAGGTGAGATAAAAATATTACGCGTGCATGACTTTATAATGTATGGTATTATTTGGTTTTTTCCTGCATGACTATAAGTTATAGTCTTTGTAACGAAAACTATAATACTTTTTATAAAAAAAAAAAAAAAAACAAAGACTTGTTCTTTATTAGTGGCAATTTGCATTGTAAATTACCGATTAAAAGAGATTTTTTTATAAAAAAATATATTGCATGGAAACAAAAGAGAAGCAGCGGCAGCAGTGAATAAATAGAATAGAACTCTGCAACTAATTTTCCACAATTCCTTAGTATTTTATTAAAATGATCTTTCCAATAAATAAAAAAAGGAAAAAGAAAAGAATTAAGAAATAGAAAATGGTGTCCGTTACTTTTAATAAAAGGGTTTTTAGGAATCGAGAGAGTGAGAGTATATTTATTTTAGTTGGGGGGATACAAGTTAGATTGCAGACAAAAGCAAAGCATCAAAGAGATTCATTATTCACTTATACAGATATACATATATATATATATTAGATAAAGACACTTGTTGTATAAAAATACAGAGAAAGAGAGACAGGTGTTAGGGCAAAAGTAGAGAAAGAGAGTGGTGGGTCTGTTTTCTGACAATAGTCCCCATTTCCCGCCTTTGCTCTTGTTTGAAATATCTCTCTCTTCCTCTTCCTAACTTCATCTTCTTCCACTTAATAATAAGTCATACCAAGAGAGAGAGAGAGAGAAAGATAAAGTTTCACCGGAGATAAGAAAGAGAGAGTGTGTGACACTGTGTGTGTGTGTGTGGATGTGATTTTTTGTTCTTTGTTTTGTGTGTTTGGAAAATGGATACGCCTCAGAAGAGTATTCCCCAGATCGGAACTCCTATCTCCAAATCTAGATTTGAGGTTTCTTTTTCTTCTTTCTTTAAAACAGTATCAGAGTTTTGGTCAATGTTCTCTGTTTTTTTTTTCTTTATTAAATGTTATTGCTGTGTTTCGTGGTATTCCTATGGTGACAATTCTCAAATTTTGGTGCCCATCTTTGAAATTTTTAATTTTGTTGTTGTTATGAAAATCCAGATTCATAGGTCTAGTGCACTATTTTGTTCAATTCATTGTTTTACAAAGAAAAAAAAAATTACTTTGGCTTGACTGAAAAAAAAAAAAAAAAAAAAAATTACTTGGTTTTGAGTTTTGTGTTTGAAGTCAATGCAGTTAGTTCAAAGACACGACACAACTGTTAAGTGTTAACTGGTTGTTAGATTTGTTTGACTTTGACGGTTTCAGTTTTGTTCACGTTTAACACACTCAAGTCTTAATTGTCATCATCACTTTAATTTTCTCCAATTCACTACTTTAATTTGTTTCTGTCCTGTTTCTTGAGATTCTTAAATTGGAATCTGTGATATTCCCTCTTTACCTTAATCTCAGTACGAAAATAAACTTAAGCAGCTTTTTGATTTGTTGTACTTTTACGTTTTCAGTTGTTCAAATTTCACAGTGAAGTGTTCCAATCCAATACAATTAGGAATCTGTTCTGTTTATTGAGATTCTTAATTTGGAATCTGTGACCTTAATTACGATTCTAATTCTCCCCTCTTGTATTGTGTTGTCTGAAAAATGCAGGATTCACCAGTGTTCAACTACATAAACAGTTTGTCTCCAATAAGACCAGTCAAATCAATCCAAAACCCTCACCAGTTCAGCTCTTTGAATTTCACTTCCCCTCCTTCTGTTTTCACCTCACCACACCTTACTTCTTCTCACAAAGAGTCCAGATTCTTCAAAACTCACATCTCTTCTTCTCATCCTACCGATCCCGTGGACTCCCGAGAAGACGAGTCTACTTCTAATGAAGCAGTTTCATCAGAAGCAGAAGGTGTCAACATTGATGCTTCCAAGCCAGAGGAAGCTTCAACTGAAATGGTGCTACCACAAACGAGTCCTGGTAGTCCAGTTGCTTCACCGTGTGGTAGAGAGGCTACCGATCTTTCCCTTGTTCCATACGCTCCTAGTCAAGGAGGTAATGGTTCTTGTGAGGATGCAGGAATGGAGCTGCAGAAGATGTATGATAATGTCCAAGGGAAAACTGAAACTCCGGATTGGGAAAGTTTGATTTCAGATGCTTCTGAGTTGTTAATCTTTGACTCACCTGATGCTTCAGAGGCTTTTAGATGCTTTATGATGCAGAGAGCATCAACCTCCGAAGCACGTTTTAGCACTGGTGTGGGGATGCAAACAACGCAGCCCGATGCAAACAAGAAACCGGAGTCCTCAGATGCGATTCCTTATGAGGTAAACTCAGGAGTACATATCTCAATTGGTTTATCTTCAGTGTTTTATAATGATTACTGTCTCTGAAAGATTTGTTTTCTTGATGTCTGTTTTGTGTGTGATAGGCTGTTTCACTCTTGCACCGTGGTATAAGAAGACGCTGCTTGGACTTTGAGATGCCGGGGAATAAGCAAAATTTTGGTGAGAATAACACTGCGGCTTGTGAATCTTCGTCGAGATGTGTTGTACCGAGTATCGGTCTTCATCTCAATGCCATTGCAATGTCTTCAAAGGACTGTAAAACCAATGTAACCCATGATTACTCATGTTCTGGGAATATACAAGTGGGTTTACAAAGCTCCATCTCTAGTACATTGCAAGAACCTTTGGACCAAACAGAAATTGAAAGCCGGGAAGATGCAGATCAAGATGTTCCCGTTGAACCAGCCTTGCAAGAGTTGAATTTGAGCAGCCCTAAAAAAAAGAGGCAAGTTTTGTTTCTTTTGAGAATAACTACTCTGTGTAGTTTCCTTTTATCTCTGTCTAAATAACTGTTGTCTTGATAAACACGCAGGGTTAAGTTGGATTCAGGAGAAGGCGAGTCGTGTAAGCGGTGCAACTGCAAGAAGTCCAAGTGTTTGAAACTGTAAGCTCCAAACTTCACTTCTTTGATCTTTGGTTGTTCAAAAAAGTTTGGTGTTTTGAGTCTCTTGTTGTATGTATGCAGTTACTGTGAATGCTTTGCTGCTGGAGTCTATTGCATAGAGCCATGTTCATGTATAGACTGCTTCAACAAGCCTATTCATGAAGATACTGTATTGGCTACTCGCAAACAGATCGAATCTCGGAATCCACTTGCATTTGCTCCTAAAGTCATTAGGAACTCTGAGTCAGTTCTAGAAGCCGGGGTAGGATCTTTTTCCCCATCCTTTTATTCCTTTACATCAATCCATCTATCTTGATTGAAGTGATAATAATATTAAAAATGACAAACAGGATGATGCAAGCAAAACTCCAGCTTCTGCGCGCCATAAACGTGGCTGCAACTGCAAGAAATCAAACTGTCTGAAAAAATACTGCGAATGCTATCAGGTTTTTATTTTCCACCATCAATGTACTTCCAGTGGATCTTGACTTCCTCTGGTCTGATTTTTAATTTGGTCTGATGTTTCTTTAAAGGGTGGTGTGGGCTGTTCCATAAACTGTAGATGTGAAGGATGTAAGAATGCATTCGGCCGCAAAGATGGTTAGCTTCTCTGCCTCTGAGTTTGCATTACTAATAACTTTAAGTTCTCTTTCTGGTTCTGAGTCTACTTCATGTATATCTCAGGGTCTTCCAGTGTTGACATGGAAGCTGAACAAGACGAGGAAAATGAAACATCTGATAAAAGTAGAACAGCCAAAAGCCAACAGAATAGTGAGGTTTTAATGAGAAAGGAGTCCAGTTCTGGTCTACCTACAACACCGACTTACAGGTAAAATCTCAAATTTAAAAGGAGTTTTGATGTGAGTTTATATCACCTGACCAGCTCCATTTGTTTTTTTTTTTTTCAGACAAGAACTGGTGCAACTACCTTTCTCATCATCTAAAAACAGAATGCCTCCTCCGCAGTCTCTTCTTGGAGGTGGATCTTCTAATGGGATATATAACGGTCAATTCTTAAGAAGACCAGACATTAGTTTGAGTCAATCCCGCATCGAGAAGTCATTCGAGACAGTCACAGAGGATAGACCTGAAGAAATGCCTGAGATTCTCATCCATTCACCGATACCTAACATCAAGAGCGTGTCTCCCAACGGCAAGAGGGTTTCTCCTCCTCATATGGAATCATCTAGCTCAGGGTCAATCTTAGGGAGAAGAAGTGGCGGGAGGAAACTGATACTGCAGTCAATTCCGTCGTTTCCTTCTCTCACTCCCCAACACTGAAAGCATTTGGTTGGTGTATCTATGAAAATTCTTTGAATCTTTTTCAAGGTGAAAGATGATAAAAGTCAACTTCTAGTTGGTAGTAAGTTAGCACTTAGCACACTTTAAGTCTGTAGTCTAGTCTCTGTGTAATAAAGATGTCAATCCATCATGTTCTTGTAATATATAGGTTACTTCTTTTGAAGTTCTTGTCCGCTGAAGTAGAAGAGGTATCGAAACATATTGTGTCCGCTCTGATATCCGAGATTCTGCCATGTTTCTCGTTCAACACCAGCTCTAGCTTTATTTTAAAATACATCTTACGCTAGTTGCTACAATATTTCAGAAACTATACCATATAATACTTGTGAAGTCGTTTCAATGAATATCTTTATGATAGTCTATGAAAGACTAGATGTGAATACCTTATTATAAACCCTACTCTTCTTTAGTTGAAGATCTTATACACCCGCAGAAGCGGTTTTTCTTCTTTCTTGCAGTTCTTTTCCCGCCCTTGTGAATAATGTCTCTCAAAAGGATCACTGTCCTAGTCTCTGAAAGCATTTTCCTTCCTTTGCTTTTGGTGCCATCTTCGAGTTTCAACACTGTTTGCTCAATGTTCTGCATTTTAGTTTGCAGCTGCTCTATCTTCTCAGACCCGTTTCTTGACTTCTCCACGACCACCTTTCTGTATATATCTCTGGCATCTCCAGTTTCTTCAATTTCCTTTGAAAGAATCTCGTTTGTGTTTTCAAGCTGCAAGACAGATTCTTCCATTTCTTTTAACTGTCTCTTCACAATAACCAAATCAGTGTTGCTGAATCTTCCTTGTTTCTCATTCATCTCCAGCTTGCTTTTCAGATCTGTTAGGCTAATCCGGAGACTTGTTAGTCTCCTTGAATCAGACAAAAGTCTCTCCATAATCTTTGCCTTGTCTTCAATGTTTCTAGATAGCTCTAGCTTGTCAACAACTCCAACCGCTTTATCAGATTCTATAGAGGGATTCCGGCTGTGGCGTCGGAGACGCGAGTTCAATGGCCTCTGCAGTTGGTTATTGTTGATGAGAAAGTTTATACTGGTCTCTGATTCAGTAGATTCTTCCGAAAACTCAAACATCTCATTTGAAAGACGACTAGTTCCCTGGCTTCTGCCACAGATCTGGGAGCCTGCGACTAGATCATGAGGAATGTCTTTCATCAACAATCCATTTTTCACCTCGGTCATCTCAGGCCTCGATCTTGGCTGTCTAGATTCACCAGAGACCTTGTCATCAAGTTGTATATTTTCAATCTTCCTGCGGTCTCTGCTTTTGTGGGAGGTGTTTCGTGTTCTTTGCCTTGTAAGCCTGCCTTTTTCTTTGAAAACTGCTTGTTCGATGGTCTTAATACGAGGTTTAGTTTCCTTGAGAATCTCACTTCCATTGCATGGACTGGGGGTACTGCCACTTTCTTCGGGCTCTGGACAGACAGCTTCTTCTAGATTGTCTCCCTGAAGAAAATGGAAGGGTTTAGAATATAAATACCGGGGCAACGAGAAATATGAGTTTTTAAGATTTGAAATCGAAGGACAAGTGTGAAAGTTTACCTCTCTCTGTTGATAGGCTGTTGCAGGAAAATTCGTTAAAGCCAGTGTACTTTTCTCAAGAGATTTTACATCTCCAGCCAAAGATGCTATCACAGGATCATAAGTTGACAGTTGACTCTTCAGCTCAGTCACTTGAGCCTCCAAATAGTCAATTGTTTCTTTCATCTCTTTTATCTTCGTCGATTTTGTTACAACTTCACCATTGAGATTTTCACAAACTCCTGTGAGTTCGTTAACTTTGTTCTCAAGAATGAGTTCACGGACAGCTGAGATCTGAAAATCAAAGTAGAAAGATGTTGCTTCAGCATCCCATAGTTCAATCTCATTGCTTTTCTCTTGTAGTTCCAAACTCAGGTACTCCTCTAGAACTTGTTGTCTTTGGATTTCTTCGTGTAAGAACTCTACCTCTGACTCCAAATTCTCATTCAAAATGTTAAGTTTTTTAATCTCTTCCTCCTGTCTTCCAGTAACATCTGACAGTTCGGAAATCTGCCTCTCTAAATTTCCCCTCATTCGTCTTGATTTTTCACAGTCTTTCCTCAGCTCCTCAACTTCTTTGTTCAGCTCTTCATTTGCAGTGTGTGTAGCCTTAAGCACATGCTCTGCTTCTATCATTTCCATTTCCCTACGTTCCAAGATTTTGTCTACATTAGAAACGCGATGATCCAAGAGTCCATTTAAGAAATTGTCTTCTTCAAGGCCTTCATGTAACTTCTCTATCATCTTTTTAAGATCTTGACTTTCTTCCTCTTTACCTTTTAACCTTTCCTCCAGTGTCTCAACCTTTTGCTTCAGGCCCGTACTAATTTCTTGTAATCTGCTCATAGCTTCAACAAAACTTTCAACCTCCTCAGCCATTTCAGACCCAAAGGAATTGTAAACCACACACATGTTACTCAAAGCAACAGCTTCCTGAAGAATTGCATCAGTATCTTCCTCAACTACACACATTCTATCTTTAAGTTCCGAGAATTTCAGAAGCAAAGTTTTGTTATCATTGATTGTATACGAATAATCTTGTTGCAAAACCATGTATGACTTATGCAAACTCTCAAACTTTAGATGCTCCGTTTGCAGTTCAGCTCTCAGCTCTTGCTCCTGTTGCTCTCTTTTGATCAGTTTTAATTTCAACAGCCGGTTCGCCTCCAATAGCTCTTGCTTATCCTTTTCCAACATTCCACACTGCTGTATTGTAATCTTTAGATCTTTTTCGACGATGTTCTTCTCCGATTCGAGCACCAAACCGTCGGATTGGAATTGTCCAAATAGAGATAAGAGCACCGAGTTCTCAACTACAAGTCGCTGCATCTCATATTCAGCGTTGGAAAGTGAACATTTTAGACCATCAATCTCTCCTAATACAAGTGAAACTGAAGGTTGGTCTTTCGCAATCTTCTGTTTTGAAGTCTTACAATCTGCTTCAACTTGAAGTGCCTTTATCACTTGATAAATTACACCCCTCAAGCTATCAATCTCGTCCAAAAATATTTCTGCTTCCATCTGCTGCTCGAGATTCTCACTTTCCAGCTCAGAAATGAGTTTCTCTGAGAATTCTGAAGCTTCTACATGCTTCTGACACTCTATCAGGAGAGAAAAATTCTTCTGCTCCAGATCTTCTATAAGCTTTTGCAAGATGAATATCTCGACTTGTTTGTTTACAACTCTGTCAAGCTCTTCCTCATACTCTCTTTTCCTGGAGCGACACTCTTCTCGAAGATAGCTCACATTCTTCTGAAGATCTGCTAATCTGCTTTCAGTCGATCGTTTGTAATTAGCACTCTCCTGCTTCTCAGCGGAAAGAGATACCTGTAACTCTTCTACTTGATGGTTTTTGAGCTTATTATCGCTCTGTAAATCGGCATATTTTACTTCCAGTTCAGTATACTTCTTCTCCGAGATTCCTAGCTTCTCCTCAACCTTATACAATTGAGAGACGAGAGATTCTTTTTCCTTCATAAGTTCAGACTTGTCATTTTTGAGCATTAGGAAGAAATCTTCAAACCACTTTGACTTATCTCTTAGACTTATAAGCTCAATGTTTGCAACAGAAAGGGAACTCTCCAATAAAGAGTTCTTTTCCAAGAGCTTCTGCATATTTGCAGTCATGATTTGCAACTGGGAAAACAAGTTAGCTCTCTCAGCAGAAAGCTCAGATTTCTCTCCTCGTAAAGACTCACATCTTTCTTGTAGATCCTTTGCTTTCTCCCTGGAACCGTCTAGTTTGGTGTTTGATTCCAAAAGCAATTTCTCCAAATCAGCATTTCTCTTTAGAATGCTGTCCATTTCACACAGCTTTCCTGCAGCAGCATTTTTTTCATCTCTCTGATTGGTGCATAATTCGATCAGCTTCGAGTTCTCGTCTTGTAGTTTCTTCACGGAGTAGGAAAGAGATTCAGGATCAAAACCTGTGAGGCTCACTTGATCAATTAATTTTTGGTATTTCTTATTCATGTTGTCAATATTACCCTTCACAGAGTGGATCTCTACTTGAAGGGCACTGCTCTGGTTCATCTGTTTTGCAACTTCTTCCTCGAGCTTTTCTTTCATCTTCTTCAAGCAAGATATCTCATTTTTCTGAATCTCTAAGTACGTTATAGAAGTGTCATTTAATTCGCTTAAGTTTCGGTTCTCTTGTTCAACTGAGCTGATGTCACCTTCCAACTTATGATTGCGCATCTCCAGTTCTCTCAACATTTGGATACGGCTTTGAAGTTCCAAGGTGAGAACCTTCTGTTCCTCTTGGGACTGAGAATGCAAACTCTCCAAATTTTGAAGGCTAGCTCCAAGTTTTGAAAACTGCAATTGCTCTTCCTGCATTAGCGCTTGAAGCTGTTCAAGCTCGTTTTCCTTCTGGACAAGTTCTTGATCTTTAACTGACATTTTGTGCGCTAGATTGTCTGCCTCTACCTTTAGAGTTTGATTGAAGCTCTCCAAAATAGCGCACTGTTCCTCCACAGTCTTAATCTTTGCAGCGCCAGCAAGAACTTCACTGCTAAGTCTTTTGGCATTATCTTGAGCATGAGATACTTCTCTCTCTAAATTTGATATTGTCTCCAAACACTGCTGATATCGAACACTCAAGTCTTCATTCACTTCATTCAGCTTCAGAAGTTCTTGTTTCAAAGCTTTGATTTCGTTTTCTGCTTGTTCAGATTGGTCCCTGAAGATTTTGACACTCTCCTCAGCATCTCTAAGTTTCTTCTCTAAAGCAGATATCAACTCAAGGCATTTATTGTATCGGACTAAGCCAGCCACCTTCTCAGATTGCAATCTAGAAAGCTCTTGCTTGAGACCCATGGCTTCCCTTTCTGCTTCAGATGCTTGGTCAGTGAGGCCCTTGGCATATTCTTTCTCATGAGAAACCGATGCTTCTAAATCTGCTATTCTATCCATTGATTGATTATACTGAAGAAGCCCTGTATCCCTCTCGAGCTCTAACTTTGCAAGAGATTCTTTGAGGATTTTAATCTCAATCTCAGCTTTGCAAGCACGTTCATCAAATCCTCTAGCATCCTTTTGAGCATCGTTGAGTTCTTTCTCAAATCTAGATAGTTTTTTCAAGGTTAGCTGATATTGGAGATTCAAAGCCTCCTTTTCAGTCTGAAGCTCAAGCAATGTCCTCTTTAAGCTTTCAACTTCAGAATATGCTTCGTGAGAATAAGAAGTTCCACATAAATTATTCGTCTGACTTAAGCTCCTTTCACTTGTAGCACCACCCTTTTGCAAGTATTCAGTATGAGGCTCAGAAGAAGATGATGCAGAATCCTCAATCATGTCAAAAGGAATCTGGTTAGGAAACGCCTCAACCATGACTTTATGCGCACGCCGAAGCTCCACTGTTGTATGATCATACCTTTCAGCTAAAGCACGATAAGCTCTGTATAGCTCTTCCACCAGTTTCATGAGCTCTGGACGTTTCTTAAAGTACATATCTGCCCTTCTTGCAAACGAATCTGCATCTGTCTCGATGAGTTTTATCATCGTCTTCACTTTAGAATCCATATCTGGTTCAGCACAAACAAATATTTCCTGTTAAACAGATTTCCAAAAAGACACAATATCTTATTTGAACACACATTTGCAAGAAGATATATAGGAAACCTGCAAGATTATCCTGAATCCATTTTGAGTTTTTGGGAATGTGACTATCCCACCACCACGAGTACAACCGCCTGGATTCTGACTGCGACAAATTGGCCATAACAGCGGGTGCAAAAACGGTTTTGGGTCCTTATTCGAGCAAGCAAGTGCAAGATAAATGGTTCAGCGCCAAAGTGAAAAAGCTTGATCCTTTTGATTCGCCAACTAGTATTCTAGAAACTAATAATTCTACAAAACTGAAACAAAGCAAGTCTGTAAAAACAATCAAAGAAACTTTCTTAAGCTTCAAATCGTTTCTCTTATTGGAAAACAAACCTTTGCACTATGGTTTTGTACCAAATGCTGAATATCCCTTTGGTATCCGTATATATAAGAATAATTAACACATGATCTTCCTGAACCAAAAAAAAAAAACCACAATTCTCAGAGAGACAAGTTCAAAATCATCTTCAAACAAAAACATAGACAAAGATACAAACATCAGCTAGCTTCAACGCCTAGTTAATAACAAAACACAATCAAGAATTGGGAGAAAAGGGTTTAAAAAAAACAGTCTTTTGTTCAAATTGTTTCATAAGAAAATTAGGATCAGAGAGCATAAAGCTCAATAGAATTGAGTTGGTAGAAATTGGAAACTGGAGACTTAGAAAAATGTATCAACAAAGACAGATACTTCATCACCCACCAATAATAGAGACAGCAATTAACAAAAACTTCGTCAAGCTTCGGCGAAACAAAACTAATCAAACTTATAAACAAGACTGAGGCTTTACCATATGAAATTACCAGAAAAAAATATGAAAATGGGTACCAACAAAATTTGCAAAAGGAAGAAACTTTATCAAAAATTCAGGAGAATGAGTGCAAGCAACAGCGACGCAAAGATTTAGAACTGATACATCAAAGCGAAAACGATACTTCTAAAGAATCAAAAAATCACACTTACCGAACAAGAAATATTTACAACAAAACAGCTGCAAAAATAATGTAATTCAATCTCTTGTCTCTTCAGTTTCAGCCATCAATGGAGAAACACACACAACATTCTCTCCCTCTGTCTTCTCTGCTGCTGTGCTCTGCGTGACAAGAGAATGATTAGTATGATTGGCTCTCTCTCTCTATCTCTCTCACAGTAAAATATTCGATTTTTATTTTTTTATGTCAGCAACAACTTTTGGTTTCTTCTTTATCTCGCTGTCAAATTTGTATTTAATTAATAGAAAAATAATTAACGTTTTGTTTCCCTCATAATCTGGTGTTTTAACGAAATCTTTATGACTATACTATGGTTTAGTGAAAAATAAATAAAAAAAAAGGATTTTTAAGTGTCGGCAAATGTGATTTGGATTTAAATATGAAAGACTTTGGTATCATTTCTCACAATCTCTAAATATTTCAACATACGAAAAATGTGTCCACATTAAATACAGAAATTTCAGTATTAAATATAATGTGTCTAAGATACCTTTATTTAAATCTAATTTCAACAATAATTTAATTTAGAATACTGTATTTGATGTTTAGTCTAATTTGATGGTATTTGTCACTATAATGTAGTTAATGTACAAATAAGGTTTAGATGAAAACAAAACCTATGCATAGAAAATTGAATTCTATAGCATTAAACATATACTAGTCGTAGTAGTTTATTATATAAGCTTCTCTCATGTGTATATAGCATGTGTCACACCTTCTCATTCATTCGTCTGAAGTTAGCAATAAGTTGGGAGAATTAAGAAATGTTAGGCATGCATGTATTCAATTGTTGTTCTATATACAAATCTTATCGCCTAATAACTACTTTTCCAAGATTAATAAATATTTTCAATTCTCACTTTATAAAAAGTTAGACATGTTGAAGAACATTATTGCCGTGTACCCATCATGTATTTTAGCTTTTTATGTTCCCTAATTAATCATATCATATGGATTACCGAAGGAGTAAGCAAATATACTTAATAATGTTGCAAAGAGAAGATCCCAATGAATGACTGAATATATAATGCTATATGTGTAACATTATAGCCGTTGACAAATGAACTAGCTTGTTACGGGAGGTTCGGTGAAATAGATAAAGTCTTGGACGACCCTGATAAGATGTGATCGTCTAGATATAGAGATGATGATGTTTAGTGAGAGTGGAAGAGATTACATAAATAGAAAACTACTCGTTTGGTTTGATCTTTATCGAGTGCATGTGCGTCTAAAAATTTATGTATTAATTCATTGATACATTTGATTACATATATACATGTCATGTGTCTTAGTTTTGTCTTGTGCTTGTCAAGTTACAATATTAGGTAGAATCCCAAACACCGCAAGATGCTAGCTTATATTATTTTTCCTTTTTGTTTTCTACGCAAGTCACACACTTCCTTCCACCAACAAACATCAATAAGTGTACGTTCAAGATCTAAAAAGAGGATAATCAAGAAATAGGGGGCAGGGCACTCATCAAGATCTTCCAAAAAAAAAAGAGAAAAAATGTGAGTAGAAAAGACATGAAAATAAAAAAAGGTGGGATGTCACAAAAAGAGTTCTATGTGAGAACAAGTTTGTAACATTTGTCTCTCTTTTTTATTTTGTCACTAAACGAAGCAAACATTTGCAACTCAATTATTATGTAAAAGTCCTCATCAAAACCCCAACAAGATTTAGTATATATAATGGTAATTACATTATTCATGGACAAATGTAGCCAATTTTGGACGTTTATGTAAAGATAAAGTGTAGGGTACCTTGAATATATTATATATATGTTGTCATATAGTCAGTGAACTGTCAATGTTAGGTATGGAGAAATGTCGTTTTATAAAAGGGTGTGGCATTATTGCTCTTCTGCTCATCTCGGTGAATTTGTTAGCAACACAACACTGAACCATAATTTTTACCAACTTCGTCTTCAATTGCTACGACAGCCTCACAGCAGCTTATGTACAATTGCTACGACAGTTTCTAATCAACCCATGCATAAATAAGATGTACGTACGTACCCATGCCCATTATTTAATTAGCTAGGTGAAGTTAAAACGATACAGCTCTTACATCATCTTCTTATGGAAACCAACTGAGTAAGATATACATTCAATTATTTATAATCTATACGTTAAAGCGAGAAGTCCCTAAAGTTATATTATGGAGCTGAAGAAACTCTTCAATCTTCATAGTTCATACCCTTCTTCTCCATTGATAGATTATTACTTGGCAAAAGAAGAAGATTTAAGTGGGCTTTAAGATAGATAATTTATATGGGCCGATCACGGTTACTGAGCCATACCCACTGGGACTATGCAACTTAACTTCATTGTAACTGCTTAGTGTGTAAAATAGTGAGTATTCCTTTTCGGTCTGACCAAACCAAACCAAAGTTTATAAATTGAGACTAGTATCTACAATGGTCAACTATTGCACAGTAATGATTTGGGTTATTTAATTTATATACTGAACTTGTAAAATTTCAAAATCCCCTATGAAACTAAAATTCTCGTTTTGGATTGATAGTGTTCGATATTTGTTTTTGGTTTATATGATTCATTTTGCGAAGCACATTTCCTACTTTTTGTTGAGTTTTTTTTTTTTTTCTTTCTTAATTGATTACAATTCAGTTTGATGCCTTAGTGAATCGAGTAAACCTGGATTATACTCTCGTCGGATATACAAATTTCATAGGAGTTGAACAAACGACAAAGAAACTATCAAGTTATCTAAAAACAAATATCATACAATTAATGCGACTGATAAATTAAAGACAAGAAAAATGGAAAGTTTCAAGATGTAAGAGGAGATGTCACTTCTACTAAATTCTTGCTTTTCATGGATCAGAATGCTATAAACCATAGAGCTCTTTGCTTTCTAGGCTTCTCTATTTCTCTCAGTCATCTCTCAAATCTCTAAATCACACTTTTCAGTACATGTTGTTCCCTTGAACCTGCAACAAATAGGTAATCGAGAAACAATCAGTTCCAACTCTCAATGCATGCTTTCTTGTGAAACAAGTTATCTTTCCATACTCACATCAACATGTCTTCCGTAGTTTGTATTGGTCATAACCGTACTGGTGGATCCGCATTCGCTCTCCATAAGCGATATGTTCGATCTATCGAGCTTAATCGCCATCCAGGGATAGTACTGATGATGATGTTGTAGCTGTTGTGGTTGACTTTCCTTGGCTGTTGTATTTGAACCTAACTGAGAAGAAGATCTCTGCATCCTTACAGCTCTCGGGACACCATTGTTCCTCGGTGCTTCCATCGAAGATCTTCTCCTCCCGTTCGTCTGCGGCTTCTCATAGATCTCAGCAGGTCTCTGCTTAGGTGCGCTCTGAGACCGAGCCTTGGCTTTAGAAGACTGAGTATTAGCCATGTAATTAGGGAAGAGAGGGTAATCATAAGAAGACAAAGTATCTCCATTGTAATAATCTTTGATCCTGCTAAAACACTGAGGACTACTTTGAGCTGTGTTGAACGAGTTACAATCCTCGAAATGGCTACTGTACGCTCGAGGACTCATCTCTGTTAAACCAGACGGAGCAGGAGAGTAGAGTTTAGATTGAATGTCCATTTCCACTATCTTGATGTTTTCTTCATTCTCCTGCAACAACACAAAAAAAAAAACAGAGGATTTGTAAAAAAAGTTAGATCAAAATTGAGGATCTGGGTTTAGTCAAGTTTGGATTTTGAGAGCTGGGTTTTGTAGATCCATTACGTGGTAAAAGTTATTGATCCGAGTTTTATGAATCGATGTTCTTGGATTTGTTGAATCTCCGATCAAACGTATCCTCTGTTCTCGAGCTTTGGTTTGAAGTGTTATTAATGCTTGCATACATCTAAGTGTAGCTGTTGCTTGTTTCCTTACTAAATGACCTCTCACTAGTGCTTGTAATTTCACTAACCCTTTTAACGCTCTCAATGCTTTCCTCGCCTGCCACCAAAAATTATAAAAACATTTGATTAAATGAGTCCAAAGTAGAGAAATTGATTAGTCGGAAAGTTTTGTAAATATGTTACCAAATGAGAACGATAACACGCTTGAATCTTCACTGCTGCAAATTCTTCAATCTCTGCGGCTGAAACGTTCTTGATTTGTTCATCTTCATCGTCCAAGATTACGACCACAACTGGTTCTGGTGGTGGTGGTGGTGGTGGCTGTGGTGGCTGTTGAGACGGTGGAGATGAACCTTTGAGGTTAATAGCACAAGCTGGTGGTGGACCAGTGGCTGAAGAACGTCGAAAACTCCATCGACGTTTCTCTTTAGGAGTGCCTGGAGTGGAGGAAGTGAATCCAACACATTCGCTTGGAATGATCTTTTCCTTTGTTCTCTCTTTCTTTCCGGTTAAGAGACTTCGAATCCACTTACTTGTTTTCCCCATTATTATCTGAAAAGCTTTTTGCTCAAACCACCATTATAAATGTCAGAGAAGAAGAAGAGATTGTAATGTGTGTGTGTGTGTGTGTGTGTGTTTGGTTTCGAGAAGTTATAATGGGACAGACATTTTCTTGTTTAAGACATTGTACTCACAAACTCTTTAACTGCTTCTCTTTTTGGACAGCCTAACACCATAAGTTCCTTAACCACCCATCACTCAATTACATTTAATTTCTTCTTTTTTTTATCCCACCTTTTTTGTTGAATTTTAGTGGAATTATTTTGGAATGTTTAAACTCTGGAATATTTAAGGCGTTGTCTCTATCTAAACTAAATTTCTAATTTTAATTTCCGGTCTCTATATGAAGCACATAAGCGCTTGGTAAAAGTGTTTTGGAAGATGACTAAAATAATTTACTAATTAGGAAGAAGAATGAAGAAGCATAGAGGAAGCTAGCTCCACGGCCACGATTTATCCACTCGAAGGCCAACTACACAAACACAATCTCAATAAATCAGATTAGATCAGATTAGATTCCTTGCCTTCTTCATCGAATATCACAATGTACCAGAATACCCTTTTTACCCAACTCATCCTTCGAGTTAACTCTCTTAAGTAAAGACTAAACAGTATACAGAGTATATTACCTAGTCAAGTGGCATTAGTACATTGGTCTATATATGGATTACTTATAATGTTTTCGTTTGATAATGTCATCAATGTTTTAGAGTTTAAATTTGCATTCAAATGGACTACTTTTATAAATGTTTAGCCAACTTTTGTGTGTGTATGTGTAGGATAGCTACGTTGGATTGAGGTATGAAATTAGTTATCTCTTCATTCAACACTTGATTACGTAGGACGGCGTGTGTGATGTGATGAACCTAGCTAGAAAGCTACGTAGCATAATGAGATATTGATACATTACTGCTCATCCCAAAAGAAACAGAGTCACCTTAACTCTTGGAGATGACTTGGGAGTAAGAAAGGGGTACATAAGTCATTACTAATAGTGAGATTTAAGATGGGTGAGAGAGCCTGAGGCTGAGCCATGTGAAGAAAAGGGTAAAAGAACATGCAGAATCCGTGTGAAATAATTTATCATTGTCGTAACTTATACACTAATTTTATGATAAGGGACGTTTCTAGTGTTCATGGATTTTAGCATGAGAATGAGACATATGTTACCATTACCATATACTAATAGATTATGTCAACATTTGGAATGATAAAAACACCGTTGGCTTTATTTGCCCCACACTGAAATGTATGAGAAAATGATGTTAGTAGTTTATTTTGTGGTTACTCGAATGAGACTATTCAAAGATAATAATAATTTCGATGGATATGTTTTTATTCCTTCTATATAGAGATAATATTCTTGTAAAATCATATATTTTGAAAATTTTGAAAAACTCATTCTATTTTCAGAAAGTGACACGAAATAATAAAATTGGTAATTAACTTATCTTCTATATAGTATGTCTTAATCGCATTAAAGAATAATTCCAAAATATTAATTTCTTTGGTCGGAGGACCCTCTAAAATTGTAGGACACGTTTTGGTACTAATCAGACCCTATATTAACATTATCTTTTGTTTGTTTCCCCCATGAATCCATCATAAATGATAATTAGATATGATGCATATATATGTGATAGGTCTAAATTCATTTGTTTAGCTTTCGAAGACAATGATGTGTAACATACATACTTCTAGTTCTAGACAACTTGGGGTTTAAAAGACAGTTGTTGAAGTCGACAAATGTTTTAAAACGTCCTTATTATTAGACATGAAATGTAGATACAACGAAAATAAATATGAATTATAGTTGAAATCACGTTATAAAAGCAATCAGAAATTGTCCATACATATTGAATTAGTTGTTTGTGTTGTTGATTCTAAATATCAGTACTATCGTATCATTCAAAACACGTATAAATGATACCGTAAGCCAAACACAATTGAATATTTGGTAGATATTATAGCATTAAAGTGAATTAAAACAGTACATGCCATATTAGCCTTAAAATGAATCATACAGTATAAAATTTAAAATATGATAAGAATGTATTGGAATGCTAAATAACTAAATAAATTAATCAAATTGCACCAAATTACAAAGATAGATATAATTAGGTTGTTGAATCACAAAAGCCAATCATCAGAGAAGAATGCTGCCTCTTGCACTGTCATTGACGATTATTTTGTGGTTAGTGCATGAGTTGGAACTTTGTTCCAAGACTATAATATATACATTGGGATTTGTTCGATCATCACTCTTTGACGTGGATCAATGCAATAGTTTAACTATAAAATTCATCAATAAGCAATATAGTAATATATAAATCAGAATACATGTACAGTAGCAATGATATAATACGTGTCGGTGTCTGTGTATGAAGCTGGCAATCACATGGCATGTTACAATACGTTGACTCTAGCTAAGCTTTCCTCCATTATGGTTTCATCGATCTATCCAAACCATTACTTTGATGTTTGTTTGTTTGCCTATTTCTTATTTATTTCCGGCGGCCGGCAACATATACGGCGCCGTTTGCCGATACAGTTTACGTTCTGACTTCTTGGGATGAGAGTCTTTATTTGTTGTCGCACACTTTTTAGATCGTTCAAGATTTTATTCTATTTGGTATATTGGTTTTGGTCACTCATGTTCTCTTTGGTCAAGAAGAAATCGCCGATATGGACTTAACGTATGATATGACACTTTATTGAGGAAGTAAAATAGAGTTTTGGAGTTGGCTGCTAGAGAATACGACAATGGACTACATCAAATAATGATATATAGTTTCACTCGTACAGGTTAAATTATTGGTCGAAATCAATAGAATTTTCATTTTCTTTTAGTGCATTAGCAAGAGAATATATTATTATTTCAAAGTTGAATTTTCTAAAATGTTTAGTTGAGTATATATATAAAATTAGGTCTTCAGGTTTACTAAAATTTTATTTTCGTTGCCACATTAATGTATATATTTTCTTTTAATGGATTTTGTATACAAAATTTCCACCTAACATCGAATTATTTTGAGGCCGTTTTAGAGGCCAGCTGAGAGATTGATTTTGGCTGGACACACTCTTATTTATTTGGCTACTGCAGAAAGTTAAGACCACTTATTTTCTGAAAATTAGTTTAGACTTTAGACACACCATATTAAAACAGTATATATATATATAGTAGACATATAAGAATGTAAGAGCGATTTAGTCAAACAAGTTAGACATAAGTTTTAATCAGAAATTGTATAATTTGTAATCTATTAACGAGTTTCATATTTTGTAGTTTCAAGCTTAACTTATCATGCGCATATAAAAATTATTTGTTTGTTTCATGTTTTGTTTGATCAAAATCCTTTGTTAAAAGCTATTAAAAAAAAGGAAAGAAAGATAGGTGATACTGTGATAACATATATGAGGATACAGAAACATAGGTCTGAATGTTGAATGAAACCATATATTCCATTTACGTGTTAGTATCGAGACACATGCATGGACCACACATAAGACATAACCACTTAAATTCCTACGTATTAAATGTTTACTAAAGTGGATGAGCTGTCAAAAAAATGTTTAGAGTTACCATGCATTGCACGGTTTATAAATGAAATGAAATGAACTGAAATGATGAAATGAAATGTGTGCATATCGAAACTCTCGGATCATGTCTCCTCTTTTTTCTGCTTACAAATTACAATTGTACGTAAAGTATAGCTAAGCTTCTTCCTTATTACTTCTAACTTCTATTTCTGGTTCTTTTGCCAATCAAACTTTTTCAAGAACATAGTGAAATGTGTTCCAATGTTTCAACATTTATTTCATTGACGTAGTCGTAGACACCATTATTAGAGGTGTTTAGGTAAGTGTATGTTAAGTTTATTAGCGGCGAAGGAAGCATTGAGAGGTGAAGCCCAAGGCCCTTAATAGCTTTTTGGTCCATTACTATTGTCAACTATCTTTTCGTTCTAAAGTTGCGTATTTTCACATTTGATCAGTTCACTAAGAAACGTGGCTTGGTTGTTCCACCGAGACTCGTCTCCACAAAAAGCTCCGCACAAAGAAAACATGAATGAAGAATGATCAAGGGAAAATGCATTAAGGTTTTCTCCTTTCCTAGCTAATTGCTCCATCCATGGTCTCTTTTTTCTTCTTCTTCCATCTTGTTCTTGAGGTTGTGGATGAAGATCACTTCATCAACCAAAATGTAGAAAAGTGGACACAATATGTAAAACTTAATTTATGAAAGGCCCAATATGATAATTGAAAAAATAAAAGAACAAAGGAAGAATTGCAAAAGCCCTTTCTTGTGGCGAAAATGATAATGATGGGCTGTTTGTTGCATTACAAAAATTCTAATAAATACAATAGAGAAAATACAAACACTATTTAGCTTTGGAATGGTGACTGCTCAACGTGAGATTGAAGTCGTGATATTTTATTAGATACATAAACGTGTTCGATCAGTCGATGACTTGACTTTTTTTGCCATTCTATCTGATAAAATGGACGGTGTATATTATAAACTAGTTGAGCATGTTACGTTTGGCATATATTATTTCACGGGAAAAATACTTAAACGTGCAAGTTTTGAGGTTTATAATATATCTAGAAAATAACTATGGGATTCAAAACCATAGTATAAAAAAAAAATATTTGAACGATTAAGTTGAACAAAATATATTTATTTATGTTAGCATGTCTTCCAAACACTTTGTTTTTTATTTTTAAGTATCACATGGCTATAATGAAGTTAAAAACAAGTTTTTGGAATTTGGTGTTTCATTGTGGAAGATCCTTTACATGTTAGGTGGGTGATGGGAAAATCTTGCTCCTTCTTGAAAGACGTAATTTATGAATTAAAGTGTTGGAAGGTTTTTGATTTTTCCAATTTTGTTTTGAAACAAGAAGAAACAAATATTTTTTTTGGTTGAACATAATTTTACATTCATTTAAAAAAAAAATAGTATTGTGTATATGATAAAGAATGGTAATTTTGAAAGTAATACTCCCTTTATATCTAATATGTTAAAGTTTTAAGATTATTTTTTTTCTTTTGAAAAAATTGATTTTGTTGATTAAAAAACTAAAATAATTATTTTACTCTTTTCACATATCATGTAATGGTTAATATTTTCTCTTTCTAATAATAAATAATTGTAATTTAATTCATTTTTATTTTTTTGTTGGACAAAAATAATTGTAATTTAATCTATAAACAAAAATTAACTTTCTATTAGAAACATAGGGATATGATATAATCACAATTAACTTTTATTATTAAAAACAGAGGGATATGATATGAATGATCAATATATTTTCTTCTTTATTTTTTTCTTTCTCTAATATGAATTATCTTTGAAGACTATAAGATACTATTAATCATATGTTGACTGACCATTGGAAAAGAAAGAAAAGAAAAGAAAAGTAAACGCTATTAATTGGATCACAACAATCAACTAATAACTAACACTCAAAGAAAATATATGTAACCAAAGTCGGTTCTGTCCACATCACTATTTTTACTTACGTCCCGTGTCCACCAAATCCTCAACTAATCTCTTATATAAACAGATTCCAAAGAACGATCTTTTGTTTTCTTTTAAGTTATTTGATTTCATTATTTATTACTTTCAAAACATTAACGGAGAAGAAGACAGAGACACACAGATTCCATTTCATGGCTTGTCTTAGGAAGAACACACTCTGTCTTGTTGCAGCTTTACTTCTCATCTACCAGAAGACAGCTACTTGCGATTTCCTATCTCCTCTTCTCGCTCCTGTCTTCGGTTTTGTCTCTCTTCCTCACTTTTTTTTTCTGGGTTTTTTTGTTCCTTCTCAAATTTGATATTAGTGCTGTATAATCCAAATCTAGTTTCCTTAATCTAAGTTAAGTTCCTCAAGTTTTATCATTGACTTGAGAATAATCAAAAGTTAACTCTGTCCAGATTTAGGCGTGTAAGTGTTGGTTCTGTTTCAGATTAGGGTTTAACTCCCGCCGGATTTTGAACTAGAGATGCTTTGTTTTGTTTTGTGACAGAAGTAAAGTCGTATCTTTATGAGTTTGGGTTATTGAGTAAAAAAAGAAAAAGTGATCTTCTTTGGAGAAGGGTCATTCTCAAATTTGTAATTTAATATAGTTGTGATTCATTTAAAGTTGGGTTGATGTTAATTATTGTGAAATAAACAGATAATGTGTGCAAGGAAATGGAATGTGGAAAAGGGAAATGCAAAGCATCTTCGAACGCAACTTTTATGTATGAATGTGAGTGTGAAGATGGTTGGAAGCAGTTTGATCATAACCTCAAGTTTCTCCCTTGCGTCATCCCCAACTGTAATATCTCTCTCTTGATCACTTGTTCATTTTTTGTTTTGATCATATAGAGAACATAAGAACAAAGTATACATTTGATCATATAGAGAACATAAGAACAAAGTATACATTTGATCTTTTTTAGGTACCTTTGATCTAACTTGTGGTGAAGCAGCTCCTCCAACACAACCCAAAACGCCTCCCAAAGACAACAATACTTCATTATTCGACGGTAATTAATAATCTTTAGTCTCAAGAGGTTCCAGCCTTAGGCATGTAGTTCCCTTCAGACAGATTTACTTTAGAAGGTCGTCTAGTGAAGCAGTAGAGAGCTACAAACGTTGGAGTCGTGATCTTTAATCTCATTTACTTCCTTGATGTGTATTTTCTTGCATAGCTTGTCAATGGGTGGATTGTGGAGGAGGGCTTTGCAACAGTACAATGCCGTTTCAATACAGCTGCAATTGCCGTGAAGGTTACGACAATCTCATGAACATAACCACATTTCCTTGCCTCAAGCAATGTAAGAATAACAATTTATAGTACTTTTAATTGATTGTCAACTTGAAGAAAAGACCAAGACTTAAAATTGAGAGTTTTTTTTTTGTGTTTGGAAGGTGCACTTGGAATGGACTGCTTGAATCTTGGGATTCCTGTGTCAAACTCATCATCGTCCACTCCACCTGCATTGCCTGATAGCAGCAAGAATCAAGGTTTGTGACTCCTCTGCAAAATGCTAGCTTAATCTTTTTGATTAAGATCTCAAGTACTAAAGAAGTTGAGGTTTTGTTTTCATTGTACCAGCAGGATTGAATCTAAGAGGATCATCGCTGTGGTGGATAACGTCTCTGCTGCTCTGTGTCTCTCTAGCACCATGGAGGCTGCTCTACGTTTAATCTCTTTTACAAAATTTGTGTACAAAATGCATTACTTTAGATGTTGCTGTTGGGTAATGTACTATCTATTATCAACGTTTAATTCGATAAATTTGAAAGTATATCAATATCTTCTAAAAGTATTTGGAGCTCTCAAAGAAACGTCAATATCCGAAATTTCCATGAATGCCACAAGAAAAACACAATGGGATCTATTTTGGTCTACCATTCAGTTAGCAGTTTCGCCACTTTAAAAACTAAAACACCAAACATATCTTTGTCTATATTAGTCAACTAGTGAACTCTTTTTGAAATTATAATCTTCTCCACATTAGTTATATAGTCACTACCGCCCAACCATCATCAAAATAATTATTCTATTGCTAATGAAAATAACCCACCAAACGTATGATATTAAACTATATCGATTAGTTTCGTAGAAGCATCTTTGAGCTTAACGAAGACTTTTGAGAGAGAAAGAGACTTGAAAGGAGCATAGCTTTGAGATTTCAGATCCAAAGTATTTTTATTTCTTTTTTTTTCCTTTCTTTCACAATCTTGAAGTATACGGCCATGGATATTCAGGATGGAATGTATTTGCCCCATATCTACAACCATATAATGATGCCTTCGAATCATCTAAGGAAAGGTGATTGTTGTGGACGCTTGGAAGCTACCAGTGATGGATACTATTGCAGAAGCTGCGATTTCTTCGTCCACAAGAAATGTGGTGAGTCCCCTAGATCTATCGAACATCCATGTCACTCCATTCACCCTCTTATACTTCGAAGTAAGCCACATAATATATGTGATTTGTGTGAGAGGAGTATTGAGAATCTATGCTACCATTGTGAGCTATGTGACTTTGACGTGGATCTATACTGTGTGAGGTACCCACCACCAATGGTTATAGAAAATTCCGAGATGCATGGCCACAAGCTCTTTCTTCTCGAGGAGCCGATCAAGTTTGACTGTGCTGCTAGCTGTGGGAAGATTGGTCATAGTTTTGCTTACAAATGTCATGAATGTGATTTAGCCTTCCATGTGGCTTGCCTATGGGATTCATCGGAGTTAAAACTCCCGTTAGAGGTAAACCACTCTCACCACACCTTGCACCCTCTTAAGCTCATCATGGGACGATCACCGGATTATTCTGATGAGAAATGTCGTCTTTGCGATATCAAGATTGATGATGAATCTTTTTATCATTGTTCTTCGTGTAACTTCACCTTGGATATACGTTGTGTTTTTCACCCCCTACCACAATCTGTTATGGAGGTGAAAGCACATGATCACCAGCTCACCCTTCTCCCTAGGCTCGATTCTTTTACATGTAACGCTTGCGGACTCAAGGGAGATCGAAGCCCTTACATATGTGTTCAATGCAATTTCATGATCCACCAACACTGTCTTGCCCTTCCACGAGTCATAAACATCAATAGGCATGATCACCGTGTCTCTCGCAATGCTGTTGTTGGCGTTGTGAATTCTATATGTGGAATTTGTCGCCAGAAGGTGGATTGGATTTGGGGAGGCTATTCTTGTCAGCACTGCCCTCGCTATGTTGTTCATTCGAAGTGTGCTACCAGAAGAGATGTGTGGAACGGGAAAGAACTCGAGGGAGTACCTGAAGAGATTGAAGATATAGAACCATATGTGGTAATAGATGACAATACAATACTACATTTCAGCCACAAAGAGCATTATCTAAGACTCCACATTAATGGTCTTCTTTGTGAGGACAAGAAGCGGTGCAGCGCTTGTACCCATCCCATATGTCTCCAATCCTTCTATTATAGCTGTATCTATTGTTGTTTCTTTCTCCACCAGAACTGTGCTCAACTTCCTAGAAGGAAATGGCATGTGCTACACAATGAACGGCTTACTTTAGTAACAAGCACCACCAATTTCTTTGGGTGTAGAGCTTGTAACAGACCATCCAATGGTTTCAAATACCAATATGATGAGGAGAAGACTTTAGATGCTCTGTGCGGTTCAATTTCTGAGCCATTTTTCCATCCAAGTCATCCGGATCATCCCTTATACCACACTGAACCAAAGAAAAGGATACAATGCAATGCTTGCAACAAGTTGACATATCCTGCGCTCTCGTGCATTGAAAAGGGTTGTGGATTTTCCTTGGGCTTCGACTGCGCCACTTTACCACAACTAGTAAAGCATAGATTTGACAATCATCTTCTCTCACTATGTTATGGAGAAAAGGCAAGTGGGAAATGCTGGTGTGACATTTGTGAAGAAGAAACCAATCCAGAGACATGGTTTTACACGTGTAAAGATCACCAAGCTAGTTTGCATATAAAGTGTGTGCTCGGAGACTTGTCTGGGGTCATGCCAAGAAGCACAATAACGGTTTCTGGCATACCAAATGAGGTGGTCGTCAATAATGGTATGTCTCGCCCATTTTGCATGAATTGTAAGTCGCGTTGTATGTACCCTATGATCTTGAAGAAGCCTGGGGTATCAGACGCATATTCACATCATTGCTCTTTTCATTGCATGGTTGCTACTGTACTTTTCATTTTCCGTACCTTAGGTCTGGATCAAGATGTCTCTCAGTTGTAAAGATAAATCGTGAAGTATGTGAAGCAAGATCTTTCGTTTAGATTTCTGTTTTTATTTCATTCACAACTTCATTTCAAGTACGTGTTGATTACCCTCTATTTAGAGAACAACGGCATTGATATAAATTTATTAAGCTCTAAGGAACGACTCAAGAAAAACAATGTCTATATCATTCTCATCAATCAAAACCTCTATTTGGTCATTACTCCATTGTTAATACTCCTCAACTACAATGACAATGTAATCCAACCAAAAGGGTCACCACTATTGAACTCGTACACTAGCACAATGGTTGAAGATTTGCAGTAATCAATGCAATATAACAATTGATTGTCAATTGAAGCAAGCTCCAGACATTCAACAGAGTTACTATTAATTTGGTCTGCCCCAAATTAAGTCACCAACAATGTAACATCTTTGGATTTCCATGATAAACAAGAAAAAAACATAACCGTATTGTTATAGATGTAATAATACTATACGAGGCATTTCCAGGACCAAAAGGCATAGAGCAAAAAGCAAGATGATCAGGATATACCACAACTAAATTACTATTGCATCACAAGCCATTATACCTGAAGGAATTGTATTTCTCCCTCAGAATTGGTAATGGACGCTTACAAAACAGAACACTTGAATCAAATGGGTAAAACAAAATAGATACAAAAAAATGCTCAGTGGAAGGAGAAGTCGTTTAAGTTGGAGAGCTCACGGTATAACCCACTGCTCTTCTCACACTCTTCGTGCTTTCTTCTCATCATTGCATTTTCATCATCATCATCAAAACACAAAACAAAACATGGTAATAAAAAAAGAAGAAAGCTTCAGTGTGTGTAACAAAGTCAGATCATTGATTCAAAGAATCTCACTGAAATCCGCTAAGATATTTGTTTTTTATCATCATCAGCTCTTTTTGTAACCCAAAAAACAACAAACAACAAGAAGAAACACATCAATCCAAAGTTCCAAACCAAACCCTCAGAAGAAAAAAACAGAAACTTTTTTCAAATCGAATGAAAAGATAAGATTTTTAGTAAAAGGGTTGATGATACTCAGACAGCCAAGGGTTAATCTTCAACTACTGGGAGAAGAATCCCAGATCTGAAACTCTAGTCCACATATTATACTTGTTTCATCACCATATCATACAAACCCCTTCCACAACACATTACAAATCTTTTCACAAAACCTTAAAAACCCGACCAAAACTATATCAAACAGAGAGGCAAGAAGATCCTAATCCTACATATGATTCGAAGAAGACGAAAAGAGACATATAAATACTTCTTCGGCGGCTGCCGTTTTAGTTCTTAGGGTTTTCTTGGCCCAATTAATCTAAATGGGCCTTATTACTCGGCCCAACAAAAAAACAAAATCACCAATTTGGGAAAACATCGCAATATAAGGAAAGTGAGTGTTGTTTGTTCATATGCATGCATTGACGCTACGTATCGATTACTGTAGGTTCAACTTCTAGCTAACCATCCTATTTTCCCGAAACACAGCTCCTCCACTCAATATGTTTTATCCTTTTGTCATATTTTCATCCTTATTACATCATGTCTTATCCTTATAACATCTTCATATAAGGTTTACAAAAAAAAAAAAAAAAAATCTTCATATACTTAAACACAAATGTTATGTACTCGCATTTGGAATTAGCGCAAAATACTATCAAATTCAAATTTGCTAGAAATACAATAGTTTGGTAGCCACAATAACACTAAGGCTACAAATAGTTATACAAAATTGAATAAGTTGGAAATATTAAGTTGAATATCATTCAATTCATTCATCTCCAGAATCGTGGATGAACAAATTGAATATTTTTTCTTTATAAATAGTTCAATTTTTCAAAATTTTAGGTTGAATAGGTTGAACAATATTTTCAATCTCTTCAACTCAAATGGTGAAAATTAGCTAAATAATATTTTTTAATTTTTTCAATCTCTTAAATTGTACAACTATTTGCACCATGATTATATAATAATAACCCGACGAATATACTAATTAATGGTTACAAGTTTTTATCATACAACAAGAAAAAGAAGGGGTAGTTGTAAAGTATCTTCTTGTTTTTTTCTCTTCTTTTTTTTTCCTAATCAAATACACCAATCATTCTTATCATTGATTTTCATTTTCAAATAAAATAACAAGAAAGACCGTTCTTGGAATCGTGGGACAAATATTTATATATATAATGTCTTCATATAATATATTGATCTAAATGTTTGTAAACCATCATATATAATATTCCGTATGAAATAAAGTTAGTGTTTATAACAAATAAAACAGTACATTATCGGATAAACTAGTATAATCATTCTTTATATATAACTAACAAATTAATCTACTACTATGCTTTAAAGTTTAGCCGAGCTATCAACAAAGGTGTAGAGAGGTATACTGTCGTGATCATAATTTTAATATACGAAAAAGGAGAGTGCATATATATATATATATATATATCATCCATTTTTATACTTCTTCGATCTTTACATACACATGGCCATTCACGGGATAGCCTAATTTGAATACATCAAAGTTTCTTTAGTATTTCTTCTTTATAATTGAACAAATCAGTCGGACATATTCCAAGAAGAAAGTACACTATAAATCATTATGACCGTTAACTTGTATCATTGTTAACATTAATTAATTAGAAAAAAAAAAGTTTTTATAAAACGTAATATGTTGATATGTGTAAATGATTTGGGCTACGACTATTTTGTTTGTTACTTATTATGAATATAAAATCATCATGGTCGTTCGTGTTGTCTTCTACTACTCTTCTTGGAGATGATTTTTTTTCTGAGAACGTTGGAATCACAACACCACAAAGAATATGGTCTAACTTATAAGATACTAATGTAGTGTTTTCAGTAAACATTTTGATGCTCAAGTCATCTTATTGTCTATTTAAACTTGAGGAGTAAAGTTTGTTAATTAAACCGCAGCCTAGTTCAATCATTTTCTATGAGTTAAGCGAGAAAGGTTCTTGATGTGTCTTGGGCTTATCTAATTAAGTTCAATGTATTAAAGTTTAAAATTTATGAAAGATATCGAAATGCCATACTTATACCACATTTGTTTATAGTACGTACCGACCCTGCATATGTAACAAGAATTACTGATGTCATTTTAAACGATTAATTAGAATAATCAAAGTGGGATATTTAATTTTATGTTTCTGTTGGCATGGCCCTATAGTATAGTGGTACAATGCGTTTGTGTTGGTGAAGACTGAAGAGTGAAGAAGACCAAAGAGGGAATCTCTTTGGCCTTTTGCTTTCTTTTACTTCAGTGGCGTTGAACGTCATTATTGCCGTATCATTTAAATTTGACATATATATTTCTTCTGATATTCAATTTCACATTTTTAATAAATTGTATTGTTTGTTCGTGTATAAAGTTTGGTCATATGCCACTATTGAAATCAGATGGTATACTATTTAACAACGTTCATACGTTATTTTATACCATTCATAATATTTGTTAACTTTCAAGTTTTGACGTTTTAGAAAAATATTATATTATATTTTATATGAGCAGTCCATTTTTATTCTGCTAAAAATTATGGGTCTAACTCTTATAATGTTAAAAATTTGCAAAATAACAAAAGACCAAGTGTTAGCGAAACGAACTGAATATGATATAAAAAATTGTGGGAAAGTTTTTTATAAAATTATAAAAATCTAGACTTTGTAGACCATTCACGTTTTAGTTTTTTTTTTTAACATACTAGTAACATATAGCCGAATCACTTTTTCAAGAAATAAAAAGGTGAAAAGTTTGATAATTGTTTGTAATAATGAAATAATTATATATCAAAGAGAATAGTCAAAACTCAAAACGATTAAAATCGGGGATTGGACTTTTTGAGCATATAAAATAGATAGGATGGGAATGGTCTCAAACTTTAATGATGAAGAAGATAGAGATTTACATACATTGTGTAGTCCCAACTCATCCACCCAAAATATTAATTTCTCTAATGCATTCTCTATAGTGAGTGGCTCAATGGTCTCTTGTATTTAATGTCACGTCCATTCAATTCATATCAAACGTTTCTATATATGTGCACTCGAGATATCAATAGGGGAGTTCTGAGTGTGTGTATATTATATCCTACTATATCTATATAAATTTTCTTGTTGTTATATAAATATGTTTCTTTTGAAATTCTTATTTAGATAAGCTGAATAAGTGACTATTTTTTATTATATAGTTTTTGTTAAAATACTTAATAGATAAAGGAATGGAAAAGATTAGTAAAATTTTATGGTAGTGGTCATTAAGAGGGACCATTAAGAAATCATGAGCTTCAGCTACATTTCCCATGGATTCCTCATAACCACTTTTTTCTCCTTCTCCCTGAAGAATTATTTAATAAGGTTTATGAGAGTGATAGAGGGGTCATTAGTGTTAAATCTAATCAAAACAAAATCCAAAAAAAATCTCAATTTTATATCATGTAATGAATGGTTATATGATGATAAACCTAAATATAGTAAAGAAGAAAAAGAGTAGTAGTACTAAATAAATATAGTGGTTGAAATCAGAGAACCATGTATAATAACCACAAATCACAAACGCATGCAATCAGAACAGTCCCTTCCTGCTATGTAACAGCCGAGTGTGTTTGTGAGTGTCTGTGTCCATATCAACATGGGGGACCATATTTTGTTCTATGATACACCTCTAAACACATACGTACGCTTTGGCAGTAAGATCACAAGTAGCCAAATATTTCAGTAATTATATAACTAGCTATAAATTTTAAAAGAGTTTTATAATGGCTAGCCACTTAACTATGAAACCATATATATTGTTTCAGTTAGTTGTAAAACATCATCACGTACACCATCCTTTAGTTAGACTATCTGAGTATTATGATCCTATCAAAAAAGTAAATTATGTAATTAAGAGATCATAAGAGATCAAGGATGGGTTTTAACAAGAATATTGTGATTGTGAAACTGAATGTACGGGTTGATGCATACACTTTTTGTGCATGGGAGTACTAGCTAGAGAAGAAGAAGATCACATGCATATTTTTGAGAATCTAATCTAACGTACAAATAAGTTTCAGTGCAGTGTAGTTAGTTCTCCAACACGACGTACCGTTTTAGCTTTTGCTTTACGTACGTACTAACATTTTTTCCTTAGTTTGTGTTTGCTCATTGTTAAAAGAACTTCAATTGTCTATAACTTTATTTACTCATAATTTTTGTAGAATCTTCCAGTAGTTTAAATTCTATCTGGGTAACTAATATATGTACCGTATTTATAACTTTTAGAAACATGAATACACGATGTTTTGACAATATAAAGACAAAGATATAACTTAATATATAATCTGAGCCTAATTTCAAAAAAAAAAAAAAACTTAATATAAAATCTGATGAGGTTATCTATATTACTTCGATGTCCAAATATAATAACCGATACAATATGAGAATATTCAAAGTTCATGTATGTGTGTTGTAACGCCTGATTAGATAACTATGGCCTGAACCATATTAATACAGTCTCTCGAGCTATATGACTATACATGAATTGGTCTATGTAAAAAGAATTGATTTATGTATGTATGACAAGTGTGGCATGTTTTTACCCCTGCCAAGACCAAAGAACGAGTTTCACCATCTATGAAAAATTGTCTGGTTTCTTCCTTCGTCACTATAATTTTATTCCCTATGAAATGAGGTTAGGATTAGCGTTAACAATGCATGATTTTGCTTTATTATAAACTACAAAGATAATTAAGAGCTTTTGGTTCCTATGTTAACGTGGGATTGTATTGCCAACAAGATAAACAACCAAATCATCAAAGTCTAGAAAAAAATAATATGAGTCGATGGAACATTTAATAATTTACCCAAAGTAGTTAGCTGATAGATCAAGATCGATAAACGAGAAGCGTTCTCTTCCATTCTTTTCGTAGGTTTTACTCATGAAAGATACACAAAATGGTGTGAGTCTGTGAGAGGTCTCTCTTCTCATTTATGTCCTCTCTATACTTAAACAAAAACCTCAAACTCATACTTATCAAAATTCAATTATTTTTGTGCATTTCTATTTATAAGTCTCTTTCATTTGTCCCCCTTATCTTTCAAGTTATTAATTTATTATCCATGAATTTTCGTTGTCATTACAACCCAGGCCAATTTTTATTTATTTATTTTATAAATCATTCGATTATGATCTCAAAACAGTGTAGAACTATTCTCCATTCGATTTCCAGACAAAGCAACAGTTCTTTCAGATGAAACGTGAAAACAAAAATTAAAACAACTGAACAAAATCTACTGATTTCGTGTATTCCAAGTAGAGGAATACAAAACAAAAAACAAAAAAGTGAGCACAACATGAAACTTTGTAGTTCTTTTTGTAATAAATATCTATAAAAGCTATATTTATATAAAAATTGGTTGAAATTATAATTCTATGTTTCAAAGAGACTTATAGACAGAAAAAGATAAATATTTTTTTAAGCTAATTTTTAAAAAACAAAGTAAAAATGGTTATCTTTTATATATATATATATATATATATATATATATATATATAAGTCTCTTTCAACCATGACAAAAAAAAACATGTATCAAAAGTACATTAAAAAAAGTTTTAATAAAAAGAAAATTTTAGGGTCTGAATGGTGGCAGTGGTTAAGACGGACAAATCTATCGACGGATTATACCATTTTTATTTACCATTCATCAAATATAGTATGCAATGTTGTGGTCCAAAAAAAATAGAAAGAAAATCGTCGCGGACCAATTTTAAACTGGTTTTACACACAAATAGAATTGGTCCGCAACGATTTATTGTCTACCGTAAACATAGAACGGAATAAACCGTCGATGGATTTGTCCATTGGGGTCAACATTAGAAGAAGAAAAAAATCGTTGTCCGGTTTAAGAAAGAATAAAACATATACATAAATTTAGATAATCTGCTAATTAAAAAGTAATTATAACGGGTAATTTTTACTAATTTTCTTTTTGAGGAGAGAAGAGAGAGAATAAAGACGAAAAAGCAAAAGAGAAAAAAAAAAAACGGAAGAGATGAAAAAGCAGAGAGAAGAGTGATGCAAAAAAAAAAAAAAATACAGCTTCGTTGTCACTTGTCACTCTATAAATCGCTTCTCCCCATTGACAACCTTTCACTTCCATCAAAACTCTCTCTCACTATCTCTCTCTGTTCACTCATCACTCTCTCTCTCTCTCTTAAAAAATGGAAAAAGCCATGGTTTCAACATGGAGACCCGACCCGGTTTACCGTCCACCGGAGACACCACTCGAGCCTATGGAGTTCTTAGCTCGGTCATGGAGCGTCTCTGCTCTCGAAGTCTCCAAGGCTTTAACACCACCAAATCCTCAGATTCTCCTCTCCAAAACCGAAGAAGAAGATGAAGAACACATCTCCGCCGCAGACGTCGACGGCGGCGAGACAGAAGACACCAGACTTGTCTCCGGGAACCCTTTCTCCTTCGCTTGTTCTGAAACTTCTCAAATGGTCATGGATCGTATCTTGTCTCACTCTGTAAGTATACCTTCCTCTGTTTCAGATACAAACAGAGCATTTGCGGACAAAACAAAGTATTCTTCTTTTTTTGTCTAAAGATGGTGACAAATCTTTCATATACAATAAAAGTTTCAATTTTTAGCAAATTATATTCATAAATCTTCTTCTTCTTCTTAGTGTGATTAATGAAAGGATATGTTCAATTCACGCGCAATAATTATAATTATTAATCAAACACAAACCAAAAAAAAAAAGTTATGATTTTTAGCTACACACTCGCTTTCTGGGGTCCCTATAAACATAATCACAAGTTCATGGATTTGTCATCATCTCTTCTTGATTCTACTTTTGTCTCATTCTTTAACTTTCTTTTATAATATTTACTTGCAGCAAGAAGTGTCACCAAGAACATCTGGTCGGCTATCACACAGTAGTGGTCCACTCAACGGTTCATTGACCGACAGTCCTCCTGTGTCTCCTCCCGAATCCGACGACATTAAGGTTTCTTCTTAATTCTTAAATTTCTTGACCAAACAAAAACAAATTCTGGGTTTTTTTTTCTTTCTGTTGTGTTATGACTAAAGCATGTATCTGGGTTTCTGTGTTTTTTTTTTGGTGTTTCTCTCTATGTAAATGTTTTCGATTATTACTACTGCGTCACTGACATTGTTTGGGTACAATGAAAGACAGTGAAAAATAAAAAAAGAATCTTCACTATAAGCTTTCTCTTTATCCAACCATACCCAGAGATCATGTCTTTCTCCCCACTACTGTTTCCGATGATTACTCATCATTTCAATTTTAAAATTTCGATTTGTTTATTCCAAAACTTATTCCTTAAACCCATTAACAAAATTTGACAAAGATTGTTTTTTTTTTTTAGTATTATTTAGTGACACTTTGGTCTAAAGCAATCTCCTTTACTTGATTTGATTTTGTCTTTTTCTTTTCATCACTCTTCTTCCAAATCCGTTTTCCCTTTTTAGATTTTGCTTCACTCTTTTGTTTATCCATTTTTGGCGAATCTCTGATTTTTTAAGTTTTCTTTTCTTGAAATGCAGCAATTTTGCAGGGCAAATAACAATGCACTGAACAATATAAACTCTCAGTTCCGTTCAACGGCGACTACTCCGGGACCTATAACGGCTACGGCGACGCAGTCCAAGACGGTGGGACGTTGGCTTAAGGACCGGAGGGAGAAGAAGAAAGAGGAGACTCGGGCTCACAACGCTCAGATTCATGCTGCTGTCTCTGTTGCTGGCGTGGCTGCTGCTGTTGCGGCTATTGCAGCAGCCACTGCTGCTTCTTCTAGCTGCGGCAAGGATGAGCAGATGGCTAAAACTGACATGGCGGTTGCTTCTGCTGCTACCCTTGTGGCTGCTCAGTGTGTGGAGGCTGCTGAAGTTATGGGAGCTGAGAGAGAGTATTTGGCTTCTGTTGTTAGTTCCGCTGTTAATGTTCGCTCTGCTGGAGATATCATGACTCTCACTGCCGGAGCAGCTACAGGTTTGTTTAGTTACTTCAAAACTCTGTTTATGGGTTTTGATAAAGTTTTGATTTTTATGCAATTGATTTAGGGATTTGATTGACTCAAAAGTTGAAACTTGATGGAGAAATCGAATCATTGGATTTTAGGTGTGATGGAGATTGCTAAAGTTCTGATTTTGATGAAGATAATGATAGTATTGATCTAGGGATTGGTTCAAAATTGGAACTTTATGAAGGAATCAATCTTAATGTTGAGTAATTTATTTGTATGTTTGGTGTAGCTCTAAGAGGAGTTCAAACATTGAAGGCAAGGGCAATGAAGGAAGTGTGGAACATTGCATCAGTGATTCCAATGGACAAAGGACTCACTTCTACTGGAGGATGCAGCAATAATGTTAATGGTAGCAATGGAAGCTCAAGCAGTAGTCACAGTGGCGAACTTGTGCAACAGGAGAATTTCTTGGGAACTTGCAGCCGAGAATGGCTCGCTAGAGGTTGCGAACTCCTCAAACGCACTCGCAAAGGTAACAAAAATTTCAATTTCTATGTATTGAAACTTTACATATTTAGTTCTTGATCTTTTTATCTAAATGATGTGTGACTTTTGCAGGTGATCTCCACTGGAAAATAGTATCTGTTTACATCAACAAAATGAATCAGGTAAAGATATGTTTCTCATGGTGCCTCGAGTTTCGGTTCACTTTTGAAATGATCGTTGATCTGATGAAAAAGATTAAAGAGAGCCAAATAATTTGTGAATCAGTGGGAATCTTTAGTTACTTCACATGGATGTGAACTTTGTTATATGAAACACACAAAAAGATGAGAAAAGAGATATTTCAAACGGCAGGAAAAGAAGAGAAAGTAGAAACAAAAACTAAAGCTAAAAATGAAAAAGCACTGTTATGAAAATGATGATGAAAATGAAGTTATGGGATCCACTTTTGTCTTTGCTTAAGCATCTTTTCGAGAATCATGTCACCAGTTTGTATTCATTCTTTTGATCTATTGAACTTGTAGGTTATGTTGAAGATGAAGAGCAGGCATGTTGGAGGAACCTTCACCAAGAAGAAAAAGAGTAAGATACCATCCCTTTACTTTTATATTGCATTCAACTAAGTGTTTAACATCTCTTTCCCTAAAACTCACTTTTAAAACCTGATTAGAGTGATTGAAGATTTCTCTAATTCCTTCCAAGACATTAAAAATGATACTTCTAATGGATTAGTTTGATATTGAAAGCTTTACACTTTTTGTCACTATCTACTGTCAATGAGTCAATTATATGTGAACCCTCCTGGTAAAGAGAACTCAAAACTTTGATGTGGGTCTGCTTTGTATCTGGGGATTTGAGACGAAAAAAAGGAAAAAAGCAAAAGTGTATATGTGACTAAAGTAACTAGAGGATCAAATCCCCTCAACCTTTTACTTTTTTGTCTTTCTTTTGAAATGTGAACTTGAAGACTCTTGTACACTAATATAGTTTACTAAATTTTGTTACAGACATTGTGCTTGAAGTAATCAAGAATGTCCCTGCCTGGCCTGGACGACATTTGCTAGAAGGAGGAGATAATCTGAGATACTTTGGTTTGAAGACAGTTCTGCGAGGCGATGTGGAATTCGAGGTCAAGAGCCAAAGGGAGTATGAAATGTGGACACAAGGTGTATCAAGGCTTCTTGTTCTTGCTGCTGAGAGGAAGTTTAGGATGTAGTGAATAAAACCTTTCAATGGCTGCTTGGTTTAAGTGTGGGTTTTTTTCTTTAACTTATGGGGTCAATCTAGGGAGGTTCTTTTAAGGTAATGGTTTTTTGGGTTGGGTATAGGATGAAATGGACCTACCAGTCAAGATTTCAACACAAAGGGTAAGGAAAGGATTTGGGGTAAACAAAACTTAGTGGGGGTTGGGTCATCTGTAATTTTTATGTTCTTAGATTATTATTAATTTTTTGTTGTTGTTGTTTGTGTTCTTTTGTATAAAAAAAAAACAAAGTTGGAAGTAATAGATATATATATTAAAATATGAATGGGTCCAATTTATATATTTATAGGGAACATCAAATATTCTTCTTTTTTGTCCCATTACTGTTGAATTATATCCATTAACCAGACTTAGAAATCAAATATATCATTGAGGATCTTTTCTCACATGTTATATACTAATCTGCTTGTGAAGAATGTTTGGTATTGTTAAGCAATAAACACTCACAAGTCACAATACATCTATATTGTCTTCTTAATATTCGATAAATCTATGTCTACAATTAGTAGGCTATTAAGGACACCACTAGAGAAGATGAACCACATGTCACTGGCCGTTGCTCATGATGCCGAGGAGATTGAGGAAGAGATTGATGACGTCCAGGTAGAGACGAATGGCAGCATGGATATACTCGTCGTAGTTGAGTTTCTTGATCAGCTGGTTCGTATCATAGATGATGTAACCGCAGAACACGATTGAAGCTAATCCGCTGAATATCATCGACGATAGCTTCCCTAGAGGGTGGAATAGCTGCATTTCGTTTCATCAGTTAGCCTGTAAGAACATAAAGACTCTTGAAACTATGAATGGATTGGAGAGTTAGTAAGTACCTGCAACAGAGTGAAGACGAAGATAATGAGGAGTGCACCAAAGAGGAATGGTCCAAGGAAGGAGAAATCATGGCCTCTCTTTACTGCCCAGAAGGTGTAGATCGTCAGCCCAAAGACCATCGCAGCTGTGAGAATTGCAGCCTCCATAACAATCCTCCCTGCTTTTCACAAGAGTTAGGTAGAAATTAGATTCTAACCATCAATCAGATCACATTGTTTCTTTTTCAGTAAATGGTGTAACTTTAGCTATAGAAACATATGTAACTTGGTTTCTTGACAGAATCATGATTTGCCCTGTTCCTCTTTTTCATAATTTACCATGTCCGAATAATCAAGATACTAAAGTTTCAAACTTTTATAGTACTACCTACCTAGTCAAGATCACACCAGTACTGCATCTGAAACAAGGATCTAGATTCAACACTATCTCCACAGAGAACAATCCAACACTAGAAGCAGACCATATCTCTGTACTGTAACCATACATACCTTTGGAAAGAGAGCAGCAAATCCCCACAGAGAAGGAAATGGAGAGAGTGAAGATGGATAGAACAATGCAGTTAATGGGATGCTTCTTCTCAAAAGCCAACAGAGGCCACAGCACTACAAAACAAAACACATCAAAGACAAACCTCATCAAATCCAAATCACTGAAACGTCTCCACTCTCCAACACTCTCTATAAACCAAATCGTTTAAAAATAGTAACAGTCAAGTGATGAATCAACACAGCAACAAAGCTTATACAAGATCAACGAAACTCAATATCTAGTAGCAAAAAGCTAAGCTTTTTTTGTGTGAATCGAACAAGTAAAGTAACTCAAAACCCTAAGACTAGCACAAACCCTAACAAAGCATGAAATCGAAAGATCAACAAAGAGAACTATGTAAAAAAGGAGACGTAACGGAGTAAAGGAAGAAGAAGGATGGCGAAAAAGACGACGTGGCCTGGAGTAGTCTCGATGATGAACTCAGGAATCGGACGGACGAAGAAGAACACGGCGGAGACTCCGACGGTGAGGATCATCTGAAGAGACAAGATGCTGTAAACTTTCCTTATGAAAGCCCAACGAAGCTCCGAGCTTTCTTTCATCCCCGGATACAGCTCGTCACCAACACCAACACCAACAACACCAGTTTCAATGTCAGATTTCGCCATTTTTGGTTTTCTGAAATCACGAAAGCTCTGAAGAAGAAGAAGATGAGAGATCAAGTAAGTGAGGTTTATGAGATTTTCTCAGGAAACTTACAAGGAAAGTGACAGGAAAGTTCATAAAAGGGAGGGTAACGCTGGTGTTACTGTTCCGTCACTGTAGTAACACTAACTAACCAATTAGGTTCCGCCACGTAGAATACATTGGACGGCGTTTTATCGCGGGTGTGTCAGTGTGACTGTGTAACCAATATTGCCGGGAAAGTATGGGTTTTTTGTGAGATTCATAGTCACTGCTCTGTTCTTTTGCTTCTCTAGACAATCCAATGATATTACGCCACGTGGCAAAGTGCTGGTTTTATGACTGACGTCGTTTATATATTTTCTTTGTCGTAACTACAAAAAATAGAAAGGGCACGATACTTGTACATAATAAAGCTTGTTGTGCTGTTTATAGATTAGAGATGCTTATATTGGTAATGATGAATTGAATATTTTGTTCGACGAGATTAAATACTGATTCAGTGAATTCAATACATTGTTATTAGTGAATATACCTACCCATGCTAATGACATTTACACTTGTTACCTAACTTTGTAATTGTCACAACCACTAATTAGAATATCTAGCTAGCTATGGCAAATGACGATCTAGTTGAGTTGATGAAGTGTTAATGGATGATTTTAAGAGATTTAGAAAGTTCACTATAGCTAGCTAATAATGGTATTTGAATATGAATTACTAAACTAAAGGCTTTTTGGTTTATTAATATAGCTTTTGTACATGTGGATCAAGGCAAAAACTTAACCAAAAAGTCAAGAAAATGTGTTTCGTAGGCCGATATCTAAATGGTGTACGTAAAAAGTTTAAGAATCTGACTACTTGAAGACAAAAAACAAAATATGAGTCATCAGTCATGAATCATGACTCATAATTGTATACTTTAAGATTATACATTGTATTAAGATAGCTCAAATTAATAGGAAATGGACTCAATTGAGAAAGCAAATTAAATAAACAAATTGTGATCCTGTTTACACTACTTAGACGAGGTACATATACAACTATGAATTTGCGTACCCTATTCTCTTCCCCGAATTCGAGTGACGACCTGAGCGAGGGAGAAGTATACTTTTGCGGACCTAACAACCTATTCTCTTCCTCGAATGCGAGTGACGACCCGAGGGAGAAGTATACTTTGCGGACCTAACATCAACGGAAACTATGAGCTCGACTATGTTGTAATCAACTAAGTCGAACAATCTCCAACAATAGTAAAAACTAGAAGTAGTCCGAGTCTATAACATTTGTGGCCGTTTGAAGTTCATTGGAAATTTATGGGAGACTTTAAACTACAAACAAACTAAAAGCCCATTGGGTTCTTATTATCTTATACATGAGAAAAGTTTCAACTAGATATGGACTTTGTGTACACACATTGGTTTGCATGAAGAAACTGATAGAATAGTTTTATAAGAAGAAGTGGGGTAGAGAAGAATTAATTGAAGTTTCCAAGTGTAGGATGGTGTCTATGAACCTACTCAAGGACTGTTCTCTGATGTTTATCTAAAACCATATATATGAAAGAAAAAAAAGTATCCTTTGATGCGATAGATTTGACAATGCACTTCTCATTTTCTCTTCTTTTTTCTTTCAAAAGCCACCCACATTTACTTAATTTTTCTTCGTTTATTATTTACCATTGATATCTTATGTATGATTCCTGAAAGCAAATTAATTAACAATACTAAGGACATCCACATGTATTTGTATGCTTCTCGTTTATATTCCTTTTATGGCTTCTCGTGAATATTTATTGGCTTTGTTCTTTAGTTGCTAGGATAGATCTTGGTCGCTCCTTTGACCACGAAAGAATCACCAAGAAAAACCAAATTGTCAACATAAAGTAATATATTGGTATCATTTTAATTTTTCAATATGAGATACCGTGAAGTTTGTGTAGTTGGGAAAGGAATAAACAAAAATGTCAATAAATTGTCTGGCTTTATAAGTCTATCAAAGAAAGTTGGTTTATTTCATTTTTTTTTTGCTTGTTTATTTTATTTATTAGTTTAGTGTTTTTAATCAAAAAAACTATTAAGTTTGACGGCGCTAAACTTAGTAAATATTTTTTTTTTTCAAAATTTTCGTGTTGGCTAAAATATTTTTTAGTAAAAAGATAAATACAGTGGTTTCTATATATTAAAAAGAATTATTATTGGTTAATATGTGAAGTCTACAATTTTCTCATTTATATACAGTAAATTCTACTATACTTTTCAAACACATTTATTAACAAAATATTATGATACTAGTATCTGTTATTATTTAGATGATTCTAACTCCAATTGCCAAACAATTTTGAATATTCTTAAATTTACCAAAAAAAAGCTTGTTTCAAATATTTTAATATCGAATAACCATTACATCTAAACAAAAAAGAAGATCTATATATTTATTAAATGAGAAATTTAAGAATTTATTTATCATTACATACCTAGTTTGATCTACTAAAACACATGGTGTGAATTGTGGTTGTTACACAAATAAAAATACTCAAAAGTACTATGTCTTATATCAACAACTAATTTGCACACTAAGACCATCCTCGATGGTAGGATTTAATGAGTGTATCTTAGGATTAATTTAGTAATTAATATTAAAAGTGTAGAGTTTAAGATATGTATTTTTGTTTTCTGTTTTTACGTAGGATTATTGGTAGATTCTTAAGTTTGGTATCTTAGAAAAAAAATATTAATCAAAAAAAAATTAACAATTTTAATTATTAAACACTTAATAATTATTGCAAAATAAAATTTTTAAAACATATATAAGTTACAATTTATTGCATAAATAACATAAAACACAATTAATTTAAACATGATTTATTTCAACACCCATTTAGAAACTGCCACGTCACAGCCTCTTAAACTTTCTTTTGTATCTTATATAAAATACGGTATCTTATATTTTAATTAACATTTTGATTTAATTTAAATGTCTAATTTACCTAAGATATGCTTAAGATGCTAGTATTGATGATGCTCTAAGGGACGTCTTTCTTCAGGGCTTTTTCGCACCAAAACACCGCACTAATTCTTTTGCAACGTTTGCAGAAATGGTTATCAAAAACTGTTGGCATTGCTGCATTGATCGATCATCCATCAGTCCAAGTGGCTTCAGATTGTGTGAGAACTCGTTATTTAAAAAAAATTTCGTTTATCTGCTGTAGTTTATATAGTTTTAAATTTTGGATGTTGTCTACTTTGAAAACAACATGTCTAAATCGTATTTGTGGTTCAGTTTTTGATTTTGATTTTAAAACATTCTCCAATATATCTAAAACAATGCAGATTGCATAATGTTTTGTACCTAAATACTGATTATTGCTTGTCCATCCTGATTATTCAATTGGTAACCAAAGGAAAAGTTAAATATCATATCGTCTTTAATATATGCTACAAATCAACGTCATCAACTTACTATTAGAACCAAAAAGCAAATTAGGTATATGCTTAAACGAAAGCATTTTTAGTATGAACAATATACAAGATTTTCCTCGGAGAATGGACAAAACAAAGTTTTTCTTCTTCAAAAAGAGAGAAGTGAAAAAATAATTTTTACGAGAAAAGTGGAAGCTATATATGTCTGTACAGTCCACCACCAACCCAACCAAACCCATCACATCAGTCTCATCTCTGTAAAAAAACACTCTTTTTGATTATTGCTTTTATTTTTCCTTTCTCCTGACCCCTTTTGACATTATTTTACAGTTTCGTATAAACACACTCATTACTTTGCTTTTCTTCTCTTCACGTTAAATATGCATTCGTTTTTGTTCTTTTGTTTGATGAAACTACTCAGCAACGTCCGTACGTAAATAACCAAATCATCGCACTTAAAATCTTTGCTTAAGAAAGTGTTATAGACACTTCACTTAGACCATGTCCAATACAGATTTTTAAGATGGAGTATTATACTACTTTATGTTACTATTACAGAAATAATTTTTTTGTCGTCTGAAATTTTATTAAAACCCAGAGAAAGATACAAGTTGAAATACATATGCCGATGGATTTAGAAATATTTCCGGAGACATTAGTCCAAAAAAGAGAAACATAGCCCAAAGAACGGGAAAACAAATTAAAACAACATCTAAACAAAATTCTAAAAAACAAACATACTTTGCGGATAAATTACAATCCAAACCATAAAATTGTGCAAAAGCAAAAGAGACTCCTACCAAACTTTCTTATAGAAACTGAGAACGTCGGAAGCACCAATAAAACCGGAAGACTTCACACCGAAGCCCCAGAGTTACTATTACAGAATCTAAATTACATTAAAGAAAAAAGAGTGAAAAATTGTAAAATCTTGATTCTTGAAAGATGTTCGTTTTGATATATACAACACCATGCACGCAGGCTAGTTGTTACTATTATTATTATTATTATTTAGTCAACGTTTTGAGTCGAGTACAATGTCCCACACCACGACCAATAGGACAGTGGTTAGAAGTTAGTGTTTACGTGTTTCCAATTTATTTTCAAAGCTCATTATACTCAATCACCTTTATGCCATCCATCTACACAAATTTACAAACTTCTATATGAACCAGGACCAAAGGTCTTGGTCTAGCTCTCGTTTCGACCCCCGATATATAACACGAAACGAGAGTCGAGACCAAGTCGATGCTATTTCCAAATACTAAAATAAAAAAACGTAGAGTCAAATTGGTACATTATCTCACTAACTAGGAAAAAGATAACATAGTAGTATTGGTAAAAGAGAGAAAGGAGTTATAAATTCAGATGATATATGAATTAAAGGGAACAGAGTATGCAGTACGACACGAGTACATATGCGGCTTTGTAGTGAAATTGGGAAAAACTCCAAACCATAAATGCTTTTACCACTTTTTCACATTCGTTTCCAATAATAATATTTTTATTTTTTTATCACTTTTATTTTTTAAAATTATGGTCCTGCTGTAAGACTTACACGTGCAAGTACGATATAAAAATATTAATCATGATTATAGTATATGTAAAAGATAAAACTTATTAATAAAAAGAAATTATCATCAAAGAGTAATAATGAAAATCTAACATTAGCTTAGCTGTCAAGGGGACAAAACCTATGAGGGTCCAAACAAACATGCATAAGCTGACAAATTAGTAAAAGTACCTTAGTAAGTAGTAGTAGTAGTAGTAGTATTTGTTTTGTTAATAGGGGTTTTGCTTGAAAATATGAGGCAAATCACTTAATTTTACTGATAAACACTATATGGGAAACACAAAAAACTATTAAATCCATCATCACACATTTGTTTTTGGCAGATTTTTGTCAAATAATTTCATCCAAGGTACTTTACTAGTTTCAAAAATATTGAAAAGGGAACAATTTGATTAAGTGAACAATCCAAAATAATTTCAACAAATGTTTTTTAAATCATTTTTTTTAATGGATGGTTGATTTCTATATATTCCACATTGTACAATGTTAATTTTACCATTCAAAACATGTATTAAAATTTCAAGTTTTTTTTTTCCGAGGTAATTTTGCTAGATATTCATTATAGATATATCAAAAAAATACCCCTAACATCACCAAATTAGTAGGAGTAAATAATTTTTTGATAAAATTCATAATTATTTAACTAATGTTTTATTTTGGGAAACTTTTTTCTATTACTTTATCATAAGAATATTCAGCTATTTCACTATTTATACATGTCTAAAACCTTTGCCAATGCATGTTACTAATTACAAACCATGTGTGTAACAGTTTTACAGAAGCTTAAGCTTGATTATCCAAATCTTCAAGATGGGCAGGGATACTGTTAACGTCCAGGTTGAAATCGACAAAATTTGATATAGTTCAGGTTGGTTATTTGAATTGAAAGCTGGTTTGGGTTATAAAATTCAGAGTAAGCGAGTTTGGGTATAAAAATACCTTCGGGAAATAATTTGGGTTGATTTTCCCCGTTTTCCGTAACAATTTTATCTTCTCACAAGTTCTACACTAACTACATATAAAATAGTTTCAAGTTTTTTTGTTCTTACAAAAGAGAAGACAAGAAACACACTACCCAAATTAGACATCTGCAATACTAATTGGTTCAACAAAGAAGCAAGTGTCATTATAGAGTAAAATGAATGGAGTACTCTTTCTCATCTCTCACACTCTCTCTTTCTCGGTAATATCACCACCCAACCCCCAAAGTTTTTTGCTTTTTCCCAAAGTCCTCAATTTCTTCACATGACCCAAATTTATATATATATAATATTAACAACATTACTATAAGATTTTTCATTACAATAACTAATCAGAAAAGCACAAGAAATGAGGAATAAAGAAGAAAGAACAAAACAAAAAGAATTTTAAAAAACGCTTCTTCTCAATTGTTTTAAAGTAGTAATTTAATTTGATCAAACTTATTAGTAATATTTAGGGCATGAAGAGCTTGTTGTTACACTTGCACCGCCAAGCTTCAGGGTAATACTCCAAAGGCATACTCAAACCTGGTTGAATCGGTACGTGAACCGGTTTACACGGCTGACATCTCCCACACTTGGATCTACACGTTGGTGGTGATGAACCCGGTCCTCCAAACCGCTTGTTATCCTCTATGAACCCACCCGGTAAACCCGACCCGGTTCTCTGACCAATCCATCTACCATCTGGTAAACATTTGATAAAACACCGAGTTAAGTTAACCCACTCACCATTTACAGACATTAAAAAACATTTAACCATTACCTTAGAAAATCAAAATCAAGAAAATCAAGAAAGTCAGGAAAATCACCTTAGAAAATCAAAATCAAGAAAATCAAGAACTTAGAATATATAGCAAATAAAAAGAAACATATATACCTCAAAAACATATATTTTCAAAACAAAATAAAGCAAAATTTAGTAAGAAATCACCTTAGAAAATCAGAATCAAGAAGATCAAGAACTTAGAGAATATAGCAAAGTTATCTTTCATTGGGTTCTTACCGACGGAGACTGAGGAGGCGGAGAAGAGGTGAAGGAGGGCCAATGCGGTGAGTACAGCTAAAAGAAAGCGACGGCGTCGGCGGCGGAGAGCTCCCATTAGTCAAGATACCGGCGAGAGTGCGCACGTTAGCAGCAAGAGAGACAAGTGTTGTTGTGGTGTTGAAATTGTGGTTTTATTTTTCTGAGTGAGAGAGAGATCTCTTTTGGGTTTATGTTTTGAGTGTGTTTGGGGTTTGGGGTTATTCATTTTGGTCTTAAGTCAAAAGAAGCTTAGATAGAGAGAGTGTGTGTGTGTGGGTGACTGTGAACAGTAAAATAATAGACTCATGAGTTTAGATTTTGGAATCCAAATATTAAATTCAAACTGCTATTGTCTTTTTTTTTCTTTTTGTTTTTCTAATTTGACTGTATTTTCTCTTTCCTTATATATATATCTTCAATAACACTTTAGTGAGAGTGTTCACTTCTTTTTTTTTCATCTAATATTATTGATAATACTTGGAAGGATACCCAAAAAAAATACTCTATTTGTTTCACATAGTATGATGTTTTAAAGATTGATGTTGTAGATTAAAATCTTTATTTTATGTTTTTCAACACACGGCAGTTATTTAGTAGTTTATATTTTTTCTTTCTACTAAAAAGTAATTGTAAATTTTTTTTGTAAGCAAATACCTAACTTTGTCTTAATATGTGTGAAAAATTAAAACATCAATTTTTTTGAAATAGAGAAAGTACAATTTAAGCAGACAAAAAATAAAGATTTCTCAAAAGTCTAAAGTCCAAACAAGAGAAACTAAACTGACGGACGAAAGAATTATTCATGGTAACTAAGTATACATAAAAAAGCACAAACTAGAATTACAAGACAAAAATTTTAAAAGCCAAAACTACAAGTGAAAGTGTTCACTTCAAAAATAAAATGAAAACAAAATATGAATGTTCTTAAATGACTATATAATATTATGACAAGTAATTAAATAGTTGAGAGCAACACTAATGAGTGGGGGGCTCAGGAGTGTATAGGTTGGGATTTATGGAAATTTTTGGTCAGGTTTTCTTTTCATGTTTCTTTTTTATTTTGGCAACCTTTTGATGTTTCTTTTTCTTTTTAGGTTTCAGTCCTACCCTATATATATTTTTTACAACTATTAATTTCATTTTTTTCCCACAGCATGATAGATATGCATGAATCTCTCATTTATTTTTCTTTAGTTTCTTTCAGCTTTTCGAATATATTTTGGTGTCACGTTTCTCCTATTTTGTTTTGTCATTTCGTGTAGGGGTCTTGACTCTTCTGGCATGATCGCATGCACACGAATACGGAGTTATATATGATCATTTTGTATAATGCGAAATGAATTTTATCTTTAAAATCTATATATATATATATATATATATATATATATTCTATTATAGGTTCTAGTTACTAATCTTACTACTAGCTAGTTTTGATAATCCTTCTTACAAAGGTAAAAAGAAACCTATACACTAATTTATAACAATACAAATCAATATATATATATATATATAGATATATATGTTTGTGTAGAAAACTAATACACTAATATAAAAGAAATACGGATCAATCTATATGTTTTGTCAAAAAAGTAGGCAACCAAAATATTAAAAGTGATTTGTATGGTTGTAAATTTTTTTTTTTTTTTTTGTGTGACACAAAGTCCAAATTATTGAATAAATCTTTGACTATGTTGTGTATGTGTATGTGTATGTCAGTACGTGGAACATGGGTTGTTGTTGTTGTTGTTGTTGTTGTTGCTGGTTTATTTCTTTTAATGGTTGATCATGAGAGATTGTTTTATGCTTTTGATTGGACTTATAACACTTATTTTGAGACAATCGATATCTAAAACGTTACAATGCCACACAAAATTTGAGACAATACTTAGCAAAAAAAGATTTGAGACAATCTATATCTAAACATAAAAGATTTGTCTACAAAAGACAAGTGTATGTATGTATATACGATACGGTTGGGTTGTTTTGTGGTCGTTCGATTTATAGTCACCATCAGGATACTTCACATCGGAAGAAACCATAAAACAGAAAAAGAGGCCCAAGAAAAAGACTGAAAAGATGTAAATGGGCCTAGGAGAAGATAAGATGAGGCCCATTAAAGGATGGTGAAGTTTGAGTGTGAGTGTCGTCCCTACAAAGGGAGGAAGGAAACAAGTCCTGACTCACTGACTCATCCTCTGTACCCGACCCACGCACTCGCGACCCCTCTCCCCTGCACAAACATAACCTGTACGGTTCTTCAATCACTATTCATCTTTCTTTTTCTTAAACCAAAAAAATGTATAGTAGTTCCATATTCATTGAATTGTACTCGAATATGTAGCTGTTCATATCCATATGAAAATCTTTACCACTTACAAAACTATATTAATATCCATAATATATAACTTTGTTTGTTTTTCTATGATAGATAGCTAAGCTATGATAAGCCTTTTTTTTTTGACATTACCAATAATTTCAAAGAAAAAAACTTCATATTTAATTCTAACAAAAATGAAAGAATAAGTTAATCGGTCGACAAAAAATTTACATAGAAATTTACGAGTTCAACAACAAAATGGTGAACTAGGTCAAGTTAGTCTCTCACAAGATTGTAATCAATACGTTTACAAGGACATTACACAAGAGCTTTTGTGTTCTGATCATCTTCTTTAATGAATAAACCTAGCTATATATGGTTATAACTTATTACTAAACTAGTAATCCGACTAAAATTTAGCTAGGAGTTTTACTTAGACCAACATTAATGGTGGGATCTTAACAAGTATTTTAAGCTAAGATTTGTTAAGATCTGATCTTAAATAATATAGGATCTTAACAAATCTTAGCTTAAGATACTTGTTACGATCCCACCAATAATGTTGGTCTTATGTTGTATGTTATATCCCAAAACCTCTTATGTAGTTCATTGTTGATTACAACCCAATATGATAAACTTACAGTTAGTATAATTACAAATTTACAATATTGTGTTTTATACTTTTGTTTTTATTTTATAATTACAGCATACAAAGATCAACAATATGTATTTTATTTTAAAACGTTTTAAATAAAAGATAATAGAGTAGGGTTTTTGGTGGTGAGTGTGGTGTTGCTGATATAGAAATGGCAGATGCATATCCTTGAGAGAGAGATTAAAGCCATGGTACCAACTTGGATCCATTTCTTCGATAACGACTCTTCCTATTTCCACTCTGTTTCTGTTCTTTTCTTTTTTTTTTTTTGATTTGTTTCCCTCTCTTCTCTTTAACTTATCTCTTCCACTACTCGCAATTCTAAACCGTTCTTTATGTTGAGTATACTGAAAAGATTGGTTTCTATATTGTCGTTGATTCAACGGGCTAGATAGAATTAGAGAGGGGTATTGTAACAGTGTTACCTGGTCCAATATCGAGTCTTGATTACTATATTTACAATGTCACTTATATACTTGTTTGTACATTATAACTTTAAAAGAGAGTGAAGTACTCCAAAGTCACAATTAAGTTCGACTTTTGATGTTATAAAAAGTTTACACGTTCTAGTCTCTCTTGCGTGTCCAAAAAGATTACGGATCATTGTTCGAAATTTCATATTCATCTAGTAGTAATAGGTCAGACTCATGTGAAATTTATATGTCTCCATCTTCGTCTTGTCAATTTATCACTCTCATGTATTTTTCAATCGTTTTTATTTTTTTTGGTATTCACTTCCGAAAATGACTAGTCTTCAATTTTTATTTATGTGGTGATACGTTTCTGTAAATGATCTACGTACCTTCATAAGAAATGTGAAGCCTCAAAATAGATTTACCAATAATAGATTTGTTTATTTCATTGGTGTTTACCAGTGATTTTTAAAATAAACATTTATGTTGTGTGTATGCTTTGAAGGTTAGAACAATTGTCACCACAGATGTAGATTGATGAAAGTGTCCCAAACTCCCAATGCTGGAAGGCTGATACAAGTGATCTCATTGGTTAGGGAGCCAAGCTGATACAAACCAGGCTGCGAGGTTACTTATACGATTAACTCCTTTAGGTTCCGAATGGTAACCATACCGCACTATAAAATCGCACCGCAACAGTGTTGTAATAGTGTCAAAATATATGCATATACATATATATCTATATATTTTCGTTACTATTTGAACCGCACTGTACTTCTCCCGCAATGAAAAACGCAGTTACCATTTGGAACCTTAATCACGTGTCGCAATCAAATCTCATCATTGAGTAGAAACATAAAAATTTGAAAAACATAAATTTTGTATTATTTAACAATTATTTAGACTATATATAAGCAGAATAAAATTTTATTCGAATTTATGTTGAAGACGTAGTTGTTACTTGATCATCTTCCACTAATTTAACAACTGTATAAAATGAAGTAAACCAAACAAAATAAAATCGTAAGAAAAAATAGATATTCCATTGTTAAAAAAGACATAATCGACCAAAACAAATTGATGATTCTCCATCCATCTAGACTAAAAGTAGTATACAAACAAAAAAAACAAAAGATAATTTTTTCTATTTTTAGAATAACTCTTATCCATTTATAGAAATAATTAATTAGTTACTAATCCACCAATGTCACATGCAAATTGACATCCCACTTACTAATAAACAAAAAATATACTCTACTTCTTTTTTAAAATCATTTTTTTTTCTTTGTTTCTCATGCTATATTATTGTTTAAATTAACATAAACTGTTTAGCTTTTAAATAAAAATAATCACCACAAGATTTTTCACTCAAAATAATAATAATTGAGATACTTATCAAAGTATGATTAAGCAGTAGTAGGATGCTTACGTGGCAGTCTAGGGAGCTTCCTGCTCCAAAAAAAAAAAAAAAAACCATTCCCCTAAAATTGAAAGCCCATAGGAGAGACTTAACTTCTTCACTCTTTCTCTCTTTTTCTCTTTTTCTCTTTTTCTCTTTTCTCTCTCTTTTCTCTCTCGCTCGCGATTCTGATTTTACCCTTAAAGCCCTCCGATTATTACGAAAACGCCACTGCTCTCTCGCCGTGGGGGATCCGGTGAGGCCGTTAGGCCGGAATCTGAGATAGAGGAGGAGATGGATGTTGGAGTATCTCCGGCGAAGTCTATACTTGCGAAGCCTCTGAAACTGTTGACTGAAGAGGACATTTCTCAGCTCACTCGCGAAGATTGTCGCAAATTCCTCAAAGAGAAAGGTCTTTTTCACTCCTTCCTTCTTCTTCGTCTCCTTCCTCCGGTCTTATTGTATTCTCCGGGGAGGATCTTTGGTCTCTGATTTTTTTTGCTTCCGTAGTCAATTTTTGAATTTCTCTATTCTCTCGGAGGTTTTTTTTTTCTTTCTTTTTTGCTTGAGAATGGCGGCTGACACGTGTCGAAACAGGAATGCGCAGGCCTTCATGGAACAAATCTCAGGCGATCCAGCAAGTTTTATCCCTTAAAGCTCTCTTTGAGCCTGGCGACGATTCCGGCGCCGGAATCCTCCGTAAGATCCTCGTTTCTCAGCCGTCAATTCCGCCTCCGGTTAGCTTTTTTAGACTTCGCACATAAGAAGCTAATTAGAACTCTTTAAGTGTTTTTGGTTGGTTCTGATTTGGGGGAAATTGTTGCTCTGTGTGCTTGTGTGAGTACAGGTTACATCAACTTCGATTGAGCCAAGTAGCGAGCTCGAAGCTTGTGGTAGGAATCCTTTTCAAGAAGATGAAGGTCCTTGCCATAGAAGGGATTCTCCAAGATCAGCTGAGTTTTCCGGTGGTTCTGCTCAGTTTGTAGCTGAGAAAGATAGCTTAAAGACAGTTTCCCCCAGGTTTACATTTTTAGTCTATAATACTCTTTGAATGTTGTTTAATCACTTGAGAGTATAGCTATAATCAATTTGTGATGTGAGGAAGTATTTGGTTTGATATTTTATTCTTAGGAATAGAAAGTTTCTATATGGATCATGTCTTTGATGGTGGATTGGTCAGACAGTAATTAGGTTAAAAGAGTCAGAAAGATGCTTTATTTATCCTGCAGTTGGTGTTTCCAGATCTTCTTGGTTCTGTTCTACTCTTGTTATTTATTTTGGTGAAAGGACTATGTCAATAAGGATTGGTATGCCTTGATGTGATCATTGCTAGTCAACAAAATTACTTACCCCATTGGTCAATATGATTTGTGAATTCTGTAATGATTTCTTTTTAGTAACAAGAGTTTAAGTGGAAGGTCGCTGCCATTATGTGTTTGATGCTCGATAGACGAATTACTGTTCAGTGTTGTTCAAACAAGTTGTTTTAAACACTTTTCTCTAATGTTGCATCAGAAGTCCAGCTGAAACAAGTCCGCTGGTTGGACAAATGACGATATTCTATAGTGGAAAAGTGAAAGTATATGATGGAGTACCACCTGAAAAGGTAAATGAACAGCATTATTCTGTCCAGCCTGAAAAGAAATCAACTTTGATGGCATGTTTTTTGATGATGCATCCTGTACATTGGTCTGCAGGCGCGGTCAATCATGCACTTTGCAGCTAATCCAATTGATTTTCCTGAAAATGGTATTTTTGCCTCTAGTAGAATGATTTCGAAGCCCATGAGTAAAGGTAAGCTTTTGCTAAAATGTCTAATCTGCTTTTCAGTTAATGGATAGCTGATTTCACACTTTAAATGATTTTGTTTTGAATGATCTAACTGCAAAATGTGAATTGAGCTTTATCTCAAGCTTTTCATACAGATAGAGTAGATTTTTAACTGTGAAAGGATGCATGGTTAAATAACTGAAGCACCATCTCTAAATGCTGCATGGTGTTTCTACCCATACTAGCTTGTGTTAAATATATGCAGATGCTTTTGTACCATTTTTGTGATTTTGATTTCAGATGATCAATCTTGTTCAAAAGCATCTGAAATTCTGATCTGATTTTGCAGAGAAGATGGTGGATCTTCCCCAATATGGCCTTGAAAAGGCCACTGCTTCTCGTGATTCTGGTACAAACAGTGCTCATATTACCTTATAAAGATATTGAAACCTGATATATAAATGATACTTAAAACATCTGAGAAGGAAATTTTGTCTACCGCTTCACCTCTAAATGCAACGCTAATAGTCTTTATTTAAGTCAGATAAACTTCCTTGCTTGGCCTGTGTGATATATATGACTTGGAAATTCTCTTAATTTAACAACCCTTCTGGTGTTGTTGGTCTTTTTGAAGATGTGGAGGGTCAAGCGAACAGAAAAGTGTCATTGCAAAGATACCTTGATAAGCGGAAAGACAGGTGCGTTAAAGGAACAGCCGTTGTTGCAATAATGTTGTGTACACACTTGCGCTTATTCCAAAATCGCTGAATAATAATTAACATTTATTTCTGAGCAGAAGATTCTCCAAAACCAAAAAGGCTCCAGGAGTTGCATCATCTAGCTTGGACATGTTTCTGAATCGTCAGCCACGGATGAATGCTGCATATTCACAAAACCTTAGCGGCGCAGGGCTCTGCGAGTCACCTGAGAACCAGACAAAAAGTTCAAATCTCTCAGTTGATCTAAACAGCGATCTAAACAGTGAAGGTATGAATAATCACTGAAAAACATTCGTTTAAATGGTTCCCAATGGTTTCGCCTGACCAATTCTTGACGCTTGTTTTCTAGATCTGTAACAAAACCTGAAGGGTGAGATTCCGGGTCACAAGGCGAGCTGTAAAGCTCAATACATGAAAGAACAGTAGCTGTTCTTTTGTCAATTTGCCACGAAGTACAAAAAGCAAAAACAATGAATGTTCTCGTTCATTGTGGAAGAAACAGGGCTTAAAAAGATTTGAGCTGAATCAGTGTCTAGTTTTGTTTTACGGCTTGTATCCCATCTTTTTTGGTCTGTAGTTTTGAGTAGGTTAGGGACAAGAGAGGATGTGGCGGTTTGTATTATGTAATGTAAATGCTGTCTTTATAATGAGAGACCTTATTGATGATGATACCAAATCTTGAGGTTCTAATCAAAAAGACAACTTCTTTGTGATGAGATAATTAATTTGTTTATTCTCAAGACATGTGAGATTTGCAACAATTTTGCTATCTAAAGTACATAGTTTGTTTTTTCTATAATGATGATCGGGAAAAGCATCTCTGTGGCTGACCGATAATTAGGGGTATTTTAGTCATTTCACTTAAAGATTTGTTTTTGATTTGATTATTATTAGTTTTTATGTTTTGAAAAAAGAATCATTTGAGTATCATCAAAATCATCGCGTGGTTTTGAAGACGGAGAGGAATAAGGCCTAACGGAGAAGACGATGGGTGAAGCGGTGAAGGTATGGTTTTTGATATTCTTCTCCTCTGCTTCTGATTTGATTATGAGAATCATCGATAGTTTCTAGTTATCTGCGACGCAATCATCAATCGCCGATTGTTTTCAGTTAGGTTCGGGTTTGTGATTTGATTCGTTTCGGCGATTTTCGAATCATCATCTCGGATTTTGAAATCGATGATAATTTCTCTCAATTTTGATGTTATATCATAGTTAAAACTCTGATTTTGTAATGCCCTGAACATGTTTACAGATTTTGTAATGCCTGAACATGTTTTTTTTCCCATTTGGATGTGTTTTCTTTGCTTAGCATACCAAAAATGATCTCTTTGTGTGTGTTTGTGCTTTTACAGGATCTAAGAGAAGAAGTGATACAGGCATGGTATATGGATGATAGCGAGGAGGATCAAAGACTTCCTCACCACAAGGATCCTAAGGAGTTTGTATCTCTGGATAAACTTGCAGGTGTGTGTCTTCAATTCAATGTTGTTCTCTTTGTAATGCTTTTTATTGTTTTTTATTTCATGTGTAATGTTTGAGTGTGCAGAGCTGGGAGTACTTAGCTGGAGACTTGATGCTGATAACTATGAAACCGATGAGGATTTGAAAAAGATCCGCGAAACTCGTGGTTACTCTTACATGGTTTGTGAACTTTTTACATCTTTGTTTGCTATCTCATTATTAGACTTCAATGCTGAATTTTTACATTTGACTAGTCTTTGTTCTAACTCTCTAAGACTTTTTTACTCAATTGTAATACTTAACTGAAATGACACTGTTTATGAAAAACAGTTGATGGTTTGCAAACATTTTAATGTGTTTCAAGTCTTGGTTTGATGATTGAAAAGTGTTTAACAATTCCAGGACATTTGTGAGGTATGCGCGGAAAAGCTTCCAAACTATGAAGAGAAAGTAAAGAGCTTTTTCGAAGAACATTTGCACACTGATGAAGAGATCCGTTACTGCGTTGCAGGAAGTGGTAGGTACTTTTATTGGCTACTTTACTTGAAAAAAAAAAAATCGATATACGTATATAGTCGTCAATGTTCTTTTACTTTTACTTGGGAAAAGGATACTTTGATGTGAGGGATCGCAACGAAGCTTGGATTAGAGTATGGGTAAAGAAGGGGGGTATGATTGTTTTGCCCGCTGGAATATACCACCGCTTCACCGTGGACTCAGAAAACTATATCAAGGTTCATTGTTTTCTTCTCTTAGTCTATTTTATCATATATTTTTGCTTGCTTCAAAAACTGAAATATCTTGTTAAACAGGCAATGCGACTTTTCGTGGGTGAACCGGTGTGGACACCATACAATCGCCCGCACGACCATCTTCCTGCAAGGTACAACGTCCTGTTTTCCCCTTTTGTCTCATCAAAAGCATACCCTGTGTTTGTTTGTTCTCTCTAATGTTACCAATACAATATGATCAAGCAAGAACTTCTGATGTTTTACAGGAAAGAATATGTCGATAACTTCGTGATCAACGCCTCCGCTTAGGGAGGTCTCTCTCTCTCCCTTGCTTTCTGAAGTGAAGGTCGATAATATAAACAAGGCCCATATAATAAAGAGAGCTTTCCTCTCAATTATTGGATATTTATACGTGTACCTGTGTAGAATACTGGCTTTGGTATGCTCTTTGAGTTGTTGTAAACTTAATTACACTCTTTGATGGGTTTCTCTTTACCATCTTACTTGTATCCGTTTTACGATAAGACCAAGTATGATCATAAAAGAAAAACAACAGAAGTTTCTTTGTGCATGTATGAAATATGGTGAGTTCGTTATACACAAGTGTATTGTTTTGGGTTGTTTGTCAAAAACTAACAGTAACAGATTTGAAGTAAATAATGAAATAGTAAGGAAACAAACTGTGTGAATTGTGAAGTAGAAGTATAAGTAACATATCTCTCAGTCTATTTCTATTTCCTCTGTTTTCCAATTTCTTTTGGTTTTTTCTTAGTACAAATCAATCATCACATTGCAGAGTAGTAATTACATCTTATTCTCCTTGTTTTCTTGTCGAAAGACCAAAAAGATCGGATTAAAAAAGAAGTGTATATATATAATTAGCAGCCATGATTAGGTTTATATAAAAAAAATAAAAATAAAAAGAGAGACAAATCATACGTGGCAGTCTAGGGAGCTCCCCTGCTCCAGAAACCATTCCCCCAAATTCTAAGCCCATAGAATACTATTCGACCTTCACTCTCTCTCTCTTTTTCATGTCTCTCTCTCTTTCTCATTCTTCCTAATTTTGCCCCCAAACCCTTCCAATAATTACTGAAACGCCACTGCTCACTCGTCGGAACTCCGGTGAAGGAGGAGATGGAGGATGTAGGAGTGTCAACGGCGAAGTCTATACTTGCGAAGCCTCTTAAGCTACTCACTGAAGATGACATTTCTCAGCTCACTCGCGAAGACTGCCGCAAATTCCTCAAAGAGAAAGGTCTTTCTTCCTTCTTCTTCTTCCTTGTACCTTGTCGGAATTTTGTAAGCTCTCTGACTGACACGTGTACGGAACAGGAATGCGCAGGCCTTCGTGGAACAAATCTCAGGCGATCCAGCAAGTTTTATCACTTAAAGCTCTCTTTGAGCCCGGCGACGATTCCGGCGCCGGTATCCTCCGCAAGATCCTCGTTTCTCAGCCGCCAATTCCGCCTCGTGTGAGCTTCTGTTCTAATTTTGATATTTTGCTTCTTCTATATTACTTAATTTGGTGCTGAATTTTAGGGAAATTGTTGCTCTGTGTACTTGTGGATCCTTAGGTCACAACAACGTCGACTGAGCTAAGCAACGAGCTCGAAGCTTGTGGCCGGATTCCTCCATTTCAGGAAGATGATGGTCCCTGCCATAGAAGGGATTCTCCAAGATCAGCTGAGTTTTCCGGTGGTTCTGCTCATTATCCAGCTGAGAAAGATACCAACAAGACTGTCTCCCTCAGGTTTATATTTTCGTTCTTGAATCAGTGTGTTATGTGTGTGATCTTAAAAAGTAATTTGATATCACTTTCTTAGAGATAGAAACTATATGGTTCATGCCTTTGATGGTGGATTGAGTCTGACAGTATTTAGGGTTAGATTCACATCTTTTCAACCAGTCCTATGTGAGTTCATTGTGGCTTTCTTTGTATACTAAAGTTAGTGTTCTCCATTTCTTCTTGGTTCTGTCCAATGGGAATGATGGACTTGGAATGATCACATGCCTTGTTAACAGAAAGTTTTCAGTTACTGAGTTTTGTTTGTGTGTGGTAGTCCATCTTCGAAAGCTTAATAGAAGTTTTGCTATCATAATGGTGTTATATAAGTGAATTAACCACTCCAATGGTGTTTAAACAAGTTCTCTGTGATGTGGCATCAGAAGCCCAGCTGAAACTAATGCGCTGGTTGGGCAAATGACGATATTCTATAGTGGGAAAGTGAATGTGTATGATGGAGTACCATCTGAGAAGGTACATTATTCTGTCTAGCCTGAAAATAGAAATTTTGATGGCAATGTTTTGACCATTCAACCTGTATATTGGTTTACAGGCCCAGTCAATCATGCACTTTGCAGCAAATCCAGTTGACTTGCCTGCAAATGGTATCTTTTCTTCTAGTTGTATGCCCATGAGTAAAGGTAAGCTTTTGCGAAAGTGTCTGACTTCCTTTTCAGTTGATAGATAGATGATTCAAACTTGAAATCATTTTGTTTTGTATATCATCAAACTGGAAAAGTTAATGGACCAGCTTTTCTGATGCAGTACATCTTGTTTAGTTTTCTTTAGTCGCCGAACACAGCTTTTGTTTTGTCAAATCTGAATGGAAGCATGGTTATTGACCAGAGAAACATCTCTAAATGCTATACTAGCTTGTGATTATGCATTTCACCTTTTTGTGATAGTGATTTTACTTTCTTTCTTCTGAATTGAGTTTGGACTAGTCAATAGATAAACTGAAATTTTGAATTCTTATTGCAGAGAAGATGGTGGAACTTCCCCAAATTGGCCTTGAGAGGGTGAATTCTTCTCGTGATTTTGGTAGTGTTCATATTTCTAAATGATTCTGATTTCTAAGAGTAAAACTTGATTGACACTACTTTCACCTGTGCAATGCTATGCTTTTATTGTTAACTTGGAGGTGGATAAGCTTGACTTGCTTGTTGGCCTGTTATATGCTTTGAAGATAGTTGATTTAACCTTTGTTTTTATGTTGTTTTGGGTCATTATTATTAAGATATGGAAGGTCAGGCAAACAGGAAGATGTCGTTGCAAAGATATCGTGAAAAGCGGAAGGACAGGTGCGTTATATACTTAACGCTTAAAATTCAAAAACCGCGAAAAACTGATATGTTTTCTTTATGTGCAGAAGATTCCTTAAAGCCAAAAAGTCTCCAGGAGTTGCGTCCTCGAGCTTGGAAATGTTTCTAAATCGTCAGCCACGAATGAATGCTGCATACTCACAAAACCTTGGCCACACAAGATCTTCACTGCAGAGCGAGTCACCTGAAAACCAAAGAAAAAGTCCCAATCTATCAGTTGATCTAAACAGTGAAGGTAATAAGAAGACAATCGTATAGCTTAGTTAGATCCAATAGTTTTGGATGATTACACTCAAAAACTCTCTCATTGGTTGGGTTCCAGCAGATATTTAACAAGTTGCCAACACGTGGAGATGCTATTACTATTACCGGTGAAAAGGTGTTGGAAGCTCAATATATGAAGAGACTTTAATCTTCAGATCGGCTTGTTTGGGTATCCGGGTCGCACCCATAATTTTTTTGGTCTATAGTTTTGTTGTGTAGCTAAGTAGGTTAGTGGTAAGTTCTTGTTTCTGATTCTTTTTTGAGGAAGATATAGTCAGAGAGATTTGGCAAGAGGCAAGAACTTGTTTGTAATGTGTAAATGCTGTCTTAATATGACACTTTTTAACGAGAGACACTTTTCGCCAAACTGTCTTCTAACTACTTGATAACCAAAGCCTTCACTTCTTTTTGACCATTTCCAAACCACTAATTGTCACTATATTATCACTTAACTTTTTTAAGTGTCAAAGTTGACTTTACCATCAAAGGTTAAAGAATGAGGTAATCCAATTTTATAACATCCATACGAGACACACTTTACATGTAGTTTCGGAATAAATAATGATGCTTTAATACAATCTAAGGCAATAAACTATAATTTAAGCCTGTCGGAAACGTAACGTAATTAATTAGTCTGAAACGTATCTATGTGGAGGCGAGGCGGTATCTCCCACGCCGCACGCACGCCGGCGGATTGAGGGTAGTTTAGTCTTTTTAATATTCCTTGTTTTCTGCTTTTTTTTTTCCCGAAAAGGAGAGATAAGTCATCCATAATCGCGTGGGCTTGAAGACGATAAAAAGGCATAACGAAGAAGAAGAAGAAGAAGAAGAAGAAGAAGAAGAAGAAGAAGAAGAGAGAACAAACAAGTACAACGATGGGTGAAGTTGTTAAGGTAATCCGTAAAATCTCTTCCTTTCTGATTCTGATTTCGTGAATCTCTTATCGGAAAATATTCTTATATCCGCCGTTCAAAACATGACTTCGCCGATTGTTATATATATCTCCATTAGGTTCGGTTTTGATGTTTTGTATTTAGTTTGATTTTGCTTTTATGTCGGATGTTATTCTTAACATTTGATTGCTCTAGAACATGTTCTGTTCTCTATTAGTGTTGGCAGCTCAAAAAAACACATGAAAATGAGAATAGGTGATCAGTGATTGAATTACAACTAATTTAATCGAATTGATATTTTCTTGATTCACATGTTGGTGTTGTTGTTATTGGTTAGGATGGAAGAGAAGAAGTGATACAGGCATGGTATATGGATGATAGCGAAGAGGATCAGAGACTTCCTCACCACAAGGATCCTAAGGAGTTTGTATCTTTGGACAAACTTGCAGGTTTTTTTTTTGTGTGTTTGTCTTCATTCTTGTTCTCTCTGTAATGTTTTCTACTGTCTTTTGTTTTTGTATCACTTGCCTAAATTCTAATGTTTGTGTACAGAGCTGGGAGTACTTAGCTGGAGAATTGATGCTGATAACTATGAAACCGATGAAGATTTGAAAAAGATTCGTGAATCTCGTGGTTACTCCTACATGGTTTGTCACCTTTTCTTTATGTCTTTACTTCTTTAAATCTTTGTTTTGTTATCCGTTAGTCTTTAATGCTAGTTCTTTAGTTTTGACCAAGTGTTGTTTTTGAAAAGTCAAATAACAGTGGTTCTACTTGAAGAAGTTCAGCTGATCAATCTTTCTCAATAACTAGCTAAGGATTGAATGTTACAAGATTGTAGCAGTTGTGAGATGGTTAGAGAGCTAATAGCTCTAGGTTTTGGTTGGGAGTTGAGAGTCTTTCATTGTTATCAAATCTCTCTGGTTCTCTCGCTAAACCGAATGACATGAAAACACTTTCCCTCTCTGTTATACATTTTGAGTTGAATGTTTGATGATAAGCACGTATTGATTCCCACACATTTGTTTATGCATGTGTATATATTTGTGCCCGAGTCTTGATTTGACAATAGAAGAGTGTTTAAATTACAGGACTTTTGTGAGGTATGCCCTGAAAAGCTTGCAAACTATGAAGAGAAAGTAAAGAGCTTTTTTGAAGAACATTTGCACACTGATGAAGAGATTCGTTATTGCGTTGGAGGAAGTGGTAAGTACTTGTATTGGCGGCTTTACTTGAAAAGACAATTGATATATGTATATAGATTGTCAGTGTTTTCTCCCTTGGATAAAGGATACTTTGATGTGAGGGATCGCAATGAGGCTTGGATTAGAGTATTGGTAAAGAAAGGGGGTATGATAGTCTTGCCTGCTGGAATATATCATCGCTTCACCGTCGACTCAGACAACTATATCAAGGTTTATTGTTAGCTTCTTCGAATCATTAACTCATCATATACTCTTGGTTGCTTATGAAAATCAGAATTTCTTATTAAACAGGCAATGCGGCTTTTCGTGGGTGAACCGGTCTGGACACCATACAATCGCCCACATGACCATCTGCCCGCAAGGTAAAGTGTCCTGTCTGCCTCTTTTACTCTGCAATCATTCATCTTAGCAAAGAAAAGAAAACTGTTTATGGATATTGAAACGGCTATTTTACAGGAAAGAGTACATCGATAATTTCGTGAAGGTGAACGGGGGCGGTGCCATAGACGCGTCAGCCTAGAGGTCAGTCTTAGGCGTCAGATTTCTATAAACTAAGCATACAATAAAGAGGAAGCTCTGTCTGATCTTGGATATGTATATGTTTAGATGTGGTCTTTATGGTTTATTTATGTCATCCACTTATAGTGAAGAGACTTTAATTCGTGTGTGGCTTTGGCATTATGGTTGCGTTGTAATATCTTTCATGGTGTGTCAACTTATAACTTACCACATTTATGTTGTCTATATGTACTGTAACAATTGGATGAGAATCAGGAGATGTTCATGTTAACAATATACATCAAAAGTAAAAATAAAAAGAAGAACAACTTTGAAGCTACACTCTTATTGTCATTTTCCAGCTCCCCAGTCTCAATTCTGAAAATTGCTTTAAATTATAAAAAGTTTACTGATTCTGAAGTGTATTAGCTAATGTGTCAGCTCTTGTTATTATCGAACCAATGTGTCAGCTCTTGTTATTATCGAACCAATGTCTCAGTGCTTGTTATTATCGTACCAATAAATGAATTTTGATTTATGTTGACACTTCAGAGCTTTTAAAAATCATATTAAATATCAGACGATGATGCGTTACATATCATTCTCCAAATATGATTTAATTTCCCTTATGCTATATCAAAAAAAAAAAAAAAAAGCCTTAGACGAGAGTGCCACCGGTGACGTACTCAGTGAAGGCCAAGGCAACTAGGCCGAGCATCGCAAAGCGACCGTTCCATAACTCAGCATCTGATGTCATGAACCCCTTTGACTTTGCCTCCGCCCTTATTCCCTTGAACAACGGAATCATCGATGCCAAAGTCAGCAACGCCGTCGTTCCAAGAAACCACCCGACGCCACCGTCAGAGATCTGAGCCAACACGTTCTCTCCCTTGGAAAGCTCCACCGCAATGGCAGCCACGAATCCAACCATGGCTAGTCTCCCGTTGATCCTCTCGGGCGCTGGACCGCTGAATGCAAGCAAATCTCCAAACTTGGTACTCACCTAAACAAGAAAACAAATCATTCAACCTCACAAATCTTTTATCTATCACTATCAACAACATGTAGTATTGGATCTCATATAGTTATATACCTTAGGCTTGCTGACTGGTGGAGGAGGAGATGGTGGCATCTGCGGTTGAGCGGCCGAGGTCGAGGGCACGGAAGGATCTTCCTTGATAGGATCACCCTGAGCCATGCACCTGAATCCAACAGGAGCATTCCTCTTGAAGAAGAGTTGGTTTGTGTTTCTGATGTTGCGTGAACTCAATCCACCGGAAGGAGCAGCGAACACTGACTGCATGTTAAGCGACGCCGTTGCCATTTCTGATGACTAGGGTTTTTGAAAATGCTAAAGATCGAACTTGAAATATAATAAGAGAAGTGAATAAACAATGAGACTTGAGAAGTGAGATGGAGTTTGGTTTGTGGTGTAACTGCAAAGATCATCTCTGTACTTATAGAGTAGGTGAAATGTGAATGATAGGTCCTGTATTTTTCTTATTTTTTTTTATGTATTTCTTTCTTTATCTTTATTGATTTATGGGAAACTTTAGATTTCTTATTTTACTTTTGGGTTTGTGGTGGTGTAGTATAGAGTAAAAAGTAATAAAGTAATAAGTAGAAACAAATCTAAATTGCAAAGTTTACTCTTTTGGGAAGCAAAAGATTCCTTAGTCAAAATGTTTTCAAACTTGTGAGATTTTTTTCCATCTTTATTGTAACAACAAAATCATTGGTCAATGTTTCTTTGTAAAACGAATGTAGAATTAAATTATAATAAAATAAATTAAACTATTTCAACTGTGACAAAAAAAAGTTACTATATCATGAATTTAAGTTGAACGTTACACACAAAAACACGTAGTAGCCAAGAAATTTGAGGTGAGATCTCAAAAGAGCCACGTCTAGTTGAAAAAGTGCAAGTAAAACTGATGACGTGGGTTCTTTCATCACACATCTTCCTTGTCTTTTTTTCTGATTGGCCATTGCCAAGTGGGTTTGGTAAAAACACGTTAGAAAAGATTTGTCTCAAAAATATTAGAAAACAAAGCTAACGGCTTACGATGTTTCATTCAGTCGGGCGAGATTTTGTTTCTGGTAGAGAGAAGTCGTACGTGGTCGATTTCAGTTTCGTATTGGAACTTACTTGACTTCGTTATGGCAAAGACCCATGCTGACTCCTTTTGATATTTTCTGTTCAATTCATGGCTGCGTACGTGCCCTATTCTCCGACGTTTCCCTATATTACTCATTACTTAGACACAACAATAAACCTCATTTAAAGCAAACGCTTTGTTCTCTACTCTCTCTCTCTCGGCTTAGAAGAGACATCTCTTAGTAAATCTTAGCTTAAAAGATGGCTAGGAGACTACTAATAACGGTGGTCTTAGGTGTTTGCTGAAAGATTATTTACACTGATATCTCAAGTTTTGGTTGTTAAATTAAAATGTTCCCAAAATTTCAGTTTTTATCCTTCTTAATGAATTGATTCTGTTATCAAAGTGCAAGATTGCTCGTCCCAATGTTAGTACGGTGGAGTTTTATTCTCCTTCTGTAATTAATAAATGAGTACATTATTATGGAATTGTCAAAGGGTGGGAGCTAAGTTAACGGACGCGTCTTCTACTGATTAAAATGTGTTGAAAGTACTCACCAGATTTTTCTTTTTATCCAAAACTAAAGACATATGTTGTATTTGCAAGTTTAACTATGTTTTAATAACTTCCAACCCCAATGACACTAGTGGGTATCTGGCATTGTTGTATTCTTCATATTATCCATCCAAATTTCTATTGGTAGATGACCGGTTGATCGATATCGAGACTATTATTAAAGAATAATTATCAAGTTTTTGATGCAATTCTCACTATTAAAAATAAAATAAAAATATAATAAGAAAAAAATGAGATCAGTTTCTCAGTTTTCAAGATATCCATTTGACTCTTATCATTTTTTCATTGGCTTATATTTTTCTTTTAATTTAAAAATAAAATAAAAAAGTAATTAGAATTAATAAAATATTATATTTAAGAAACCCAGTAAAGTCGTTCTATCCGATAGAAAAGCTCTTGATTTTACATCTCAAGAGGTCTCTACTAAAACTAATATTCTAGACCCAATCAACAAAGCAAAAAAGGTTAATTTTGTGCTTATGGCGAGGTTTTAGGACAAGAGGTTAATTTTTTCCAAATCACCCATCATGTTTGGAAATGAAGTCTCATGATCTCATCGGCTCCAAGACAATAAATAAAAACAACTATGGGGATTAGGCAAGAACGAGGAATATGAAATTACTTAGGCCTCCCTGAGAACATTCACGAATTAAAAACCTAAGTTTTTGCATTTGTGAGGGATAGATTTCAAAAGAAGGTTAACTCTTGGTCCTCGAAAGTCCTTTCTAAAGGAGGGAAACAAGTCTTATCAAAAATTGAGGCTCAAGCTGTTTTGACATATGTAATGGTGTGCTTTCTCATATCTAAGGTTATAAGCTCCAAGTTAAGTAGAGTAATTGCCATGGTGGAACAACAAAGTAGATAGTAGAGGAATGCATTAGATATCTTAGGATCGGATGCATATGTCACTATCTGGGGAGGTCTCGACTTTCAATCCTTAGAGGATTTCAATCTCGCACTATTGGGTGAAGCAATTATGAATCCTTGCTTAATCGCACTATTGTATTAGCCTAAGTCTTAGCTTTGGGTCCGTCTCAGTATTATCGAACAAATAAACTAATAAAATTTGGAATACTTACAAATATTTGAAACATCATAATAAATGTCAAACTGTGCGTTACATATCATTCTCCAAATATGATTTAATTTCCCTTAAGCTATAGCAAAAAAAAGAAAAAAAAAAAAAAGCCTTAGACGAGAGTGCCACCGGTGACGTACTCAGTGAAGGCCAACGCAACTAGGCCGAGCATCGCAAAACGACCGTTCCATAGCTCAGCGTCTGATGTCATGAAGCCCTTTGACTTGGCCTCCGCCCTTATTCCCTGGAACAATGGAATCATCGATGCCATAGTCAGCAACGCCGTCGTTCCAAGAAACCACCCGACGCCACCGTCAGAGATCTGAGCCAACACGTTCTCTCCCTTGGAAAGCTCCACCGCGATGGCAGCCACGAATCCAACCATGGCTAGTCTCCCGTTGATCCTCTCGGGCGCTGGACCGCTGAATGCAAGCAAGTCTCTAAACTTCGTACTCACCTAAACAAGAAAACAAACCATTCAGCTCACAAATCTTTTATCTATCAAGAACATGTATATTGGATCTCATATAGTTATATACCTTAGGCTTGCTAACTGGAGGAGGAGATGGTGGCATTTGTGGTTGAGTGGCCGAGGTCGAGGTCGAGGGCACGGAAGGATCTTCCTTGATAGGACCACCCTGAGCCATGCACCTGACTCCAACCGGAGCATTCCTCTTGAAGAAGATTTGGTTTGTGTTTCTGATGTTGCGTGAACTCAATCCACCGGAAGGAGCAGCGAACACTGACTGCATGTTAAGCGACGCCGTTGCCATTTCTGATGACTAGGGTTTTTCAAACGCCGAAGATTGAAGAGATAGAGAGAGAGAGCTGACTAAATTTTTAAGACTTGAGAAGTGAGATCGAGTTGGTTTGTGGTGTAACTGCAAAGACCATCTCTTTATTTATAGAGTAGGTGAAATGTGAATGATAGGTCCAGTTTTTTTTTCTGAAATTTTATGTGTTTAATTTCTTTATCTTTATTGATTTATAGGAAAGTAAAGATTACTTTATCTTAATATCTACGTTTGTGGTGTATAGTATAGAGTAATAGTAGAAACAAATCTAAAAAGATAAAAGAAAAAAAAACTAATTAGCAAACTTGTACTCTTTTGGGAAGAATAAATTTGAGTTGAACGCTAAACACAAAGACACGTACGTAGTAACCCAAAGAAACTTTTTAAAACGAGAGAGTGAGGTGAGATCTCAAAGGAGCCACGTCTAGTTGAAAAAGTGCAAGTAAAGTGATGACGTGGGTTCTTAATTTCACCACACACAGAGACACATCTTCCTTGTCTAAATCTGATTGGCCAAGGTCAAGTGGGTTTAGTAAAAACACGTAAAAAAAAACGAAGATTTGTCTCAAAATATTAGCAAACAAAGCTAACGGCTCACAATGTTTCATTCAGTCGGGAGACTTTTGTTTCTGGTTAAGAGAAGTTGTGGTCGATCTCAGTTTCGTATTGGAACTTACTTAACTTTATTCATGGCAGACCTAGGCTGACTCCTTTTGATCCTTTCTGTGGATTCCATTCATGGCTGCGTACGTGCCCTATTCTCCTATACGTACCCTTATATAATTACGCATTTGGAACGGTTAATAAAGAATAGAGGATACTCGTTTTTTTACATCAATATATGTGGACATTTTTTGCTAAAAAAATCTTAGTACATACACCTTTTGCATATGATTTTTCTTCTTTTCTCCCATGAGCATTGGAGATTTTTTTTCCTTCTTTTCTTTCTCTAAAATACTGAATTTACGTCTCAAGAAGTTTTCTTCATAATTAATATCCGAGACTAAATTAGCATGTGTTGCAGGAATTTATTACAGATAATATCCTAATTGCTCCAAAAAAAAAATTCATGAGTAAGAAACGAATATGAATAAGCCATAGGATCAAGTGGAATTGGTCCTTTCTCCACTCTCTAATGGAAAATATGGGTTTTGATTATCGACGGGTGGGATGGATCATGTAGTGTATTACTTCGTGTCTTAACTAAGAGATACCTGAAATAACGTATTAGACTTTTTAGAGGAATTTGTCGAGGAGACTCTATCTCTTCCTGCTATTTTATTTTTGTAAGGACGGACTAATTGCTCAATTTAAACGAGCAAAGACGAATGGTAAAATCCGAGAACTGCACATTTTGTGTGCAAGTTCACGAGTGTCACACTTACTCTTTGTTGATGATAGTCTGTTTTATGTATAGTACATAAACAAATTAAAGAGGTGACTGATATAATCCATGCTTATGCTGAGGTCTCATGACAAGAGATTAATATTTCCAAAACAACCATCATGTTTGGAAATGAAGTCTCTCCCTAAGACAAGTAATAAAAACAATTGTGGGGATTATATATGCAACAAGGAGGAATCTGAACTTACTTAGGGTTCCCCGAGAAGATTCATGGATCAAAAACCCAAGTTTTTGCATTTGTGAGAGATAAACGTAAAAAAAGTCGTCTTGTTTAAGTCTCAAGCTTAAACTCTTCCGATATACGTAATGGCATGCTTTCTCCTATCTAAGGCTATAAACTCCAAGATTTGTAGTACAATTGTGACATACCGAATGCGTGTTGAACCGCTATTTTGTCTCTACGTAAACAATATTCCCACCTCTTGGCTCAATTGAGTCCATTTATAAAAGCTGTTGACAAAAAAAAAATAGTAGTACAATTGCCAACTTTTGATGGAGCAACAAAGCATATAGTAGATATGTTGGAATTCGATGTGTATGTCACTATGTGAGGGAGGTCTTGGCTTTCAATCCCAGAGGATATCAACTGGCACTATTT